GGATCTTGGCTTCCTATGCGAGCTTTGGTCAAAGAAATTGGTAGCAATCTGAATATGCAGGTAATTTCTGACAGTCTCGTGCGCTCTAGTACAGTGTTCGAAGACAACAAAGGTTGCTTGTCTCTTGTGTATGTTCCCAAAATGTCTGCGCGCACACAGTATTTTTGGGGCATTGAAGTAAAGCCAACTTCTTCAGGGTCAATATCGGGGAGTCGAAAGGAATCGTGGCTAAGTATATTCCGACTCTGGAAAAACGGGCCGACATTTTTATTAAGGGTCTTCCGGCTCCACATGTTGCTGTCATTCGGAAGCTTCTCATGGGATGGTAAATTTACCTAATAGCACTTTGCTGGGGATTCTCTCCTATCTTTTCTTGCTCCAGCTTCATTTTAGCTGTAAGGGAGTGCGACGGGATACAGCTTACAATTCAGCTTTACAGCTTTACAATTGGCAGGCTTATTCTAGATTAATAATCAATAACTGCTCACTTATTTGGAAATACAAACTTTACATCTCTTAGATCCTTAGATTAATCAATGCACAATGGTATTGTCGCATGGCTGCTCTGTTGATGGCATAGGCGCTTCTCAACTGTTCCGACCGGTCAGTAGTGGAGACATTCTTTGCCTCCTTGACTCCAACTTCAACAAACTGTGTATGGCATGCAAGCGGTAGATAGGTGTTCTTCATGAAGAGACAATAGGCGTCGGGCTCTTGGTCATCGCGCAAGTCAATGTCATGGTCAGGGGACATCATCATCTCCGCGATGTAGGTAGACATAGGCGCATAAGTAATCCCATCTTGGTTTCCAACCACTCTTTTCACAAAGTCATAGAACTGTGATAGCTTGATGTGCCGCTCATGTACTTCTGAGTACATCCATGACATCCCGGACACAGTGAATTCCTCCTTCTTCAACATGACAGTTGCCACAACCTCTGCCAATGGCCGCTCTGCAAGTAGTCCGGCTGGAAGAAGAGATGGGTTGGACCAGCGGACAAAGTGTTTGTGCACAGACCTTAATGCCAAGTCAACGAAACGTTGTGCCTTGGTGCTCTGGTACTGGCGAAGGTGGGCTGGACACTTCTGTAGGCCATGGTGGAACAAGGCAAATCCATCGTTGGTAAGGGGCGCTTCCAATGTCTTCTTCAGTTGCAGCAAGTCCTCCTCAATGATGTAGTAGCGGACCAACATCTGGTGTGTCTGGAAGCCTTCAACGCCGCTCAAGTCTTTGGACACCTGTAACCACTTGAAGTTAGGGCACAAGTAAGAGCCGTGGAAGTCAACAATGAGTGTCATGTCCGAGAATACCTCCTGCTCACACATGAGCGCCTGTAGACCGGACGCAATCTTGTTGGACTTGCCATCGCTGGTACAGGAACAGTTAATGGCCTGCTGACTGATGCGGAAGAGAACAAGATAGTTCTCCATTGTGACACGGGAAGTTTCGCCAACAGTCCACCATCGCGTCATGACTGGTTTGGGTATCATCAAGATGAACTTCTTCGCCATCTTCTCTGAGGGAGGAGCGAAGTCACAGAACAGCAACACCTTTTCCCACTTCTCCTGGAACTGTATGTCCGCCACTGTAGTACCAATGTAAGGGGTGTCCGTGTAGGTTTGGACAAAAAGCAGGTAGCTCAGCCACATGCATCTTCCACATCGCGGGAGTCGCAATCACATGTCTTGCAGAGTCATCGAGTCACATCGGAATGCCAACATCTTGCCATACAGGCGTTCTTGCACTGTCTAAACCACTTCCACCAATTGAGCTTCCTTGACCAGGGAAACGAGAGAGGGCACCACTGAAGACTGGAAAATTCTAGCGCAATGAACGATGACCAACGAGTGTTCACATCGGGGGAACACCACACGTCTTTGACTCCGCGCTCTCCACTTCTTGTACAATGTCAATGCAAGTGGTACCACACCTGCCACAGGATCAGTATGATTGCATCACAATGCTACTCTTCAAATGGACGAGCGAATTTCTTGAATGATAGTACCAGTGCCAATGCATGATCCTCTGACAGTCCGTCGCTTGCATCAATGTCAAGACATTGAACGACCACACCACCATCTTCGAACCAAGACAACATCTTCACGAAGTGACTGACACCTTCTTGTTTCCCTTGTCGCATGACAAATAGACAGTCTTGTTCTTGATGCGCTCGCCAAGGGCAATGGTATTCTCCACGGACAATCCGAATTGAAGATCTCGGAGCGTGGACTCTGAAGGGAAGGACTTAGAGAATCGAGTGACATCAACGTTGTCCAGGACGCGAATTCATCAAGGAAGGCACCAACAAAGCAAGGCATCATGATGGCCGCTTGGGACAGTGGAAGGGACGGTTGCTAGCCAGTGCAATGGACAAAATGCTTTTCATCTTATGCGATCCGGCGGTGGTGTCAAAGCGGGTTTTGTTGAAGCCACGTTGCATTTCCTTGATCTTTTCTTCCGAGTTCTTCCATTGTGAGATTTGGTTCTTGTGCACGATCTCATGGGAAAGGGAATGCGGAAGTAAACTTGTCCTTGACTGGAGAAGTGTACCGTGTTGGGCGATATCCGACTTGGCTTTCTTGGATGAAGGAACGTCTTCCGTACACACTTCGCAGTACTGTCCGTAGGTGTGACATTGTCGTCAGTGTCCAGTGCCCGCTTGCTAGAAGAATGGGTAGTGGGGGTGGCATCTACTAAGTATCGATCCAATCCAACAAGGAAGTTGTTTCGAACATAATCTTGGACCACCGTGGAAGCGGATGCATGGTAGTGGTCGGACGTTTCGGAAGAGGACAGCCACAGTTGCTTGCACTGGTATTGCTTGCTGGTATGGGACAGATGACGTTCGAGACCAGCCGGATCGGTAAGGCCGCTTGAACTTGCGAGGTAGTTGCTGCAACAGAACAGGTATGCTGGAGCAAATGGAGCAAAAGTTGGCAAGGCTCTTCACCAAGTGGAGTGGGTCCATCGTGTGAGTAGTCTTCGTCCTTGATCGCAACGACCGGTCACTGCCGCTGCTACCGAACTGCAAGCACTCATCATCTTGGATGCAACAAAAGGGGACAACAAGTTAGATCAAGAAGAAGACAACAAGAGCGAATAGAGAAAACAGTCATAGCTTCGCTTACCTTTTCTGTTTTCCTGGAAGCCGAATAATGAGGTAAACTCCATCAATTGGCATAGCCATTGGTTCTGGATCGACTTGTCGATAACAAGAGCCAACAAGTGGTTGTCTCTTTTAGGATGCTGATTAACGGTCGGCTCGTATGGTTTACGTCTCTTTAGAAAAATCGCACACCCTCTCTACTGTATCACATGGTATAAGACTTGAACTCACGGATCCAAAAATCGAAACACTAGGTTGGTGGGATACAATTGACCGTTGTCACATGACAAAAAGACGTTTTAAGGTTCCGGTTATTTGAAAAATGAGCGATTATTTGCTTCGCAGAAGCCTGTCCGAAAACAACCTTCATTACAACCTATCGTTGCCGCATTAGAAATACATCTTCATCACTATCTAACGAGTGCATACTTCTAATCACGCAACGATAGGGAGTGTTAACAGAATTTTACAGACTGGCCTCTGGCAAGCTTTTATCGCGGGATTTAACACGTGCCACGCAGGCCGACCTCGATTGATCAACTCCATTGGCTGTGGGGGTCCTAGACTCCACTGCTGCCTGTCTCAGTTGCCATCTACTCGTACCGGTACTACCTAGCTAGCTAGAAGCAGCAAGACGCCCGGACCGCTAAGAAAGCGGATACGAACCTAAAGACAAGGGACAAGGGAGCTTCTGCCTTTAACAGAATCTGATCTTGGAGTACTAGTCTAGTGTGTACGCAGCTAGCTAGTGGTACAAAGAGTCGACATTTCGACATTTCGGGTGCCGGTGGGTTGGAAAGTTGGAGGAAAAGCTTCTCACGGTCATACTGGGAGGTGGGAGGTTCCCCATCTGATAGAAGATAGAAGCACCGAAGTGTCCTTTTTGAAGGTATAGTACTTTTTAGCTATTAATACATACTTTTACTGGCACTGGTACTAGTACAAGTATGTACTGACTTACTTGTCCTTGTCTTTGAAGGAAGCCTCTAGACTCTAGCAGTACAAAGTCTACTAATAGCTAGCTAGCTCGACTAGCTAGCTAGTTGCAGTTCTGGAAGAAGTGAATTACTGCTGCCTATCAGCTTGCCTACCGGTATCTAGACTACTCTAGTCTACAGCTGCTTTTAAAAGAGTGTGTGCAGTACATGACATTATTCTGTAGTATGTACGTATGTACTCCGTAAGTGCTGTACAGTAGTTAAGCTTTGAGTTCGGACGCAAGAAAGGGCAAGTTCTACTAGCTAGTAACACGGTTTCGAAATCTTTTGTTGGTCGCAGCAAGATTCGCATCAACAAACTAATTAATGGAGACACAAAGTCATTTTTGCTCTGAAAGGTCGGATTTAAAAAACAATCATCGTGCTCCAAGCTGGACTCACAGTCATTGGAGTGTGTCCCACTGTCCAACTTCGGTACATCGCACCACTCACCATAGCTCACCATGTAGCTGGCAGCTACACGTACATAGATAGATGTACATGCACAGCAATCGAGATGAGGTCTTGAGTGTGACTCCGACAGTGTCTGACATCCATCTAGTAGAGTAGAGCAACTTGAACGAAGAAGCACCTCCAAGAAGCCAAGAAGCAGAGCAAGATTAACCGCTCGAGAGGAGTTTTGCCAATCCTGGCATTCCCAACATGTAGCTCACAATTTCCACTGCTTGAATAAAAACCCTCTATCTAGCTAGCTACCTACTAGCTTTCCAAAATTCTAGCTAGCTACTCAGTACCGGTGCCTGCTACTAGCTAGTATCTGATGACCATGATGCAACCTGGCTTGGAGAAGAACGCACATGTAAGACTGGTAGACTACAGCCATCATCGTGCTTCGCTCGGTCGAAGCAGCTCGTACCGAATCCTACGGATTTCTCGAAGGACAACTGAGAAGACAATGACCCAACCAGATGCGGCGGCTACCAGTACTCTTTGTCAGGAACGACGCATGAGTGCTCTCAAGGCTCAAAAGCGCCGTTTTTCCAAGAACATGATGATGGATGGTACTAGTGCTAACAATAGCAATAGCAATAGCAATTTGGATTTGGATTTGGATTTGAGCACACGGGGTGTCTTGTCCTTGTCCTTGTCCTTCTTGTCCTTGTCGTCCCACGGTCATGTTGCTGATACTGGTACTGGTAGTGCTGGTACTGCTGGTACTGCTGGTACTGCTGCTGAGACTTCAGATGCTGCCGACAATCACTCGAATAATGACGAGTTGCTTCAGTTTGCTCTCAAGAAAAAGGTCCGATCTACGAGCTCCCACTCCTTGTCTCCTGCGCCTCGAAGACAGCAGCGTACTGGTACTGGTACTGGTAGTGCCAGTGGCAGTCGTCTTCCTCGAAAGTGCAAGTCAACCAGCGACACAATGCCTCGGATTTACACCCGCCCCCCCTGCGGTGGCCGGCTTCTGGGGTCTAGTGCTTCATCATTGGCTTTTCCAGAGAACAAGAAGGAAAGAGCCGAGAGTCGTCAACATCAAGATCGATTGGCGGAAAGTCACCATCCCGCATCTTCCCCGCGCCAGAGCCCTTTCAGAGTTCCCAAAAGTCCAGGTGCACGTACATGTACCGGTATCGGTACTCCGAGTTCTTCATGTACCAATACAATGTCATCCTCGGCAAAGTCAAGCAGGTCGTTGGGGGGTGTCTTCAAGAGCATGGCCCTTCCCAAATTGAAAAAGTACGAGAATTTGGACGACGACGACGACAACGACCAAGACAAAGAACGAAAGTGCCTGATTCAGAACTTGCCTGAGTCTCTTCGTTTTCCCTTTGAGTTGCGTGTGTCTCCGGATGATGCATCGTCCGTTTCTTCAGTGTCCATGAATGCTGATGACGACGAAGTTGAAGACGAGGATGGCGATGATGAAAGCTGTGCATGGGAATGCGAACGAAGCGTGTTCAACAACTTGGGGAGCAGCAGTCATTCGTCTTTTGGCCTTTTAGGTGCTGCCCATGAGAGTTTTGCGATGCGACGTCCTTCCTTGCTGAGTACATGTACCGGTACCGGTACCTGTACTACCGGTACACATACGAGTAGCGATTGTCACGAGAGCCGTACCGGTACCGGTACGTGCATCAGCCGCAGAAGCAGCCGCGGTCATTCCCGGAGCCGTCGAGGTCTGCCAGGACGCCATCGAAGCATGGGCAGCAGTAGTAACCACAATGTCGCGAAGAGGAACGGCGGCGGCAGCAGTAACCAAGCGAGCCAACGGAGACGTTCGTCTGCGATACCGACATCTCATTGGGCGTCTACGAGTCTGTTGGACGCAAGTCGAACCAGCCTTGGAGGTTCCGTTCGACGATCGTCCTTGGCTGTTTCGTCTTCTCGTGTTGTGTCTCGAGACCAGGGGTCCTTTTCTGGTTCGAATAATAATTCAGGTTGTGGTGCTGCAGGGTTGCACTCGAGTGCCATGTTTCCCACCAAGATTCGTAGATTTGCTCCTTCCCAAGCTTGATACCGTACGGTACCGTAGACAATGTCATAAAACTACTACAGTAGACCAGATCTGTTCCAATAGAATTTCATACATGTCCTAGCTACATGTACATGTACATGTACATGTAGTATCTAAATCTCAATTTAACTAGGTCTACCGGTAGATCTATTGTTGCTGGTTCTGGTTCTGGTTGAATGAGAAAGCCTGAGCTAGAAAAGGCAGGGGAGATTTTCTCATTTTGGATTGTTCCTCCCTAATTTGGTCCATGGGTTTTGCTTGTGTTTGTGTCTGTGTTTGTGTCTGTGTTAGTCTTTGTTTTTCTCTGCGTCTTCTTTGACTCTGAAGAACTACCATAGGTAGGACTTGTTTGAGTAGAGCATTTGTGACTGCCCCTTGCTTGCGGAGTGACTTTTGCAGCTTGATGAAATCGTGGCCTTCAAAAGCCAGTTGGTGTAGCGCCGTCTCCGAGAATCTATATAGACGCACACTTTCTGAGAAGGGTCCAAAATCACAAGGTCGATCTATGTCTATGTCTCTGCAGCTGTCTCTTGTGTGATTGGAAGTTCCTTTTTTCGTGAGCTTGGAGAGTAGATCTGGTACATGTACATGTACGTGTACTAGCAGATCTAGACCTCTTTCTTTCTCTTCTCCTCCATGGCATTGGCCACTGAAGCTACGCGGCAAATACGGAGCTTTGCCTAGTCGGAGGTCCCGCCAGTACTGATTCTCGTCGTGTTCAGCAGTACTATTATTATTAATAAGACTGATGCGAGACGAGTGCGACAAGAGAGAGTCGTCCATTTGATTTTGAGCTTGAATACTACTAGTACTAGTACTACATGACATTGTACATGTAGTAGAGTTCGCCCAGGACAGAAACGAGTGCATGCTGGAAGTCGACTCGGTCATGTCGGAGTTCATGTAACTATCGTCACGCTTCTCCAAACGACGCGCACGCATCTCTTGTAACACTTCATGGTAGAACGCATCATCGTCTTCTCTTGCCGAAGCTACTACTGGTACTAGTAGTGCTTCCTCCTCCTCTGCTTGCTTTGGTTCTGGTTCTTCTATCATCGTCGTCTTCATTCAAAAATAACTGGAAACGGACGAATTTTTATTTTAGAGCACTTTTCCACCGGCTCAACATTTAAACATCTTTAAATCTTGTGAGACAGACGCTTTTAATTAAGTTCCACCGTGAAGTTGGTAAAAAGAATTAAAATGATTAGAACTCCTTTAAACAATCCTGTTTTAGTCCCCTTTTAAAGAACTGGCTTTTGTTCGTTGAAGCGCGAATGCAAAAGCGCACCACGACCGTGGCCAACACGACTGGTCACCTTTTCCACTTTCCACCAAGCACCAAGCATGAGGATAAGCAAGAAGTGGTCGTTGCTCGATCTTGTTTTGACCTTGTTTGCTCGGTGGTGAGGGTTGGACACTGCTTACTGAATGATCACTCTAGCTAGCTAGCTGCTAGCTATTCAGCAGAAGCAGTGGCGGTACGCCAGGTATGGTAGCATGGTAGCTTCTGTTAGCTAGCTAGCTAGCTAGCTAGCTAGCTAGAGTGGCAAGCAACTATATAGTACCCGAGTACTGTACTGGAAGATGATCTGCACCTACCGTACCGTATCTTGATGAGGTCGCTCGTAGGACAGCGGAAGCTGCATTTTCCTGCTTGCTCCTTGCACTGTGTACTGGCTAGCTTGCTGGCTAATTTTAGAGAGCCCTCCGGCATCAAAACGTGCTAATCTCCTTGTGTCTGTTGCATGGAGGTTAACGAACTTAGAAGGAATTTTCCGCGTGACGTGGGCACACTCCTCCAATCCATGGATCACTGGCTTTTTCGCCGATTGGCAGGATAGCGATACACATCTTTCTGGCAACAAACCACCGCGCACACATGGAAACCAGAACAACGTAAACAAACGTACCAGGTACTGTACCGTACTGAAGGAGCCAAAACTCGGAACAGGGTAAGTCGTCAAAAAGTGATGATCTCTCGTGTGTGCATAACTGATCTGCGAAAAACGAAGGCCACAAAGCACAAGTCGCCACAAGCATTACGAAGCGTACCGGTATCATACAAGGGAAACGCTTCGGACTACTGCTAGACAGACGCCTTCCCTTCGAGATTAGCTACTACGGTAGATACTTACTTGTAGTTTGCTTAACCAAGCTTGCGGAACTCTTTGTTCGCATTCTAGTACCTTGGCCGATCGTGAGACACAACTCGAAAACATGAAGCTCGCAAAAATCTCGTGGTTGACTACGAGCGTCCTTTTGTGGACCTTCGAGCTGACAATGACACAAGTCGACGGAAAGCTGGGAGAAAAACAATCTACAACGAGCACGACTACCCGGGATGACAATGACAAAACATACAATACGGCTGAAGCGTTTCCTAGACTTCAACTGCGCGAAGAGAAAGATCGACAGCTACAAAGCCTAACGTACTATTCTTCAAATCCTGCTGCGCGATTCATTCCTCTGGGCATTTGCGAAGGAGATTGTGACGAAGATTCGGACGTAAGTGCTGCAATCTTAGCATTGGCTTCAGGAAACAACCTCGCCAGTAGAAAAATAATCAACGTACCAACTTTTGCGAGCGCTCGTTTTTGCAAATTCGTAATTGAAACATGATCAACACTAATCTGACCATTTGCTTGCTTTGCTGACTATACCGGTACCTGGGCATTCATTGACAGTGCGCAGCAGGGCTCATTTGTTTTCAAAGAGATCGAGGAGGAATCCCGGTTCCAGGTTGTTCGGGAAATGACAACGCGAGAAACGATTACTGCATCAGAGACCCAAATCAACAGCCGGCTACCCCACAACCCTCACCAAAGCCAACTCCACAACCCTCCAATTTTCCATCGCCGAAACCAACTACCAAGCCAACGTCCAAACCAACTACCAAGCCAACGTCCAAACCAACAGCGAAACCCACCACAAAACCCACCACAAAGCCATCTCCAGGCCCTACTTCCGCCCCAGTCAACGCGCCAACGCCACCCCCGGTACCTCCTCCAACTCATCCCGCAATGCCAGTTCCCGCTGCAGCGAATATACCCGTTTCTCTTGTGGGAAACAATGGGAGGCCCGAGCTTGGGTTCCCCCTGCTACAATGTCAAGGGGATTGCGACACGGACGATGAATGCGACGTGGGGCTCATTTGCTTTACGCGTGTCTCGTACCAGACCGTACCAGGCTGTTTAGGTGGAGAATCCGATCCTAGAAGTGCGGACTACTGCATCGTGGATCCAAATCCAAATCCAAGTCCTACAATGTCCAAACCTCCGCAAGCTTCTCCGACGGCTCCGCCCCCCACAGTTCCACTAGCAACTCTTGAAACCATGATTGTGGGCAACAATGGAAGGCCCTTTGGGAGATTTCCCCTTAGTCTCTGTCAAGGCGATTGCGACTCGGATAGCGAATGCGCTGAAGGACTCGTCTGTTTCGATTCAACTCCGGGAGCTCCCGTTCCTGGATGTTTGGGGTTACCAAGCAATGGAGACTATTGCATTGTTGATCCTGGTACTGCAGCTCCAATTTCATATGCGGCGACAACTCTGCCTACAAACAAGCCCACACAGCGACCAACTTTGAACAATAGTAGTAAACCCACTGCCAAGCCAACCAGCAAACCGACCACGAAACCAACTGCTAAACCTACTAGTAAACCGTCGAATAGCCCGACCCCCAATCCGACTCGAAGGCCTACAGCAAGACCAACTCCCGCGCCGGTGACTCTGAAGGAAATTGAATCTGTCGGAAGGGGCAACCCAAATGCATATCCTTTGAAGCTCTGTCAGGGTGATTGCGATAATGACAATGATGTAAGTGATTTTGATATCATTTGATCTCACTTCGTAAGCGTGAAACCCAGAACTCTGATTCTCCGTGCTCTTGTTTTGACCAACTGCGATACTATTTGTGCTTTTGCTATAGTGTGAGGGGACGTTGATTTGCTATCAACGAGACGGAGGGGAAGAAGTTCCAGGATGCCGTGGCGGATTAGATGACAACAGCCGCACAGATTACTGTGCCTTTCCACCCACTCCAAATCCAACATCATACCCCACTCCAAATCCAACACAATACCCCACCCCAAATCCAACCAAAAACCCCACACGCAAACCCACACTGGCTCCCACTCGACAACAGACAAAAGCTCCTAGCCCAAACCCCACAAAGCGACCTACTCATATGCCCGTTGCCTGGCCTACAGTCAGACCCACCAAAGATCCCACGAGAACCCCAACAGAAACGCCAACCAAAACACCAACAGCAACAGAGGCGCCAACCATTGGACCTACGCCTTTGCCTACAACCGCGAAGCCAACACAAGCCCCATCGCCAATTCCCGTTCCTGCTCCAATCCACAATATTCGACTTCGCCTCTACTGGGAAGAGGGGTACACGTGGCAAGAATCTACGACAGAAAAGTTCTGGTGTATGATGGCTGACTATCGAGTAAGTCCTCAGATGATGAAGAAGTGGACATGTCCTTTCTATTATCCTGGCTAACATGACTGTTGCAATACTTTGTTTGATTCGTTCATTCACAGGGAAAGCCTGGAACAGGACGATGCTGGCATGGCCAATCCACAGCGCCTTGTGCTCGAGATCAACTGTACGTGGCGGACTGTAACAGCGACAGACGACAACGATTTAGCATCATGTTTGTGACGCACGATCAAGTCATGATTAAAGTAGCACGTGACAATAGATGCTTTCAACGCAATGGGCAGTTGATTCAACTTCGTGCATGCGACCCTACAAATGATTTGCAAAGGTGGTTTTCACGTCGTGGAGCCTTCATCCAAAGAAGGTTCGAACTGAGTAATCCAACGTTACCTGAATATTGTGCTACTCAAGAGCATCACCCCAAGCCAGGTGAACAGGTTTACCTCGAGCCTTGCATCCTGGCTCGGCATCCAGTCCATCAAACAAACTTTTGGACGAAATTTTGAGGACATCATCTCGCAAACCTCGAATTGAGCCGAGCCATCATCATCTCATTGCACATTTACGCTTTCATTACCTTCATCGACAGCCAACGTTCTTTTAACTTTTAAAAAAAGACAGCAAGAGGCTGTTCACAATACTTTACCAACGACCCAGCACAACCTTGCATGAATGCGATCTTCTCTTTTCTTTGGCTGGAGTGAAGGGAATTTGATCCGCATTCATGATTCTTAATAATAACGTGTACCACTAACAATACTAAATACGACTACACACAACCCTTGCACTGTACATGTATGGCCGTTACTCCAGCAACGCTGAGAGGGAGGGTACGAAGGTGCTTCGAATGCCTACATGTATGGTAGATGCTAGGATGGCGCCGTTCGATTGTTATTCTTGGTCGCAGCAGCAGCACTCGGAGCGCTTGAGGTTGTGCTTCCAATCGGCCATTTGGAGAGACGACGACGTCGATGACCACGACCACGTTCTACTTTCGGTCCGCTTTGCGTTTAGCTAAAAGGAAAAGGGGCTCCTAAAGCTCTCTGTCTGTTGTCTGTTTGAGTACATAAAATTCAAGTTCTGCACTCGACTTTTAAAGCTGGAGCCTGACGGGCGGTGCCATTGTTCTACCGGAACTGCTTGAATGGAGCCTTCGAGGCGAGTTTCGGGTCCCTTCCTCCTCGTTTTCTACATGGAATGAGCTCAAGTTCTTCCCTCGCATTGGCTGGTGACGGCGTCTTGCTCGCTCCATGGAACTGGACCCGGACAACCAATTGGCCCTGTTTCATACATGACTAAGACTTGCCACACTACAGCTGTACCGGGTATGAGAGTGCCTTCCTTGGCCCTGTGGCGTTTCTTACATGACTAGCCTACGGTACGACTTTACTCGGACTCGGACTCAAGAATTTTATGAGAATGCCTTCCTTGTTCCTTGGACCGTTGCCCTGTGTAATGCCAAATCAAGCCACGCCATGCCATGACACTACTCAGTAGTATATACCTTGCTCCTAGGATCTCTTACTCTCTGAGTACAGTAATAGTGTGTTGTAAGCTGTTGTTGCATAGTATTCGTACATGCCGAGTGGGCTTCGCGGTTTCGTGGAACAAAAAAAAAAAATCGTGTGCACGCATGATGGTGACCGAAAAAGGAGGAGTGGTCCGTCCGTTTGCCCGTTCTTTTTTCTTTCGATGATCGGCACAGAAACCCAATATAAGCCCTAGCCCTAATGATATTAATTAAAAAGAATCAGATGGCTTGCAATTTGGATGTCTATTACTAGCTATCATTTCAGCCATCAAAACTCGAGCCAATCTATGCCAAATTCGTTGAGGCAAATTTCAGCTCGATGAATGCCGTCACAATAATGAGCAACGAGCGGCGGGACCTTCTCTTGCATGCAGATCAAGGGTTTGCCCCGTTGAAGCCTTTGAGTACATGTAGATAATTTGATCTATCTACTATTAATAGTGCGTGTGGAGTGTGGACTGATGAGGGGACTAGCACTTGGAACTGGTAGTTATAACTTCTGTCTTTTGACGAGGATGCGTTGGTGTTGGTGTTGGTTCCTTTGGCTGCTGGTACATGCACTCCAGGTACCGTTCGTGAGTGTACTAGTAGTACATGTACTTGCTGCCTCTGTAGATGGTGAGATGATGTCATTGGCCTGCGAAACTTCGCACAGCCAAACGTCGTTGGCAGTGGGAATGTCTCGTCAGTCGTCTCCCCGCGGTTCTCCCTCGTACCTAAAGCTACAGCAGATTCTGTCCCAGCACAAACACTTTCACATAGACCTGGGAGGAACTCATCAGGGTCTATTTGATGTGGTGGCACAAAATATGGGCGCTGCTTTGCAAGGGTATGGTTTGAATCAGGTACTGGTAGACAATGCAGAATCTGATGATTTCAAGAGGCAAGAAGGAATGATCAGAGTGGAAGCTCTGTTCTCACCACACCGCAAAACCAGAGGGGACATGACTGAACCTCTCTATTTGCATCAACCAAACATGGCGGTCATCATATTGCAAACGGAACAAATATGCTGTACGCCCTATGGAAAAAGCGTCTTACCCTATTTGCAACTCTGTCATGCTTCACCTAACTGTATACTATGGGAGTATGCACCCACAAACCTACAATGGCTTCAGCAACAGGGAATAGCCGACTCCACTGTGCTACTTCCTATTCTGCATCAGCATAGATTGAATACTTACTACGCCTCCGCCTCCACCTCCACTACCGGTACCGGTACCGGTACCGGTACCGGCATGTTACCCTTACACCAAAGACCCATTGATGTCGTCTTTTTTGGAGTCATGACACCCAGACGAAAACAATTACAGGCACAACTCAACCAGATTGCGCAACAGCAGGAATGGAACTTGGTACTGCAAGAAGTCGAGAATTCGGGCAGTAGATTGGACTACATGGCCAATGCATACCAAAATGCAAAGGTCTGCCTCATCATTCATTCATTCTTTGCTGACAAAAATCCAGGAGAATACCATCGATTGGCAGAACTAGCTCCTTCGGGATGTGTTCCTGTCGTAGAAACCTTTGGGGACGTTTTATTTTGGGAAAATAATAAGGATCAAGACAACAGCAACAAAACTAACGTCATGGAAGACTATTATGGTCACTGTGGTGGAGTCATATTTGCAACTTTGCACGAACTGGTTCCATCGATTCAAGCTGTCCTGTTCAGTATCCGCCATGACAGCAGCAACCACAAGAATAGTCGCTTGCGAGAAGTTTTGGGGGACTCCATGCCAGATCTAGCCTCCAAGGTGGAAAACTTGCCTCCAATGCAAGATCGTTTGAATTGGTGGAATCAGCCGGTTCAATGGGACCGCATTCTCTCTATCATTCTGCTGGATGACCACGACAACCATCTTGATGGTGACAGAACTGGTGAGCTTTGATTAGTACGGTACAGTTCAGTTTTGAACTTCTTAAAAGTGGACTTGTGCAATGTGAGTTCATGCAGCTGCCGTAGTATCGCTCCCGGCAGGTACCGTAGGCCCGTGACAGGGGAAGGAACATGTACCGGTATGATTCATCCGGGCTCCACGAACCATAGCTGAGAGACTTGGCATCACGACACCAGCCTGTGCGTGCCTACGGTACTCTACTAGCTAGCTACTTTGTACACCCACTGCCTTCAAGGAATTGAGCATTCAGGCCTACAGTATGCGGGAGACCTTCCTTCCGAAAATGAGCTCACCAGAATGTCGTCCCAATAGATTAGAGGCTATCAGCGACATTTGTAGAGTTCTAGTACTGGTACGGTCCTGTAAAATATAATAAATAAATACTAAATAGATACGTTAAGGAGCGAGGGGGGCGAGGAGCAGTGGCTGCGGTGGTGGGTGGCTGGTGTGGTGGGCATACCGTACGGGGAGAGCCTGTAAAAGCATTTGATCCGTCACCAACCGTCACCAAGGTTGCTTTAAAAAAAAATCCGATTGAAGATTCGGTTCATCATTCCATCATGTTCATAATTCGAACACTATTCGAACAACCTGGAAGGACCAGCCTTCGAGCAAAACTGACGCAGTTGGATGTTGGAACAGATCCACAAACCATCAGCACCGGTACCTACCGGTACCGTATGAATTGAGAAAGACCATAGCATACCGGTACGGTGGCATACTAGTACCAGGTACCAGTAGCACAAGAGAACATGACGGGCACTTTGGCTGTCACTCAGGACACTTTGGATGACGAGAATGTGAACGAGAAAAGTTCGTTATTGGGTGAGAAATCAGAACAAATGCAAGCAGATCACGACCATGATCATTCCCACAGCACGGTGGAAAAAGACCATTTTTGGCATGATGGCGTTGGTGCAAAAAAAGGAGATTACGTGTTGCGACGCCTGAAAATGGCAATTTGTCTTTGTTTGACTTTCATGACAGTGGAAGTGATTGGAGGATATTTGGCGGGATCTCTGGCTGTCTTGTCTGATGCAGCCCATTTACTGGCAGACCTAGCCAGCTTTGCTGTGGCCATTGTGGCAGCCTACTTGGCAGCAAGACCATCCACACAATATCATACTTATGGCTTGAAACGAACTGAATCATTGGCTGCTCTATTCTCAATGACCACTCTAGCCATCATTTCCATTGCACTCTGCATGGAAGCTGTCAGGAGAATTTACCTGTACTACCAGTTCAGTTTCAAGACTACTAGCAGTAGCAGTAGTACTCAAACTGACTCTGACTCTGATTCTGTCGACGGAAAACTCATGTCAGCCATCGCCACTATTGGAGTCCTGGTCAATGTCGCACTGGCCGCAGTTCTGGGAGAAGAAAATCATGTACACATGCCAGGGGCTTCCCACGACCACCAACATGACCACAGCCATGCTGCTGCAACTACTATGCATACTAGTACTAGTACTGGTACCGGCACTAGCAATCATCCTGAATTACGTCGTTCTTCTGCCTCACAAGTTTCACAAGTGCCGGTACAGATTCATGCCAATGAAGTTCCTGCGCCACACGAACACACACACACACACGAACACGAACACGAAGGAAAAACTACACAAAACGTCAACCTACAAGCTGCCAGGTTACATGTACTGGCAGACCTGGCCCAGTCCATTGCAGTTCTCATTGCTGGATTGATCATTTGGTGGAAACCTAGTTGGAAAATTGTCGACCCCATTGCCACAATCTTGTTCTGCATACTGGTTTTCTACTCCACCTTGGGGGTCATTCGATCCGCCGTTTCTGTTTTGCTCGAGCAAGTACCACCACATATTTCCTGGAACAAAATACATCAAGACATTCAGAACGTTCCACACGTCGAGGATGTACACGACTTGCATATATGGAGCATTTCCCATGGCGTCAATGCATTGAGTGTACATCTTCGTTTGGCTCCTCAAACACACGCACAGCAAAAACAACAAACGACCGCACACGCTGTCCTTGCAGTCATGCACAAAGTCGAACAGATTGCTCGCGATAATGGGATCATCCATACCACGGTGCAAGTTCAGCCCACTATACCAGAAGAACGAAACGAAACACAAGAACCTGATGATCAGGACGTGGCTTGTGTCACCTGCGTCGTGGGAGACGAAACGCAATCTTGTGTGGTGTGACACTCATGCTGGGTCTAGTCTGGTCTATATATCAGTCGCTCGTGTCCATCTACATGTTTATATCTGCGAACCTATCTATCAAACTTGAATGCGCGGGTACGTTAGCCAAGCGAGTGACAATCCATTTCGTGAATGTTGTGGGATAGGATCTTGGTGCCCAAGTTTTGGGGCCATTCGATTGCCGGTAGGTATGGTACCGGTACCGCACAAGGGATAAAAGACAAAACTGAGGGAATATCCAAACAGAAGGAAAGTCCTATGGCTAGTAGTCAGTCACGGTTGGAGGTGATAGTACTCTGGCTAGTAGGGTGGAGGAGGGATGCATGATTGGCGGGTTTGTATTGTGGGTGCCCCGGTTGTGAGTAGAATAGTACCGTCGAGTACCACCGTGCAGTATTTGCTTCAGCTACCTATTGTCAATTCTAGATCATCCTGTTAGAATGTTGCAATCTGACAAAAGCACAGAGTCTCAATGATCGGTGCACGTACGTACGGTACCGGCACCTGAACAACTTCAGCTGGTGCTAGAGTTGGAAGCGAAACGGATCCAGTTTGTATCGGCTTTGCTGGGCTGCAGTCATCCTGCGTAGCGTACCGGTTTCGAATGGGTGCCTCCGAGATGCAGACAAAAACGAAACGAAGCTGTGTCTATCCTTACTAACGGTACCATACTACCGGTAGAGAGATTGTTTCCTCGGAAAGCTGCTATTATGGCTTCTAGCTAGGCATAAATCTGCGTGCAAATAAATGATGGGAGTTGCGCTACCGGTACAGGTCCCGAACTTGAACCGACCGTTGCTGGGATTGACCATACATGTAGCACCATAACTGGCTGGGTGCAATAAATCTGTAGTCTGCAGAGGTGGGAGGATGGCACAAATCTGTAGCATCACTCCGCATTATTGATCGTGGAAGAGTCAGTTCCAACCGTAACCTTGATCTCCATTTTCCTCCTTTGAGAAAGATCCTTGGCTTGCTGGATGGCTACGATGTACGACTGTACCTACCGCAGCTACTACCGGTACCAGGAGCAGAGTGCACTTTGCCCGGGGTAAAGTACGATTGCATCGCCGTCTTCCTTCTGTACTAGTATGTTGTGTGCCTGATGCCACGACGCGCGCTGGTTCTGAGTTCTGAGCTCTGAGCTGTGGGTTAGGCTTGCCGCTGCATGTGACCATGTGCTAACGTCCAGTGAGGCTAACTACCATGTTGTGTTTAGCGATAGCCGCCACTCATGTGACTAAGCGTTGAGGATAGTCGATTTATTGTTAGGAGGTCCGAGTACCGGATTCCGCAAACGTTGAGAAGTGCGATCGGTCACATTTTGAGGGGATGATTTGAATTTTAGTGAGAAAGTTTGTTCCGATCTTTAGCGGACGAGCTAACTACGCGACACACTACTACTGTAGTAGCTAACCATACGGTAGCACTGCCTTGACTAGGAATGGCTCTCTCACTTTTTAGGTGCCGCAAGTCAATACCTCACCTCAACTCAACTCACTGCCGTACTGTACTACTAAGTAGCTAGCTAGTAGTAGTAGTAGCATCACACACAAACACTGAAGACAGCAGAATCTAGAGGGCATCGACTCGCAAACGTGTTGGTGTAGGTCAAGGCAAGGAGGCACAGGATTCAAGGCAATTTATAGAAAAGAAGCGAACGAAGCGAAAGACGACAAGTCAAGTTAACAGTGTGTCATGAGACTTTCGCGTTCACCGATGCCTTCCTTAGGCTTTCTGCTGCTGCTATTACTGCTGATCAGTGCCACGATGACAGCCGAAAGTCGACTACGAGGTCCTCGTAAGAATCGTACCGGTATGCACAAGAAACGCAAAAACACGAAAATGAACGAAAAGTGGGCATTGCTCTACGAAACGCCAGAGGCGCTCATTCCTGCAGAAGAAGACGAAGAAGCTACACAAACTCGACTGCTCCAAGATGAACTCGGAACGCTGGAAGGACTCGGAGGAAATCCCGGTCCAGAACACATGCCGCTAGGATTGTGCCAAGGAGATTGCGACGAAGACTCGGATGTAAGTTCGGACTTTTCTGGGTCTGTCAGCTGATCGACTCGAATCGACTCGAATCGAAATCGACTCTGACTGATCTTCCAATTGACTTACGTTGTTGCTCTTGCTCGCTGCAAACGTTTCAGTGCGGCGTTGGCTTGTTTTGCTTTCAGCGTGATCCTCAAATGGCTGTCCCTGGTTGCATTGGCGGCGAGGAAGAAAACTCAAGGACCGATTTCTGCATTCCTGATCCTGAAGCGCAAGTGACAAGCTCTCCGGCTGCCGATGCCACCGTACCCGCAGATCCTCCGACCATGCAACCTCTGTCAGACGAACCCTCTGCTAATCCTGTTGGACCTCCCACACCATTGCCAACAGCTGTGCCTTCCTACGCTCCGACACAATCACCCACAACTGAACCTACCGAGGCACCAGTTTCGTTTGCACAGACTCTACCGCCTGCAGCTGCTCCTGTAGCAATGGAAGACATATCAATACCCACACTGCAACCAACATTCGCGACTGATGACCCTACCAGTACAAGTACAAGTACAAGTACAATAGACACGGAGACCGAAATTGAAATTGAAACCGAAATTGAACTTGACGTGGTGGGCAACAATGGGAATCCTTCGTGGGCATTTCCTCTACAGGTGTGCCAGGGTGACTGTGATACCGACGATGAATGTGACGATGGCCTCATCTGCTTCCAAAGAGACCAAGGAGAACCAGTACCTGGGTGCATTGGAAACGACAGTAGTCGAAACGATTACTGTATCCTAGACCCAGATAGAGCACCAACACCATTTCCTACGACAAGTTATCCCACTTCCACACCAACGCTCAGTGCCATCCCAACCATTGCTCCTACAACTATCAAACCAACCGAGAGTTCTCATCCATCCACCAGACCTACAATATCGTCGCCTCCGACCGAATTGCCATCCGACTTTCCTTCGGATGTACCCTCCGATTCGCCCTCCCTCGTACCAACAGAGAGTCCAATGCCAACAGTGTCCGCGGAGCCAACCTCAGCACCAACTTCTTCTCCCACAACATACACTCGAACAGGAGTGCAACTAAAACTGGTAAGCCGCCCGCACACTACTTCAACTCAACAAGCAAGTTGAATGATCAGCGTAAAAAGCAACGGTCTCATCTTGATTCGTCTATTGTTGTTTACAGTATTGGGAAGAAGGATACTTGTGGCAAGATGAAACTATTGAACGAAAGTGTAAGTCACATTTTGCTTTTGGAGCTTTACATGCGGTAACAGAAAATGCGATACTCAGATTGACATGCTTCTCTTTCTTATTTTTGTTTGCTCAGGGTGCATGATCTCGGACTATCATGGATTTCCCGGGACAGGGAAATGCTGGCATGGGTTGAAAACCGAGCCTTGCCATTCCGATATGGTGTACGTAGCACGATGCGACTCTGATACCCGACAACGATTTTCCATTTACCCGATGCCTGGAGGCACCCAGTACCAAATAGGAATCTACCAAAAGAATGCGTGCTTGGAACGGCTGGAGTATTCTCTTGTATTGAGAGAGTGTGATTATCTGAATCCTCTCCAACGATTTTGGATTCCCCGTGGCGCGCTGTTTCAAAAACGATTTGAATTGTCCCCGATCACGCTCGCTAACCATTGCGTGACCCAATCGCATCATCCCAAGAGCGGAGAAGTCGTGGAGCTACACAAGTGTAGCCGTGCTAGATCAGACGAACATCAATCTTCTTTCTGGAATGTCCACTAGTGTACGGTGCGATATCGGGGCATGCAGCCAGAGGTTTCAAGATGATGGAGCATGCTGGTGGGAACTAGACTACATGCATGATGGAATGTCATGCGACCTCCAAGGTCTTCGGTTACGGTTACAGGCAATAGTTCTGGGATCACTCACTCACATCTGTGTACCTCCTCGGTGTGAGAATGAAAATGAGGAGAAGAATCATTCATCGTGCAAGCAATTGAATAGCAATGGTATATACAGGGACCAATTGAATTGATGCACAAGTAAATGATACTACGTGTTGCAAAGCAAGCTTAGTATACTATAAAGTACCAGTATGCATTAATTTTCTAAATAACAAAATATAAAAAGAATCTAAAAACCTAGAAACAATTAGACTACATGTATTTACCAGGTAATTGACTTTACGCTTTTTGTGATGCTTTCCCAATTCCCCCTCGCATTCTAGGATGTGTCGTTCCAGGAGGGCAATGGTGTCCCCAACCTCTAACTGGCGCTCCAGCCGTTCCTTGACTTGGATGGCCGCCGTTTCCTTGGCAACAGCATTCGCGAGGTTTTCGACCAGTGCAGAAAGAGTTGGAGGAATTGGGGACTCAAGCTCAAGCAAGGCTGGATCAGCTATGAGGCTGTTGAGCTTTTCCAATAGCATCACCAAGAACACCAACTCCCCACAGCCGTCCAGCCCATCTTCCACGTCCAACCCAGCTCCGATGGCCTCAATATCGTTCTCCAGTTTAAAAGTACGAAGCTTCAAGGACTCCACCAGGCACCCTGTGTACTCTTGCTTCTCCGTTTCAGCTTGAATCTTCAGCTTGAATCTTGGCCCGTGTGGCCGCTTGCACGGCATCTTCCGCCTCTTGGATCCGCTGGTTGAGAGCCGCTGCAGTCTCAGTCCCAACGTCTTCTCCTTCCAGCTCTTCTTTGGATCGTTTGAGAGTCTTGAGGACTCCTTCGTCATCCTCATCGTCATTGTCTCGTCGGACAATGTGAGATGTGTGATGCGTGAGCGAATGACATGACCAATGACAAATGACAAATTCAAAACATACAGTACTACTAGTACCAGTACCAGTACCAGTACCATAGTAGACTTACCAGGAAGGTCCCGCAAATAATGAAATAGTTTAATTATAATGAATTCTTGATTAATGTGTTGAATGGTGATGAATGGTGATGAATTCATCACCAGTTTGTTGAATGGTGATTAATGGTGATGAAAATGATTAATTCGTGATGACTGGTGATGAATCGTGATGAAAAATACTACTGTTTTACTATACAGATAATGAATGGTGATGAATGGTGATGAAAATGATGAAACCGTGATGAAATGTGATGAATGGTGATGAATTCATCACCAATGTGTTGAATGGTGATGAATGGTGATGAAAATATTTAATTAGTGATGAATTCAATTCCAGATTTTCATGTTTCGCAGGACCTTCCAGCAAGATCCTTTTGGGTACGCAAGACCACTTGCTCTTCCTCTCCGCCACCATTGTCATGGTCAACTCCCGTCTCTTCCTCCATTGCTTGCAAAGTGTTTTCGCTTTTGTGTCAGGTAATCTTTTGGCCGGATCGTGGATTTTTTCTTCTGTCTCCTGTCTCCGGCCTTTTAATTAATGAGGTCCCGAAACGCAATGGGGCTCTAGCAGCTGCTCTGGCTACCGGGGTCTCTATTAATAGCTAGCTACAGTCGTACTGTACCGGTACCGTAGCTCTAGCTAGGCAAGCTGCCACGGAAGCCATTGGTTAAACGGAAATAAAGGGGAGTTTCAAGGAAATGTGCTTCCAGAGCTCGTACTAACTGTATCCATACCCGGTGGTATCGTAACAGCGTGAACCAAGACGGGCCACGGCCGACACGGAATCAATCCACTTCGAATTCACAACTACACACATCTACTGTACTACGGTAGTCTACAGCAAGGATAGATGGCGCAATCAGCTACATGTACTACATTACTAGCCAGTAGTAGTTCAGAGCTTTTCGGATCTTCACATTGGCGGCTGCATGGTTGCCTCGGCTGTCGCGATCAAAGCTTCTGCCTGCGCGATTCGATTCGGTCGTCCCAACGTTTCACAACTCAATTATCGGATACACGGGGGCAACGTGGATCGGTTGGCCATGTATGCATAGTATGTATGTAGCCTCGGATTTCAGCTTCACAATTCCCCAGGCATTGCACCAATGTTGCCTTGACAAGTTCCCTCGTACTCTGTGCATCGCTGAGAACTGCATCAGCCAGGATCAGCAAGAGCAAGGTTGGAGGTTCGCTGGTTCAGGGCATCAGCCTCCGCTTCCAACTGAGCTATCAACTCATCCACTTGTGCCTGCTTTGCCTGTTCAGCTCTAGATTTGTCATATTTGGCCGCTTTGATTGCATCTTTCTGTGCATCCATCTCCTCTTTCGTACGAAGGACCTCCATTGCTGCTAGTACCATACCGTACCGTCCTGTATTGCCAAGCCTTCGCGAGTTGATCTTTTGGCAGGATTGTGAGCAGAGAGGAATGTTGTGAAACTACGAAAAGGCAACCTGGTACTTAGACAGGTTAAAGGCACCGTAAAGTACGGGGTAAGGGGTCTCTAGCTAGTCTCTAGCTACCTGTACGAGAACATGCAGCTAGCTAGCCACGAGCTAATAGACGATGATAGAACGGAAGCCACAGAGTGCTCTGGCTAGACGATGACAGAACTGAAGCCATAGAGGCGGTCTATGGTCAGGATTTGGCTCAAGGCGCAAGGAAAGAGTCGAGTCCATTTGGTATTTATTTTGCGTCTCAATCTTCTGCCTGTATCCTCCACGTTTTGTTTTCTGTTGTGGTGTGTTGTACTGGTAGCTACTTGTTCAAAGTGGAGGCTTTGATTCGTTCTTGGAAGGAATGGATGAATTGCTGTCTGCAAGAACGGTTATACCTGTAGCGGTACTGGAGAGGCTGCTGTCCGGAATGGTTGGTTGAGGAGGACCAGAGGGGGCTTGAGTCCATTGATCAAGCTGCCAAGTTTGATCACTACACACTGTAAACAGACAGGACAGAGAGGTAAATGCAAGAACATGAGATCATTTCTACCGTACGCATCCCGGTACCGGTAGGATGGCTGGAGTGAAATATGTACAACTTCTACAGCAAGTGTGTCCACGGCGTACCACATGGAACATATGGGAAGGAGCTGTCTTGGTCGCATACGACCCAAAAGTATGCACGGCAACACCCACCCCCACACGAGTTGGTAGTCGCGCAGTCTTTGTCTGCATTGGGGCTTTGCTTTTGATTGGATCTAAGGTTTTCGAAGGGAACACAGGGCTTTCTTTCCATGATACCATATGGATTCCAGTAGGGGTCATCTGGCGCGAAGAAGTTGGCTGCTTGCAAATGTCGTGGTTTGGTGGTCCCCTCGTTCTTCTTGCTGCTTTCCGAGGAGACTGAAACTCCAGCTTTTCCGTGGCTACGAGTACACCAGAGGATCCATGCTGTCAAGATGATCCAGGCACAGTAGATTGGGAAGATCCTTGCGGTGAGAAGAAGACTGAGTGATCGCAGCATCATTTGACTTTTGTTGTGTGAAGTTCGGCGCAACTATAATTTCTGGCTGAGACGAGGGACTGCATTCGATTTGCCGATACCGGAACAGTCGAGGGAATCTGGTGATCCAGTGGGCACCACTAACCGCGGGAGTTGGCGTCAAAGTTCCGTGTACTGCTAGCTAGCTATAGTCGCCCGTGACAGTCACCCCTCCGTGTCTCATCGATCCATTGATGAGTTCCAAAGGACACGAATGCGTCCCGGTATCGTGTCCTCTTCTAGCTAGCTAGCGCTGCAACACTCCTCCTCAGCTTGCTGTTCCAACAGAACGCATCCCGATCTCTTCCCGGACACGACCAAGGCCACCGGTACAGATATTTCGAGACACATAATCATTGTGACAAACAAACAAACTGCAGGTACGCGACGGTGTCTCTTCATTACTTTATTTTAAAATAAGACAGTTCTCTTTGGGTGCTGACAGATTTTGCCCCTGAATATCATTGAAGTCTGCATGCATACATAATTGACGGTCGTGAACACGCCCAAGGATGGCTCCGTAGTTGGTCTAAGATATTGGCTAAAGATATTATATAGGTTGCATGGATTCAAATGCTGTATAACCCTTTCTACGTACTTTTATGTTATTTGGTGTGCAAAGTTTAGTTATTTTTTTAATGATTGATTGCTTGATTGATATACAGACATGAAGTGAGTGTCATGAAGAACAGCAGCATCGGCGGCAGCGGCGGCAACATCCTTGCTCTTGCCTGCATGCCCATGAATGCGAGGGCGTGGGCGAAAGAGAGACAGATACGGTAGAGAGATGCTCCAACTTTTACACGATCTCTTGTCTTGGTGGTGGTCGTGGTTCGTCCATGATGGCAGGTACAACGTCGGCAGGTGGTCTTTTGCGTACCGCCGGAGGAACCCTGGGTGGCCCAGTCACCGGAAAAGGAATATTGTCGGTTCTATCTTCCACGCCTGAGATCAATGGAGTATTAATAGCGCCGTCGTCCAATATTTCTGCTTCCATAATAATGTTCTGGTCTGGTCCTCCTTCGATGGGTGGTGGCAATGCGGTTGTTACGTCTAGATTAACGTTGATGCGATGGTACCCCCCTTGCGGTCCTTCTTCATCTATCAAGAGCACCATGTTGAGTATTCCTTCATTGGTGGCAACGAGCTGTACTAGTCCCGAGTTCCACTGTCCATCGACATGTAGTTGTAGTTCGGTGCGTGATTGTGTGTCTCCATTGATGGAAGTGGTGGCGGAAGATTTTGAAAAGGGATGATCCAACCTGAGTGGCAAGCCCAGAATATCGGCACAAGCGGGATCTTGCTCTAGTAGCAATTCCGCGTCATCGTAAATGGCATTAATGTCAACCTGTTCATCTTGCAGCACCATGGTCCTAAAGTTGGCATCAGGTCCGGGTCCCGGTCTGGCTTGTTGCATCTGATGCGGAAGTTGCTGGTGTACTGGTACAATAGCGCCACTATGTACATCGTGGTGTTCTTGTGTGGTGATGGATCTCTGAGTGGTTCCGTAGTCTTCTTGGCGAACATGACTGAGGTAAGTGTGTTGATAGTAGTCTTGGTCATCTTCGTACTGGTATCCCTTCTCGTAGTGTCTTCCGTGATGGTCTCGGTCATATTCAGATCTCTCGTAGGAGTACCGGTATTCCAAGGCGTCGTCTTGGTCTTGATCAGCATAAGGAGCATAATAGTCTCTGGGTTGGTGGTAGAAATCATCGTGTTCATGTTCATGTTCATGTTCATGTTCATCTACCAGTACTGGGTAATGTTGGTGGGCATGATGATCGTTGTAGCGAGAATGGTACAAGTCTTGATGATGCTGCTGATGCTGATGCTGATAGTGGGGTTCATGTTCATGTTCAGGCTCAGGCCAATAGGGGTCTTGGCGTCGCACTCTCACTGGTCTTGGCCGTTCCAATTCAAATTCATCCAAGCGGTTGTCTGCTGTCATGGGCGAGAGTCTCCTGCTGCTGTGACTGAAAAACTCATCTTCGGATCTTCCAAGCGTTCTTCGTAGCGCGAACAGAGAGACGCCGGTTCTTCTATTAATAGTGCTGCTGCTACTAGTACTGATCTTGGTCAATGCCGCGGGAGACCAGGCTTCCGCCAGCAAAGCCACGCCGCACAGAGACAACAAAAAGGAAACAGAAAAACGCAGCATCTTGACCTCCTTTCTGAACTCTGAACCTCCTTTCTTTGCTCCTTCAGGTTTTAATTTAAATAAAAAAGTAATGGCAGCGAGAAAAAAGAACTGTTGACCTGCTGGGCTGTTGCTGTTGTTGTTGTTCCTTCAGTTAGTTGTGAATGACCTTGCTTGACCTGACCTGACCTGACCTGACTGGTAGCAATGATATTGTGCCCACAGCCATAAAAACACAAAATGCGGAGGGTGCGGAAAGATAACACCTCCGTCTTTCTCCATTCTCGCTTCTGTCAGCAATTTCGAAATAGACACGTCATCGTGTGCGTGGCTTAATGACGTTAATTACGTCAGGCACATATAAAACGTCAGAGCCGTAATATTATGCATAAGAAGCACCAAAGACCGGACCTGCGCTCTTTCGTCCCCTGGCCCTTCAGCATTGCCCTGCTTGCGTTCTTTTGTTGCCACCATGCTCGTCCTATTTTGGGGTTAAAGATTACCTGAGTTTTGCGGCACAGTGAAGCTGGTACCGAAACACCAGGTAGCAAACAGAAGAGAAGACATACTAGAGTGATCTGGGCTTTACGACCCACCGTTTCCCGGAATACTCTCTTCAGGGCTGTATATCGAATATAGTACATGTAAAGAGGGGAATCGATAGAACACATGTTGCTGAGTAAGCCAAAAAATTCTCATCTTCATACTGTACTTATTGGGGGAGTTATGGGCGGTTGAAGATATGCAGTCAACGGTCATCGAATTCTTTTGGCTGCAGATTAAGACCGAATGACGTCAGTCGTGCCTCTAGTACTGAATCTACGTAGGATCCTACGTACGCACCTCTATCGAGTGAAACACCACGACGCACCTCTATCGAGTGAAACTCCGTATCTTTCGCACCTCTATCGTTGCTTCGCACCTCTATCGTCTATCGTCTCTTCGCACATGCATAAAGCACCTCTATCGAAGCACCTCTATCGAAGCACCTCTATCGACACTCCTTCTTTTATCGTTCGTCTACCGACACTCGTTCCTCTCAAGATGGCCGTCACATGTAGCCGATAGTACTGAGTCTACTAGCACCGCAACTCCTTTTCTTCTGCACCTCCACGGTCCCAAAGCACCTCTATTGAAGCAGCTACATGTATTGAAACACATGGGCAGCACCTCTTCTAGCTAGAGGGTTTCCAAGCACCTCTACCGGTATTTACTACTAGCTAGCTAGCTACTCTGGTTAGGTCTTAGGTACCGGTACTATAGAAATTACTGTACAATCCCAAGAATATTGCGCGGGCCTTAATGCACTGCAGGTCTTAATACCCAGATCACTCTAGTACATGTGCATGTAGCAACCACATCGGCTTCAGCCTTCTAGGAAACACCATACCACAACCACAGCAGCCGCTGCTATTACTCGAGTACTCGTACACTGTATCTATTGCTATCTGCACCATGCCGAGACGGGGGCATGCCAATACCGGTACCGGTAGCAATGCTAGCAACAAAAACAACAAGAAGAAAAAGAACAAGAGAAGGATGTTTGCCAATGATGATGTTTGGATCCAAGGCATTCTATCTTTTGTTGGCTTTGGACAGTACGCCTTTGTAGGAGCAGTCAACAAAAGGATGAACCGATTCTACAAAGCCTACTGTGAAATTGAACTCAAGAAAAACCCGAGGAAGGTAAAAGATAACCTTGGAGATTATTTTATTTCTCTCACGCGCTCTGCAGAAATCACCGATACTCTTTGCAGCGAAACATTCTGTAACAAGCCACGTGCAGAATACTGGCTCAGGGACAATTCCGACCATAAGAAACCTGACGATCGTCGTGTTTGCAATGCCATTGCCAAAATTGGAAGTCATACTGTCATGCACTGGGCACGAAAACAGGGATTCCCATGGAATGAAGGCACATGCTTTTTTGCTGCTAAAAATGGACATTTGGAATTGCTCCAATGGTTAAGAGAGAATGGTTGTCCATGGGATCATTCGACGTGCTCAGGTGCGGCTAAAGGTGGACAATTGGAAGTTCTAAAGTGGGCTCGTGCAAACGGTTGTCGATGGAATTGGAAGACATGTGAGTACGCTGCTGAAGGTGGGCATTTGGAAATTCTCAAGTGGGCTCGTGAAAATGGTTGTCCATGGACATCAGATACATGTGCCTATGCTGCTGAGAATGGGCATTTGGAAATTCTCAAGTGGGCTCGTGAAAATGGTTGTCCATGGAACATATTCACGTGTTCCGGTGCTGCTCAAGGTGGACATTTGGAAATTTTGATGTGGGCTCGTGCAAACGGTTGTCGATGGAATGCATGGACATGCTCAAGTGCTGCTAGCAATGGACATTTGGAAATTCTAAAGTGGGCTCGTGCAAACGGTTGTCGATGGAATGAAAGGACATGTGCTGAAGCTGCTTCCAAAGGACATTTGGAAATTTTGAAGTGGGCTCGTGCAAATGGTTGTCCATGGAATGAAGAGACATTTGAAGCTGCCGGGCTAAGCTATAGCGGCAACAACAGTGCAGTGATCCAGTGGCTACGCGACAATGGCTGCCCTGGGTCTCATGAAGATGATGAAGGACACTAATAAGCATCGTCCCAGCATATGCATATCGCACACGTAGTAGGTAGTCCAGGCTAGCTAAAACTAAATTTCTTTATATGTTAGTACGGTATCGATGCCCGCCTGTCTAGACACCCAAGAAAAGACAAACTATAGATAGAAACCAACTCCAGTCACAAATCCACCACCAAGACAGCATCGTATCGTATCGTATCGTATCGTATCGTATCAATACAGAAACTTGACTAAAAAGCCAAAGCAAACCAATCACTCCAAAGCAAAAGACAAACACAATTAAAGGACGGAATCAGAAGGAGCTACCGTAGAACTTGATGCCTCAGCCTCGACGCCTGTTCTTCTGACGCATGCCCGCTTGATTCTAAAAAACTAGTCACCTTGTTGCCTATGCCTGCACACTCTGGCTGTCTGCCTTCCTTCCTTCCTTCCTCACTGTAGCTAGCTTGCCACAGCGTACCATACCAAAGTGAAGCAAATCCATAGGAGGAACTCGCCTCCAACAAAACCTACCAACGAGTGGTATTTCCTGGAGCTGCTGCTGCTGGAGTGGGGCCCGGTGTGGCGGACAACATTGTAGGAGGTTCTGTAGGCGGAAATGTCGGGTTGGGAGTGGGCATTGGGGATGGAAACGGGGTAGGAAAGGGGGTGGGAATCGTGGGAGTGGGAGCTCGAGTCCACGCTTCTGATGGCCACGTATTGGAGGCGCACACTATTATGAAATAGCCGAGAGAAGGAAGCAAAGTTGAGACGTAAATAACTGGATCAGAAATACTATTGCAATGGGAAAGTGGTGCAATTCGAAGGTGATCGTTCAGTGCCGTACTCACCGCAGGGGACATAAGCAAACGAGCTATCACCATCGCATCGGAGCCAGAAATATGCTCTGCAACAAGATCCGCCCCCTCCGCACTGACCCCCTCCTGTCACGCAATCTTGATCTACGAGTGCGTTCGTCTTCTGGTCATCGCGCAAGTTTTCAAAAGGGACACATCTCTTTCGCTCCATTACTCCAAATGGATTCCAGTACGGGTCGTCCGCGGGGAAAAAGCTATCAGCTTGGGCTCTTCGTCGAAGCTGGCCAGGCTCCGTCCACCCGTCAATGTGATCCATACTGCTAGTGTCTTCGACGACTTCTTCTTTCGGGGGAGGAAGCCGCATAAAGTCGAGTTTGTTCTCGTCGGCAACATCATCGCTGGCACTAACGACGCTGGCAAAGATTAGGTGCCAAAACACCAGTAGAGACAGGAAACCGCTTTGCTTCATCATCGTGGCTGGCGACTTTGGACTGTCACTGGAGGGAGAAAAGGTCGATTGTGAACCAGAGAAATTTCAAGCAAGCATCTCGGGAAGCAATGGCTCACATGAATTTTGCGAGCCGCGCACCTGGAATAGTTCAACTGCAACGGATGTTGCTTTGCCAGATGATCGTTTTGTCCTTGTGCAGTACGATCAGGTGCGCTCTCATTGCGCACCTCCGTCTTCCTCGAATGTTCGTTTCGGGGCTGCGTTTGGGACTTCAGCGCGCTCGGTGGCTCCCGTAATACGTGTACTGGATTGACCACCTCTTGTGTTTGGCAAGGATCATGGGCTCACTGGCTCTAGTAACGCGGTGGTACCGGTACGAACAACCCCTGCCAAAGCGAAGCATCAGCTCAAACCAACAAGGGCAAGGTGTGATCGTTCTACTGGCACGGTATGAGTTATTCCAGAGTATATCCAGCTAAACTATAACCTGCGCCCCAGTGGACGCTCTCATCACTTGAGGAGCGTTACGGTGACGGCCCATCGATCCCCTTCCGTTAAAGTCCATAATGCGTCCTCCTCGTCTCCGCTCTTGCGTAAAACTCTCCGAGATCTCTCTCTGATGGTTGCTTCTGCTGTTGTCCATGCTCAAACCAACGGAGCTCTCACCTAGCTGGTTACTTTGGTACTCCATGCTGTACTTTTGGATGACGAGGCCTAGAATCTCTTTTCCTTTTGCTTCCCACTCTTTTCTGTTGGACAAAGCACATCGCAGATAGTCACTGTTCCAAGTGCCAAACACTTCGGAATCCTGCAATTTTCTGGCCAAAGGAATCACTTGGGATTCAAACTTGTCCAACTCGGCTTGGTACCAACCGTCTGCTGGGTTTTCTTGTGTACGGCCTTCACGAAAGGCCATGTACTTCTCCAAGAAACGCTTCTGTGACCATTTGCAATATACGTGCCAATGTTGCGTGTATTCCGACAAACTCACGAGCTGCATTATGTGCTCGATGACAGCAGTAACTCGGTACTGCATAACAGAGTCATTGGTTGCGACACCGGCTATTTCGAATGCTTCCTTCCAGTGTCGCTGCATGTCTTCTTGGCCTCCCATCAAATCCGTTGCCAGCACAGCGTGCGCAAGAACCGAACGAAAGTGGCGTATTTCGGCTTCATTTGAATAGATGCATCGCCGAAGGTCGCGGAAGCTTGGATCCATCAGAGCTTGCCATGACATTTCGAGTGCATTCTGCTGGTTCACACTACGATGATTGTAAAGATCTGCCATGAAAGCATTTTCCCTGCTGAGGTCTTGGTTCGACACGCCTCTATGGTCCACGTCGCAGATTAATGTGGCCAGCATGAGAGCAAATTGAGTCAAGGGATGGTTCCTTATCCTATCGGTGCCCGTTGCTCTTTGAGTTGAACGAATCGAACCATTGTTAGGGTCCGCTAATCTTGGTAGCAGCTTTTGCATTGTCATTGTGACATGACTGGCTCGCTCAAACTGTATCATGTCGAAAGATAGAGCACTGCTCCTGAGATTTCTGGTTTAAAATTGCCAAACACGCGCCTCGCACGTACTGAGTGACTTACATTGGAATAGGGGTTGGTACGACGATAAAGCGTGGATATGATTGTAACAAAATCAAACATTTGACTTTCGATTTTCGTTCCCAGCTCCACTTCGGAATAACCTTTGCCGTTGTTATGGCAAGGCATTTCAATAGGTTCTTGAAACTCGGAAATCACAGATCTGGTGGTGCCGAGCTCTTCTTCCAGCTTTGATATTTCGTCCATTCGAAGGCGCGGCTTCTTGCTTGCTTCGCGCTTTCCAACCACCAATCGCAGAACCTGAAGCAAGGCTTCGGAATTCCAAAAGACGAGGCGTTCGACTTTGTCGGCGGAAGACTGAGACCGGCGTGCCGCCGGACTGAGCAATGTCGCAGACATCCTTCTCCCGCGTGTGGATGCCTTGGTGTTGGTATTTTTCTTGGACAGTGTTGAGTTACTGGCGTCCAAAAGTTCTGTGATCGGCACGCGATGTAATTCAGACATGCTCGCTTCAAAGATCCTGTTGTCGGCTGGGGCTGGAGCTGTGTTGGAGCGCCGAGTATGGAACGTGGCACTAGGCGATACAATAAAAAGCACTGTGTGGGCAACATGCTGCCCTAGTGATGACGTTGTAAGGGGGGTGACACGCAATTTCCTGGTCTTACCTGCTGCCGTCCACCAATGAATTGCGAAAGGTGGAAGCTTTGGATTGAAAGAACCCCAGAGATCGCTTTGGCAACAACCAATAAGTTTCAGAATCCACGTCAGTGTTGCCATGTCTACTACGATGCCGAACCCAGGCTCCGTGCCCAGCATCTCTGATGAGATCTGCGGTTTCTTTGGAAATATGAATCCTATCAGCTTGGCCCTCTTGTTCGAGCTCGGCGCATCGTGATACTGTCATTCCAAAAATCTGGAACCTTGCACGCTCCCCACGCACAACCCCAGCCAAGACTGGCCCCGAAGCCAATGCCAAGCGTACCCCCAAGTCAGATGTATCCGGGCCTAGCGTCACCTCTAGCTTATTGCTGACCTCAATGAACTCATCCAATGCGTCGCGGGCAAAATGAGCCATGACTGTAGCATGGTCATCGCGTTGTTCTGCAACCGAAATCAAACGAGTAGATTAGTCTTGATTGGTGAGGCAGCAAGTCACCGAAAGCGGTGACGATGATGGATTGATTGCTGCGTTTACTTACTGGGCAGGCCCGCTGCTGCAATATATGTATCCCCCACGGTTTCCACTTTGTAGGCGCCTCTTCTGGTTGCGATTTTATCAAAGGTACTAAAGACAGCCTCGAGCAACGTGAAGATTTCGGATGGATCTCTGGAAGCACTCCAAGCCGAAAACCCCGAAATGTCCGCAATACAGACGGTACAATTGGGGTACAAGTCGGCGTATTTGTCTCGTTTCCCCCATAGATCTTCAATTTCTGGGTTGTCTCCTCCCGGTGATTTGACCGCTTTTTGTACCTCTGAGTTGAAGAGTCCGAGTTTGTCGACGTTGACTTCCCCTTCGACGTCGAAGAGTTTTTCTCGCACAGCTTCTGGGAATAATGATGCGATGATGGCTTTGGATCGTTTTGCCTGTGCTTGTGTATCTCGTTGATGTGCGTCCGTCACTCGATGGTGTGTGAGCGTGAGGGCTCCCACGAGTACAAATACAAAAAAGACGAGAGCTAGCAAGTGCGTGACGGTGGTATCGGAGCTGTAGTACCACTTCATTCTTCCCGTTGGATATACGGAGAGTGTCAAGCTACACGTCCAAGCAGCGCCCATTTGTGTGCGGTTGTCAATATGTAGATTGTCGGGTGCATTGTATCCTCCGAAGGACGAGAGTACGTACTGCTGTCCAATGTCTTCGTACTCTGGTATATGTCGATCTCCTTCCCCGAGCAATGTGACTCCGGTTTGATCGGCAAAGTATGTATATTCGTTTCCACATGAGTTTGTTAGTACGAGAAAAACACTTGCCCTGGACTGTGTTTCGGGTATTATAATGTCAAGGAAGTGTATATCCCATGGAACGGTTGCGAACACGTGTGCCACGATTTGTCTTGTGGATTGATTGAATGAGTCAAATACGGGTTGCACAATGAGTGATTGTGGTCGTTGTGCTTGGAGTTTTCCACCGGATTGCCACAATCGTTCTCCAACAAGTTCTGATGTGAATTGTAGTTCTGAGGTCACCACTTGTTTTGATTTGTAGGATGCTTCAATGATGTGTTTGAGTCTGTTATTGGAAAGTATATTGTAGTTGACTCTGGAAGTGGTTTGGTACGAATCAGGCAGTGGCAGTATGTGCCACGCGGGTGAGAATGGCCCCGTGCCATTGTGTGCAATGTCTGCAGTGTGATTGTCTCGGTTGTAAATGTATGGAGGTATTTGGTATGGATAGTTTTTGTTTAGTGTGACTTTGTGTTGGTTGTGTACAGCGTAGTATTCCCATGCGGGTCTGTCCAGGTCGGATACCAATGGCGAGTATATGAGTGAAGCATTGTCTAGTTGTATAAAGTCTTGAGCGACGTCCCGGAGGGATTCCAGTGTGTAAAAGGGCCATCTGGTAGGATGTTGGTTTTGGTTTTGGTTTTGCATGGAAGCAGTGGTGATGGTCCGACTGAGGCTTCTGAGTATACTTTGAATGCTTTGAGATCGTTCTCTGGTGACATCTAGAATGTCCTTGCTTACATCTTCAAACTATGTCATATTAAAACACAAGTTTCAAGTAGTTGGGTAGCGTGGCGTGGAAGTGGTTGGAGTTACAAGGGTTAGGGTTAAAGTGGAAAAGTTCGAGTTGGTGCGTTTTGGTGTTTGCTTACCGCGATTTCGTACTCTTGGTTGGCTCTGCCTCTGGCCGAGTAAAGAGTGACAGCTGTAATGACGAGAGCTCCCAGACAGAGAAGAGCGATGATTCCATGAATGAGTTTGGACGCTTCAACGATTCCTTCTTCTAGCCACTCGTCGCCTTCGTTGGCAGGAAGTTTGTCTGCCAAATTTTGATTCTTGGAAATCTCGTCTTCGTCGGCCGCGAAAAGAGCCGCGCTGTCCAGACTGGCTTCGTCGCTATAGATCGATATAGAGTCATTGTCGTTGTCGTTGTCATTGTCATTGTCGCCTTCTCCTTCATCGCCCACCGTTATCGTCACGTCCAGAGTTCCAACGGTCTTGGCAGTGCTCGCGGAAAGAGCTTTCTCCTCGTCTGCAAACATTACATTCATCCTACTAGTACCACTCGCTAGCTACGCTGTAGTCTACTAGACTAATAGAAAGGGATTGCCTTTGTCACAGGTATTAGTGTGATGTCGTTGAGTTGGGTTGGGCTAATAAGGATTGGCTTGGCCCTGTCTCCAGTCAATCTATCTCGTTCTTCTCTACTACTAGCTAGTTAGGAGAATTTTGTTGCTTCAGGCTGCCTGCTTTCCTCCAGAGCTCAATCCCAGCTGGATTGCCAATAATGCCTTTCTGGAGCTCTTGCTGGAGACTGGAGACTTCCTCCGGTATTGAAATGGATCAAACTGGTTCACCAGCCATAACTAAAATTGGCAGTTAGTAACTGTTGTACACTGTACTGTCCACAAAATGTCTCTCGCCTGATCTTTATCATCAGACGCCACGTGCATAGTTAAAGACTCGCTGCACCTATTCTTGGATCTAAACCTCGCATTCCCCATTTATTTATCCATCCAAACAGTGCATTGTTCGAATTTGTTCGTTCGAAAGCAAACCAAGAATCTCATCTACAGTGTTTACAGTGCTCTACATTTAAAACAATGTCATGTACTCGAGCAAAAGTAAAAAGTACGCAAGTGAGTAGACTCTACATGTAAGTAAAAAACCACAGCGAGCCAGCTAGCTAATCTCGTCGCAGAAACCACTCACAATCTCGCAACTCCCCACTGCCCACACAGGAAATTTCAATCTGGCCAGTCAGCAAAAGCCAAGCTGGGAGTTTAACGGACCAAGTCTGCAAGCCTTTCGCTGGAGATGATGATGCCGATCTTCTGCCTCTTTGTGGTTTAGAGGAAGCTTGTCACCGTAGCAGATGGGAGCTGCCTGAGCAGGAGGCAATTATTTTTTTGATTGCGCACACCGACAGGCCAGAGGGAACGAACAAATTCAAGCAGCAGCACGAACGCAACAAAATGAATTTGCCATAGGATGAGCATGAGTACTAAGCAGGAGGATATGGCTGATTGTTCAGGCTTCTAGATAAGATGCAACACGCCATCTAGCTACCGTCCGGTAGCTAGTACCCACTCGTTAAATGACCACCCTGGCATTACACTGGGCCTGGCTAGCCACAACAAACAATACATGTACGGTAGAGGACACAATGAGGAGAAAAGTGGAAGAAGCAAATTCCAAGCAAATAATGATAGACTATTGGATGCGATTCAGCCAGGGAAGGCCAGCTCCAGCTAGAGGAAGGCAATTGAGGCAAGAGATCCACCCCACACTGGCTGACTGGCTGTCACTCTCCCGGACACACTTTTTGGCCTTCACGAATCGAATCGAACAATCGTTTACGTAATAGCTAGTAGGTCCTGGTTGGTTTCCATGCCCAAGCACAAGTACCACCAGGTATGTACGCAGGGCACTTCTCGGAAACATTTATTTTTGCACGGAGAGTTTTGGCGTTTTGGCTCCTACTTTTGAGCCAAGAACGAAACTTGATGGCTACCGGTACCACCAAGCTACTGGAGTAGCTACAAAGCTATTGCTAGCTGATTGGCTGCAGCTGCATGTCAAGGACGAGCCGCATCGTAACATTGTAACCGTACTAGCTAGTAGTCTACCGGTACGAACAAGGTCGTTGGTGGGGTGCAATGATGCAATTGCTGCTTCCGTGCTACTACTAGTACCTGGTATCGTGCCCAAAGACAAGGTCTAGCCGAGACCAGTACCGCCGATAATTTTTAAAGTTCTTTCTCTGGGCATAACCATGACTGTCTATGGTCTATGGTCTATGAACCTTTCGCGTGCGTCATCATGCATGCCATGGCATATGACATGATGTAATAAAAACTTGGCCACCGCATCGCCTGAAGCGGGCTCAAGCGCTCTGATCCAAGCAACGCACGATGAAATAAATGGTCAGGTATGCAGACTACCGGTACCACTAAGATCTAGTACTCTGAGTAGTACCGTACTATTAATAGTATGGCATTGGCCCTCCCACAAAGTGAAGAGCAGGGGAAGTACAGTCGTATGTCTTCTTCTTCCGAGTTCTGAACTATAAACATGCGTACAATGGTCAAAATTCACTGGCTCATGCCAATGATCAGTCTGATGAATCGAATCGAATCAATGGATCTTCCGGCTAGCTAGCTAGTAGCTTCTCGATTCTTCTTGTACTGTTGCTGTTGGATGAATCTTGCGTTGGTTGCGTGCACGCTCAGCGTCTTCTCCGCCATCTCTCGCCCCCTTATTTCTTATTTCTTGGAAAGTGAGACGGAGGGATTGAGAGCAATGCGAATCCTTGGTTCATAGTATAGAATGAACGTACTGAACCTATCTGAAGCTTCCAAGGTAAAGCCAGAGAAGAAGAGAGGTTCCGTTTAGTTATATCTTTGTCCCTCCTTAGGTTCACGTCTTTATGTCGAAAAGCAAGTTTGAATGACTTGATAGTTAAATGAAGCAGGACCCAGCAATCGAGATGCCAAGTATGTTAAGTATCGTGTAGGCAATAGTATTAGTGTGCAAGACCGTCTTGTTGTGAATGTGTGAATGGACGGCCATTTCTTGGATCGCTCGTTACGTTAACGTTGTGGTGATTTTCGATGTACCGTGTCTCCTCAATTTACCGAGTGTTTTTATGGTGTTCTCACAAAATCGAAAAGTTGCTTTATACTTTTACCAGACAACACAAAAACAAGGAAAGATGACAGAAGCTACTAGTAGTGGTAGTGGTAGTAGTACTACTACAACAGGCAAGAAGAAACCAAGCCTGCTGGTAGACTACAGCAAGTCTTCTTGCAAAGAGCTGGGAGTGGTCAGGTCTGCTTCAGCTCATGGGATGAGTTTGAGTGGGATGGCAAGAGTACATGCAGGCCACTTGCGAGCTAGCACTGGTTCCATTCCAGTTCCGTCAGTGCGCTCCAGCACTCGCACTGGTACTTCCAGTAGCAGTCGAAGGTTTTTGTTGGGTCGCAATAAGAGCGAATCTCACTTGAAAGGCACCAGAAAAGAAAGACTCATCAAGATTCTAGACCAAGCTACTAGTACTGCTCAAGTACAGTTGCCCTTGCATGTTCCTGCATCTGAGCCTGTACAGGTAGATGCAACTGCTCAAGAAGGCACTACTAGTAGTACTAGTAGAGAAGAAATCACTTTTTGTGTCAAGAGAACCTCTGATCCAATCATGACACACTTGGGAGACAGCAGTGCTGGTGGAAGCACTGGTAGAAGCAGTAGCAATAGCAATAGCAATAGCAATAGCAATGACTTGAATGCAAGTTCAGATACTTTGCAAGCTTCAGAAGGATCTCAAGATACTCAAGGCTCAGACAGTACACGCATTCACATTCGAAGGAGACACCTACATGTACAAGAAGACACCACAGGTATACATACCAGCACTGCAATGACTCCAATGATGTCATGCAGTGCCACAATCACCATGCCCAAGAGAAGCTACCATTCTCTACTGGACACTAGTGTGCACAGCACCTTTTTGCCCTCCAAGAACAACCCCACCAGGATTTTCAGATCAAGGTCTTCAAGGGTGGCTAACAGATCCCACAGCATCAGCAGGAATGCCGTGCAAAACATCAAGGGAACTCAAGACACTCAAGATGACCTTATTACTAGTAGTAATAACCTCAATGTATCGTCTTTGGCAAACTGCTACAGCTACAGCTACAGCTACAGGCAACCAAACAAAAATGAAAATACTGAAGAACCCGTTCCTCGCACTCCTCATTCCAAAGAAGATGAAGAAGAAGATGATGGAGACAGCTTTTGCAATGACTCGTCTTGTGAGCGATCGGCTCATCCTCATGCCCATTCCCATGCTCATGGACACAACAACAACAACAATGTCACGCAACAAGTCAAACCTGCCAAGGACCTGGTGGATCAACTTCATAACGACGACATTCCCCTAGAGATCACCACCAGCCCCAAGACCAACAAGCGAGAAACCAGGCGTAGTGCCATGACACGGCAAAAGTCGCAGCCACTTCTATTGCCACGTCAACGATCTTTCAAGGACCTAAAGGCATCCAAGCACAAGGCGAAGACAAGACCTGTATTGGCCAAACAGGGATCATTCACCACCAGGCAGGCAGAGTTCGCTGCTTTGGAAGCAATCATGGGAAAAACAAGGTTGCCCAACAACACTTCTACATGTACTACTGCCAGTACCGGTAGAAGAACCAAACTCAGACGATCCCAATCACTCGAAGGAAGTGGATTCACACCCTCTTCTCCTTCTACTACTTCTAAAAGTACCATGGACACTACTAAAAGTACCATGGACACAAGCAAATTTGAACGACGACCCATTGGACTGGTCAGCCCTGCTGCTGCCGTCGCACGCAATGGGTTCCTCCGAAACAGCGGCGGTGCGGCTTCTTCTTCGGCGCAACGAAGACGAATGATGATGCTGGCTAACTCGGGCAAGAAGACTAAAAGAGCTCAGAGCATGCGACATCTCAACAGCAAACCATCATCATCGGCCAACAGCAGCAGCAACAGCAACAGGGATGAGTTGGCAACCACCAGACACAACTCGTCGTCCACAGAACACAACCCCAGACGCGCTTCTTCCATGGACAAACGAGGACACATGCTGCGGCAAGGATCCTTTGTCGCCGGATCTCGCATGAGAACACTCAGAGCATAGAATCAAATACAAATTCAAAATTCAAATAGAAGAAACGAAGAACGGATGGAGAACTAATGACTTGTTAGCTCTACAGTACCGTAATCAACCAGCCACAAATAGACATTGGCATCTAGCAATATTGCTTTGTAGTAATACATGTAGGCATGCCTGCACCCCCGGAACAGAATCTCTAAGTTCTCAAATCGTTGTGACTTGCAATGCGGCGCTGTAGCCTCGCCTTCGGGAGTTGCAGCTACACACATCAGGTACGGTCTGGCCATCCCCAACCTGGCTCTGAGAATTTGAAGTTTGAAGAATAGAAACAAAGTCCAAATAAATTAGCTTGCCTGGGCTGAATGATCGAATCGAATCGAATCTTCGTCTTGCTTCAGACTCCAGTCGTCGGCAACTGTAAGCTGTCACCGTGGTAGCAAAAGACCCTTCTCATGCCTTCGATCGGTTGTAAAAACCACAGCCGCACTGGTACAGTGTTGCCATAGTTTCCGTTTGACACAATGTAGCTGGAAAACAACACAACAAACACGGTTTTTGGAGTTACTACATGTAGTAGCCAGATAGTCAGTCCTGTGTTATGGTCATCAGACTTGGGTATGACATGTGTGTAAAAAGCACTCCCTTTCAACTCAGCGCCAGATTTTGGCGGTAATTTTGTGGAGCACCCTAACTAAAGATCATGGGGCCTGTTTGACTCCCACAGTGAAGTTGAGACATGTTTCACTTCGGAGTGGTGAGCTCAGACTTGATTTTCTGAGTCCTGATTCAAGGCTGTATTTAACGAAGTGACAACCAAGTCTAAGTGTCAGTGTCGTGGATGAAAGTTAGGTGTCAGTATTTTTTGAGGATACTTAGAGGCTTACCCTCCCACGACGCAGTGTTTGCCTTTGTTTGACTTTGCAACGCTATCGGTACATGTAGCTCGACGTCAATCGAAACACTTCCCTTGCCCTCTCCCCTCTCACAAAACAAACTGAACTCCGAGCAGACCCCACACGAAACAAGTCTCCAGCACCACCAATCACCATGATCAACAGAGCAACCACCACCGCCTCTCGTCCGTCCCTTTTGGTGGACTACTCCAAGAACTCGAGCCCTCGCATCGCGAGCCGTGGTTTGTCTCTACGCGGTGCTGCTCAGTCACGCCGCCGGCAACCATTGCCATTGACTCGGTTGGATCTTAGTCTAAGCTCCAGTGAACGATCTGCTTCCAGCCGAGAAGAGGACCCAGAAGAAATCCCTCAGTGGATCTTTGTTCAGGACAAGTCTCCCAGTTCCAGCTGTCATGACGCCAGCAACAGCAAGAACACACCAGTGACTTTCCAGCTTCGCAAGAATCTGGTGGACAGGGACAACTTTCTGAGTTTCCTCAAGGGACACTTTTCCGAATCTGATTTGGACCTGGAGCCGCACGACCTGACTGTGCCACCACAGAAGAAAGCCCAACAAGACAAGGCTGAAGAAGAACCATTGACAAGTAACACATGCCACACCATTGGATCCGTATCTGTTGCTAGCAGGAGAGAAACAAGGAATCGCAGAGACAATCTAAAGAAAACATTCCGAAAGGCTCAGAGCATGCGACAGCTCAATCTAGATACTTCGCCCCTATCACTAAAAGATTCCAACCATGAACAACCCCGGGCCAGGGCGCTGCCATTGAGAAACAAGACCTTTCACGGAACAACCACTACCACAAGCATGGTACCAGTACAGGCGACAGTCACCAGCGCTCCCCTCAAAACGAAAAGAGCAAACAGCAGGGGAAGGCGTGCTGTTCGGAGAGTGCGCACGGCGGATTCGCCTGGAGCCCTCAGCCGTCGAATGGCCTTGGATATGACAAGGGGCAAAGAACCACAGGTGCAACTCCTCAATTCTACTTACTTGCCACAGACGCTACAAGCCAGCAGCCACAACCCAGGGCGTCGCACAATGATGGCAAGACAAGGATCTTTCATCACAGGATCCAGAATCAGAACACTCAGGGCTTAACAACCAGAAACAGACGTAGATCAATAACTGAAATATAAACTTGTACAGATTAAATCAGTTGTCCTTGCGGTCTCTACATGTACTGTACCCGTTCTGTTGGGACCGTGGGTCAGCTCTGTCGGGGTTAGTTGCACAAACCTGTCGCAACCTACCAAAGTTAGGTTGAAGAAGTTATTTTATGCTTCTACATTATGGCACAGCTCGTAACGGATGCTTCCTCCACCACATGGTATGCCATGGTTCCTTTCTTCGCCTCGTCTGCCTTGAACTGCATCAGCCACTTTTTCAATTTTTCAACGTTTCAAAGCGCGTCATGTACAAGCTCAGGGATCTGCCTCTTGTTTCCTGGTAGCCAACTGAGCAGGAACACAATTTCGTCATCCAAACGGTTCGAGTCCACTTTTACAAGCATCCGTGTTGTATAGGAAGGTCCGCCGCTATGCTGTGATGATGACCTAGAGCAGCTGCTAGAGCTATCTTTCTACTAGTACGCTGCAGAGGTGCCAAATCAGTTCCTAGCTAGGTAGCCAGAAGGAACACCCAATGGTAGCTGCCGGTATTGGAGAATCATTTTCCCTTGAATCCAGCCAACCCAACACACACACAATGAAGTCCAAGAACGGTAAGACGAACTTCGTCGCATAGCAAAAGCAGCAACAAGCCTCCATCCCTTGCTTGATACACCAGTCGATTGGATGGCTGGCAAAGCTTGGTGCTGACGTGTTGCAACTGTTGAAGTGAAGCAGAGTAGAACTCCTACTGCTATGACGCTTCCCCAGCAATGTTTGAAGTATGATCTAGGATATGGGGTGATTAGTAATAACACAAGAGAGAAGATACATACATGAATCCACATACTCCTTCCGACTCAACCGGCAGGTTATGACCGTCACCGGAAGGAACCCAAGAAAAGAGAGATCTAGTCTAACTTCCAACTCGAAAAATGTTGAGCGGTGCATGAAGGTTGACCTTGCGGAGATGCTCTGGAAACGATGCAATAACCCCATGGAAACTGAGAGAGCGAGCAGTCAGTCATTTGTCCCCCCAATCTTTCATTGACACAAGCGAATGGCAACACTTGAGTCTTAGACTTCGTGCGATTCGAACTCTTGAAGCAAGTCTTTCTCCGACGCTTCAGATGTTGTCATGAAGGGCATCGCGGGCGCATTGGCGGGCATCTGACCCATGGAAGGAAGCCCCGGAGCTGGTCCAAGAAACGAGGGTCCACCGACGGGAGCAAGCTGCGGAAGTGACTGATTGTTACTGTTCGAGCCATTTGCGCTGGGCATTGGTGCTGGTGCGCCCATCAGAATGCCGTTGCTGCCAGAATTGGAGCTGTTGCCATTCATGGCCTTTTGCAGCTTCTGCAACATGGCAGCAAAATCTTCAGTGTTTCCAGCGCCATTGCTGCCAGGGTTTGAATTGGCATTGAAATTATTGAGAGCAGCCGATAATCCTGTTTGATTTGGTCCGGGAGGGGCTATTGCACCCAATGCGGGCGGGGGCTGCATAGCCATGCCCGGCCCTGCCTTTGGTAGGATCTGTTGGTGTTGGTGCGGCGGTTGAGATGATGGCTGCGGCGCCTGTTTTGTCTGTAGCAGCATGGGTTGCTGGATACCACCAACGGTTGGAGCGCCGTTATTCCATTGTTTCATACCGTTGCTTGCAGTCATGTGGGCTCCCGACAACGCGTAGGGAGTCTCGGGAGGTGTTACCAATGGTGGTGTGAGACGCTGTCGTTTGTTCGCACTATTGTCGACCGCCGCCCTCTTGCGATCTTCACTTGCACGTCGTGTCTTGTTTTGCGGTGCCTTGCCCGTCAGTGCGGCCAAACGATCTTCAATGCTATTGACTTCGTCATTTGAAACGCTGTTACTAGCGACGCTGTGAAGTGCAGGGGGCGCAGGCATTGAATCCTGCTGTGACGGCGGCTGTTGTTGGCGCAAAGCCGACTGAAAGTCCTGCATGTTCATCGGTGGAAGTCCCGGCACACCGCCTTGTTGTTGTTGTTGCTGCTGTGGCATGCCTTGATTGTTCGAAGACTGGATTTGTTGCGATTGCTGTTGCTGGAACTGACTCTGAAAGTTGGGCGTTTGCGCTGACTGGGAGTGTTTTAGTTGCGGCATCATGCTATTGCTACCTGACTGTTGCGGCTGAGGGGCCGATTGCGACTGCTGAAGATGCGGCATGAGGTTATTTTGCTGCCGTTGCTGCTGCTGGATGAGAAACTGCTGTTGTTGTTGTTGTTGCTGCTGCTGCTGATTGGGAGCTAGCTGAGGTTGGTTTGGCTGCTGCTGTTTTTGCGCTTTTTCCTGAACTTGTAGTTGTAGTTTCCGCTTCATAATTTCCTGCTTGAGTAGATTCTTATCTAGTTTTCCAGACTTTTTGAGCAGCTTGAGTGCCTTGAGGCCTTCCGGTGAGAGGTTGAGCAATCGTTTGAGCTGTTCTTGCTTACGCAAAGCAAGAAGTTGCTGCTGTTGTAGAGGAGTCAAGTTGCTGTTCTGCAGCGTATTGGACCGAGTTGATCCTGTGTGGCCACTGCTATCGTTTGCCTGTTGTTGTTGCTGTTGTTGTTGGACAGGTTGCTGTTGTTGCTTCTGCGGTTGCCTCTGTTGTTGAACAGGTTGCTGCTGCTGTACAAAAACCAAGTTGGTGCCGTTGTTAGCAGCCGCCTGTTTCGCGTTTGCCTGATTGTTATTGTCGAACCCCGCCCACGATGGCCCCAGCGGCGTCGGCTCGAAAGGGTTACCTTGTTCCTGAAAGATGGTTGGGTGAGCAGTAGCGTTCCCAGATTGTCTTTGCGCCGCGGCCGCGAGTTGCTGTTGAATCATGGCTTGAATGTCATTGGTGGAAGGACTGGTCATTTGGTTTTGTTGCTGTGTTCCCGGTGCCGCCGCGACCGGCACTTGTGCCATGTTCATAATCAATCCATTGTTTTGTGTAAAGTTGTTGGTAACTGTAGTAGGATATCCATTAGTGCCAGTGATGACATTGACCTGGATTTGCTGCTGTTGCACTTGTGGCGGGTTGGCAATGGATATGGTAGCAGAGACATTCTGTTGCTGTTGTGCTTGAGCCTGCTGCTGGTGGTGTTGTTGTTGCTGCTGCTGTTGTTGTGCATGAGCCTGTTGTTGCTGCTGTTGTTGTGCTTGAACCTGTTGTTGTGCTTGAACCTGTTGTTGTTGTTGCTGCTGTTGTTGCTGTTGCTGCAAGAGTAGTTGTTGCTGTTGTTTTTTCTGCTGCTTCTTAATGAAAAGAGCTTGTAGATACTTTTGCTGCTGTTCCTTGGTAAGTGAGTTCCATATGGCCAGTTTCTGTGCTTTGGTCATTGATGCAGATGGCGATGGAGAGGGTGCTGAGGAGGAGGAGGACGGTTGTGGCTGTGGATGTGCCTGCATGTGCATTTGTGGTTGCTGCTGCTGTTGCTGTTGCAACTGCTGTGACTGAGGCCGTCCTAACGGCGCAGGTGCAGCCATAGCGGAAGCCACCGGAGGTCCAGCTTGGTTTGCCGATATGGCCTGTGCCATATTCTTTGCGAGTTCCGCGTTGGCACTGACAGGTGCTATAACCTTCTGAGGGTTGGGCGAGGTGGAGCCCATTAGGTTGTCCCAAAAATCTGCCATGTTGCCTTGACTGTGTTAGTATTATACTGGTACAGTGTAGTGAGTGCCGTTCCTGGTTTGGTATATCAACAAGCTATAGGCGACTGGCTGGTGGTTTACGGTAGCTTGGGTCCTTCCTCAGCGTGGATACGGTGAACGTGGAAATAGACCACGGTCTGTCCGTCCGTTCGTGACTGAACCAGAATAGTCAATCACGGCAGTGATTCCTTGTCTTGTCCGAGAAGGAGCGGCAGCAACACCCTGGACGGTTCACCGCAGGTGCCAAGAGACAAGGTGGGTGGCTAGTCAACTACAAGTAGAAGTAGAAGAGGAGCCAATCGATCTGATCTTCTGACCTGATCAGTATGACTCTGCTTGCTGTTGCACTGCGGAGGACCTTCAATCGAATCGAATCGAATCGTAGACAGGGCTTGACCGCGAAGAACCGACAGGACTCGACTCAATGAGGTCAACTCAATCTCCACCAAGACACTGCGGAGATCTGATCTCGACGGTCTCTTGTTGCTGTCGGCGTGAGTGAGAGTGGCAGTCGAGTACCTGGTAGAGAGCGAGGAGTGGTGAACCCTTTTTGTCAATCAATAGAGCAATGATGGGTCGATAGAGGTGTCGGTTGTTGATGCACCAATTCAATTCGATCGAGCGAAGAACCAGCTTGCGTTGTGACCAACGCTTTCAGAGAAGCATGCTTGCCTTCTACCGTATCTCTCGTACAACCTGTACGGGACCTCGAGAAAAGTGCAGAAATTTAACCAATGCCGGTGAGACAGGGCATGTCTATTCTTTAATTGGGCCTGACGCACTTGGTTTACCGTATCTTGCTACAGAGGCAGCGCCGGCATTCTTGTTCCCCACCTTCTTCATCCCTTGTTCTGCACCCAACACATAAAAACCTTCTGTGACAAGAATTTGCCGTCCTTATCTCACTTTTATTATTGACACCTAAAGACATGAAGATTTTAATATTACTCATTTAGGAATGCAAGGAACATACTGGCATAAAGAACGGTCAGAGGAGCACTCTCAAAACACCTCTCGGATGGAGGACAGACCGCGCCCTCTCGACCATGGCAGCTAGTCTACATGTAGATCTACCATGCATGTGCTGCGTGTTGTTTCTTCATTATCAGAAGGAAGTATCGATGGAGTAGGTAGAGGAGTACCAGAGGGTACATACAGGGTGGTGTACTTGTGCCTCTGTAGAAGAGGATACTTGGTTCAAAAAAGGATGCCTATGTCTTTGAGCGAGCCGGTGATCAGATCAGTGTCCCAACTCTCAACTACTACTACAACGACAACAACAACAAATGACAACGCTACTACTACCAACAAATGACAATGCTACTACTACCAACAAATAAATGACAACGCTACTACTACCACTACTACCACTACCACTACTACTACTACTAACTACTACTACAACAACAACAACATCTACAACAACAACAGCAACAACAACAACAACAACAAACAACAACAACTGCTACTGCTGCGCTATTTTGCCTTGAAGTCAGTGCCTACTTCGGTAGGGGCAAGACTCTTGGCATTATGGTGAAGCAACTGACAACGTTACTACTACTACAACAACAAACAACAACAACTGCTGCGCTATTATGCCTTGAAGTCAGTGCCTACTTCGGTAGGGGCAAGACTCTTGGCATTATGGTGAAGCAACGGACAACGCTACTACTACTACAACTACAACAACAAACAACAACAACTGCTGCGCTATTTTGCCTTGAAGTCAGTGCCTACTTCGGTAGGGGCAAGACTCTTGGCATTATGGTGAAGCAACGGAACAGATTCGAGCAATCGCTGAAATTACAGATCACCATGGTCGTTCGTTATTTGTTTATCTTCTTATCTATCTTCTTCTTCCGATGGTGCGCACTCTTGCTTTGATGGCATCTTCTTTCGCCGTGACAATGTCCCACAGAGTCTGTTGGCCAACAGCCACCGGGGGTATCCTAGTACCCCATTTTGGCATTCGCGAGCGGATTGCAGTGAAGAATGGCTCTCGATCCTTCTTCAAGATGAGATTTCCCACTCCAATAATAGCTGTAGACCTTTGCGAATTGGGTTTATGCTTGTCTCCTGGGTTGTCGTGTACATGACATGTCCTCTTTACTCGCTGGTCCACCTCAGAGAAGGCTTGTGTAGCTTTGGCTTCATCGTCGAAGCTCTTGTTGATTGCTTTTGTTCTTGTATCGGCTGACCAAAGGCAGTCAACCAAATCAAGGGCTGCTTCTACCTTCTTGAAGTTGCGACGATCACCACCCAACCGTAGATTGACAATATTGGCCAGTGACCGTAGTTCCACGTTCGTGTGTAGATTTCGGAAGTCATCATGTTGGTAAAGAGCCAGTAGGATGTTCATCATTCTTCTTTCACTGGAACGAACACCGCGACCACCTCCGTTGGATCCCAATCCAGCTCTGACCAGCGGTATATGCCGTGGCTCTGGCGGTGGAGGAGGCGGTGGTGGACTTGGTGGTGGTGGAGGAGGTGGTGGTGGAATGGGCGAAGGTTGTTGCTGCGGAGTCTGCCGTCTGCGTGGAGACCTGCGTGGAGATGGAGTCGATGGTACCGCAGTTCGAAGACTGGCATTCTGGACCATCGTTGTTAACTGTGCCACTTGTGTCTGTAGATCGCGAACTGCCTGTGCAATATCTGACTGGCCGGACTTCAAATCGGCAATACCACTAAGAATAAGCCCATGGTTCAGCTGTTCTTGTTGTCGGGTACGCAATAAATCTCCCACACTGCTAGATAATTCCTGTAGTTTGTCGAATATGGTGGCCCGCAGCAGTACACCGCTATTGCTGTTGTTGTTTGTTGTCGTGTCATCGTGGATTTTCTTGGACCAGTACCGCAGCTTGGTGGATGCTTGCACCAAATCTTGCGCCAATCCAGCAGAGTGGACCACCACTCTCATTCGATGCACATACCGGTGGTCAGCTCCATATTTTGTTTCCATGTAGCGGTAGTTCTTGACCATCACCGCTGTCACAATGTCCATGAAAGGCCTCAGTCGGCCACCAGGTGCAAGCTCCGGCAGACTGTTTGGGAAGAGATCTCTCTGGAAAAGAGCAAATTTGTCCCTTGGGAAAATCTTGTCTTGGTCATTATCCGCAAAAAGGATCTCACAGGTTGGAGCGTACGGCAATTGTCGAGGATCGGGGTATCCAGCCAAAGCGAGTGCTCCTGGAACAACAGCCACCAAGTACTGCCACACATACCAATCACGGCTTGCTTTGGTGCTCCAACCACCCAACGCAATGCACTCTTCATAAGTGACAGTGGGTAGCCACGCAAGCATGGACATGGCACCAGCCCGGAGACTCTTCACCGTGTAGTGTGATTGGATTTGGTGGTGCACACAGGAGCGAATAATGGTGGTTAATGAGGCAGCCACCTGGCTATCCTGGTTTTCGTGCATTTCCTGGAAAACAAACTTGGATCGGCGGTAGAATGGAGTGCCAGGTGATGCCATCATGGTCGCTGGCCGGACCAATCCACTGCAAAGTGACCAGTAGAGACCAAATCCAAAGAGGACACACAACTCTGGATGCTCGAAGTCCTGGACGAAGGCGGATGGACTGGTCTTGAGCTCCTTCCTCTGGAACCACTGAAAGAAGAGCATGTTAAAATAGCAGTCCCAAAACATCTTGTCATAGCTCAAAAACTTGCACTCTCCTCCTCTTCCAACCGCGTTGTTAGTGATCAGGACCATCAGTAAATCCTTAAACTGTCCTCTGGTTAGTAGTCTTGTTGCTAGTCGGAGCAAATCAACACTCCTCGCTAGTCGTTGTTGTTGTGGATTTGAAAAATCATGGACCGGTAGAATCTTCGTCCTTTGGGAATGCTGGCGTGGGATGGGATAGTAGTCGCGCAGGATGGCATCATCGTCGGTTCCCTGCATGAGCGTTCGACCATGTAAATCGTTGAAAGTCTTCTTGAGTCCATTCACATCCGCTGGAGGAAACAATGGGAAATTTAAAAACTGTTGCGACCGGCCATACTTGGTCCTAAGATGCTTGCACAACGCCTCGATGTACTTGTCTACAGCGGAGGCCGCCATGGGCTTGTTTGTTCTTTGACCGATGGGAGGATTTTCACCAATGCGAGTACAGAAGTCACTCATCAAATTCAGGCCATTGTCACCAACAAGATCATCAACTGATATCTCTCCAAATTTCATTGGGTCCATCACCTTGTCAAATAGCTGGATAGCAGGCTGTTCTGATGGGTTTGGGCGATGCCCTCCTGAATTGCGAGTCCAAGTAACATTAGCTGCCATTGTGCTCCGGTCGCTCCTCCGCTATTGCCTGTTTTGCCTGTTTCCACGATATAATGAAAAACTGAATACTGGCTTGTGGTTAAACATCATCAGATCACCTCAGTCCCAGCCAGCCATCCGTTGGTCGCCTCACAATTTCTTGTGGAAAAAGAAGAATTATCTGGGAAACAGCGAGAAACAGGCGAAGATTTAAAGAACACCACTCGCTTATTTAACACCAAGATTCGGAAGTATCAACATTCAGCCCCTCTTTTCGCAACAACAACAACAACCATGGCGCAACAACAATAACAACTACGCTACCATGGCGAATACCATCGACAACCATCAACAACATTCACAATGTATCTGTTACTACTATTACCACTAAAGTTATTAGCTCGTTGGCCATGTTATGGTGGGCGGTTGGCTCGTCGCGGTGTTGTTCTTCTGTTGTTGTTTGTTGTTGTTTGTTGTTGTTGTTGGCTTCCCCCTCCTCTTCCCCTCTTTGTTACTAGGCCGCTGCGCGGCCCCCTCCTCCTCTCCCCCGGGACGATACTTCGCGCTTCGCGCGATACCTGCATGTTTCTTATTCTCAACCTCCTGCCTTGGCTTTCTGAAGGGGTGATCCATCCAAAAATCTAAATAAGTTACTCGTACTAGCTAGCTAGTATGGGTACTAGTAAAATAGCTGGCAACATCCAAGAGGAAGGTACAGAATTAAAGTGTGTTTTGCACGGTCGTTTTGGGACAACACCTGTTTACTATACAAAACACAGTACAATTGAGTTAATGGAGTCTGTCTCAGTGGCTTTTGAGGGGAATGACTCTAGAAAGCTTCCGTGCACAATTAAGTGGGACTCTAGAGAGTAGTAGAAGAAGCAGATCAATACTTAACATAAAATATAATCCTTGATACTGATTGCTTAGAGCATATTTGATTGCTATGTTGTATGATTGAAATTGCCACCAATACCGATGTGGGCGTTAAGTAAAAAATTCATTTGGGACAATCAATACAGTACTAAGTGGGTTAAACATGTTTTTCAACAAATTTACACTCAATAAAGCACGGTCCCAATCAAAACCCACTTTAATCTCGTACCGCATAACTTGCATACTCTACAAGTCAAAGGGTCTCCAGTTAAGCTAAATTGATTGCATTGGTACATCCACAAATGTTGCCTTCATTATTAGGATACTGCTAACTACCTTTTAATAGTACATGGCTAGTCACCGAGAGAAGATTATGTGTTGCATATTGCAGCATCTACTCATTACTCTAGCTAGGCATCAATCTCGCTCATGACCAGTACTAGCTAGTATATGTCGTGTCTTGGGCACCTTTTGGCTCTTGTTTCTGCAAAACAAGTTTTGAGGTGGTCCACTGGGATCTGTCAATGTTGGTCTTGTCGTATCGGTAATAGAGGATTGTATCCACTGCATCAAAAAGCACGCTTATCCCCAAGGTGATGGTGTTGTAAACGATAACCACGTAGCGAGCCTTCTTGTAGGAATCATCTCGTGCAGCCTCCCAGGTCAGCATACCGTCATCTCCAATGGAGTCTGTTGTCAAACAAATGATATTCACTAGCAGCACAGGCATCCACCCAACTATATGCTGCCACCCCATGTTCTTGTTGACACCGCGGACACGGATAAGCTCTCTTCCATTCAAAACGAGGATAACCATCATGCCAACCAGATTGATAACGGCGAATGGGTGCGGCAAAAAGGCCAATGGAGACATGCAACCCAGCATCAACAAGCACAGCCATACCCTGATCCAAAGCTTCAAGCTAGATTCTGTAAGCCAAACTGTCGCGCAATCGCAAAACACATCCGCAATTGCTTGCAACGAGGACCTGTTCTGATCCACGTAGTATTGGTTTTCGTGGTGCGAAAGTGACGGGTTGTACAGGGCCATGGTGAAAAATCAATCCGATCAGAGGGTACCGGTTGGCAAGATTCAAGATTATGTACTGTATACGGATGAAGGCATCGCCTCCCCCCACCTCAAGTCCCACGAAGCTTGCCCTCTCCTCAATCGAATCGAATCGACATGAATTCCTGGTCAAAAGTTGCCCGAGCAGCCAACAAAAATGAAATCGGCCTGAATGCGTCGCCCGCATCTAACGAGTAACTTACGGGTAAATTGTCAAGGCTTGCTTGTTCCAAGCTCACAAAAAAATTTGCGGCCAACTCTCGATCGATATCGTTCGCCTTGAGCAATGAGCAATGGCCTCCTTTGCCAAAATTGCATCGGTAACACCAATTGCAACTTCATACGTTCAATAGCATCGTATCGGTTTGAAAGTAGAGAGTTTGCGCAACAGACTTCACTGCGTCGATTCCTTCTTACTCAGTTCTAGTAGTAGTTCTACCTGGAAGTGTAACCAATGGCATTCCCGCAAGAAAAGATTCGACAACGAAGACGACAGGTCACTCGAGCGATAAGACCACTGGTCAGAATCAGATGTGAGATTATCAGTTCAAACAGAAATCTAATACAGGTATCAGGGCGTCTGCGGATAAGTGGGGTCCTTTTCGTACTTCTTCTCGGACAGGATCTACTGAGCTTTGCAGCGGGCGGCACATGGGGGTGCCAAACAGATCACTGCGGGCACCGGAACGAGCAACAAGTGGGAACTACAGGAGGGACATTGGGAAACATCACTGAGGGTCAAAGGGCAGCTGAGGGGAGTTTATGGGGTTCACAAGCATCAACTGGTTCATCGCTTTCTTGTCGGTGTCCATATCCGGGAGAGTACCAGGAATCAACTGAAATCATTCGTGAACAAACAGCCGAGAACAGTGAGATTTCCATCTTGCGCTCTGGCCATTCAATTTGTCAGAAGGTCGTCTTCTACTGTCGCGCAGAAGAGCCAAATGGAACGGAATGGTCAATGAGCAAATGTCACGAGTACTTAGCAGTGGACCGTGTGACCCGCAAAAGACGCCCGCGGATACGACGTACCACAACAGCAGAAGATTCTAGTACGCTTGGAAAGGGGACCGAAGTAACGAGACAAAGCCATTACAAATACCGGTACAGAGCACGAATCTCCAAAACATTTCCTGAAAGAAAACGGCAGCGTAGGCGAACAAGAGGACCTGCATCACGGAAAAGGCAGCAACAATCAAACTCCGATGGGTTGTACATGTTGCTTCCCGATGATCATCCTGACTGCGCTACAGCCGATACCAAGAAACAGAAGCCTACCTTGATGCCTACCTTCCAACCTCGCGATCCTTTGGGACTTGAAAGTCTCCCAAAACTGGTCCAAGAGCATGATGATCATGATAGAGATGAAGTTTGGATCGCCGCATCTACTTCCAACAGCTTATTCGGCAAAAAGCGTCGTCGTAAAAGAAGCCATTCCGGCAGCAACAGACGTGGACTCCACAGAGAGTTACAGCGACGCGAAACAGCACCGCGAAGACGCCATTTCAAACGCACCAGGAAGAAAATATCTCGAAAACGACCTGTTTTGGGGGCTGAGGCATCGATGCAGGGCCACGCATCGCAAATTGTAAAGGACGAGTCTGATGAAGTACAAACTGCAACTAGCACCACTATTGTGGTAGAATCAAATGCAACTGATTACGTGGATAATGAGCTTCTTTTGAATGATAGCAGCACAACAAGTTTGGAAAACTACACAACCTCAACAAACACCATGTTCAATCCAGTAAGCCATGCAAGTGGAGTCGCGGATAACTACTTTGCGATGTTTGATGTTTTGGATGACGGGGTTGACCTAACTGTGTCACAAGAAGAGCCTGACTATCAATCATCAGGACCCATGAGATCTACCATGCAAACTGGAGAGCCCACAGTGCGGTCGACATATGTCAGTACAGTCCCACCATCTGAGCAATTCTCATCACTGGGCACCATCAACTACTCTGGATCCACTACTATGATCCCCTCTGCATCAATCACCATCAATCCAACTGAGACTTCTTCACAGGAAGCTACAATGGATGCATCTGAGGAGGTAACTCAGAGGGAGACTGCTCGTGACTCCAGCGGGGACAGCCAAACTCCCATGGTAGCTGAAACTGTTCCTATGGAGATCTTTGAAGCCATCCCTACAGAAACAATAGTTGCAACAGGACTGTCAAGCAACAGCTTTCAAGATGGCTCTATTGATTCTGTTGATGAAAGTCCTGACTCATCTTCAATGACAGAACTGCTACCTCAAGACGGCGTTCCCATATGGACAGGATCGTCACAATCTGCATCATCTGAAGATGGGGAGAACCTGGCACTGTGGGAAGAAGAACCAACCATAGGATCTGCTTTGGAAACAGAAGCACACCACTGTTCTCGCAACACTAGCAGCATCTGAGGATACCTCATCATCAGGCATATCCATGAACTGGGGATCCAACACTGCGATACCCTCAGCGCTAGTCACCATGAAACCAACTGAGGCATTTTCTCAGGAAGTCACAATGGATGAATCTGAGGAGTTATCTCAGGAGGAGGCTGAAACCAACTCTGATGACTTTGAAAGTCAAACACTCATGATAGCTGATACTGCAGTTTTGCACCACTTTGAAGCCATACCTACCAATATAGTGGCTACTGCACGTGTCACTGCTCCACCAGTATCTGCCCCCACTGTTACAGCACCGCCTGTGACTGCTCCACCAATCACAGCACCACCAGTATCTGCTCCACCTATCACAGCACCACCTATTACATTTCCCCCTCAGGCCGCTGCACCAATCAAACCTTCCCCGGTGACACTTGCACCCACCATTCCAGCTTTTGTAAGCCAGAATGGTCTAGACATTTCTAGTGATTCCGTGGATCAAAGCTCTGACTCGTCTCCCCACACTTGGATGACAGCTTCACCATCTTCATCTACTGCAGATCACTTGGAGGACACAATGGCAGAACAGTCTACATATGACAGTCCAATCCCACCGTCTGAGCAATTCTCATCACTGGACACCATCAACTACTCTGAATCCACTACTATGATCCCCTCTGCATCAATCACCATCAATCCAACTGAGACTTCTTCACAGGAAGCTACAATGGATGCATCTGAGGAGGTAACTCAGAGGGAGACTGCTCGTGACTCCAGCGGGGACAGCCAAACTCCCATGGTAGCTGAAACTGTTCCTATGGAGATCTTTGAAGCCATCCCTACAGAAACAATAGTTGCAACAGGACTGTCAAGCAACAGCTTTCAAGATGGCTCTATTGATTCTGTTGATGAAAGTCCTGACTCATCTTCAATGACAGAACTGCTACCTCAAGACGGCGTTCCCATATGGACAGGATCGTCACAATCTGCATCATCTGAAGATGGGGATCACCTGGCACTGTGGGAAGAAGAACCAACCATAGGATCTGCTTTGGAAACAGAAGCCCCCACTGTTCTCGCAACACTAGCAGCATCTGAGGATACCTCATCATCAGGCATATCCATGAACTGGGGATCCAACACTGCGATACCCTCAGCGCTAGTCACCATGAAACCAACTGAGGCATTTTCTCAGGAAGTCACAATGGATGAATCTGAGGAGTTATCTCAGGAGGAGGCTGAAACCAACTCTGATGACTTTGAAAGTCAAACACTCATGATAGCTGATACTGCAGTTTTGCACCACTTTGAAGCCATACCTACCAATATAGTGGCTACTGCACGTGTCACTGCTCCACCAGTATCTGCCCCCCCTGTTACAGCACCGCCTGTGACTGCTCCACCAATCACAGCACCACCGATCACAGCACCACCAGTATCTGCGCCCCCTATTACAGCACCACCTGTTACATTTTCCCATGACCCAGTGACACATGCACCCATAACACCAGCAAAATCATCAAACCCAACTGGTTCTCAGGCATCCTCCAATATATTTCATTCCAATAGTCAAGACAGCTTTCACGCCGACAGTGCAGAACAGACAAAAACTTCACCAACAGAAACAGACTCAAATGCTACTCCTATTCCACCAAATAAACGTGGCGTTGGACCATTCGTTTCAAGTATGCCCAGTGTGACACCATCAAAGGATCAAGGCAGCAGTCAACCATCCCCCGAACAGTTTTCCTCAATCCCATCAAAATATCCGAGCTTGAAATCAACAAGTATTTCCGGCTCCAAGCCAAGCACATTGCCATCTAGTTCACCGCTCCGCAGCCATAGCATCACACCCTCAGATCAGCCAAGTAGCAGCAGTGAACAGCCAAGTGCTCTTCCATCCAATTCGTCGATTCCCAGCATCAATGCTTTGGAACCACCCACCAGCAATCCATCCAAATCCAGCAATTACAGTGCCGAGCCATCATTTGATTCAAGTTTTGAACCAAGCCCAAGAAATAAAACATCCAACCTGCCAAGTGCTTTACCATCTGATTTGTTGCTTCCCAGTCTCAATCCATCTAAGCAGCTGAGCAGCACTGCATCTTTCCATCCAAGCAAAGCAGCAAGAAACGCTTCCTCGTGTCACCCAACCCCACAGCCACCTGTTTCATTACTTCCCAGCCTGACAGAACAGCCCAGCAGCAACGGAGCCAATTCAACCATTCCTAGCATGAAGCCATCCATAAATCCAAGCTCTGAATTCAGAACAAGAAATGAAACATCCAATCAGCCAAGCACTCTTCCCTCAAGATTAGTTCAACCCAGCTTCCATTCATCAGAGCATCCAAGTCTTAGCCAATCACGGTCATTTCAACCCAGCTTCCAATCATCAGAGCAGCAAAGGTTCAGCCAATCAAAATCCAGCAATCCCAGCACAGAGCCATCATACGAGCCAAGCTCTGAACTCAGCACAAGAAATGAAACATCCAACCAGCCAAGTTTTCTACCACTTGATCCAATATCTCCCAGCCCCAGGCCTTCAGAGCAGCCACGAATCAAACCATCAAGCTCTAGCAATATGAGTGTGGCGTCATCATCAAGTCCAAGCAATGACACAAAGAATACTTCCTCATGTCATCCTTTCCCTCAAAGATCTGATTCAATGCTACCAAGCCTCAATCCTTCAGAACAGCTCAGCAGCAACCAACCAAGCTATAGCATCACAAGCACTGAGCCATCATTTGATCCTAACACGGAAACAAGCAGTTCTTTCTCTGAGCACCCAAGTATAGTACCTTCTGTCTTTCCCAGCCTCAAACCACCAGGAAGCCAAAGTGGCAAACCATCAAAATCTGGTATCTCAAGCACAACACCATATACGGTATTCAAAGCATCTTTGGATACTCCCACATCCCTTCCTATTTCTTCGCCTGCTGAAACAATGAATATGGCAATAGCAAGCCCATCAACACATCAGACAGCACCGGATCTCTTGGTTCACACTTTGCCAAAATTGCAAAATGCAGCGAAGGGCTCTCAACCAACCGTGGAACCGAGTTGGGGCCAAACACCAGAGCCTTCCACTACAGAGTGGCCTGATACAGAGCTTCCCTACTCTGGAAGTCCCACAATTTTTCCAACAAAAGACATCAATATTTTCCATCACAGTCAATCTCCTTCTACCTCATCTTCCTTGACACCAACCAACAACCCAACAGAACACCCCATTCCCACAGCCCCACCAACCAGGGCCCCTACTGAACTTGTACCAACGGAAACTCCAACGTGGCCACCAAGCGACAAACCAACCAACACCCCAACAGAGTCACCAAGCAATGAACCAACCAACGCACCAACCACACCTCCAACAAAACCACCAACAGAGTCTCCAACTTGGCCACCAAGTGAAACACCAACTGAGCCTCCCACAGAGCCACCTAGTAACGCACCAAGCCACGCTCCAAGCAACGCACCAACCAAACTTCCAACAGAACCACCAACAGAATCTCCAACTTGGCCACCAAGTGAAACACCAACTGAGCCTTCCACAGTGCCACCAACCAAACCAACCACTGAAAAACCAACCGAGCCACCAACAGGACTTCCAACTTGGGGACCAAGTGACACACCAATCGAACCTCCCACGGTGTCACCAACCAAAATGCCAATAGATACACCAAGTGACACTTCCGCGGAGCCACCAAGGAGCCACCCAACCGGAAAACCAACAGAGCCCCGAACCAAACCTCCTACTGAAACACCAACTGAGCCACCAACAGAACGTTCAAGTGACACGCCAACAGAGCCTCCAACTAAACCCCCTACAGATCTACCCACTATCCAACCAAAGAATAATCCATCAGCTCACAAACTAGCAGCAAGACATACTGGAAATCCAACTACTCAGCCTACTACTGCTGAAATCCCCATATCTGGGCCATCTCCCGGACCAACACCTGGACCCGCTCCTTCACCAACTCTGGTGGCACCAACTACCCCGTCGACTCCCGCACCCACACCACACCCAACCCCAAGGAATACCAATGCGCCATCTGTCCTGCCAGCAACTGCTGCCCCCACATATCCACTAACTATGCCACCGATCAGAAATTCTCCCTCGTATCGACCAACCCTTGCTCCAACACCTCCACCCACCACCAAGCCAGCGATCTTTGATCCCACTCCCTCACCGTCAATGATGACAGACCCCCCCACATTGATGCCTTGGCCGTCAGCAAAACCAACACTTCCACCATTCTATGCCTCTCTTGGGGCTTGGTCCGCGTCAATGACGATTGATCCGCCTACAGGGTCACCTTCTCTGCTGTCTTCATTACCTTCCTCAGAGCCTTCTTCAGCCACCTCGGCAATTTTAAACGCTCCTGAACTGTCAGAAGGAGGGAATGTTTTCAATATAGGGCACGATTCATCATTTGAATTGCCATCGTTTGTCCCGAGTGCTATGGCTAGTGCTGACACATCATCACATCCAAGTTTGATACCCAGTTACGATCCCTCAATGCATCCAACCATATCTCCGTCAAAAACACATTCCAAAACACCATCAGCCGTCCCTTCAGTGGTCCCGAGTTTGATACCCAGTGCTGATGCACCTTCAAAAACACCATCTAGTTTCCCCTTGGATAGAAGTATGACGCCCAGTTCGGATCCCTCGTTTCATTCAAGCATGTCTCCATCACAAACACCTTCCAAATCACCGTCTAGCCTCCCTTCGGATCAAAGCATGATGCCCAGTTCGAATCCATCGTCTTATCCGAGTAACCCTGTATCGCAGTTGCCATCCACTGTGGTCACAACTTACGTTGCATCGCAATCCAAACCGGAGCACCGCTTTGAATACATCCAATTCCCGACAAAGTTGTCCATCCCGGCCATGTCGCCAGGGAAGATGACACCACAAGACTACTATTCCGCACATGATTCCCAGCACCGCTTTGAATACCTCCAATTCCCGACAAAGTTGCTCATCCCGGCCAAATCGCCAGGGAAGATGACACCGCCATATGGTTTCGAGTACATCCAATTCCCTACCAAGGCTCCCCTGCCTGAGAACACCAAACCCATGTTGAAAGAAGAAAGGCATTCCAAGGGGCCATTGCAAGCAGGTTCAGATCATTCCACAATCGAGGCTAGTAGTCCGTCCAGCGGAATGACAAAGCAAAGGATAGATGCAAGCGATGAGACATCAGCGCCGACAGTACGTATGGCAAAAGATCTCCTCTATAGTTCCGGTACCAATGGGTTTCATCAGGTTGTAGCATCGCCAATGTCGTCAAATGAAGACCAGGCCCAGCACAGCCCTTCGATATCTTCTAACGATATTCAAGATTACTACAAGAGCAAGTTGGCAGAGGATACTGAAACGGTCCCATTGGTGACAGATTTGGTAGAAACCAACGGAGGAGACGGCAATTCAACACCCAATGTATCTTCCTTGTCCAGTAGCAGCTCGAATGCAACGACGAAGGTGCTTTCGCTTTCTGTTCAGGATACATCAGCGTCCAACCATGCAGTTGAGGTTCCAGCTGAAGAAGACGAAGAAACCACAAAGACGTTTTTTGTCGCCAATGCGTTCGCAACAGTTCTTTCGGGCGCTCCACGGTGCTGCTACATGAGCTACTCGCTACTTCTGCCGCATTGTGTGTTGACTATGTTTCTACTCTTGATATGATCCATTGTGTGAGACATAGTCGGGACAATGCAACGAATTCAAGGTGGACCGGAAGGACACGCCGTACCTACTAGTAAAGGAGACTGAAGGAAATGAACGGGTTTTTTGCATTATTATTAGGGTCTTCTAATTGGAAGTCGAGCCATAAGTGGTGCTGTGGCGGAGAATTTAACCATTTGATTCTGAGCGATGGATGCATGGCCTGCACGCAGAAGATGGAAAGTTGCGGGGACGGCAGCGCGCGCACCACATCCCCTTTAGCTCTCTCTCTCTCTCTCTCTCTCTCTAGCTAGCTAGCCAGCTAGATTATCCTAACGTGCGACCTCTGGCAACCACGAGTGCTGCTGGTGTGCTGGTACGACGGCGGGCGGGTATCGTCGCTCTCCATGTGGGCATGTGGTGGGCTTCCTGGGCTGGTTGCAGCTGCCGGGAGAATCGGAAGCAACAGAGCTCATCCTTTGCAACTAGCGATAGTGATATCGATCTCGTAGCAAAGCGATACCGTCACGGGCAACTCGCGTTTCGTTCGGATGTCGGATGAGGCCATGATCCTCTAGAGACACCGACGGGAATACGGGAATTGTTAGTTGTAACGACTACAAGTGTACTGAGTTAGATCTGAGTTTCAGTGGTTTTGCATCTCTGTACCAAGACCGATTTTTCAACGCCTTCTTTCTGTTTAGCCATCATAGTCTTGAGCCTCTATCGACTTGATGGGGGAGCTGGACGTGGTCATGGTGCGTACTGCGTACACGTAAGGTTGAGCGGTCGCTGCTCCTTCGCCCTGTTTTGGACCCGTGGGAGTGAGTCGAGTCGAGTCGAGTCACTCTGGCAAGCGCTCCTGTGCGATCCACGTCGGCGGCATTGCTGTTCTATGAACATTCCGCCCATGACTGAAGGGCCTTCCAGCTGTTCCGGTACCGGAGGGCAAGTATGCCGACTTACACACGGAAGTCTCATGTTGGCAGGAAGTCTCGGGCTGGCTACTACATGTACATGTAAATAGCTCGTGGAGTGCACGTACAAGCAGCCAGCAGCCAGTACCGTTGCCAAAAGTGGGTGCAGGATGCAGGAAGGGGAAGGAAGGGAAGGGATCTTGCTGGCTGCTGGCTAGCAGCAAACGCTTCAGCACAAAGCACAAAGAGCGACCGCTCCTGGAGAGTTTGCGGGTTATTGCCAAATAATTTGATCCCAAATGCCAAAAGAGCTCTGTCCAGCCAGCTAGCTGGTAGGTAGCTACTAGTAGTACTTGCTTCATGCAAAGTGCCACTACTAGGTAAGGGTCAGAAACGGGTTGGATGTTGATGCACGAAGAGTGACTGAGTCGCGTCCTAGCTAGCTAGTGGAGTCGAGTCGAGCTTTAATGATACTAGTACATCCATCATACTCAGCCACCTATGGCAATACGTGCTGTACCTCCATTGCTCTCTACTGTCTACCGAAGCTAAGAAGCCCAGCGCCAGTTAGTTTCACTAGCCGAGCAGCGAGCCACATGTAGCTAGAATGTTGCGAAGTAAAAAGCATGCTTGCCAAAATCAGACTACTGAGTACTCAGTACACTGTACTAGCTAGCTACTGAGTAGAGTACTAGCTACTCGTCTCTAGTATGTACCGTACTAGCTAGCTAGAAGTAGTTCGTGCTCAAGAGTCTGCATCATGACATCATGACATTCAATTTTATTTGTTGTAACGGATGGACTTATTGGTACATACGGTATGGGATCTGGAGCTGGTACCGGTACAGGCTCTCCGTAAGAAGGCATTATTTTTAATATAAGAGCGCAGGCCCTGTGTGTCGCCAACAGCTCGCGCACATAGTATTGACGCAATGACAAAATTGTTTCTAACGCTTTCAGAAGGCTTCTTTCTTTGCGAAAATGTCCATTGCGCGTTCCACTGTTGTAGAAACGTAGAAACAGGTTGAATGAAGGAGTGTACTGTACAGTACTAGTAGTGTATCCCGAGTGGTTTGCAGTAGCCGTTGCAGTATGAATAGTACTGGTATGAATGTATGTGTTTGGGTGGTTTTGAGTCCCATCTCTTGGGACTCTAAACCATACCAGTCAAATCTGAAATTCTCCGTTGAGATCTAGAGTACGGTACTCAGTGTGCTCAGTTTAGGAACGTGAAATAATGGTCAAACGAGAAGCAAGTGCAATGTGTGTGTTTTCTCCTTATCACTGTTTCCGTGTTGTGTAATCGTGAACAAATCTTGGATGTACTGGTTAGTTTATAGTGAAGGAACTGACTTATCGTTCTGTAGTGTTCATAGAGGGTTCACAGTCTTGAAAGTGGGATTCTATTTGGATGAGAGTTAAAGTGATGGAACCCTTGATAGTGCAATTTCTGACATTTTGGAGTGTCTGACTTTAATTAAAGTGTTTAGAAGCCTTTGGGAACGAGCACATTGTTTTTTACGAACAAAACGAGATCGGTGAAGTAGATGGCATCGACGATGCAATGATTGGCATGAATGGGAAGGAAGAGAAAGTAAAGTGTTCATGTAGGTGGTGGTTGTTGTCGTTGTGGTTGTGGTTGTTCAACCGTTGTTGCCTTGGGCAATTGAATTGAATACTAGACTACTATTAATAGTAGTAGTAGCACCCAGCCAAATCGCTGGATAGCTTAAAGGCCACCAACGACTGCGCTGCTCCAGACTACCAGATTAGAGTTTCACCGAATCGACTTACCTGCAATTGAAATTGGCCTTTTTTTCTCATTCCCATCTTTCATCTCATCTCATCTCATCTCATCTATAAGCTCAGTCCACACAAGTCAAGTCCAAACAAGAAAGGAGAGAAGATGATTCCTTCTTCTCACTTCCAGTTGTCTGGGTCTCCAAGGTCCCTCAGTGGCAGTAGTGGCAGTAGTCGTAGTAGTGGTAGTAGCGGCAGTACGTCTCCCAGTCCAAGTCCTACTCAGTCTACTCCCACTAGAGGCAACAGCTTCAGTCGGAGAATGTCTTTGCCCAGTTTCAACAGCATGAGCGGTAGGAACGAGAATCACTCGGCCTTTGGCTTTGGCTTGCATCGACAGAGTAGAAGACGTAGGAGAAGTACGGGGACACGTACAACAACTACTACTAGTAGTACAGCCACTACTACTAGTAGTACAGATAGAGATCAAGGAGAGGAATGGACATTGCCTGTTCAAGTACGATCGGTTCAGAGACGCATGAGACGATTCTCCATGCCTGCAGGATCTACCCGGACTAGTACTAGTACTACTAGTACTAGTACTGATCTACTCGTCTTTGTGGACCCAAGAGCTGAAAAACCACTCAAGCTCAGAAGAATGAGACTTCGGAGATGTCAAACTCATGATGGAACTACAAACAGCACAAACAACACTAGCACTGCAAAGAGCCGATGGGACACCTCCAGTACAAACACAAACACAAACACCCACACCAACCTGGACCCCAACCTCAACTGGAACATCAACCTACCTTACGATGCTACTACAAGTAGCACCTGTAATAGCACCTGCACTGGCACTGGCACTGGTACTGCCAAGACCAATGACTTGCAACTCTTATGTGCTGAACAAGATGCTGCCCTCGAACGAATCACTTCGGGGACTTCTCCACCCAGAATGCCAAGAAGGGGATCTTTGGGGCTGTCAGATCAACACAGGCATCCATCCTTACCAGATCTACTACAGCATCAACATCAACATCAACCCCTCAGACACAACCACAACCACAACCACACACCAGGTCACATACAAGCCACTCAAAAACCAAAGGCTTCTCCGACGATGCCCCCAAGAATGCCCAGACGATCATCCATGGGAGACTTTGAAGCAACTTCTATTACATGTAGTAATACCAAGATTGGTGAAGCTGCAACTACACCCACTGCTACCGGTACCGGTATGCATACTTCTCCCAGCAAATGCAATGCCACCTTCCCCACAAGAAAAATATCCAATCCCACCAGAGTACACAGAAACAACTCAAACAACTCTACCACAACAAAGGACTACTTTGATTGGTTGGCGGCCGGATCATCACCACCAAACTCAAACTCAAACCAAACCTATAACCACAGTCGTCAAAACGACAGCACGGACGACACACACAACAAACCAACAACACCACAAAGGGAACTACAGGTTGAAGAAAAGGATCAAGAACTTCATGCCACTTCGGCGGCGCTACTCCGATCCAATCCATTCATGGCATCCATTGCCAGCGCCAGCGCCAGCAACAACAATACCAACAGTAGTACGTCCATGACGGCCGCTACTACTACCGGTAGTGGCATTGTTGGAAGCAATCAGTCTACCAACGCCGTGCACCAACCACAACCACAACAGCCACAACAACAAGCCAAACGATCCAATGCCCAGGCGGCATAGGAGACAAAGCGTCTCTATCTACCGGTACTGTGAAAGATGACAATGCTGTTGTAGTGCATGGTAAGATGCTCTCATGCAACTGGACTCGACTCAGTGGATGGAGGTGGGAAGCATGCAGTGAGTTTTGTGCATCTGCCAACAAGCAACGTTGTAGCTCTAGCTAACGGAACATACCGTAGTTTAATGCTAGATGATTACCAGTATGGCTTAGAGGGAACTATGGGACGGGGTACCGTAGTTAGTTGACTAAAACAATGGGGGGGTAGATTATCTACGGAAGCCAGCCAGGGCCAGGCCTAAGCAAAGAACAGTCGAAATTCAGGACTCTAGGTTCTGTGGGATCAGGGGCGAGATATTGAGGACCATTTCGGGGGCCAAATTGTTTAGTTTTGCGGGATCCACCCAGACATAAATGGGTAGTTTTCACAAGTTCAATAGAGATGCGGGTCTGCATGAAGAACATCATTTGAGAGTACGAGTACTGAGTTTTGGTGGCAGCTGCAGCAGCAAGGCATTGGAAAAGGATCTTCTTGGCGTGGGGGGCAAGCATGCTATCCACAGTTAGTTGACTTCGTTGTTTTCGGTTAGTTACTGCATCTTGGCTTACTTGGGAAGTCGTTCTCGTCCCACCGCATCAACGCTTTCAAACCACCGTATTCTCGTGTCCTTTGCCAATTTGGCGTTCTACTAGCTCGGTACCGGTTGCCAGCCAGCTATTAATAGCATGCACCCACCTAGCTAGCTACTACATGTACAGTTCGGGCTTGCCTGATTATGCCAAAGCCTTCATCCTTTCTACCGGTACCACTGTGGTTCACAGTTCACAGCCACACGATGAACCACTGGTACGTTTATGAACGTGTTCATGAATGTTCAATGAACTCCTTGGTCCCCTGGTGAATGACAGCAGTTGTCGACTTGGGATCCTGAAGATCTCAAAGCCTTCCTACGAAGAAAATAATGCCTCAAAAAGATTCTGGTTTTCGAAGATTTAATTTGTGGTTCTGGTTTAGTTGCCTCCAGCTTGCCAGGTGCTTCGGGCTTGGATCTTTCGCTTCCTTGCAAAGAAAGCTTGGCACTTGGCCAAGCATGATGGTTTTGCATCTTGCTTGTGAGTGAGCTGAACAAGGGTAACAACTGACCTCTTCTTGTGATTGAGCCCTGGTCAAATAACTACCGAGATACTACTCGTAACTAGCTAGCCAGGAGCAAGCAAGCAAGGAAGGAAGCGACTATACGGTGACGGGAACACCAGAAAAAAAGATAGAATAATCGAAAGTCGAAAGGCTGATTGAAAGAGTTTGAAGGAATCAGCAAAGAAGGAAGAATGTCGAGTGAAGCTAGTCAACGAATGCAATCCGAGGATCTCGGGATGTTTATGGGGATTGGAGGGTGTTGTCTCCTGTTCTTCTGGATGCCCTGGATTGTCTTAGATCTAGTCTTTGCCGGTGGAGACTCTGAGTGCCTCACACAAGAGATCACTGAGTACTCGATATCCATGGATCTTGCAACTTGGCTTCAAGTCCAAGCCGCCATCATGATTGTGCTTGCTGGCATTCTCATGGTGGCGGCTATCATGGCTTGCTTCACGCCCATTGGAGCATTGCTCGGAGGATGTGGACTGTGTCTACTCACCATCCACCCTCTCTTCAGTATGCCTTGGACCATTGTTGGAGCGCTGATGTTCTGGGGAGAACTGGACCCTGCTGGAACCTGTGACAGAGGGCTCACCATTTACATGTACTTCAACCTCATCATAGGTTGCTTCTCCATATTCAGCTGCTGCTGCAGAGACAGAGTCAGACCCAGCACAGAACAAACTGCTCCTCACGATGCACCGCAAAAGACGGAAACGTCCCCCATTGTCTAGCCACATCATTTATCTTATCATTCAGTTCTATAAACAGTTAGGTCTACTGTACTTTTAATTACTCAGTAGTCATTGTCCAAGTTTTGCTCTCAACTATTTTCGTTCAGTGAACAACAGTCCGAGTCGCTTTTTTGCTTGTACTGAGTAGAAGCCGCCACCGCCCTACCGCGGTAGCCCGGGATGCTTCATGTCCTCCTTGCTCTTTTAAATTTGCTTGCTTTTACTAGTTCTAGCTACTAGTAGCTGGAAAAGCCAGAGTTTGCTAGAGGCAGGTCTACTAGGCTACCGATAGCTCGTACCAGAACCGTAGGCAGGCAGGTTGCTTCTCAGCCAGTCATACGAACCGCGTCTTTGCTCCTACAGGGCGTAGCTATTAATACTATGCATAGGTGCTCTCAGTGCTTTCTGTCGTTTTGATCGTCAACCCTGGCTGCCTATCGGTAGCTAGCTAGCTGTAGATATCCACCTCCCCTCTTCTCTCTGACGACATGTTTACTTGTACTGTACTACTAGCTAGTCGAACCCACTGCCATCGAGATGGGAAATAATAATCGTGCTTTCAGCGGTGCAGGAGATGCTCTTACTTTTTAGAAAATGGAGCTCAATAAGATTTTGGTCGTAGGTGCCCTCCCGGATCTAAGGGCTGTTGAGGGCAGTTGTCCTTTCAAATTCCTTTCCAATCATTAGTGGTCATTGAGACTTTGCCTTCTTTAAACTATTAGTATCAAGTCATTTTGGTCCCAGAATTCGGGACCAGAATATTCAAAAATTGTACTTTCAGTTCAGCTGCACTCATTTGGACACTTTTGTCATTTAAAGAATCAATCCGTGCATCGGAAACATCCCCGTTCACAATGTCTTTGTGCCTGCTAAGGAAGAATCATGATTTAATGTTGACAGGATGGCGAGACATTTTGGCATTGGAACCGGAACAGACGAGGGCCCAATGCAAAAAGTGCGGAAACGGCAAAGAGGAGGCAAGGACGGCTCAATACAGCGCCGCATATTGCCCAACCCTTGCGACCGCTTGTACCCTTGTATCGAGCCATCAACCACTCCATCAATAGCACTCACTACGCTGTACCGCCAGCACATCATCATCAGCAGCATCAGCAACACTTGCTGTATTATCGATTAGACACTTCTTGTTGTAGGTATCGTACTAGTAGTTGACAGTTGACCATGGACCGCCGTGAGGAATTGCAAGCGCGTAAACAACGGCTGCAAGCAGTAGCTTTGCTACCAGCGAATCGCGTTTGCTCCGAGTGTCCTGAGCAAGAGCCGACGTGGGCGTCTCTACTGAAGCCGCCTGTAGCCAATGGCAAGGCGATTGGCGTACTGTGCTGCTACCGCTGCTACAGTTTCCATTTCCAACTTGGCAAAACCATTTGTCAAGTCAAGAACATCAAAATGGTAGAAGAATGTAAGTTCAGGACTCACCGGCTCACGGGATTCGATTCATGGATGAGTGGGGCTATCGGAGAGCTGCTTGTCTAGCTAGCTAGCTAGAGAGCTAGCTACCTGAAGGTTCCTGGTTGCCGAGTGCACTAGCTACTACACTAGCTAGAGAGTCTCCAAGGTGACCAAGGATCCAGACGCACTGCCACGGCTACCTAGCACCAGTAGTTTTGGACTGGACAGCACTATAGCTCCAGTTGCTGTCCCATTCACTGCTAGGTAGCAAGCAAATGGCAAAGCTGGATGCTCTTCGCTTGGCCTAGCTACTGTAGAAACGAAATTTGTATCCATGCCCCTTCTCTCGACTAACCAGTCCAATCGTCGTTTTTCTGTCTACAGGGACCAACGAAGAAGTTGAAGCCATGGAACGGGGAGGAGGCAATCAAGTCGTAAACGCAATGTACGAAGCAAAACTACAACCTGCGGACTATGACAAGTCCGAAGTACTAGAAGACGAGGACGAGGACGACATGTACCGACAAGAGTTCGTCCAGCACAAGTACGAAGAACTACGATACTTTGCTAAACACTTGTACGAGACACAGTTGCGGCGGGCGTCCAGCAGTACGAATGCCCTTCAAGCATCCGTACACGACGGACCGGTTCCACCTGCCGGAAAGGCATTGGCACGGCGATGCAAGAGTTTCGATGACAACCAACAAGACGTCGTCGCAGCAGAGGCGGAGTTGGATCGTTCCAAAGATTTCGTAAAGAAACCGATGCGACGGCGGAGTCAGTCATTCAACGATGAAAGATGGACCACAGACGAAGAACACGAAAGCACCGATGACGACCAAAAACTGTCCTATCAAATGCCGGGACACCTAGGCGTCGCAGGGAAACGGCAAAAACGCAGAAAGTCCATGCCGCTAAAAATTGGTGGAAACAGCAGCAACACCGCTAACGATAGCGGCAACAGCAGCAAAAACAGAAACCGATCCTCGGTCAAAGAACGCAGGCAGCGGCGGGCATCCATCAAATCGTCGTTAGAAAGGGAAGCACAGCAGCGTCGGGCATCACAAACTGGAAACAACAACTCCCCTTCGAACGAAGACCTAGGATACGGAGACGAACAGCAAAACGACAGACAAAACGATATGGATGCTACCCGACGAAGGTGCAATCGTCGTAGACGAGACAGCAACATGTCTCACAATGATGGATCTGGTCGCAGGCGTTCGGGCCGCCGAAAGTCGGCGTCCTCTATTATCATGGGAACCGCCTCGATATCTGTGGATGCTCGCAAAAATGCTTGCCCTTCGACGGCACCGAGAATGCCCACTCGCTGTGTCAGTGACGACAGTGGAACGGATGGGGACGACAATAACAACAACAATGACGGAGACTTTACGGACTATGACGATACGCCAGTCAATGACCGGTCGTTATCGCCTCCAAAGTCGAACACGCCGTCGTCGTCTCGGCGTATGCGACGCATGTCAATGCCCCATTCCATGTTCAGCAGTGATACCGACGACACGGAGGACGAGGAGACCATGGCTTCCCACTATAAGATGCATATGCTAAAAACGACACGATTGAGCGATCCCACCATCAAAAAATTGTCGCCTTTCGGAGTCAACTTGGGGTACGGCTACAACGACTGTCACGACAGCATCAGCAGCATCGAAGCAGAACCACAACAACACGCACTCAAGCCCATGTACATGATCCCACGGCGAGGGTCAACAGGTGATGGAAAGCAACCTGTCAAACTTGCAGCTCTTCCCCAACCTTCGCAGCAGCAGCCTTCAAAACTACTAGACCCACTGCAGGGAGGAAGCGAGCTCTCTTCGGATGAAATCATGTTTGGAGATGCAGAGCCACGGAAGGAAAAGAGACGAGGCAAAAAGAACCGGCGCCAAATGAGACGTTGTTCTACTGGAGGTGCTGTCGACAAATTCTTCTTAGATGCAGGGCAAGCGGATGGTCTAAGTCGATGCCATGCGGATGAGGACAGGGAAGCGAATTTGCGAAACTGGTCTCCGCCAGAGATTCCCAAGCCCGCTCTCAACAACGCGCTAAAGAAGCATAGGACTCCTCGACGATGTTCCGTTGGTGCTGAGTCCGGTCCTATAGATAATAAGGAGCAGCATCCTTCTACGAACACAAACATCTCAAAGAACATGTCGCCTGACCAATCCACGACCACGAACCCTGCAAAGAACAAAACGCAGCAAGCGTCTATCGAAACCTCGAACGCTTCAAAGGGCAAGGAACATCACTCCTCACTCGTGGATCCAGCCAAGAGCAGGTCCAGGAAAACCTCTAAAAGCAACAAGCAGCCCACCACCGAAGAGCTTGGGTATGGAGACGACACGGGCAATAGGGCAGCCCTCCATGCGGGCCCATCTGAGGAAGATCTTGGCTATGGTGACTTGGATTACAAAGCAGACGCCTCGTCGAAAAGAAAATTTGGCGTCGCGTCGTTGAAAGCAAAAGAGTCGCCCTTAGGCTACGAAAGTTGTCGAAAAGACGAACTCCCGATACCCTTGCAGCACGCGGTTGGCCGTCGCGGATCGTCAACTGGCCATCATGATGCGGATGCGTCGCATGGGCGGGCCAGCCGACGCTTGTCCAGGCAGGGAGGCAGCGATGAAAGATCCAGGTCGATGTCAAGATCGAGAACACGACGCCCATCAGCAAGCACTCCGCACGAATCACTGCGTCGTCCCAGCCTTCGCGACCATCGCAGCCAGAGCGTTGGTGGAGGGCTGTCCTTTCCTTCGAATCCAACACGGTCAACACATGTATCCTCACGTCGCCCCAGTCTTCGGGATCACCGAAGTCAGAGTGTTGGCGGGGGTTTGTCCATTTCAAACCCGCCACGCACTTCTGGCGGCTTCAGCATGCTTGACTCTGGTCGCACAATGGTGCGATCCGACTCTGTCAGCAGCCTTTGTTCGGAAGTGAGCGTCAACGCTGCGCTTCTCTACGCTGGGGGCAGCAAGTATAACAGTTGTGTATGCAAGAAACCAGACTTTGTTGGCAGTAAAAGTCCTGTGTCGGTTGCTGTGATCGCAGCGACAGCGTCCTCCGGGGCAGATTGTAGCCTGCGTGACCAAGAAAAAGGCCCCGAGAACGACGACAAGGATTGCCACTGCGAAACTGCAGATGCTGAGGGTGCGATTGAAGAAGCTAAGCCTAGTTCAGCCACCAAGCGCCAGTCAAAGAAAGACTACTGGAAAGCGAAGCTAGCAGAAAAGTCCAAGCCCAAGAAGGATGCTGAGGGCTTGTCATCTCGCGAAAGACGTCGAAGGGTACCATCAGTGGGCTTGGCGGCGTGATCTTGTGCACGTTGCGTTGCAGCTGCAATTTGACCTGCCTACGCTAACCATAGGCAATAGTAGTTTGTCCACGTTCATTTTTGTATTGATGCATTGAAGCGACGATTGGCTTCCCTTTGGCTTGTGATGCTAGTTCAACTATCTATTATAGCCAAAAGACAGGAAGCCCAGGCCAGCGTACGGTGGCAGACTTCAGCATTGTCGAGAGACATACTCCGATTTACAGAGCGCTATTATACATCTAGTATTGACTTTCGATCTTGACCACGAACTTGCCACCCCCGCAATTTGCCCGCACTGGCTGTGGACCCCCCTGGTCAGACGTACATGTGGTCGTCGAACAACGAGGACGCCAAAGAACCATTCGTCGTTGAGAAAAATTCTTCTTCTCGGATTTCAGCCCCCTCGATGTCTTCGTCTGGTGGGGTTTCCTCAACATCCTTGTTTCTGCTACTGGTGTTACTAAGTAACGCCACTTCCTCTTCTAACTCTTCCACCCTGCCATTCAGCGCTTCATTCTCGTCACTCAACGTCTTCATTTCACGTCTCATTGACTCCTTCTCCGTTTGCAAATCCGCTATTAGTCTTGTTGCTATAGACTTCTCCTCTTGCAGGAGCTCGTAATCTCGTCGATGCTCCTGCTTTGGTTGGTAACCTTTATGGTTGGACAAATTGTTGTGATTGTGCTCACCACCAGCAGATTCGTTGTCGGATGATACGTAACCATTTGTGTTGGATGGTAGGGTAGGAGGCGACGATGGAGGCCATTGATAGACTTTCGGAGCTGTGGCACTCGATCCTTCTGAGGTTGCCTTTTGAAAAAAGAACAGCTTGGGGATGAAATAGATACAAAGAGTCACCAGGGAATCCAATGCCGTAGCAATGCTCACCAACCCGCTATTGATCACCGGCGACACCGTGCTTGATGCAAGAGCCAACAGGACCACTCGAAACGCTACAAATGCACACTGAGAGTATATCACGGCTGCTAACACGGTTGACTCCCGAAAGCGTTGGGGGGTTCTTCGTGTCTGAAAGGCCAAGACGGCGGCCCACATGAGCAGCATAAAATGAAACAACATGGCGGTGTACAGCCAATAATCCGACTCTGAACTACAATGCCTTGAATAGGCGACAAGTGTCTCTCCTTGATCATTGACTTGGTCCTCCAAGGTGAAATCCGTTCGAGGTTTTGGTGGATCCACAATCGTCCAAACGGTCATTCCAATAATCGTGAAGGTGGCGAACCCAATGACAACGGCAAACAGATTGGCGCGTTTGATCTGAACTCGTTTCATCTTCTTGGCGGCACTTAATAACCTGCATGATCGAGTTACATCGGTGAGCATGCAGTGACTGCCAGTGGGTTCGACGATGCCATTGAGAGACGAGAGACCTTACCTGTTGATTGCCGTTACCTTAACAATCAACGGTACCTACATGTACCGTGCACGCATTTGCAACGAGTGAGCATTGCATTATTGCAGTTCCGTTATGCATCGAGTTGATGCGGGGACCAAACCTGGGGCACGTACCAACTCAAGGGTGTACCCGAGCTCAAGAAGCCATACAGAAGCAACGCAGGAACCATTGGAGGGTTCGAGGGCATTGACAATGGACGCGCAGGATACCAAGAGCAGCCCCAAGAGCAGAATGAAAAGAAAGTCCACTTGAGCGTGTTTCATGACCGTGCTTTCCCGCCGCATAAAGACGAAAATCGAAGTCACAATCGTCATGAGTGTCGCAAATCCCCCAATGGTCAATGCGGCCTTGTCAAGTGCTCCCTGATACACGACATAGTCTTGTAGTACGCGTGGATACGAAGGCGGAATCACATGCTCGATGATCTCGTCCAGATGACTGTAAAAAAATTTGCAGGTAGCGAGGCGTGGGTCGAACCCAGTGGAATCAATATCTCTGTCCACCCATGCTTTGAGTATTTCTCCCATTTGCAGGTGTGACATTCTGTAGTCTCGGATGGCATCAAAGGCTGGACTGTGGACTGCCGCGGGTTGATTGGAGGGTTTTGAACTGGATCGCAAAGACGTTGCCAGTAGCATTTGTAATGAATACGGAAAGTAATCGCAGGCTCCCTCGGGTTTCCCAAAGACATCAAGAGGGTTGTCGGAGTGGCAGGTAAAAAATTGTGTGTAATTCTCTCTGGATTGACGGCACTCCAAAGTCGGATTGGGGAAGGTAATTCTGAGCAACTCGGTTTCAGTGGATGCGTATTTAGCGCTTGCCCCGTCTGGTGCGCTGTCAATGGTCAAAAAATGTGACTTTGTGGCATTGGCGGCATCCCATAATTCTAATCTTTGCGGGTACGTGTATTGCTGGCTTGTAAGTGGAATATTCAAATGGTAGATCCATGGTGCGAGGAGCGACGGTCCGAGCGTACTGAGACAGGGAACATCGGCAACGTGTCCCGTACACGTGGTTGGATTTGTTGTGCAATTGTTGGACGTGAGTGTCCGAAAGTATCCTTTATAGAGCCCCTTGACATGATACCTTTCTCCTTCGCCTTGGTCTCGAGGAGGTCGTTGTGCGGTGTGATCAGGTTCTGTACAAGAATTGTTAGATACAAATTCGCAGTAATCCTTCCAAGTTGTTGGATACTTGAACAAGTCTGCGAGTTTTTCTCGGGTTTGTTCTCCGGTCAGGCCCAAATAGGAGGTTATCGATGGTTCTTCCACGGCAGTGAATTTGGTGACTGCATGAACACAAGCAAGAGTACGGTACCGGCATGTCATGGCACGGTGGGACTATTGGATAAGACGATGCGACATGACACGACTCTGTTATTACTCGCTGAATATAATATGATAGCCATGAACTTACCGTATAGACCTCGATACCCCACTGCCCCCAAGGGCTGTGTACGTTCAATGATCCCCATATCTTGCATCTGATCAACTCCATGAGTAGTGTTTTGTCCCGATCCTTCATTGTCCCAATATTCAGGGATGACATGAGCACAGCTGAGCCAGTATTTTTGGTTCTTGTTGGTGGCCTTTTGTTGACTCCCTTGTTGCTGCACTTGCTGGCAATCCCCGTTGGGTGCATCAGCAGCTGTGGTAAGTGTTTCCCAGTGATCTACATCTGGAACAAATTGCAAAGTGTTTTGTGGATCATAAAAGTCTACAGTCAAGTCATATCCTCCTGTTTCTAGACTGACGGGCACCATAAGAATTTCACTGAGTATCATCTGCAGCATCCATGCATTGGCGACTGAAGAAGCCCAATTCTGGCCATGGATCCTGACTTCAGTGTAGGCATCCACCAGAAAGCTATAGTTTGGATGGTTGGTGTAGTTGGCACAGACTCCATTTTTTTCAGCATCAGGAGGATCTTGACTGTTGCAAATGCGCTTTTGGCTCCTGATTTTCTTGAGCAAGGCAGAAAACTGATTGCTTTGGGACTTAAGACCATAGGCATTCAGGACTTGTTCTGGACTATTCAGCAGAGTGTACAGACATCCCTGTTCGAAGGGATTGCTGCAAAAGCCATTCACACACTTGGAACCAGGATACAGAAGACTCCCACAGAAATCACTACCGGTACTACTAGTAGAAGTTCCATTCTCACTACCTGTACCGGTAGGACAGGATAAAGCACCCACCGCCACCAGTACATGTTCCGGTACCAACACGAGCACTAGCACCAGCAGCACACACTGCCAGCTTAACACTGATAAAGAGGAAGGGAACAGCATCAACATCATGTCAATAGTATCATATGTATACCATGTGTACCATGGAGCAGTGGTCCCTTCGGATTACACGAGTTGAGTTCTGACTGACCATGTCTGCTGGTGATGGTACGTCGCACAGCCGTTTCAAAATGGGATTAAGCTGGCTTTTTCTTGGTAGGACCACACTATGCATACTGGGGGGTGGCACAAATCAACTAACTGCTATTTCATGAATTCACTTTTCAAGCTGAAGACCCATTTAGTTAGCATCATCTGCGTCTTCTGTACTGGTACCGGTACCGGTACCACCGTAACACTCGCAATCCAGGCGCTCCAGAGCACGCATCATAGTAAAGTCAACCAGAGAAACCCACCTATAGTTCCAGCTATTAGCTAGCGGAGTAGCTAACTAGGCGGAGAGCTAGCTCTCTAGCTAGCTAACCAGCCAAAGGAAGCAGCGGGGAAGAAACTGAATCTAAAAGAAATCAAGAGCTCGTTTCTTGCTTTGTCGCTCTCGTGTTTCGTCATGCGATTGTGCTCATCAGTGAAGACCGAAGCCGAGAAATCAACCACACCCATTGTCCCTCCGACTAGCTAGCTGATAGACCCAAGAACGTGCGGAGGTCGGAGGTCGGAGGAGCATGAAACCAATGTGTTTAGATCGCACGGCTCTTGCATCCACGTACTACTAGCTAGGATTTGCTCTGTGGCCACTCCTACTAGCAGGCTCGCCACCAGGTATCAGGTACCCAGTGTATCATTGCACCAGGTACCAGTACTAGCTAGTACTGGTAGCTCGAATGAGGGCGGGCAGATAGACTGCCCAATCAGTCTACAGAAAGAGAAGTGCTCTCCAGCGGTGGTTTTTACTGTTTATTACCCGTTCTGTTCGCACTCTGCTTCAAAGTAATGTTCACAACTAACTCACAGTCCACCAGCTGAACTAGGATGGCTGGGATCTTGACACCTGTGTTGACAGCTACCGGTATTGACAATGTCATGATAAGCCTCCCATTCACCCGAGTGTCAACGATTTCTGGAGGGATGTCACGTACTTTTTAAGAGTACTTCTGGGCTTACAATAGATTTGTTCAGAGTGGTCCCTAGTATGTAATGCTTCACCGTGCTGTTCTACTGGTGATGGGATTTTGGCCAGCTGCGGGTGTCAAGTTCTGACATGGGTGTCATTAAAATTTGCTGGGTCTCCTGTCAGTACAGTACAGTAGCTTCAGCTATGCATAGGTGATGGCTACATACATGTTGTGACCACCAACCTGTGAAAAATGAGGTGCAGCGAAAGATCTCTAGCTAGCTCTCACAAAATTGGGATCCTGCAAATTCTTTGCAACTCCTTCATCTTCACTTTCAAAGTTGCTTGGACGCACTCCTCAATGGATTGAGTGGCTGCAGCTTCAGTTTGCAGACACCGGTACTTAGCTACAGTCGTACCTGTCCACCAGCATGTCGACGACAGCTGATTCCAGCAGCAATTTGCTGCGCAAGAGTCGCCAGGAAAGGATGCTCGAAGACAGCATCAACAATCCTATACCTCCTGCCATTGAGGCAGAGATTGAAAAAACCCAAGATGCCAATTCCGAGGACCTGGAGGCCGATGGCGGAAACGAAAAGGAAGAACAGCATCCTGAAAACGGCAAGTTGTCTTCTTTGAAAGCTTCTCACAGCATGCCTAAACGTACCAAAAAGTTCATCATCTTGGTTGCGTGCGTTGCGGCAATGGGAGGTCTCATCTTTGGTTACGATATCGCCGGTGCAGGTGCGACATTCGTAATGGAAGGCTTCGAACTTCATTTTGGATGGAAATGTGTCGAAGGAGACCTCGAGTGTACCCCGGCTACCACAAGCGAAATCGATCGCGACAAGGGCTTGATCAATGGATTGTTTGGCATTGGCGCCACCTTCGGAGCCCTGATCAATCCTTACTTTGCTGAAAAGCACGGCAGACGAATTTCCTTGAGTATCTCTGCCGTGGTGTTCATTCTCGGGGCAGCGATTCAGAGTTTTAGTCCTACCATGGCGGTCATGTGGACCGGTCGCATCTTTAGCGGCATGGGCATTGGTATGCTCAGTATGTGTGCTCCCATCTACATTGCCGAGTGCTCCCCCGAGCACATTCGTGGCGCTTTGGGTACATTGTGGCAACTGGCCATTACCCTCGGCATTGTGGTGGCCAGTGCTGCCAATCTCGGTTTGCAACACTTGGATTGGGGATGGCGCCTGAGCTACGGTGGCAACATTTCGTTTGCCATTGTCATGTTGATCTGTTTGGCGTTTATGCCCGAGTCTCCCCGTTGGTTGGCGGCTCATGCGAGTGAAGAAGAAACGCGCAAGGCTCTGGCTCGGATGCGTTTCGAGGACGAGATTGACCTGGAATACACCAAGATTATGATTGAGATTGGCGAAGAATTGGAAATGGGAGTAGCTCCTTGGAGTGAAGTGTTTTCTGACCACAACTGCATGCGCCGTCGTGTGTTGCTCGGAGTGCTGTTCTTTGCATTTCAGCAATTGGCAGGCATCAATGCAGTCATGTTCTACGCTCCTGACATTTTGAATAAGTTCTTTTCGGAGAACACGGCTGTCTATGGAACGTTTATTCTGAATGTGGTGAACTGTTTGGCCACGTTTATCACCGTTGCGACGGTGGATAAGTTTGGCCGTACCAAGCTGTTGGTGGTGGGCGGCTGTCTGATGTTTCCCTTTTTGTTGGTGATTGGTATTTTGGCAACTGTGGATCAGACGCAAGGAGTGGGGTATGCCGTGATTGTGTTTTCTGCCTTGTACATTATCAGTTTTGCGGCCAGTTGGGGCCCTGTTCTTTGGGTGATTGTGGGCGAGATGTTTCCATTCCGTACTCGCGGCAAGGCAGTGGGTGCAGCAACGATGAGTCATTGGATCTTTACTACGATTGTGGGAGCGTTGTTTCCGGTGGCATCTTCAGCGTCTCTGTCCGCCTGTTTTTTCTTTTTCGCGGCCATGATTTTCATTGGTAACTGTGTGGTCTACTTTTACCAAGTGGAGACGGCAGAAAGGACGATTGAACAGATTGACGAGGCCTATGCTACCCACAAGCCTGCTTTGAAACGCAAGGATTGGTGATTTGACGAGCGAGCGAAGTACTATTGTTTGTTATGTTGGGTGACCCTAAAAGCTGGGTTGAATATATATATATATATTATGCAGAGGACAACGAATTCATAAGACATGGCTACGGTGGATCCGCCGAGCAGGAGGTGAAGGAGGCCAACAAGGAGCAAGGGAGAAAGGGACGATGTTGGTTGTTTTCCAAATAATGTATACAAGTTACATGTAAGCAAAGAAGATAAGAAAATTGGTGTGAGCATGAGCTCTAGCTACCGGTTGCTATGGCGATAGAGAGACTACTAAGCTTTGAGGAGTTGCGTTGCTGACCTCTTGAACTCTTGGAGCTCTGTGAAGTCAACTCCCACTGATAAGAGAGTTGCCGGTACCGGTGGGCGTGCAGATGGGGTTCTTGTGCGTGCCGAAGCATAGCACCCAGCACCAAAGTATCCGTGAATGGAAGTGAGGGATGAGAATCATTAGTGTGAATGAAAGTGATTGGCTGGTTGAGTGTCAAGTGTGAAGGGGAGCAATCAGAACAGAGTGGGAAAGATCTTCAGTAGATTTCAGTAGAAAATCTACTGGATTTTCCAAAGATACGATTTGGAGGCTTCTTGTTTTGTTTCTATTTGTTCTTCTGTTTTTGCTTTCGTTGGATACTGTCTTAGAGGGCCCATATCTTTTTCTTCTTGTCTTGTTGGTTGGATAGAGGTTGCTTCAAAAGGCTGCTGTGCTTGTGCTTGTATTCATTTCTCCTCTACCGAGAGATTCTCCCTGTCCTTATTGAAAGAAGTTCCTTTGATCTTTGTTTCATCAGCATTGGCTTTCACTTTATCAAGCACCATGGTCGTCCTCAAATCCCAATCGCATCCCAATCTGTTGCACTATGGACTTAAGACTGTACATGTACATGTACATGTACATGTACATGTCCCATCAGAACCAGTGTCAGCTGAGAGCGACTGTGAGTCCGAGTCTTCTCTTTTGGATGTCCATCCAATCTCTTCCAGCAAGGTTGCTACTTCTACTTCTACTTCTACATCTACTATTGGAAGTCTCTTGTGGAAGCTGATTCTGGCTCAGAAACTTCCTCTGGATCTTTCTAATGACAATGACAATAATAATATTTGGACCAAGCTGAAGCAAGAGTATCCAGAGCTGTCCAGTGTGAGTGAGTCTGACTTGCAGAGTTACCATGCAGCTCTTTCTTCCATCATCATTCTAGATGAACAAATGGATCCTAGAGCATCTCCACTGCTCAAACAGTACAATGGACATTTGCTTCCCATTTCAAGAACCATCTCTCAAGAACTGAAACAGCAAAGTCCTGACCAATTCACGGCTTTTGTCGCCGATTTTAATGACAACCTCGCGTACTCCATGAAATCTACCAGAGGTATCCCTACTTGTACCACTACTAGTACCACTACTGACAATGAAGAATGGACACAACAAGTCCAGCAACTGGAATCGGACATTCAAAAAGCGCTCAACACAAACGACATTGAACTTCAAGCTTCCTTTCTCAAAACAGAACATCACACCATCCCTCAACCGGCTCATGTCGATTATCCATGGAACACTCTCAACGAACGAGCACACAATCTATGGCTCGCCTTCTTCCCATTGACGTCACAAGGCATGATTCTACAACTATGGCCATCCCATGCTACCACCAATACAACTACAACCACGCAAACCAAGGGACAACTCGTATTTGTGCCATGGGACACCATGCTCATGGTTCCCTCGGATACCATTCATGGAGGAGGATTCCGAACATGTACCCAATCCGGCAATGTCCGCTATCATTTGTACATTGCTACACATGGAACGTCACTTCCACAATTCGCTCAAAACGTATACACACTCCCTCACGACAAGCGACGGGAACTATGTGACGGTTGTTGTGTCAATGCGCAAGGAATTGATGTCGAACATGCCACGGATGGAAACACCTTGTTGATGGAACTCTTGTTCCGCTAAGCAAGAAATTATTGTGTGGGCAGCCAGCCAAGCAAGGCAAACCGCAACGCGAAAAGAGATCGTTGGGCTTGCTGCGAAATCAATACATAGTAAAACCTATTTTAAAATTAATTAATAGCGAGTAGTTCCAATGCATTTTGTATTACGTACAACATCTATGAATGGCAACCAGTTGTGCGGTAGGTCTTCCCCTCTGTCTCGCTACCAGGTAGCTAGCTAGCCATTCTCTGTCGTCAAAATGGCGACCAGGCGAACTCAGCTGCCAACACTTCTGTGGTACCGGTACTTCCGTTGTCGTAACGTCGTTCACCGGTACCGTACCGAGCAGACGAACAGCCACCGTTGTCGGGAACACAGGACACGAGACACATCTAGCTAGCTAGAGACGAAGATAGATATCATTGATGATAGAATACAGTATGTTCAGTTATTTCATTTATAAACAAGAGCTGGGTTATATATACACGGGGCTCTGGTTTGCTATTGACAGTTTGGGCAACCGGACGGCAGGGCAGGGCAAGCAATGCTGAATAGATGATATTGACAAAGGGTACCTCTGATACTTGGAGGTCTGGATGGGTCGCATTGCTTGCTGCTTGCTTGATTGCTTGCTTGCTCAGGAGGTGTGTATGTACAGGGTCGATATGATAAAGACAGGCAGTTAGCTAGGCAGCCGGTGCCGGAATGTCGAGCAGGGTGTCTCTGCTGGGTTGAGACTCCTCTTGACTGTGTCGTTTGTGTTTGTGCTGGTGCTGTACAACCTGCTTGAGACAGAGCACAACTACATTGGCTGAGAAGAATGCGTAGTGTTCTTTGGATACAAGAGGAAGCTTTGCATACGGCAGAACATCTCTGAGACACTTGAGACAATGAATGGCGTCTTGCTTGTGTTGAAGAAGGGCATTGGCATGAGCCATGTTGTTGAGAATGGCGAGCCTGAGGATGTGACATCCCTGATGAACTTGAAAGTTCTTGGCCCAGTGTTGCATGGCACTAAGAGCAAACGTGTAGAGCTGAATGGCCTTGGAAAGAGACACTTTGGCAGACTTGTTGTGTGCCAACAGGTAGACTCCTCTGGAGTGATGCGTGGCTGCCAAGTTGTACGTGAGGGCAGCCATGGTGCCATCGCGGTTTTCCATGGATGTCACTGAACTGGTACTGGTACTGTGAGAAAAGGCAAAGACGTGGTCAAACATTTGAAAAGGGAGGTTGTCAGTGGAGGAGGAGGAAAAAGAAGCAGAATCATTGGTGGGATGAATGGGTTGGAGAGCAAACAGACTTGGTCTTTCCAGTCCCTCTTGATCAACTTGATCAGGTTGATCAGGTTGACATGCTGGGGTATTCATGTTCTTGGCTTGCTTCAAGTGATGCAATGACTGAAGCAAGCTTTGCAAGGCTTGTCTACTGCCATTGCTGTTTCCTGATTGCAGTTGCCGAATCCCCAGGTTGTTCAGGCCAACTATCCTTCTTTCCTCAGTATCAGTGCATGTAGATGTAGATGTAGATGTAGATGTAGATGGAGATGTAGATGTTGTCACTGCTGATGCTGTCATCTTGACTGACACCTCTCCTGGCTAAGAGTAGACTACTAGTACTAGTACGAGTGACAGTCTGTTGGAGTTGTTGTGTGAGGAGCAAGTTACTCAGTACTCGTAGTTTGTGTCAACCAAGAAAGAAAGAAAAAAACAATTCTATTTTGAAGGAGATACTAGTACCTCATTGGCCAACGCGCAACAGCCAATGAGCTGGAGCCTCAAACCTCCACCCTCCTCCACTTACTAAGCAAGAAACCACTTACGGAGGAACCTAGCTAGCAGCCAGTACATGTACCAGTACTTTGGTCTCACAACTCACAAGGCTTTTATTTGTACTAATACCTGCAAGGAAGTGCGAAGAATGTTCAACCTGAAAGGAGATATTAAAATGCCACGGAATTCCAGGTGGCATTGACGACTTCCACCGCCTCAAAGAGTACTAGTACAGGTACATGAGTCGAGTCGAGTCGCCAACTTACCTGTGTAATACCAAGAAGGACAGCTACTAGCTAGTAGTAGACTTTCGTCAGTTTCCTGTTCCTTGCTATTATTTTAATCGACTTTCTTTGGCACTGCCGTAATCCACACACAAACTCAGACTCGTCACTTTGCAAATTCAATCGAATGCTTTCTCCCCGCTCCCCGCCCGTTCTCCTCACTACATGTACTAGTGTACTAGTACTCACTCTCTATCAATGCGAAAATAAATCGGGAGCGTCATTCAAAGAATACTTATTACCAACTCAATAACTCCGTCAAGCACTCAAGCACTCAAGCACCAACTAGTACTGTCGACGAAATTAGCACACAATCAACTACACTGACTCAAGCATCTACTTTTTTCAACCAACGACAGCAAACAGAACACGCACACCCCATCAGCAGCAAGGCAACCAAACTTCAATGCGCCACACAGAAACCTTCCTTGCCGAGTACGAGTGCTACAGTCAACATTCAGATATATATACTGGGGGGGATTCAGGAATTCAGTAAATATAACAGCGAGAATAAATATTGATTTTATCCCTAACCCTAACTATTCCTGTAGAATTGTACGTGCTCTAGTACTAAAATAGGGTTAGAGTTAAAAATGTGGGAACTGGAGTATTCTTAAATATTATAGAGCGAATAAATACAAGATTATAAATATAAGCGAGCGTTGACTGTACAAGAAATTCAATCAAAAAATTGTGAGCACCTACACGTCAGTGCTGCCACTGACGTATGCTCTTTTTTAAATATTTTCATCAGAGGTCTTCTTTGGACATCGTGGAACATGAAAACACCATTCACATTCGTATGCAAAGCATTACTGGAGTACTACTGAGTCATCAGAATTGTGGAGCGCTAATCTTTCATCTTCAACTTTTGGATTGATATCAAAAGGAACCCGGCATTTAGGACCCAACCGGCACTCCGTACACGTTGCTCTCGTTGCAGACTGGAACTGCGCGGGTGAGTACCGTACTTGCAACAGCATCGCTCTGCAGTAGTCTAGGTTCTGCAGTTCGAGCCAAGGCCGATCCGACAGGAGAGGCTGCAGGTCAACGATACGCATCTCGTGGATACATGGTGGCTGGCTGCCTGTCAAGAAGAGCGAGCCGCCAACAACTGGCTGGCTGAACTTGTATGAGCATCAGGCAGGCAGCCCGATGACTGGACTCGACTCCCACCACTTGCATCTATCCGCGTGCTCGTTTCGAATGACAAACCCACTACTAGCCAACAGATCATTGCATCTTTGAAGCAGCATGATAGTAGAATGATCATTGCTTGCATCCAAGAACCAACCCTTTTGTCGGTGAAGCCCTAGTAGTATTCCAAAATGAGCTCAGCGACTTTCGTTTGGTTGCCTTGCCTTGGCTCGCTGTATTTCAGAGGTACCGGTACTTCGGTCAGCTATTCGACGATTCTGCGTCGTTTGGAGGACTCTAACTTTTGGCGTGGCTCTTGTCAGCTTGTCAGCGCCGTTTCCCCTACTAGACAGTTGCTGGCATTCATGCGATCGGAGTCCTCGTAAGATCTCTCTCCGTGACCAAACCAGCCATGACAATGATGAACCCACGTTGTCGATTGGCTGAACAGGATAGTTGGATAGTAGGAGTCGTCGTCCTTTAGTCTCGTTGGGGTGATGGTGGGCAATCTGTTGCATCCAGCACTACCGCTACTCTAGAGTACCGGTGCTGGTACTGTGTGGTGCGGGACAAGTTATCTTTCAAGAAGCCAGCCAGCCAATTGCTTGGTGCCAATGCCAGAGATGTTGCACTAACTAGTTAGCTCTTATCAAGGAATAAGGAAAGCTCTGCATTCCGATCTCGCAATGGCGTTGTAGTCTAGTCTAGTTTGGAGGGATCTTCGTAGCTTCGTGGGCCGAGGTTGCACATGTTTCTCGTCGTGTTTGATGGAGCCGGCATCGTTGTGTTCACGGGACTCCATTCGGAACCGTGGATCACCGAAAAACACTCTCCGCACACCACCACCGGTCGAACGATTCGATTCGATTCAAGCCTCCTTTCCTTGGAGCACATGGCATCATAGCTTTGATTCGATTCTATACTTGGATATGCATTGTTGAAACGCAACAGAGACAAGACGAAAAGACAAGAAAGTAGCTACAACAATCATGGCAACAAACGGTGCGCATCGCAGCAAGTTGTTCGTGGTGGGAGCGACTCCGCACTCCAGCAATGTCATTGTCGACCAAAGAACAAAAGATGGACAACAAAAGCTTCAAAACGAGCAACGGCGGGCGTCTGTATGGCAATCAGAGACGATCGACCATTCTCGAACCCATTTGTCACGCTCAGGAGGAGACAACCGTGAAATCGTTGATACGGGCACGAATACCCACCGTGAATCTGTTATCGGTTCAGGTGAATTTCTGAGGGAGAAACAGCACATTGCAACTCGTTCCTTCCAACGAATGTCGAGCCGAAGATCGCTCGTTTCGTCGTCTTCTGGTTCCAACAGATCCCTGATGAGTGAGAAATCAGCCATATCGGAACGATCGGAGCGTCGTGTCAAAACCAGAGCCAAGCGCAAGAGCAGCAGTCCCGATCCGAGACTCGATGCCGCTTCTGCAAGTTTTGAAGAAGAAGAAGAGATCGACTACTATCCCAAAGCTGGCACAGCAGAAGCTGTATTGCCAACTCTGGAGGAGTCGGGCATGGAGTTTTCTTACCGAAGCGACACAACTTCTAGCAGACCAGCCCCGTTGTCGGCGCCACAGCCTGGGTCAGACATTCCATGGTATCCGTCGTCCGGGCAGCACCCCCATGATGGCAGTGGTTTGGTAATGGCCGTGGTGGTTGACGAAGAAGAGGAAGCAGCTGATATCCCCTATGCAACTGCAGTGAGCGATGACACAGAGAAAATTTGCTGTCATCAGAGCCGCCTATCACCGTTGCTCTGGCTGGCATTGTTCTGTATCGTTTCGATCAACGCTGGGGTCGTGGTGACAATGCTGAAAAACCAGAGTTCATCCGATCCGTCTTCGGATGCTGCATTTCAAAGCACCCCTGATGAGGTGGCTTCCCAGCAGCCACGTCCTGTGGACCTGGACGATGCTACAGATTCGTTGCTACCGGAGTTGAGTATTCCGACTCTATCGCCCAACTTGCCCCCCACCCAACAACCTGCCACACTAAATAATGGGCGTCCACCCAACAACGATCGAACTCTGCCACCAGCAGGATCGCCTCAAGGGACGAAACCAACGACAGAAGCGCCCATATCGACGACTCTTGGACCCAGTCTGACTCTTGCACCGAGCCGAGAACCATCCGTCGAACCAGACTTGGTGGAAGCCAAGCCGACCACAACCACAGAGTCGGTAGTGTCCTATCCTCCCTCAACGCACCCGTCTGTCGCCGAAGAGCTGTCTGAATCTCCTTCATTCCCACCACCGACAACTCCACCAACAAGTACACCGCCAACGTTTTCACCGACGGCTCCTCCTAGTTTTAGTTTTATTCCGGTGGTTGTGGAAGAGAATCGTCGCCCTGGCTCGTTGAATCCGTTGGTGTATGTGAACCCAGTCCCAGAGGCTTTCACTTTTAGTAGTTGTGGTTCCTACACGAATGGAGGGGCGTGCATGAGCACCCCCGGTTGTAGCTGGCATGGTGGTACTTGTTCCTCCACAGCCAATGCTGGAAGCTGCTCATCGTACACGAACGGTGGAGCATGCAAGAGCGCGGGTTGTTTGTGGGAGGGCGGCACTTGTTCGTAAGGCTGATGTCCAGAACGAGGAGCCAATCGCTTCCCTTTTTTCTTTTGCCATTTCTAATAATTAGTTGCCGTCATCATCTGCATCACATGTGGCTTTGTGCCTTTGACTTTGCTAGAAAGATATCGATGTTTGTTTGTATCATGGGGAGATTTTTATTAAAAGAGACTGGATTATTATTTTTGTGGGAATATCGTAAGTAAGTTAAAGGTAGATAGATTGGTAATCGTAAGAAGATTCAAAAGAAAAAAGAGGACACCCGCGTGGTCTTGGTTGGGTCATCGTTTGATACGTTGGTAGTCTTTTTTGTTTGTTTGACTGTTTCCTTGGAAAGGAAAGGAAAGGAAAGGAAAGAGCAGAATAATGATATTAATAATGATACCATCACACACCAACAGAATGGTGTGCCAAATAGATAGGTATTTGTAGTTTGTGGTTTGTGGTTGGCAGGCAGGTAGATTAGATGAAACAGAACAGAAACACCTTCAGATCAGGATCAGGTACTGATACTGAAGGTGGTTAGGAATTAGGCAGCAGCAGTGGCAGGAGCCTTGTGGGTGTAGACATGGTGTTGCTGCTGCTGATGGTGGTGTTGGTGTATGAGACTCCAGACTTTTTGCCTCGAGAGTTCCAGTTCAGGAGTGATGGTGGCTCTGCTTCCAGTGAAGAAGTGGTTGGCTTTGGAGAATACTGCCAAATTGTGAGATTGAGATTGACTGACCTGCAAATTCTTCTGCATCTGAGCCAAGGCCATTTCACTGGTCCTCATGCAGTGAGCCAGGTTCTCCAAGGAACCAGGATACTGGTTGTAGGTATTGGCAGTACTGTTGGCAGTGATAGTTGTTCCAAAGTGGTTGGTAGAAGAAGACGTAGCATCGGAGGGAGGAGACAAGAGAGCATCCAGATCTTCGTGTTCCATGTTGACAGCCAAAGACAGAGGAGGCAAAGGATCTGTCTTGACAGCCAATTCAGAGTTGTCCATTGTGTCCATGGCCATTGACATGGAAGTGTCCAACATGGCGTCCACACCCGCCAAAAATTCACTTTCAAAATCCATTACTTCCAATTCCATTCCGCAACTTTCATCCACAAAACTAACGCCATCCAAAAAGCTTGACAAGGAGGTATTGTTGCACATCTTGATACCGGTAGATCTGATTATTAATTAAAATAGATAAATGGTTGGATAGAAGATACAGTAGTAGACAGTCCTCTTTCTTGTTTCTTCAAAGAATTTGGTGAGACTATTACAAATTGTGAGAGAGAATGGAAAGCACCCTCCAACAACCCAATCTTTCTTTCTGCTGACCAACAAAAATCGGCACTGTTACTAACCATTCCTTCGGTCCTTCAACCTGGTACAAAAGCTACGCGGCCAAATCCTGCATACAGAGTGGGGAAAGACCAGAACACATGGGTCATCCAGTCTTTGGATATGGTCATCAATGACTTCAACCGTCACTACTGCCTCGAACGTACTCACTGCCGTAGCTGTCCAGTACTAATCTTGCTTACTGCCCTGCCTCCAGCCTTCCCTCCTTCTTCACTTTCTGCAGATCTCATCACATCAGATTTAACAATATTGCCATTGATCTTGGATGCCTGGCATTCAAAAAAGTCACGCCGTTAAGACTCAGGCATAAGGGACCGATGCCTGGCACTCACAATGGTCAAAACATGTCCGATTTGAAAGACTCTTGAAGTTGCTTGCTTTGATCCACTGCTGCAATTTTTTGCTGGTTTGTAGCTTACTGTTACATGTACAGCATCTTGCTCTGGACTGTACCGGGAGCACTACGAGAAATAGGGTTCTTCCAAGCCATCCGTCCGCTCACGACCTCCAAGTCATCCTCCATGATCGCTCTTTCCAATCAGCGTCCAGAAACTGGTGGCCTGCACTCCCGCCATGATACGTTGAAACCCAAAAGGCACGGTGGCGTGATCGGCATCCGCGGAAGCAGTGTTTGGTGGTGGAGTTGCTTGACCACTGGCTACCGGTAACCAAGAGAGCTAGCTAGCTGGCTAGCTAGCTAGATTACCGGTAAAGGAGCAAGAGGGCACGGAACCTAGCTAGAGTGCCTTGAATTGTTGAATAGCAGCAATCTTGTCTTGTCCCTTGATTACTTTGATATCTGATTAGTAAAAGTTGATCATGTGGTGCGTAGAGTAGCTAGTTATCGACAAATGCGGCTCCAGCCATTGGGGCCCAAAGCCTGTATCGTACCCATTCGACGCAATCCAAGCAGTGGCATCGGGCATGATTCTGATCCACCAAACGGGAAGAGACTGGAAGGCAGAACTCGCCCTGTACGCTCCCGCAACGACACTGAAAACTTCCAGTGCGACAAGACAAGAAGAAGGAATCAATGATGGATGCAAGCAATGCATGAAGGCGGGCATGCTTGATTTGGATTGGTGCTGTGGTGCAATCCATCTGGGTTAGACCTTGATCTGAAAAAGCACCCATCTATCCAAAAGTATCTTTATCTGTTCGCTGGGTTTGGGTTGCTTCCCTGATGATCGCACTGGTCTTTTTTAAAAAATAGATTAGGCTAGAACAGTTACTAGCCAGCTAGCCAGAGTACCTGGACCGTCCGACGGTTTTCACTCAGGCTTTAAAAACGGGCACGACTGACTCATAATCCTGGTTCTCATAAGGGGTTGTTTAAGGGGATGTTGAAGCTTTAAGGGGTTGTTTAAGGGGATGTTGAATATTTAAGGGGTTGTTGTTAAGGGGTTGTTTATTTAAGGGGATGTTCATTCTTGATAAGGGGTTGTTGTATGGCGTTTCAATGAAGGCTTAAAAGGTTGTTTCGAGGATATAAGGGGATGTTGTTAAGGGGTTGTTTATTTAAGGGGTTGTTTAAGGGGATGTTGAAGCTTTAAGGGGTTGTTTAAGGGGTTGTTTAAGGGGTTGTTTAAAAGATGTTGTCAGTCGTGGCATTTTGAAGATTTTAAATCCTGAGTGAAAAGCGTCGGACGGTCGTACCAACAGAATATCTTTTCCTCCAGCTGTCCCGGTTGGTTGTCCAGATCAACTCCCGCACCTTTTCGAAGATCTTTCTTGGCTCGGAAACCCCCCAGTTATCCCGCCGATAACTGCACCAATAACTGCGCCGACCATCGACCCGACCAGCCAGCCAGCAATGACCGATTCGCAGGATACCTGGATATCGAGATCGTCTCTGCTTCCCCCTGTTAATCGATCAAAACTATGACAGCGCCTCTGCTTGCAGGGGGCAGCAGTGGTCGACAATACTACTATTTGATTGCTTCTGTTGAGTTGGTCATCGATCGGTGAGGCGTTGTTGTGATCGAGCACGACGACAACAGGATGTTTGCGCTCTCGAAACAGCAAAAGGCGGAAGCCCTTGTGGAGAAGGCTCGATCGGATCCCAACACGTACACCAAGCCGTTGGATTTTGCCAGCAACCCCGACCTCAAGGACTTTCTGATGCACTTTTACAAAGAGATTCTCTTCAAGAAAGCCGACGAAATGAATGCCATTCTGGCAGCACACCCCAATACGGTTGGCAAGTTTTATCGGCAATTAGTCCCATCCAAAATGGAAAAAGAAGACTTTTGGCAACGATACTATTATCGAGTCAAATCAGTCGACTACTACTTGGAAATGTGGGAAAAGGAAGAAGAGGGCAAGAAACATGCTACTAGTATCCAAGATACATTTAAGAGATTTCTGGGGATGGGGGGAGGATCGACAGAGGCACCACCGCCTGCTACAGGTACTGATGAACTGATCTTGTCGGATGATGACGAAGAAACGGGGAAACAATCCGCTCAGAAAGCAAAGGAAGACGTTTTCTACGATTCTCGGGAGGCGCTAGAAGGAGGCGACAAAGGCGACAAAGGAGCTGACTCCATGCAGAGAAGCCGCATGACTGATCTTGGACGAAGTGAACCGCTGTTGAGGCTGGAAGGTGACATGCCCGATCTGGGGCGTAGTGAACCATTTTTGAACTTAGAAGGGGGTGATGACGGCCTCAATCTATCGGAGAATTCAGGTCACAGTACACGCAGCAACCGTAGTAATCGCAGCGGAAGAAGCAAGGGCTCAAGAGGCAGTCGGTCTCCGAGGAGAGCAAGGGAAAGAATACGGAGAAGGAGAGAGGGCAAAGACAAGAAGGCATCCAAGGACAAGTCCACCTCCCCTCGAACTAGCCCCGCAAAAGAGAGACAAGCAACAACAAGAACCAAAGACTCACCCATGCTGTTAGACTTTCCTTCCACCCGAACGTACGGACATCTTGCAAGAGCAAAACCTCCAAGTGAGCAAAAGGAAGATGGCGAGGAAGGTAAACAAACGAAGTCGAAGTCGACTCCCCCCGGAGCAGGGAAAGAGGGGTCGCAGCCAGCTGGTATGGGAGAGTCAAGCGCCTCAGCATTTACTATGGACACCACAACTGCGATGAACACGGCAATCAACACTGGAGGGATGCTTGGGAACATGATGAGGGGCATGTGGGAGAGTGCCAATAACATGAGAATCCCATATCCGTCCATGGAAGTCAACAACAATGGGAACGACGACCAATCAACAACAGAACGTCCGGGATCCGATCAAGACAAGCGCACCGTTCGTTGGAATCCGCTCGAGACGGTTGCGACTCCCACTAGCTCTACAACGCGCATGGCTTCTTGGACGAATCCACAAGATGCTGAAGACGATGATACCATCGTGTCCGTCGAGTCCAACGCAAGTGGCAAGAAGTCATTTCAAGAAAAGAATGCAGGGCGCATAAGTGAAATGCCTCCACCAATCGAGGAGCACGATCGGTCTTGTGCGGAATGGATATACTACGTTGTTTTCGCATTGTTCGGAGTGCTTGTTGCGGTGATCATCTTCATGTTAGTCAACCCCGACGCTGCTGTGTCAACAACTGATGGATTCTGCGCTCCAATCGCTCCTTATCAAGTGTTGACAACCGAAAAGGGGAAGGTTGGCATCGCTCCTTGGTGGGTGTTTCCTTCAAGTTTCAAGCCTTGGATGTTTGATTTGTTTTGCGGTGACGATCGAGTACGTACCATGTTGATTTGGGCGCCTCGAAGACACACGGACACTTCGTTTCGTCTGGTCATTGGCGACATTTCAACGGAAGAGACCCTGCTGAAAATCAAACGCTTGAAACGAGTTCGTCTGGCGCCAGGCAAAATTGAGGTGTTGGAACGAGAGGACAAGGTTGCTGAAGATGGGACGTCGTCGTCGACAGAGAGTCATCCCAACGTGCTGCTGGCGGTTTGGTCCAAGTGGTGGGTGATATCCAACGAGATGTCTGCCGAGCCAGAGAACAGTTAGTTTGGCTCGAATCTAGTCGAGTAACTCATTCGCCATTGGATGTTGACAGACGGCAGCTGCAAACGAAGACTCACCTCTTGACGTGGGGAGCCACGCCCGGCCTATGTCGTCCGTAACAGGGACCAGCGTAGCGGTACCACTCAATGGAAAAACTGAAGCACCGAGCACATGCTCATGCAGATGCTGAGTGATAGTACCGTTGGTCGACGGTGGAACGGATTCATTCAGCCGAACTTGAGTTACCCCCAGGTTGCCGTCTACTTTTGCCGGCTGTCGTACCCGAAGACTGGAGCATTGTCTTATTGATGCTTGCCGGAGGTTTCGCACTGAGCACGAGCAGCCAATCTCATGTCAAGCATGACTGTCTTGACGCCCGGCATGGCACATGGGCCGCGCTCCTCTACCGGTATGGTTGATTGCGATCCGTACGATTGGCCTGGCTCAGCCTGAGCGAGTTCATAGGCCAATGCATGTATGTGCAAGCAACGGTGCATTCGTAGCTGGTGTTTCGAGGCTACGTCAGCGAGCGATCCAGGTGGCGATAGCTGAAGGCAAACGACGTCAAGAGAAACGATTCAAAGAGGGCCCAACTGCATCGAGCTCCGTTTCACTCCTCACGGAAGAGCAGCCCTCAAGTTTTCGAGAGCATGTTCCCGACTCAAAATTTCAAGGAACTGGTTTCTTGTGTGTTCCAATCACAGTACGATTGATGCCTGCTCCAGGTGATATATTAGTACTAGTATTGAATCTTTTGAGTTCCTCCTCCGTCTCGCCAGGGCGGCAGAATAGAACAGAGTTGAGGTACTATCGTATATCGGTAGCTACCACCGAACATCAAAAGGATGTGTGTCCGTTGCATCTCATCTGTACGACTGATGACTTGTGGTCTCCCATTCTCTATCTACGGTATCATATGCATCTACATGTACAGCTATCTGGTAGAGTTACGGTACGGTACCATACTCATAAGACGAAGGTCATATTGAATAGGATCGCACCTCTCGGGCCAGCCATGACTATGAGCGTCCACCACGGTACCGTACCATACCTTTCCTCACGATTGATGACCACGCTTCAACGCACCCTTTCTTGAAGATTGAATGAATCCGTTACAGTCTGATGCCGTACTAGTATGTAACCTAACTATCTATTGCTGGCTTGATGCAGGTACTTGTAATACGGTAGCAGTCAAGACCATCAAGTTCTAGTTGGCTCCCAGTGTGTTTCAACTGCTCAGCGATGGTCAGCAAGGTCCCGAAACACCAAGGATGTTTGAAATTTTTGAAACAGTTTTAGTTTCTCAGTTTTAGTTTTTGTTTCTGATTTTTAGTTTCTCAATTTGAGAAACTAACAGTTTTAGTTTCTCATTTGATAAAATAGTTTCTCATTTCTGGCAGAAATCACAACCCATGTAATAGCAGTTTCTTACACAGTTTCTCATTTCAGAAGATAGTTTCTCATTTTAGACCAAATGAGAAACTAACTTTCTCATTTCAGAACTTAGTTTCTCAAATGAGAAAGTAGTTTCTCATTTGAGACTGTCAAAAAAGGATTACAGTCTGGTTCCCCACCTTGCAGGAATTTCCAAGAAAAAGTGAGGGGTGAAGCAACCAGAATCACCAGGGAATCTGCTACCAGAGACTAAGTAATGAGTGATTAAGGGGTATTTCATGTTATTTCTTTTGTTTGTTAAAATATTCCAAGATCTAAGGATCCTTTGCAATCCTTTTGTTCCTTTGACTCCGAGTCGTTGATAGTCCAAAGTGAGAAAGTGAGCCATGCTGGTTGCGTTCCCAGGGAGCATTTGTACCTGGTACCAGTCTGTACGGGATCCATTCCAACTGGAAACCCGAAGTTCGGCGAGTTCTCTTTTTTCGAGAATGATCCATTCGTGTTTTTAGCCTACGAGATTGTACGCAGACGTAGAGATCCCAGTGGCTTTGAGTACTAGCTAGCTAGTACCAGCATTCTCAACAATCAACAACGCCAACAGCAAGAGGCATCCCGTGCTTCTTCTGTAACACACACACATCACTACTGTATCAATCCTAAACTAGTAGATCATACCATCACCGTTGCTATCGCCACTATAGCTTAGCTAGTGGCGTCTACGAACATCAGTAACACTGTAATACTTCCACGGGAGCTTCCGTACAATTATCTAGATTCCTTTATCCAATTGAAACCTCGCTCGGTAAGCCAAGCATCACTCCTGAACTTTTTTCTTTCGTTCTGTGGATCAGCTCACAAATTGCAAACTGCAAAACCCAAAACCCAAAAAGCAAACAAAGCAAACAAAGCAAACTATCGATCAACCATATCTTTTTTTAAGATTCAAAGACAAAGACAAGCAATGACGAAGGAAAACGAAGCTACCGCAACGGCGGCGAGTGTCCCAGAAGGTTCTCCCGAAGCCAACGACAGCAATGACAATGTCAAGGGCGAATCGAGCAAGAGTCCTCCCTCCCGTCGCAACCTCTACTTGGCGTTGGGCGTGGTCTTTCTCGCCGTCGTGGCGTTGTGTATTGCGTTGCCTCTGGCATTGAAGGACCGTGGAAATGATTCCCAAAGCAGCACCGCTTCCAGTACTGAAGCCAGCACTACTGGAGGTACTGGTAATACTGCAGGCTCAACCGGTGCAGCAGAGACCAAGGATCCCAACGTCCAAGTGGGAGGAGAAGTCGTTGTCCTCAAGGATATGACCATTCCTCTCTTTGGAACTCAAATCACAAATGGATATGCAAATCAACAAGAACTAGAGGCAGCATTGACCGTCGCTTTGCGCACTCAGGCTCAAAACATTATTCACAAAAAGCTACAGGAACAAGAGTTTCAAGAAGAAGCTTTGAGGGAAACGGATCAAGCGGCTGGACCTCCACCCATGGCCATGGCAGATGGGGGCGTCGCAGAAGAATCAGCTTCTTTCAGTTCCTTGGCGGCTGGTGGAGCTGCGGATGCTGCGGATGCCGGAGGTGTCACGGACTTTGAAACCAACAATCAGGAAGAAAATGTGGATGAAGCAGACAGTAAGTAGACACACGCATCACACATGCATGCATTGGCGCATCTGCCATTCCAGCAATTTGGCACTCACCCGAGCTATTGGTTTTGTTTCTTACGTTTTCTTGCATAGTCATCAAGGCAGATGCAAACTTTGTCTATGCCGCCTACGGAGACTACATTCTCATTTGGGATACCAATGGGAAAAAGATTGCTCAAGTCGCAATGCCATCCATTGATTTGCCAGAGAACTGGGGACAACCGGAAACAGTCGAAAAGGCACAGGCAAAGTCAATGCTGGCACCCGATCACGTTTGGATTCCAAAACCACACATTAGTTCCATGCTACTCACCGATAATCACCTCATTGCCATCGTACAAGGATACGGACACGATTACCACTGGGGAGCACCACCTGTTGGGCAAGAAACTGTCTCCAGGATCCTTTACGACTACCAAGCATCGCAGCTTCGACTATACGAAAAATCGGCTACTGGAAACCTCACATTTGTCGGAAAGAAAGATGTCAACGGACATTACATTGATGCCCGATCCGTTGGGGATGTTGTACACATCGCTACAGGTACTGGCGTGGACATGTGGACACATTTGTGGGGACCCTTGGATCGATGGAACTTTGAGGAAGATATCGCTGACGAAGACTACGAAATTCAAGCCATGGACCTTGCCGAACAAACCCTCATCCCCACCATGGCACGACAACTCGCGTCGGAATTGCAAACCAGCGATGGATCCATTCCCAACATGCTGCAGATCAATCAATGGATGACGCAACTCACAGACACCGACACCGAAGATGATGCCACCGATGGCGCAACCCCAAATGTCATTCCCTTTGATCAGTACGATGTTATCAGCAACGTCGCTCAAGTCACGTCCTTCAATGTCAACTCGCCATCGGTCAGCTACTCGGGAGAGGAGGAATTGGATGTTTCGACCAGTGCCTACATGGCTCCTTCGTATTTCGATACCCTCTACGGAACCGAAGATCATCTGGTATTGGCTACTTCCGGATGGGATTGGAATGCCACGCTGGGCGAATCCACTCAAACGACCTACCTCGTGGCTCTTTCCATCGATAGTAATGATGCTTCTACCTCGTTCTTGTCGGTTGGACACTTGAAGGGGCATTTGCTCAATTCGTACGCTTTGGATATCTACGGAGACGAGTTGAGGGCTGCCACCACCGTCGAGCGCAACCGCTGGTGGTGGGGACGACCAGGCCCCATGCCCTTTGTGGATCCTGTAATGGTGGAAGATGTCGCTGTCGAGGCCGTTTCAGCACAGGCCGTCGAAGAAGAACCAGTTGCTTCGCTGCAATCCAGCAATCAGTGTGTCGAACCAACCACCGATGAAGACTGCATCAGTCAGGAGAGCTACAACCAGTGCCTTGCAATTGCCAATGCTGGATGCGAAGTTGTTGTCCAGAGTATCGACTGTCCTCCTTTATTTTCCTGTGCCGATGATCGAGCAGGCCTTTGTCCTGTACCCGGAAATGGAGACAATTGCGTCGATGCCGACAACTACAAAGAATGTCTCAATCTTGTCAAGGAGGGATGTAGTGAACTCAACATCTTGGAATCTTGTCCGGTCCAATATGAATGTGGCGTCTTTGGTGGAGACGAGCTACCGATATTTCCTCCCGTACCACCCCCACCCGAGGATGATGAGTCACGAACCGAAAACTACATGACGGTGCTCAAATTGACGGGAGGATCCACACCCGGACAAATGGAGAAGAAGGGAGATGTCATGATTGGTGAAAAACATGAACGTATCACGGCTGTTCGCTTCTTTGACAATGTTGCTTATGCCGTCACCTTTGAACGAACCGATCCATTCTACGTCTTAGACATGTCCGTACCCGCCGTCTTGGGAGAACTCAAGTTGCCCGGATTTTCCAGCTATCTCCATTCGATGAATGCCGAGAATACGCTTCTTTTGGCGGTGGGCCAGAACGCCACAGACAATGGGGTTGTTACCGGGTTGATGGTCACTGTCTTTGATGCAACGAATCCTGCCGACCCTCGCGCACTTGTCAGCCATACCTTTGAACAGGACCCCAACGCTCATTCCAGCAGCAACGTTGAATGGGACTACAAGGCCTTCCGCTACGTCGATGGCAAACTGGTGATCCCACTCAGTATCTGGTACTATCAAGAATGGAACCAAACCACACAACAGTTGGATCCTCTCCCGGACGGAGTTGAAAACTTTCAAGGATTTGCTGTCTTGAGCGTGAGTACAACCTCCATCACGGAGCAGTACCGAATCTCTCACAAGAAAGATGAAGGAGAATGTCATTACTGTGGTGGATTCCTGCCAACCCGTAGCTTTGTTTATTCTGGAGACTTGATGACGGTTCGCGACAACGTCGTGGTCAGCACTGGCCTGAACAGCGGTGAAGAAGTGTGGAGGTTGTTTCTTTCTGTGGATGGGGAATCTGCTGAATGCTGCTGGTAAAGATTGGGGTTGGAAGAGCCTCCCGGTCCAGCTAGCAAGGACGTCTGTGTTGCTGGATCTGACCCTTGCATATTTCCATATGTCCAAATCCTTGACCTGTTAAAAAACACGAAGAATGTTGATATTATTATTAGTATCACTGAACGGCAATGTTCTACTAGCTAGCTAGTACTCGCATGCATTGACTGTCCTTTTACTACATGTAGTGGCAAGAACCAAGCCAGGGCGGAACACATCGGTTAAGGAACGAGTCACGAAGCCAGCCACAAATGCTTTGTTAATAAATAGCTAGCTACTAGTAGACTGCAGCAGACAATGTAACATAAGGATGTTGATATATTATTTAAATGCCTCTTCGTCATCTTCATAATGAAACCCAGCAAGGTTTTGAACCAGACTGCAATCCTTTTTTGACAGTTTCTCAAATGAGAAATTAGTTTCTCATTTGAGAAACTAAGTTCTGAAATGAGAAAGTTAGCTTCTCATTTGGTTGAAATGAGAAACTATCTTTTGAAATGAGAAACTATATATGAAACTGCTAGTACATGTGTTGTGATTTCTGCCAGAAATGAGAAACTATTTTATCAAATGAGAAACTATAACTGTTAGTTTCTCAATTTGAGAAACTAAAACTGAGAAACTAAAACTAAAAATGAGAAACTAAACAAATTTCCAAACATTTTTGGGGTTTCGGGACCTTGCAGGGCAGCCATTGTCACGAAGCCACTGGATCACTTCCGTTTCGTTGCTACTTCTGCTTCTTCGGGCGGCTTCAAATGTCCTATCATCCCATGGACACCCATTTTCACGAGCCCACTTTAAAATCTCCAAATGTCCACATTCAGCAGCGGTCTCACATGTGTATGTGTCCCATGGACAACCATGTTCACGAGCCCACTGCAGTATTTTCAAATGTCCACCTTCAGCAGCACCGGAACACGTGTATGCGTCCCATCGACAACCGTTTGCACGAGCCCACATCAAAATTTCCAAATGTCCACCTTGAGCAGCACCGGAACACGTGAATATGTTCCATGGACAACCATTTTCACGAGCCCACTTGAGAATTTCCAAATGACCATTTCCAGCAGCACGGGCACATGTCGATTCATCCCATGGACACCCATTTGCACGAGCCACTTCAGAATATCCAAATGTCCAGTTTTGCAGCACGGGCACATGTATCTGATGTCCAGGACAACCATTTTCACGAGCCCACTTGAGAATTTCCAAATGCCCATTCTCAGCAGCATAGGCACATGTCCATTCATCCCATGGACACCCATTTGCACGGGCCCACTTCAGAATATCCAAATGTCCAGTTTTGGCAGCACGGGCACATGTATCTGATGTCCATGGACAACCATTTTCACGAGCCCACTTTAGAATTTCGAAATGTCCACCTTCAGCAGCAGCGGCACATGTAGTTTCATCCCATGGACACCCATTTGAACGAAGCCATTGGAGCATTTCCAAATGTCCATTTTTAGCAGCAAAAAAGCATGTGCCTTCATTCCATGGGAATCCCTGTTTTCGTGCCCACTGCATGACAGTATGACTTCCAACTGTGGCAATGGCAGTGCAAACCTGATCATGACCAGGTGTTTTGTGGGTGGAATTGTCCCTGAGCCAGTATTCTGCACGTGGCTCGTTATAGAATGTTTCGCTGTAGAGAGTGTCGGTGATTTCTGCAGAGCGACCGCGATCGAAAGACAGTCCAGGGAAATCAGGGAACCTTTTCACCAGTCTTGGCTTCTTCTTGAGTTCAATTTCACAGTAGGCTTTGTAGAATCGGTTCATCCTTTTGTTGACTGCTCCTACAAAGGCGTACTGTCCAAAGCCAACAAAAGATAGAATGCCTTGGATCCAAACCTCATCATTGGCAAACATCCTTCTCTTGTTCTTCTTTTTCTTGTTGTTGTTGTTGCTAGCATTGCTACCGGTACCGGTACCGGTACTACCGGTACCGGTACTAGTAGTATGCCCCCGTCTCTGCATGGTGCGGATAGCAATAGATACAGAGTAAGAGTGGTGGTTGCTGTAGTTGTCGTGTTGTGCTTTGCTGTTGTTGTGGTTTGCTGTTTGTGGGTCGGGATGAAGCAACTCAATAAGAGCAAAATACAGTAGGTGAAACAGGTTGCTATAGCTACTTCAGCACTTAGAGTGGTCGTGGGGGTCACCAGTATTGGTATAACAGTATTAATAGAATTTCGTGCGTGGCCACGCGGATCGTACGCGTCATTCTGACTATTTTATTTAATATGAAATAAAGAATACGATTACTGGGTACTCAGTTCTCTATCTGAGTGATCTCATGTCGGGTTATTACACTTTAAATCCCATTTGAGCTTCTAACTATCATTTGATGGTCATAACGACGAAGTCATTTTTTGAACACACTATATAAGTAATACGACTGTACTGTATCAATAATAAGTACAAGTTTAAGTCTAAAAGTAAACACTGGGACCAGAAAGCTTGGTGAGGTGAGCGCAAAAACCAAATCTTTTCAACTGTGGACTTGCAAGCATACAAAAGATCGGAGAAGACGAGAAGACGAGACCACGAGACCACTTTGCGCTTGACAAAACGGTAGACCTAGAGTAGGTTTAGCTAGCTATTAATAGCAATGGAGGAAGGGTCTGGAGGACCAGGCAATGGTGGCGGAGAGGAAGATAATGTGGTCTTCCTTGGAGAACAAGGCGACGTTGAGGGTAAGTGTATTGCTTGGCTTGGCTTGGCTTGTCATTGGTCATTGGTCATTGGCCATGTCATGATTGATCATTGATCGTTGATCGTTGTCTCTCTCTCTCTCTCTCTCTCTCGATTAGATTATTTGGAAGAGAAGTACAACGACTTTGTAACCTTGAATGAAAAAGCCCAAGAAAAGTGGATTTCAGTGGAGCGCAATCGAGATATGGCACCTTCTGAGGTCCATGCCATTTGCAAGTTTGTCATGAACGCATGCCAACAAATCAACGCAGCTTTCGAAGGAGTCCTCGAGAGTCTCAAACAATCCAAAGAAGAGTTGGAGTTGGAACGAGAAGACGACGGGCCTGATACTCAAGCAACTCTCAAAAACTGGACCAATGGGGCGTTTATATTTCTATTTAAGGCCGATGCTGAAATTCATGACTTGGGCTGGAGTGTTAAGAACAGAGAAAAACTCAAGGAACTAGAAAGAAAGAAAGCTCCAATCAGGGATAACTTTGCTCTGTGGCAGCGCCAGTTAGAGGTTATGCAGACCATTGCCCTCATGGAAGAAACGATCATAAAGGTCGACACTCAAATGGACGAGTATCGCCTTTGGTTTGCTACGGCATACAGAAGGTTGCAGCGTTCCGAACACCAGGAGCGGGGGCGGGAGTCGGAAGAAGACGTCTATAGTATTGTTGCGGGAGACGATAGTGACGAAGATGAGACGAATCTTGAGATTTTGGTGGCACGCACCAACAGATTTCCTGGTTCAGACTACCTTCGCCGTATTCGCCGTATGGATCGTTGGCGGGAGGCTACCACACCACTACGTAAGAAGCAATTCTTCCCCAAATGGCACTAGCTAGTAGAAAGTAGGTAGTAATGTGATATCTAGTAGTCTTTGGTAGTTTGGTCAAACCTGCACTTGATTCCTTGTACATGTAGATCAGGGGCATTCAGTGGGATTCCCTTGCCTTCAGGGGGCCTCAGGTACCACTGGGTTCTGGGATTGAATTACATTTCTACTAGCACAAATTTTCCAAACGGAAATGATCAAGGCAGAGTCAGCTGGGAGCTGTTTAGAATCAGTAGACTAAATGTCGGTTCTATTATACTAGTAGAAACAAGTTGCCAAGGCCGTCGTGATGTATTTTCTTTGTGATATCAGTAGCCTATCACTGCACCTCTCCTCTAGCTAGGTAGGTAGTACCGTACTAGCTAGTACCGATAGCCGATATCCATTGTTTGGAGCGGTCCAAGTCTCCATTCTTGCGAAATCCTTGAATCAAGCTTGTCTAGGATCCTAATGCGCCATACCGTAAAAGTACTTGCCAACATATATATTAGTACACGGCACCAAAGTCTCTTTTCCAACCACGTTGCGTTGTACCGGTACTGCACAGTCTGATTGAACGGTTCCTGTCCTGTTTGCCGTCGACGCTGTCCAGGCCATGCCGCCCAGCCATGCATATATTCTGTCAATCGAATGATCAATCGAATCAACGTGCATGCCTCACGGAATGAAGCAAAGTCGAGTGGAGTGGAGTGGAGTTGAGAGACCGAAATTCAATGTATGGCATGCCTACCGTACGGTAGCCAGCTTAGCTAGCTAACCATTGGTCATTCTGACGAGATTTATGACACCAGAATAGTGGTTATCTCTCACAGTCATGAAAATGACCCTTGACAAAAGATCCCACGCGCAGAAACGCAACAAACGCAACAAAGCACAAGGATAGGCACATTATTGTGTCCATGTTCGATGTTTGATCACTGAGTACACTGTACAGTAGGTTTCAAGTTGGACATCTATCTGCAGTTACTGTAGTAGTTGTGTGAGGTTGAGGTTGAGGCTGAGTAGCAGTAGAGCATGCCAGTATCTTCTTCCGTGGTTTCTAGCAGTCCAGTGTCTTTGACTGGAGCCATTAATACCGGTACCGGTAGCAAGATGATGTCTGCAAGTTCCAGAAGGTCTGGTGGTAGAAACTCTGGTACAAGTAGTACAAGTGGTACTGGCAAAATGCTGGACGACTCTGAGATAATTGAAGAAGACATGAACTACGATGGAGACAATGATGTCAAGGCCAAGCGTAGGATTCCACGGCGTCAGCGTACACGTACCAGGAGTCCCTCTAGAAAGGGCTTGGCCCAGCATTTGGGTATGCATTCTAGCTCTACCAGTAAGAAAGATAAGGGACACAGGAGCACCAAGAGTCTTGATGGAACTCCAATCCGAGCTTTGGGCGCCAAGCAGAATTCTCTGAGGTCCGTGGACAGTCAGCCAGATCCAACAAACACGGGACAGACTACGACAACGACCACAACCAGACGAAACAGAAATACCCTTCCAAACCCTGATCTAGAAAAAGAGAATCAAACCAACACCAATGCTACCACAAACACAAACACAAACACAAACACTTCTTCAGTAGGAGGAGGAGGAGGAGGAGCTTCAGCAGAAGGAGGTCCAGTGGTCAAGACCAAGGCTCTGGTCAAGAATCTTCGCCTAAGTCGCAATCTGTCCCGTGTCTTGTACAATGATGCTAGATCTCCTTCACCCTCCAGAAAACTGCTCGCCGCGGAAATTCTGGTAGCTGCGTCACTCAGAGAATCACAGGGCCCCGTTATTCCACAACCACCACCACTGGAACAAACTCCTCTCATCATGATCAGATTCACAAACAAGGCCACTCCAAAACTCATTCAACTCGTCGAACAAAGACTCGTCAAGTCAGGACTGATCGTATACGACAAGGTGCAGGGAAAGGATGACTGGGAAGATTACACATACTTGTACCTAACGGCCGCACAAGAAGCACTAGAAGCATTGGCCGAACAAGTGAGATGGATGAAACGAACCAATGATACCAACGTTGTCGAGTACTTTACCGTACAGCAAAGACGCAAATTCGTTACCAAAAAGAAACTTGGAGGACCACGCAAATACTACAAACGAAACAATCGGAATCATCAAACCGACAACAACAACAAAAACAACACGAGCAATGCACACGGAGGAGATGACCTTTTCACATCCAATGAATGGTGTCATCTTGCTTTCCGATTGCTTGACACCGTGGAAGTATGGATGGATGGAGCATCATCCTCAGAACTCAACCTCATGCTCATGCTCAAGGAAGAAAACTCTCCACTCGACGACGACGTCCCGCCGCCGCCACCACCACCACCACCACCACCACCACCTCCAATGGGCTCTCCTTCTACTCGCATGCAACACATGCAACGAGGACGACAACGAGGACCCGGAATTCAACGGCAATACTCCAATACATCCCAGGGCAGTTTCAACAGTAAAGTCACCACAAAGGGTGGCATGCCCAACCGAAGACGATTGCGAAAGCAACTTAGCATGCAAAATCTATCCACTCCGGCTTCTCCCGGTGGAACTACCAGTACTGGCAATAATAATAAGCCATTATTCGATCGACGACTCAACTTTCGACGACAAAAAAGCATCATGCTGCAACGAGTACGTCAACACGGAAAACGATCCACTTGTTTGCGGCATGTACTCGAGTCCAACGAATACGTCGATGTCGTAACGCCGCTTCATTGGGGACCCGCACGAGATGCCATTGTTGCCGAAACATGGAAACCACGACAACTCACTCCACCCATTCAAGATATTCGAAACTATTACGGAGAAGATGTTGCATTCTACTTTGCATGGATGGGATACCTATCCACTTGGCTCGTCGTACTTGGGGTCATGGGATGCATTACCGTCGTTTGGAGGTGGTTTCGGGGTGACACGGTCGATGAAGATGAATTCACACCCATGTACGGTATTTTCGCCTTTTTGTGGGGCATTCTCTTTTTGAGATTCTGGGAACGACACGAGCATCGATTGGCATATCGATGGGGAACCTACAGTTTATCCCTACACGACAAACAAAAGCTGCTCACCACACGCCCGCAATTTCGAGGACGGCTCCGCATTTCTCCCGTAACGGGCGACTATGAAACCTACTATCCCGCCAACCGACGACGGATGCATTACGCCGTGTCGGCGTTGGTGACCATGGTCATGTTGACCGTGGCCTTTTGGATGATGATTCTCTCACTCAACATGCAAGGATACATCCATCCCGAACGTAATCCCGAACGATGGCATCCACACAATCCACATCCCTTTCATTATTCATACTTTGCCGAGCTCTCGGAAACGGGGCAGCTGTTTGATGCTCAACACCCCTGGAGGGGGTTCATCCCCACCATTGTTCATGTCGCCCTCATTTATATTCTCAACAGTCTCTACCGCATCATTGCCGAAGCGTTGACCAATTGGGAGAATCATGAAACAGAAGCCGCCTACCGAACGTCCTTGGTTGTCAAACGGTTCATGTTTGAAGCTTTTGACTGCTACGTGGCTCTGTTTTATCTGGCATTCTACGAGCGAGATGTCTATCGATTGCAAATGGAACTGGCGACGGTCTTTAACATTGACACCTTTCGACGACTGGCCATGGAATGCTTCATCCCCATTCTAGCGCAAAAGTTTGCCAAGTGGCAGCATCATAAAAAGCACGAACTAGAAAAGAGAGCACAAGCCCGAAAGAATCTGAAACAGGCAGCTGCGGCGGCAGCGGCTGCCGCCAAGATGAAAAAGATTGCCGCTCTTGCCGTCGCCAAGAACAAGGCGAAAGCTTCCGCGGCGGCACCGGCCAAGGACAAGACCAAGGAGGGATCGTCACCCGGTTCTGTGGCAACTTCAAGCTCGTCGCTATCGGAACCGGCGGACTCGTCGCAGTCCCGTTCGCCAAAGCAACACGGCAACACCAGCACAACCACTGCCAAGGACAAGGTTTCTACTCCCACCAAGAATCCCAACAATGACGATGACGATGACGATGACTCGACGTCGCAATCTCCATCCAACGCCAATCCAGCTCTCCTGGACGAGTTGGCAGAAGAAGCCGAGAAGGATGAATATGTAAGTGTTGGCTGTTTTTCTGTCTTGTGATGTATTCTTGCTTTCATTCCCTCAGTGATCTTCTTTGTGTCATTTGTTGCACGGTTATGATCGCTCATATACAGGAGGCATTTGATGACTACATGGAGATTGTGATTCAGTTTGGCTACGTGACCTTGTTTGCATCTGCGTACCCGTTGGCATCTGTGGTTGCCTTGGCCGCGAATTGGGTAGAGATTCGTTCGGATTGTTTCAAGTTGGCTCGCGTGTGTCGACGTCCCCGATCGTTGCGTGCCGAAGGGATTGGTGTTTGGAAGTCGTTGCTGGCGTGTGTGGTATGGATGAGTGCCTTGACGAACTGTCTGATTGTGGGCTTTACGAGTGACCAGATGAAGGAGATTTTTCCAGCGTTTTACATGGTGGACAAGCATGGCGATACTCATTTGGTGCACGACAAGGGTTGGATCGCGGTGTTTGTCATTTTTGGCCTGGAACGATTGCTGATTGTGACTGGTCTTTTGATTTATGCCGTGGTCCCCGAAGTGCCCGAGGACGTGCAAGACGAAGTGGAGCGTTTGCAGTTTATTCGTCATCAGGAACACGAGGATATCTTGCGTCAAGTGATGCGCAAACGCAACAAGAAGAAGGCCGTCTGAGGGGGACCCAATACGGTAGCTTCCCAAGATATTTTTGGAAACTAGATGATTGATCATTCATTTTGCTAGCTATAGTGATATCATAGAAGTTCTAGTGAGGTTGTTTAGTTCCACTTGTCTTGCTGAGCTTGATCCGAGATGAATGCGGTGACATCAACAACGTTTGTTTCTGACAGTTTTCCTCCTTCCACATTTGGAAAGTTTAGAAATTTGTGTTGCGTGCTTGTTGTGAAGAATTTCTGTAGAGTGTCCGGATTGGAGTTTCCTAGGTTTGCTTGTAGGTCTTTTTGTAGGAGAGTCTTTGCAGGTTTCATGATATTCTGTCCACCTCTGTGACAAGAGGCGCAGTTATTGTCAAAGAGCTGTTGTCCCGCTTCAATATTTCCATCGACGGCCGAGGATCGGAGAGGAGTGATTGTGGCCATCATGAGCAACATGCCCGTCAAAAACACAAACTCTGCGGGAGTCAAACCAGACACAAACTGCAGCAAAAAGTTTTCAGTAGAAGCATCTTCATCCCTACTACTATTAATAGTAGAGCATGTACTAGTAGTAGTCAACCTGGACTGACTGTCTTCAGGACTGAGACTGTCAGCAGCATTAGGATCGGGTTGAGGACTGGAAACAGAAGACTCAATGCTTGTTCTAGTAGAGCCTCTACTAGTATTTCTACCCGTGGGCTTGGATTGGAAAGCATCAACTTGGTATCTCACATCCCAACCAAACAACACCAAGAAAACTACAAGATACATGCTCAAAAAGGCCATGACTCTAGCTAGTTGTCCACAAGACGCAGATGAGATGTGGCTTCAGAGAAAACATTAATATGGCGAGAAAAGGGTTCCGCAAAGATTTGACATCAACTTTTAAAAAAGCCAGTGAAAATGCTAAGATCATTCAACCTCGGCCCATTTCCACTCGGAGCGATTCGATTCGATTCACAGATGATTATTGAGCACAAGCTGACTGGCTAGCTAGTCTAACTAGCTTTTGTGAGAGAACGATCACTAAAGTATGGGCTGTTGAGAGAAGTGGAAGGCATGCATACACTGAGGCGTAGGCATTTCCCAATTTGGAACACCACCAAATCCACAAACAAGAGAGTAGAAGCCTGGAAAAAACATGGACAGCATACAGGGACACACTTGCCACCGGTGTACTATCTAGCCAAGTTTCAGACTTCTATGAAAGTTGTCCTCCTGGTGCAGAACCTTGGTTGCAGTTACTTCCAAGGCATTAGCCTCCGGTTGACTGTTCTACCGTCCTAGTAGCTAGCTAGCTAGCGAGTACAATGGATCTTCTTATAGCATCATCTTGTCTTTGGAAAAGATGGAAGTAGATTCAATTCCATCGGTGTTCGGGTGTAATTGAGGGAAAGTGCAACTGCGCAGACACGGCGGCGTCACCGACCAGCTGGAGATGCCCGTCCGCAAGTGCCAGCTGTCCAGGGCACGTACCGCTACCGTAGTTTGAAAACTGATGATCTTACCTTGAATAGTTGAAATGGTGAGAACTCTCAGGAACCGTGCTTAGTCTTGCTGGCTTTTACTTGGTACGATCCAAACTTGATGGATCCTCAATCTCTTTCCTCATAATTTTGTTTCTGCAAAGTTGTAAAGCAAAGCAAAACAAACAAAAATGAGTGCTGCCACAACTACAGCCGGCAATGGCGCAAGGCCTTCTAAAACACTTCGTGGTCGTCGCAATGGTCGCCCTCCCTGGGACCCCTCTGCTGCGTATCGTCCCAAGAATGCTTTGGAGAAGCAAGCCATGCAATCGCACGCCTTTCGCCAAAAAGTGCAAACTGCCAATGGAGCCACCATCTGCAACACTACTAGTGACAAGGTGGGAAGACTCCCCCTTAAGGATCTCTTGACCAGTGACAAGTTTTGTGTCCCCATTTTCCAACGACGCTATTGTTGGACTCCACTGCAATGGCAGACTTTGCTAGATGACATTCAAGCTACCCTCGAGTCTCAGCACCAACATTCTCTAGGTAGACTCACCTGTACAAACAACATTGGCAAGACCAATCCCAAAAGCAACATTACCAACACCAACAATACCTTGACGGGAGTGCAAATGATTCCAGAAGGAAGATCTTGCATTCTGGATGGACAGCAACGCTTCACCACAGTCACCATCCTGCTCGCTGCCATTAGAGATCTACTGCCAGAAAATGACAACGACAACCTCAAGTTGATTCATTCCATCAATAGCTTGATTTTCACAGATGTTATCCAACTCAGAGCATGGTGCCACAAGCCGGATTCTCAGCTACAAGAAGGCATGGAACTCGATTTTTCCAGGTTGGTACCCACTTATTGCGATCGATACTCCTACTATACTGCCGTGCTGCCCAAGTCAGACAAGACACAAGCGGCATTGGTAGAGTTGGAATCAGCGTCATCATCCATCACCAATAATTCGTGGCACCGCCCACTTCAAGCCAAGAACTATTTCTTGTCCCAACTACAATCAGCATCAACACAACGACTCCAATCTATCGTTCATGCCCTTTTGAACAATTGTAACATGCTCTACTTTCCAGTGGATATTCATCAAGGCCATCAAGATGGGACCGAAGATCTCATGGTCATTTACGAACGATTGGCCATTCGAGATGCCACCTATTGCGCCCCCAACCGTGTCGGAGAATTTCAAACCATGGATGGAGCCGATATGATTCGCAACCTGCTCCTCGGAAGCATGGATACGCCCGCCAATGCACTCGACTTTTACAAAACGTACTGGCTACCACTCGAACAACAGAAACAACAACGACAAGACGACGACGACGCGTCCAATGATACTAATGAGACCAGCAGTAGTATTGGAAACTTGATACAGTCCTTTCTGGAGCAGCAATCGCGTCGCAAAGACGGTAAGAATGATGATGATGATGCCAAGAAAACAGATGGAGCTGCGGAGGACGAAGAGGAAACCCCGTCGAGTAATGTCAAAAAGGGTATCATTGGAGGACAGATCTATGCCGACTTTCAGGCATGGTTCGCTGCTAGGCTACACGAGAGTAAGAGCAGCACAAACCAAGACCAAGACGGGCGTGACGCAAACCAGAACCATCTGGTTCGTACAGTTGGAGAGGAGCTGCTCCAGTTCAGCCAAGAATCTCATGGTGCTTAGAAATTTCCGCTGTTAAAAAAATATACGTATAATCAATATAGCAATGTGATTCGTTTTGAAACACAGGTTCCTGTTCGGTGCTGAAGCTAGCTTGTGCCCAGGGCTAGCAGCAGCCGTAATAGATCGCTTCGAAGTCTTGCTGAAACCTCGTCGTTGAAGTGGCATCCACCCGTGACCCCACCTACCGTATAGATGTGTCTATGAGTGAACATTCGTACAATGAATTAGATTACATGTAATGTAAGGGAACTCCAGTCATTTTTGAGGACTCGACTCCACTGATCGTCTTCCCTGTTCCCTCTGATAAAACGTATCGTTTTCCCGACATGTACATCCACGTATGCTAGTATTTGCGTTCGAGATGTGCATCTTTGTGTATCCTTGTGTGTGTTTGTTTGTTTACCCATGAATGTGTGATAGTGACTTTCCCCTGAACAGGAACCATCGTCGTTTAGGTTTGCTGCTGGTGCTGCTATTGTTGTTTCCCGTACTGGTATTCCCGTTCTTACGAGTCGATGGTTGTGGTTGTTGTTGTTGTTGCTGCTGCTGCTGCTGTGCTTGCTGCTGCCATTGAGGCGGTGCTCGCCTTGTGGATGGCGGTGCTCTTGTGGAAGGTGATGCCCGTGAGGACGGTGGTGGCTGTTCATGCCTGCCGGATGGAGGTAGTGCCCGTGTGGACGACGGTGCTCTTGTGGACGGAGATGCTCGTGCGGCTGGAGGTGGCTGCACATGCCTGGCGGTTTCCGACGAAGTTGCGGAGGACCGGAAGGGTGATAGACCTGGAAGACTGTCGTCGTCGTCGTACTTTGGCGGCGCGGGAGCTTTGCATACGACTCTTTTTCCCGCACACACGGACGAGGATGCGGTCGAAGTAGTCTTGTTGGCCGAGGAATGATAGGACGAGTCAATGCCCGCATCCGACTGGTGCTTCTTGGTGGCAGTTGTTGCAGAAGAAGAAGACGCCCCGGGAAAGATGGCAAGCATGCTCGGCTGTAGTTTTGGCAGTTGACTGTTTGTTTTGGCCGTGTGGTTGCCATTGCTGGTTGCGCGTGTTGATGTTGTGGCATTGCTCTTGTTGGCAGTACCGGTAGCATGAGACGGCAGCATGAACTGCGGAGTTGGGGGCGTGAAGGGTGTGTTTCCGGTATTGTGAATGACGGAATCGTACAAAAATGCCGACTGTTCGTACGACGAAAGTTTTCGGTCAATGCTATTTCGTCTTGTGGAAGTGTATCGTCCTGAAAAGTCAACTCCAATCTCCTTGGGTGCTGTAGCTGTAGCGGTGGCAGTGGCAGCGGTGGACACGGATTGTTCCGTGGCAGTGGTGAGGTTACAGGAGGACGAGTAGTCCATGACGTCTCGAGTGCTGACCGATGCCAAGCTGGGAACCGAAATGGATCGTCTCATGGGAGGTCGTTGCTTCGAATTCAGTCCCTCTTGGTGAGGTTGTTGTTGTGGGCGTGCTCGCGGGATCTGGTGCGAGACTTGGTAGTCCCGTACGTGATTTGAGTCCCGAATATGATGTGATGTGGTTGCCTTGCGTGCCGATTTGACGAGATAGGAGGAGAGGGCTTTGAGCTGTTGGTCTTCGTCTTGTTGTGGTTGAGGTTTCTTGCTCTGTGTTTGTGATTGTCTCATGTGTCTCCAGTGATCATCTTCCTTCTTGAGTGCCAGCTGCAGCTGTAGCTCTTGCTCTTGTATGGAATCAGAGTACTGAATGACAGGAGGAGGATCTGCAATTTTCTTTTTTGACTTTTTCTTTTTCTTCTTTTGCTGCTCCAATAGACGAACCACGTTGGGAGCTCTGTGCTTTACGATCTCTACTTCAGGAGGAACCATGCCTACTGGATCCACAGAGTCTAACTCACACTCTAAGCTTAGCGGTAAGCCCAAGGGAACATCAATGGTGGAAGGAGGACCTTTCATGCCGATTCCACTCATTCCACTCATACCGGTACCGCCCAACACGATATCTCCTTGAACTGGCGCCATGGTCACACAATCAACTCTACTCAACCTAACCTAACCTAACCCAACCTATCTGAGCAACACTTTGTGAGGGTCTAGATGATGGTACAAGTAGACTAGTAAGTGGATGGGAAGAGGGAACAGATCGAATTTATTGATTTTTGATGGAGGAATACATGTAGAAGGGTCACTGTGTGGCCAGCGAAAACAGAGTCGCTCTTCCAAAAGAAGGCTCTTGCCTCGCACTTCCCCAAAGTAGTTTTCGCTGTTAGAGATGTGGTACACATGGCGACTATGCAATCTTGCTTCAGGAGACTTAGAACTTTCATTCAGGTGAACCTTTTTCTGTCACAAGGGACATTGACATTTCGATGCCGAAGCAAACCATTCTCAATACATAAAGTCCAAGACCCCACGACAAAAGGCAAGTTATTGCAAACAAGAGACTTCTTTCAAGGCTTTCTGAAACTCAACTTTAACAAATTGATTTATCAACAGACATACCATCTCACAAAGTGACGAGCCATTTACACAAGTACCAGGTACAATTAATTCGTCGAGAAAACCAGCATGCTCCAGCAACCCTTCGAAGATTGGGTCGCTATGTCGCCATCCGAAATAAATGTCTAATGCCCGCACAAACTTCATGCACTAAATCACCTGTATGTGGCGATGTGCCGATGCCCAAGTCCTTCAGTCAAGTGGAGCCATGATGCCGAGAAGAATCTGCGATGAGAGGGATGACGGTATCAAGACAAAACAACGATCTGTGAACAGCCAATCGGTATTCCTATTGCTACAACGTTACCTTAACGACCAAGGCAACTAATAAGTAGTGGAGCTCCCAGTCAGTGGACCGCTATGCATACCGGTACCGGTACCGGTACCGGTAGCTAGACCACTCTAAAAGCTACTGGTAGCTACACTCTGAAGCTCCGGAGTCTGGTATTAAAATAGAGAGATTAATTTTGTGCAGCTTCTGGCTTCCCCACCAGGTTTTTTGAAAAGAAAAATAGAAAAATGTACCCAGGAGCGAGGGAGGAAGTTTGACGACCCTTTGTCTCTCATCAGGCCTGACCTCTAGTAGTAGCCTTGTACGGTAGCTATGGGTAGCTATCAAGCATGTAGAGGTGATCTCCAACCTACTATGGGCTACATGTAGTAGTGCGCACAGTACCGGTACCCGTACTGTATGTACCGGTACCTCACCAGCTTCCCATCCATCGGCACCGTTCTCAAGAAACCGTGAACTCTGTAACCATCGTCGTTGGCTCCTTTTGGTTGCCCTCGTGGAGCAAAAACACCTGGACAAAAAGACTCCTGAGTACTAGTACTTGAGGGGCGAAGTCAACTCTGAGTGGTGTAACAGCTAAGCCGGCTTTTTTTGGATTGTTAAGGTTAGAGATTGTGTCGTCTCCAGAAGATGTCTCTCTTGGATCCATTCAACTCTCATGACAACGAGACGGATGATGAAGCGGATGAAGGATACTATAGCTAGTCTCCTTGTCTTTCTGAATGTACTAGTATAGTGAATGAGTGCAGGAGGAAGAGGGAGGAACAAAGGCAAGTTCTCTTGACTGGCTCTTGACTGCCCATGCCCTGCCTCCACTGCGTGGGATACCCAAATTTGAGTGACTCAGTCAGTTGATATCATCTATAGACTATAGACTATAGACTACCGTACCTGTAGACGATCAGTATGAGAAGCAGACAACGACATGTGCAGCCGACTATTATTATAAATAATACCCCACCAGCAAATCCTTTGCGAGTTGAGCCGATAATCACAGACAGAGAATTGGAATCCTTCAGTACCTGGATCCTTCCTATTGGGAAACGAAGAGTTTGTGTTACCTTCATCATCATTGGGATCATATTGATCGGCTTTCTCATTGGTGCTGGTAACTTGACCAGTCCTGAGCATGATATGGATGTTCACTCTGATGTTGCCTTCACTGGTACCGGTACCGGTAGTTATTACAGTACTGGTGACACCAGCATGAGGAGAGAAGGTGTACGTACACGTACAGGCACAGGTGTTTGTGAAGGCTATGATGGGATTTATCACATACAGAGTGGAGATGTGGGGGGAGCTGCAGCAACCATTTTCTTTCAGTTTGTGCTGGCTCAGCTCATCTATGCGGAACAACACAACCTCAAGCCATGGGTCTTCTTCAACAACATTTCTCATCATGTATATGATCAACGCATTCACAACCAAACAGGAACCAAAATCACTCTACAGTTCCAAATGAAGCAAGGAATGAAAGTATACCATCACCAAGACAAGAGGTTGAGACGGGCTGCCTATCCAGGAAAACCATTCCTTCCTCAGGGACAAGAAGAACAACAACTACACTCTCATCTATTCCAATTCACGGGAGATGGTGTTTGGCAAAACTACTTTCTACCAGTTTCCGATTTTGATCCAAACACAACTGTCGATCCTTCCTGCCAAGGTAAACCTCTCGTCACCATGGATATATGGTCCATCACACCTGGGCTACACATTTATGCACCCTGGACACCAAGAATGTGGCGGTACCATGTATTGCCAGACTACATGCAACAGCGACACCTAACACTGAGAGAATGGCTCACTCCTCAACGAATACGAGCCCATGCCATGACACAAAAGTACATTCAAGTACAACCAAATTTGTGGAAAATGGCAGACTCACTTCTACAGAAAAAAGAAAACAACAACAATGCTCCTTGTCTCGGCCTTCATATTCGATGGTCGGACAAGGGTGGAGGGCGGCGGATCATTCAGGTTCAAGAATTCTTGCCCTATATTCAACAATTCGTGACACTGCAGCAACACCAACAACAACAAACGGACAAGGACACGTGCTGTTGCATCATGCTGGCCACGGATTCCACCAAAGTATTGGACGAAATACAGAAACGATGGCCTTTGAGCATACGCCAGCATTTACGATTTCAAGGAGCGCACGTCCTTCGATCTAGCGACGAAACACCCGTCTTTGAAATGACTACGACGGCTGACAATGACAATGACAAAGACAACAACAATAAACAGCAGCGACCAGCAGCCCTAGTTTCCCATCATCGGACCAACACCGAAGTACTCGTCGACATTTTGGCACTCAGCAGGTGCGACTTTTTGATTCATGGACATTCCGCCGTCTCCGATGCCGCCATGTACCTCAATGACAAACTCATCTATCAGAGTGTCAATCTGGAGGATCCAGATGACTTTTCTGTACAAGACTTTGGAAACCTAGTTCGTGATATCCAACAACGGGGTCACGTCAATCTCACTCGCTATTTCCCGGATCCGTGGTGGAATACAACTACTTTTGTCGAGCCAATAGCACCACAAGCCACAGGCAGCAATCAATTCTGTTCCCCAAATAATGATGGTGATGAGTACAGAGGCATTCTACACATATCCATCGGAGGTGGAAGTGACTTTTCATTTGGCATGACCTTCTTCCATTTCGTGCTGAATCAGCTCCTCTTTGCCGACAAGTACAAGCTCAAACCGTTCATTCATCTGACACAACAAGATGCTCAAGCTGTTTACGATCCACGGATGCATGCCAGCAATGGTTGGACCAGCACACTAGACATCCGTACGACAAGGTCGGTTACGGTACGGAATGTCTCGGTAGCAAGCGGAGGCGCCGATGGACCCATGCAACGGATCTATCCTAGTGATGTTGATGCCAATAGTGGCTACAAGTCTACCTTGAATCTTTCCGGTAATGGCATCTGGAACAGCTACTTTGAACCAGTGTCCGACATTGATCCACGAAGCGAAGAGACGTTCCAGTCCTGTCGAGACAAGCCATGGGTTGTGTTGAGGAGGGAAATGGTCACATCGGGGCTGCATCTCTGGGCACCGTGGAGTGTCAAATCGTTCAAGTACTCGGGGCTGCCGGATCAGCTTTGGTGGAAAGGCAAGAAAACACAACGAGCCGGCGGTCCTTCATTGGGGGAGACTGTGGGCGAAAGTTTATCTGATTGGTATCTGCCAATGCGAAAGAAGGGTCACGAAATTGTAGGCAAGTACTACCGCCCCCATGCATTCCTATGGAAACGAGTCGAGGAAGTACTGCAAACTTCCGGGGCCCAAACCGACTGCTGTCTTGCAATGCACATTCGACAAGGCGACAAAGAGGGTTACGGGAAACGCAAACTTAGTCGAATCCGAGACTACAAACCATTCGTGGAGGCGTTTCTCAATGCTACCCATGGCAAGTCCTTCGTGTATCTCGCAACGGATGCCTGGCGAGTTATTGATGCTATTCAAGACAACTGGGATGCATCCCTAAGGTCTAGGATCCATTCTCAGGGTGATCATGTTGTTCGCAGCGTCAGATGGGTACCAGCTCACATGCTCGAACCCGACAACCGCCACAGAGTCAATTTGGAAGCCCTAGTGGACACCCTGGCCATGTCGCGGTGCCAATTCCTTCTACATGGGTTCAGCACCATGTCAGAGGCGGCCATTTACATGAACCTCAATCTGCATTACCACAGCGTCAACCTTGACGATGTCAATCACATGGGCGTGAAAGAGTTTGAAGTTTTAATACGCGGCAACGAGTTTTGCAGTAGTAGGAGATGACTACACTAATGCAGGGAATTGGTACCGTCATTGCCTCTCGCGTTAACAACATGTGCGTCTGGCTGGTCTAGTATGATTATTGCTGAAGTAGATCAGCTGTAAAGCATTGGGTTGCGTATTCGCGGCTGTCCAATCGAGCTGTGCTCAATCCACGGTGGGGAGCCAAACAGTGCCTCAACAATAACCTGTAGACACGATCATCGGGGCCAATGCCGAAGCCAAAACCGTTCTGATCCCCTGCAAACTCCACGCCCCCAAGTGGCATAGCTCCATCGCGGTGGCTTCACTGTTCCAATTTTCAGCACAAATTCCGCCAAACTTGTGTTCTTGCGCTCTTCAAATCTTTAAGCAACCAATGTCTTGGCAGATCGGAATGTCACTGCAGCCCTTCACCCTGACTATGCTAAAACCGCCTCCCAGCAGCCGCGGCTGATTCTTGAAGCATCAGCTCTTGCAAATGACAAAACTGATAGAAAGCATGTCCCACATGGTTGTGATGCGACAAAGACTCAGGAATGTCTCCTAGCCGGGCCACCTGATTGTACAGCGCTGGAAAATTGGGTACTAGCGTCTGAGTGCGGTCGTAAAAAGTCCGCATCCAGGCATGCAGCGTTTGTTGTGTACTGTAAGTGTATCCATTGCCCGGGCAGACGTGCTCCGTTTCGTATACGTTGTCGAATCGGTATTTGCAGCCATTGCAGGCAGTGGAAGGGAAGCAGGTATGAAAGGCGAATTGGCACGTATTGGGACATCGCCACTCATTCTGAAATGCCACCAAAGGAGCCACGCAGTACGGACATATTCGCAAGACGACCGTCGCCGCACACGATTTCCATGACTGTCGTGCCCGTTCCAGTAGCTCTTCCATGACTAGCTTTTCTCGGGAAAATTGTTGACAAAAGTGTCTATCGTAGGACAGCAACAGAATGGAGCTCCAAACCGTGATCCAATCTTTGGGTGATAGGGATTGCCAAGGGCTACTACTGTTGCTGTTGGACGTGTTTTGTTTGGTCTTTGGTTGCTGCGGTTGGTTGGAAGTAGCTCCGTGTTGATGACACGTAGATTGAAATTGGTCCCCCCATCCATCGTAATCGTATCGTGATTCTTGCTCAAACAGCAGTTGTAGAAACTGCTTTGCCAGGTGTTTCATTTTCTTGGCCACAAGATTGGTCCCATCCGTCCATCCCAATGCTTTTGAAACTGTATGGTATGACAACAACTGTCCAATGGGTTCTGCCAATGCCTTGATGCTTGTGAGACCCTGCTGGACGACGGTTTGGAGAGCCGCGACTTCCGTTTTATCATAGGCTGTCCAAAACGCCGTTTGCAATTGCTGTGGTAGAACCAATGCCGCATCAGTGTTCCCGTACAGGACTTGGAACTTTGTGAACACGGAATACAGCTGCGGTGCCAATAGCAACGATGCATCTGATGGCAAGAGCTGCAGGTCCGGTTCCAACAGCGCCCGGAGACTCAATTCCATTCTGGTTTCCAGTATTATTGTCTGTGCTCCATCTTGATTCCCAATCAATTGGCCTAATGCTGCTTCGACAGCCACGTATCCACATTCGTGCAAGGCTCGTTGATATTCAGCCGGATCTTTGAGCATGTAGTAGGATTCCTCGATCTGCTCTTGTCGTGACAATCGATTCCATCTTCGTAGTCCAATTTGATCTCTCCCCAGTCGTTCTACCATCCAATCTCGTTCTAGAAAGGGGGCGAATTCTTCCAGTGTCATTTTGGAGACAATTTTAAAGACGAGTGCTTCCTTAGCAGATACTGGTAGGAATTGCAGAGGGGGTTGATGATGAGACGAGGGAATGGCAAGGGTGGTTGTTGTTGTTGTTGTATTGTTGATGGCGGGTTGTTGCGGTGAAGTAGAATAAGTGCTATGATCGTCGTCTTCGTGAACTGTAGTTGGGGCTTCTATGAGTGCTGTGGCTGTCTTTTGTGTGTCTTGAACGGATTGTAGCTCTTTTTCTGTCATGGGTGGTCCAAAGGTATATGGAATTCCCAAGAAGGGTGGCAGCTGAAAGGGTATACCTCCATCCACTGTGCTTCGTTTGTTGGATTGACTGGTTCGTTTTTTGGTGTTGCTTCTGCTGGTGTCTCCCCGCATGACCAAGTTGACCAAGCTTTGCGTTTGTCGTATGATTTGGAGTCCCTTTGGGTCATATGGATCATCTAGTTTGTTCCAAAGACAGAGGACAGGATGTCTGGTTTGTCTATCGAGTTGTTGTTTGACAAATTTGAGTAGTTGCTCTTGCTCGGTTGGATTGGCCGTGACATCGAGTACAATGACAATGCAATCAAAGGAGTCCCAGTGTGTCTTGACATAGTCTGTGTAGGGGCAATGCTGTGGTCTTGTGCTCCCGGTAGTACCGGTAGTGGTGGCGGCGTTCTTGCTTGCTTTGGAGAGTGTGACGTCCAAACCTGGAATATCGACCAAAACCAGTTGTGTGTCTTGTCTCATTTGGAATAAGTCTCCTGCTGGCAAGTAAACATCGACATGCCGTTGAGATAGACTGGACGATGACTGACTCTTGGTGGGAGTGGTAAGGTCATGTTGCAGAGCGGCTGCTGCTTGCGGATGAATGAGAGCTTGCTGCTGAAGCTGCACTGGAAGTTGCAAAGCATTACTAGGGATGACTGGACCTGATGTTGGCACGACGGAGACCACATTACTCCGTGGATAGTGACTGCTGGCAGTGGTAGCACTAGTATCATTGGCATTGGCTCCATTGGATTGTTGCTCGTCTTGATCTCTGACAGAAGGTCCCGTAGAAGAACCGAACAAGCGGTAAAAGACAACTTCTGTGCTGGTTCGTTTCGGCTTTGCCACTCCAGACTTTTTAGCAGCAGAGGAAGTAGATCTCGAGCTCTTGACACGCCCGTAGTCCGCCCCCAGCAGAGCATTCAACACCGTCGTTTTACCAGCCGAAACGGGACCTAAAAGAGCTACCTTCACGTCGAACAAAGTACGAGTTGGGGGCTGGGCACCCAATGATACGGACGAGGTCATCTTCTACCAGTAGTCACACTGTGATCAATATACACGGGAAAACCTCCTCAAGGATAGCAGAGGAGGTCGACAGGACGTCCACCAACACAAGGTCTGCAATACAAGCCCACTTCTTGGCCGTTGTTTGGGCTGTTCTCGTTCTTTCGCATTCGGAAGTATCTCTTCAGGGAAGGCCGGGGTGCCTACCGGTACAGTCATCTGTACACTAGTCCATGGTAATTAGAAAGCAAAAATCTGCCTCGCGAAAGATACTTACATCTGTGACATTGCCGTCCGTCGACTGCCCCAAAGCCACAAAAAGCACAAAGCACCCTTCCTCTTCTCCTCATACTAGTACCAGGTACCGGTACCGGTACCGGTAGCCCCGGGCCCTTGCTGCTCCTTCCCTCTGCCATTGGCAATACATGCCTATGCATAGCTAGATACATTCCTTCGATTGTTACTACCTGGTACCAGTTTTAGAACAGTGTGACTCGAATCTAGCTACCTACTAGTAGCTAGCTAGAGACTTGGTATCCGTCCTCTCTCCCAAGGAGTAAATCCTACAGTATACTTATCGTTGCCACATCGTGGAACCAAGACGAGGAAAGTGCCGGCTTCGAGGTTTGAGGTGGAGGTTGACCCGTCCAAGGTTCAATAACCGAGGGCGCTATGTCATACCGGTACTTACAACAGCAAGAATAAGTCAATCAGGTGCAAAATTAGCTAGGCTAATCGAGTCGGAACCAGCGGGGCCTCCCCAAAGAATCCGGCGACAGTCAAGTTTTTTTGGCTGGTTGGGGTCTTGTATAACCGAACATTCCTCAAGTCAGACTTTGTTGACCGTCGAGGAAAACATTAACAGAAGCGCCCTCCAGCAGACATGGAAAACTGCTTGGAGAAACAAAGAAGAGAATTTTCGCTTGGCAGGTCCAGCCACAGTACAGTACAGTACCAAAGTACTGTATAGCTGATCGGGGGATTGCATCTGGCGCCACTGACAAAATCCGTTTCAAGGCACATGCATGCATCGAAACCTCCAAGTCCACACAGATAACCAGTGAGCGCCTCGTTCGTCCTCGTTCGTCCTCGTTCGTCCTCATTTTTCTTGGATGATCTAGCAGTCGTACATACTGTATCCTTGCTTCATGCTTCGGTACCTTTAGAATCGCAAACCTCCAGCCATGAACGAGACAGAGACAGCTACTCCCTTGTTGCTGGCATCCCAGCCACGAAAGAGTAGACGATGTTTGCCCAGCATCGGACGAGTTGCCACGACCACACGGCTTCACAGTGTCAAGCTCTTCGCTTCCCGTCTTGGCGGCAATTCTTCTGTCGCCAGCGCCAGCACCACCTCCACCTCCAGCAAGATCCAGATCCAGCTCAACCCCCAGAGGCGCTATCAGGTCCTTCAGTCGGCAGCCGATTCTCAAAAACTCGAAGAAAGGAGAAGGAAGACTGGTCAAAAGATCAAGCAATTCTTGCTCAGTGCCGACGATACCGATCCTTTTCTTCGTGGGGGACAACAAGAACCCACCATCGAGGACAAGCTGAAACAAGGCGACGTTGAAGCCTCACAAAGCGTAGAACCAGAAGAAGAGCTGCAAGATGTCACAAATTCATCTATTAATACCACCGCCACGGACTCATGCAGCGACTCCTCCTTTACCTCTCTGCGCAGCAATGACGGCGACGATACCGGTAGCGAGGAGTCGTGGGAGTCGCACTCGCAGAACCAAGACAAGGATGAACAGCAGGCCACACCTGATAGAGTGGTTCAAGGGTCGGGCGTCATCGTAGAGGACCATGGTGAACCTTGGGAGGCATCCTTTGAGCACGACGAACTCACGACTGCGTTTGTCCAAGAGGATGATGACAATGACAAGAAGTACACCGAAAGCAATCGAGCAGAAAGCCACGAAGGCAATGCTGCAGCTGCACCTGATATGGCCGAACCTGCCACCGAGGAAGAATACGAGGAAGCGGACCTCACGGAAGATCTGCAGCCAACGACTACGAGGGCAATCCGAGCCTCGCGCACACCTGTACTACGACCACGTCCCACCGTACGCCTCAACTTGGGTCGTCGTCGCAACTGGAAATATGTGCAAAGCCATGGAGAGATCCAGGAATGGCACCAGCTGATGCAATGGATGGCAAAACGCAAGAAATCCCTGCAAGATCAAAGAAAGACACTCCATACATTGCGAAAGACATGCCGGATGCTTGACAAACCAGTACGGCGAGGATTCGTGGCCTCCTTCGAATCCAATCGCGACAACATCATGTTCAGCATCATTCACGAAGAACAGGAAGACCAAAACCAAATCGTGTCCTCAGTGGTTGTCGAGGGAGAGGAAGAAGACGACTGGCTCGACGAATGCTTGAAAGGTACAAATGAAGTTGAAGCGTAGCCGATGCCACAACGCAAAACATGAAAACCGATTCAAGCTTACACAATGCGTGACCACCACTTGTGTGGCAGACGACTGCGTTTGGTAGGACGCTTGAAACAAGACGGTGGCTCGAGGGAGGACGTCAGTGCGAATCCGTCATATTTTGCTCGGATAAATTTCGAGACTCACTAGCTAGTAACACGATGCACTTGCCATATGCAGTTATTCATCATGCAATTTCGAAAGAGCAATGAAGCAGAGCAGTGCTTGCTGATGACTGCCTATTTGTTGGCACCCGCAGCTATACAGAAGGGACCAGGAGGGAATAGATATGTGGGTTTTGGAAGGCTGGAATCATTTCAGCTATTTGTCTTCACATTCCCTGGGCTTGCAGGGGTAATTTCTATAGCGAGATTTGAAAGACTTAGTAGTCTTATAGAAGTGTATCTTGCATTAGGCGTCCGGTTATGCATAGTCCTACTTTTGTGTGCCATTTTAATATCACCGTCCGTCCTGAACACTTCGAACACCCCCATCCATCATTTTTACAAAAGAAAAAAGAACAATCTTGATCCTGTGAGAAGAAAACAATATCCAAAAGCTAGCCGAACTCGAAACAGCCAACAATAACACGAGCAGATCAAAAGGGGAGCCTCCGAGCCTCCATAATACGGAAACCGATTCGATTGTTGCGATTGAAGCCTTCTCTTCTCTTTGTTTCCTACGGTATAGCGATTGCGACAAATTGGTGAGTGACAGTCCACAAGCAGCGGTGGTGCATTTGTCATTTGTCATTTGTCATTGTCCTTTGCCCTTTTCGCTCCTTTTTCCAGGTCATGGCTGACGAAGACGAAGAGGCCGAAATTGTCATGTTCGAATGTGTTGCAGAACACCTTCTCCATGAGTTTGGCAGGCTTCGCGTGGACGATCTCTGGTATTTCCACGGCATGGATGCGATCGAGCCAATCGCTGCTGTGGCTTCTGCGAAGTTGCCCGGAATGCAACCCAGAGAAGTGTATGAAACGATTTTTTGCATTTACACATTTTTCAGTTTTGCCACCATTATTGTCGATAAAGGCTATGAAGAGGAGTACATCATTGGGCAACTTGGATTTTATTTTTCCAATATTACCACAACAAAGGAGCAATGTGTTCGATCACTTGATGGAGCGACTTGCCCACCCAGAAGGCTTGGTTGGACGTGATGATTGCAAGAATGAGCACCAGTGTGGATACTGCTGCAAGATTGAAAGTGGAGTCAATTGTGTGTGGTGCAAGAGCTGCAAGACACTCTACTGCTCCCGGGAATGTGCACTTGCGGACTGGAAGAAGCAGACAAACTCTCACAAAAGTCTTTGCAAGTGGATCAAGTTGTGGAAGGCTACGTTGCAGCGGGAGAAGGAGGAACCAAAGCAGGAGGAGAATGTGGTGGAAGCATCGGACGCATGCAGTTTCTTCAGTCCCTTCCCGCCTGACCACTGTGCCAATCCCCATTGCAGCAACACTGTAGGCCTGGGGGTTTGCAGCAAATGCAACAGAGTCAAGTACTGCTCCAAGGATTGTCAGCGCAGCCATTGGAAGACCCACAGAGACTACTGCAAGCGCTCTTGTGACAATCCAAGTTGCAGGAAGACTGAAGTCTTTTATGGCGATCTTAGCAATCTTAAAATTTGCAGTCGATGCGACGACGCCAAGTACTGCAACAAGGACTGTCAACTCAGCCACTGGAAGGCACACCGACCCGACTGCGTGTGCTGGTAGGCGGATGAGCTAGATACATGTAGTTTTTATATGATTTAGTTTGAGTTCGTTCCAATCTTCCCTATTCAATTTTATCTACTGGTAGCGAGCTAGCTAGCTGCCCACATCAACGTTTCGATACAATGCCGTGGATCGTCGTGAACACTCCAAACACAGGTCATTGCCTTGGACCCGCCAGGTCTTTGATGTCTGCCAACGATTCTAGATCTGATGGTATAGGCCCAGATAGTCGATTGCCCTCCAGAGCCAAGTGCTGGGATTGGGTTATGTTGGTCAATCCAATCTCTGATGGGATGCTCCCCGTCAATGCACAATCCTCGAGCAACAAAGAGTTCAAGCTGGTCAACCTTCCAAGCTCGGTTGGGATTGTTCCATGCAGTTTGCTGTTGTTGCCCAAAGACAGGTGTTTCAAACTCGTGGATTGTGACAGTTCCTTGGGAATCAATCCAGACAAGCCATTTCCATCCAGCCGCAGCTCCACCAATCCACGTAACTTTCCCAGCTCTGACGGAATTGGACCAGACAGTTGATTGGATTCCAACCCCATTTCCTCCAATTTTGTTAATTGTGCTAGTTCCGTCGGAACTGACCCAGTCAGGGCATTGCGTCCCAAATACAGGCCTTCCAAGCACGTCAATGCTCCGAGCTCCGTTGGAATCGGTCCGGACAGATAGGTGTGGGTCAATCCCATTTCCTCCAATTTTGTTAATTGTGCTAGTTCCGTCGGAACTGACCCAGTCAGGGCATTGCGTCCCAAATACAGGCCTACCAAGCAAGTCAATGCTCCAAGTTCCGTTGGAATCGGTCCGGACAGATAGGTGTGGGTCAATCCCAAACGAGTCAACGCCGTCAAGAGCCCCAGCTCCGAGGGAAGTGTCCCGGCCAATTGATTCATCGAGCTCACGTAAACAAGATTTGTAAACAGGCCAATTTCGGTGGAGATTGTCCCTTTCACGTCCAAAAACTCAAAATGGAATCGGGTCACCGTGTCTGTTTCGTTGGCTTGAATGTATTCTTGAAGTATGTTGCTGAGCGGTTGAGTAGCTGGAGTGGGATAAAAGACGTACACAAGCCAAAGCCAAAGGCAAAGGACTGCCATTTGAAAATGTAGAAGATGTCGAATGGAGAGTACTCTTTGGGTGTCGCAATGATTTCTGTACTGCTGGACCAGATCATCGATTTCTTTCACCATGTTGGCTGCGTCTGACTTATGATTATTGCCGTGGACTACATCATGGAGCAGCAGTGCACGGAGTACCCTGTCTCTATCTTTGGGATTGAAGGCTTGCGCATGGAGGCAACTTGTTCGTAGATTGGCGAATTTATTGGGTCCGACCACCTGGGTGGTGGCTGTTGTGAACCCATAGCGCTTTGCATACATGAGTTCACAAACACTATTAAAAATTGGAGAAGAATAAAAAGAGTAGAGTTAGTTGCTTGCCATGAATGTTGGAACTGACTGATGACGATGTCAACTTACCACCAAATCCGGCTGTAGAGGTCTGTTTGTGCATTTCTAACAACGACAAATGACCTGGCACACCTGAGTGCTTGAACAAACGGGGATTCTGAGAGAGGCACTTCAACTTGTTCTTGGATCAATCTGTGAGAGCCTTGCCGGAGGGCAAAAGCGCAAATCCATAGATTTGGCTTGGCTCTCTTGGGGTAGGATCGAAATGTTTCCGTAATGGAATCCACAAAATCTGCAAAGCGTTCGTCCCAACAGTGGGTAATGAAAACGTGCCCTTTCAGGCCTTCTGAGTTCTTGGTCAGTGCATACGACTTGCCTCCTCTTTGGCGAGGAATGACAATCTTTGCAACGATATCACGCATGGACTTGGACCGGTATCCCCAGCCAAATTCCTTTCTTGCCAGTTCTTCCACTTCTAGCAACTGATCATAGGATATAGCTGCCATGCTGGGATGTTCAGGATCATCTTCATCTTCTACATGCACATCAGCTTGCCGCCTCAAGGGATTGAGAGAGTTCGCTGCACATGTTTCTACGTCATTCCATTCTTTCAGTGGGTTTCCCCTCTTGGGATCACTGCCGACCAGAAGAGAGCACAATTCTACGTCGTCCTTTGCTGTCATTATCTCTGTGGCTCGTTTTGTCATAGATCTATGGCTACTGTACCGTGGCACGACGGGGGACCTCGATGCTGCTCATGCTCGAGCTTTGTCATGGTTCTGGCTGGGTCGATGTGTGTTCCATGGGAGTGTGCATACCAAGCGAAAAAGATTTTCAGTCGGGATGCTTCATAAGCCAGCAAGAACATGAATTCACGCGAGGGCCCTCTGAGCCGCATTCTCTCGGCACTAACGAAGGCGACAGAACCAACCATGCAATTGTGGTGAATGCAAGGATTCTTCAGCCCTAGCCGCTAGCTACCGCACCGTCGACTCAGCCTCAGATACTTTGCGCCCACGTAGATTCTACGAGCACAAAACGGTATATGGTTAATAAATCTTATAGGGTTAACGACTACTTTTTGGCTTAAATCCAGCAATACCGGCTGGAGCCCGACTCGCGCTCAAAGTCAACTGTCACCACCATTCCACCTCGATAAATGCAACCAAACCAACACAATGGTGCTCCTATCCACAATTGCAATCGACGGCATCCAGAGACTGATTAACAAGCTGATAGTGCGCATCTACTTGCGAGGGGTAGAGTGAATGTTCTTGACGTTGGCGAGGCCAGAAATCTGCTGCGACTCGAATCCTGGGTCTTCCTCGAAGCCATCATCTTCCGGTGCTGGTGGCGGCGGGGCATAGTTGTTGGCTCTGCGTCTCTTCCTTCGAGGCTCGGGGTCTGGAGAACGGAAGGGTTCAGGGACGTGCACGTCAACCCTGTTGTTGCCGTAAAAGAGAATGGTGACAGTCTTGTCATCCTCAGTGAGAATCACGACGCAATTGTTGCTGGCGCAAGTGATCCTCTTGCACTCGGTATGCAAATCAAAGTGAGACACCCACTGTTTGAACTCCGCTGGTTTCCAATAATACTTGCCACCAATCGTCACGATGAACGTGAAGTCAACGCCCGCATTCAATGCCTTGTCGATTTCGTCGCGAAGAGCGGCCTGGGCCTTGACAGAGAGAGCCTTGATTTTCTTTTTGAAGTCTTCCTCGATTGGTTTGAGCACGCCATGTTCATCTTCTTTCTCCTTGAAGATAGAGCAGAGAATCTCTTTGTTGAAGAACTCGGTTGGTTCCGACATGATGGTTGGTTTTATCAGATGATTGCCGCTCGTGTGCAGATTGTGGCAGCTTTCGATCAAGATAGACAACCAGGACCTTGCATTGGATCGATCCGGGAGTATCCTCACTCGAAAACCGCGGTAAATTTGAATTCAATCGCTTCAAATTGTTTTGGATGGTTTGAATGCTGGAGTAGAGCATGCAAGAGCGAGCGGAAGGAAGAGTCGCTTGGACAAGTAGTTCCAAAAACAACAAGCTACGAGTACGATGAAATGGACAAATGTGTCCGCGATGACCGGCCAGGAAGCCGGTAGCAATGCTGCCGCGGTGGCAACCGTCTCTGTTGTTTGTCCTGGTGACATTCCTGATGGGAATATTGAAGGCCCTGTTACGTTGCAGCGCTTCTCTGACACTCCTCTCTTTCGCATCTGCGTCCATCACAACAACAGCGTCTACAACCGAGCCGTTTTTTGCCTTCCCACTGACGAAGCTTGGACGGTGAGTCTCCCACGCAAGATCAAGACAAAGCGTTCCAAGAAGAAAGCTTTGGAGCTTACTTTCAATCTCCCCGAGGAGAATCCCGATGGATTCAAGAAACTTGTTGTGACTCTACCTTACGATGGAGAAGACGGAGATGCCATGTTGTTTTGTGAAGCTGCTGCGTTTGCTTCCGGGGTTGTCTTTGACTATTGTCAGGGCCGCGAGTATGGTCATGGATGACTCATTTGGCAGTTACCTTTCCGACTTGAGCGCCCCTTGAAACGAAACCAATATCTCGGTATCGACATCTTGATCTCCCGGTGTTCGAACCTTTCTATCTTCAGCTCCGTTATCTCCTGGCTAGTGATTCCAATGTCCGGAATAGCACGTAATTGATTCTATAACACACTTAGCTGCAATGCAATAATCATGGTGGAGTCTAGTCGTCGTCATCGTCGATACCTAGTTGCTATATAGATCTAGAAGAGGGGTCGAAAGGAGTATCGGCAGCTACCGGTTGCAGCATTATAGAGAAGACGAAGCCAATCCGTAGCGTGCGAGACAGTCAAAACAATAACAGCTCGCTGTTTTATAATGATGTTATGATACCCTCTTTCGCTCCAAAACAACCTACTTGTTGCAGTTTGCCACGTTAAAATATACCTATCTTTGGGTTAGTGCTGACTGTTCGAAATTTCATCCCGCTCCAACACAATTTTGAATCGAAGAGCGTGGAGCAATGCAAAGATAGATAGTCGACGATGGCGTTCAATCTGTTGCCTCTGCCTCGTCCTCCGATGCTTCCTCCTCTCCAATCGGTTGGCACTGCAGATAGTCCTGTTGTTCTTGGCGGTACAGCTTTAGCATATCCTCCAGCTTTGAATAGTCATGGGTTAATGGAGGCAGAGCCGTAATCGATTGCACGTAGGTGAGTCTAGCCGCTTTGGCATCCGAGTCGTCAACGTCTTTCTTCCTTCTCTTAATGCCTCGTTTGGTCTCTAACAGCTTTTCTTGCACTTCTTTCTTTTTTCGGGTTGCAGCATGGCGGAGAATGTTCAGTGCTTTCTTCAGATCGTCTCGGAAGCACTTCAACCGAGAGTCGTCGCGCTTTCCTTGCTGGTGACACCTCTCCATGATCTCTTCCATATGACTCTTCAAACCTCGGAACCTCTCCAGTGCTGGTCGGAGGTGATTACATCCGTGAACCTTCATTGGTATGGTTGGCATTAGGCGGTGCCACAAATCGATGCCCAGATTGATTGCTTTTTTGGCATCCGCGACGTCAGGATCTGTCATCGAGCCATACTCTTGATAGCAATAGTGCGCGATCACGTCCATGTATTGAAAGAGCCTCGTGAATCCATCACAGAAGAGCTCCACCTCTTCCTTATCAGCTTTGCACTTCTCCCTTTCATCGTCTGACAATGACTCCAAATGCTGCAGACAGATTTCCTTGATGTCATTCATGATGGGCACAGCATTCCGGAGCAACTTGCGACACTCATTGCCCTCCATCGCTCCACCATGGTAAGAAGAGATGTGCACGTTGTATTGCTTGTCTAGCTTTCTTTGGATGGTCATCCAGAGATCTTGAGTTGTGCGTCCATACTCTTTCTTGTTGTCTTCTAATTGCTTGAGTTGTTTCCTTTTCTGTGTTAGACTTGCTTGAGCTGCTTTGTGGGCTGTGTGAGCCTCATCATACCAAGCCCTTGCTAAGTCCACATACTCTTCATGTCGGATGAAATCTGCCTCGTGTTCATTGTCTTCAAACTGGATGTTTGGATCGCCAACGAGGTCCTCCATGACTGCCATCATCTCATTCAGATGAGACTCGGCGTCTACCAAGTCTTTCCAGCACCCTTCCAATGCAATTTGAGCGTCTGCTTTCTCGAATCTAGCTGTTGTGACTTCCAACGGGACGCTTTCGATTCGATACCATACATATCTTTGCAGGTAATCAAACGGTGTGTTGGCCAACAGAATGACACTATGGAGCGGCGGAGGCAACCAATTCTCAGGCTGAATGCAGTCAATGAGAGGTAAGTTCTTGATTCCCTTCTCGTGCAATTTGTTCGAACGCTTCAGCTCTTTACTCTCCAGTTTCCTATATCGTCTTTTCATCAATCTAATCGTCCATATTCTGCCTATCTTCTTAGGGTCGTCTTGAAATTGGCCCCACATCAACTGACACATCCAACAGTGGACGCCAGACATGTTGTCTTTTCCAAGAGATAGAGAATAGAATGCCAAGTCTCCCACAGCAAAGAACTCCATCGGCACGGCGCCATGATCTTCCATCAAACGTTTCAAGCCCTGATTAACAGCCTTGGCGATACCACTGGAAATAAGCACCTGACGTGTATCCTTCCGGCATTTGATTTGTCCAATCAGTTGATGCGACTCTTTCCGGATTCTTCTTCCTGCTATGAATAAGATAGAAGCATGCACCCGGAAGGCGCCTTGGCCGTGGTCAGCTGAAATGATTACATGAACCATCGAGTCTGACGGAGACGCCTCTGCTTTGAGCTCATTGCGGATAACCTCGTCTAAAGGCAAGACCCAACCGGATCGATTCGATTTCTGTTCTACAAACTTGAGAACGGTAGGTAACACCGTGACTGCTGCTTCTAGTTTCCTCATCACCCTCTCTGACTGGAGTGGGTTACACCTGTCAGCATTGAAAAACTGTCTCATGAGTCTCCCTTTCTCATAGGTCAAATTCAGCTCCTGAAACATTGCCAGCTGCCGATGTGGATCCATCTTTGGCATCGGCCGAACGTTTGATAGTCGGACGGCATCTTCAAAGGCGTCTGGTTCTTGTTCTTGATGGAGGCATGTGAGAGTAAAGCAGACATCACGACGAGTGAGTTCATCTCCATAAACGACAGCCCCGTAGAATCCGTCGAGATACTTTCGCGCATTCTTTATCAAGGATTTTGTTGAATCGGCAGGTATTACAGGGTAAAGGTTCAGTCCATGACCTTTGCTGCCACCGAATTTCTTTAGCTGGAAGAGGTTCGCCCCATGTGTCTTTGCCTTGGCATTGATCTGCACAGCAACGTGCATGAAGGATTGAATTGTTGAAATGCGTGGTGGGCAACAGAAGCGATCAAGAAATGGTAACCATTGACGCATACAAATCAGTTTGTTCAAGTCGTCCGTGTCATCCGTCACTAACATGCTGCGTCTCTCATTGGCTTCGGCCTGAAGACGGACTCCCATCTCCTGTATCTTGGATCTAAACTTTGTCAGGTTGGCGTCAAATCTAAGTAAGTTTTCGTTATCGAGTTGCTCTGGTTCAAAGATTGTTAAGAGCAAGTCTAAGAGATCTTTGTTGTCGCCGTGTTTGAGATCATTCTTTGCAGTTTTCTCTGCTGGTGGGGTGATGAGTGCAGGCTGTGTAGTGTTGTTGGGTAGTGTCTCGACGACTAGATCGTTGGCAACAAAGCTTGCGCGACGACTGTAAGCTCTGTATCTGTTTTCAAAGAAGATCTGTTTGTCTTTCTCATTCTTGTTCAACTTCTCACTCTCTGGTGTTGCATCTGTTGTCACGGAGAAAAAGTGGATCCTCTTTGTTTTCGTTCCGACTTTGATCCTTCGCATTGTTGCTTGTATCTTCAGAAGTTTGCCATATCTTACTTGGTCTTCCGTGGTGGTAAAGACTCTGCCAAGTGCGCCCCTTCTGGTGAGACTCTCTCGCAGTGTCTTCATTGGAAGCTTCCTTCCGTCTGCCAACTTCAACGAAACTTTGTGTGTCCAATATGAAAGTGGAATCCACTCTGCGAAGGCGCAGTCGTCATGGGCCACAGCAACAAATGCTGCCTCTATTTCAGCGTCAGATGCCATCGTTGGAAGTGGTGTCCGCCGGTGTAACTCGAGGGATGTTTCCTTTGGGTATCAATGGAGCTTGCTTGCGAGTTACACCGCCATAGGCAATGCTTTTGGATGTCAACAACCTGTCGGCATCAGAGGTAAGCTGAGGTCCTTCATCGTGATGCCATCGTTGCGTTCCCAAAGAAAACCTGAAGATGTGATTTGAATCGAAAATGTGAGCTTCAGTTTTGCATACGTCAACTATGATAAAAAGAGTACAAATCGACAATATACCAGAGCTACATAAAGGCAGGCCGAGTGGACGGTGCCGGTAGCTGGCTAGACAAAACTCGGCGTTGACCCGAGGATGGGCAACTCTGCCAAGTAAAAGAAACCTGTAGCCTTACGGTCTATATTTGGAGGTGTGTGGTTTACGTTTTTATTCAGCTTATTAGAACTACGACAAGGGTTTCAGTGGCCAATAATAATAATTGCGCAATGATCGAGCTTCCAGCTGGGCGCCACCATAACAACAAGGAAACCGTGAAATCGAGATCAACCTTTACGGTAGAAGTTCACATGAATTTCGTTATGCTTTCTTTGCCATGGTTTGTCGGACAAGGTACCGTGCGGACAAGGTACCGGTACCGTGCGGACAGTCACAAGCACCGATTGGAGAGGGGCCTTTTCTTAGCCCGGAGAGAGCGATCTATGACGTTGGTTGCAAAGCGCTGGCTGAGGGTCTAACAACGGAAGTCATCCAAAGATAGCTCGCAGCCACTTCTTGGCAGGCTGGCTCAACAGAGAGAAATCATAGCTCACAATCTACATGTACCATACGGGGCCGAAGGGGCGTCCTAAAAATTTTCTAAGCTCCGGAAGCTTTTCCAACATCGCAACTGGAGTGGGAGGATGGCTGCTCCAGATCATGTTGCTAGCCAGCTAGATGCTGCGGAACGTTCTTTTGTCCGGTCAAAAATGTGCTCGCATAGCCAAATTTCTCTCGCACGAATGATGATTCATCCAAATGGGGATGCAAGTCTGCGACGACCTCATTTTTTCCCATTTTAGGTATTTCGGAACAATGGAGATTGCAGATCTCGACCTCACCCAAAGACACACAACCATGCCAGGTCAAAGCCAAGTAAGAATAGTGAGAACCACCGGTCTCCGGAGCCACTGCCATTATTTCAAGATGCCATGGATTTTCCTTGGCATTAGCTCCGTAGTCTTTCTCATTATTGTGTTTGCGGGCCCCAGAGAAGTAACCGAGGGATCTTGCCACGGAGAAGGATGTTTTGGCAACGACTATTGCTGCGTGAGTTCCAGCAGTCTTTGTTCTGGCGGTTGTGTTTGTACGAGTACGAGTACGAGTACGAGTACCGTCGATGGCGACGAGGATGACAGTTGGTGCATTGAAGCCGGAACGGGTCTAAGCCTCCAAAAGGGATCCATGATCGCTGCTTGGCTGTTTCTGACGGCAATAGTTGTGTCTTGCTGTTGGCTAGGCTCTCTGATCAGCGCCGACGGTTGGCACAGTGACGGAATCATTGCGTTGGATGCAGCTGCGCCCAATACCGGTACGGCCAATACGCCGCCTACTGGAACCGAGGACCAAAGCGGTGCATTAAAAGAGGAGGAAGAGCAGGATTTGGACGTGGAGGCCGAGGCCACGGATACGGCTTCAACCAATGACGAAATTGACTGTGAAGAGACCAAGGCGGGCAACAATGAAGTAGTCAACTCTGAAGGTTTGGAAAGAGTCGGCGATGGAGCGGAAACCAACTCCTGCACGGCCGGTGATACCGGTACTAGCAGGACAGTTTGAGGTACCGGTAGCAACTGACACGCAGAGTCCTGACACCACCGCGTTCAAGTTGAAGATCTAGCTTGGTCCTACGAATTCGAATGGCCCGAGAGCTATAGCTGTGTGAAGTTAGTGGAGCAGTACAATCATAGTTTGTAAAGTATGGCTGGTTCATTATCACCTGAGGATTGGTCTGGCTAGACGCATTTCATTCCATGGTTTGTAGCCTATGTCGTGTGTTGCCTTTGATCATAACGACCATCATGGTTCCCTGATGTTCCGATCCTACGGTACCCTAGAGTCTGTTTCCTTGGTGCTCATTCAATCTGCATCAACCTTGACTCCACTACACTGCATGCAATGGTAACGGTACGGGATACCCAGGAAGCGCGGGATAGCTTTAATTGCTTTTCCATCTCGATTCATTCAGCTTCACGGAACCTTGACCTATCCACTGATAACCATCTCGCATGGTGGCACTGGTACCGTACGGAATTCATGCCGTACTAGTACTGTAGCCTTTTACCTTTCAGCCAAAGCTTTTGTCAACATGCATCATCAGTAATGTTGGCTTTCAACAGGAGTGCATCTCGTCAATAAGCCAGTGTAGTAGTGAACACTTGTCTGTTGCCGAGTACGATTCGATTCGATTCAACGGCACCTTTTTTGCGTGCCTTGGCACATGCTTGTCCAACCAGTGGTGCTAAGAAAAAGGTGGGAAGTGACAGTACTATGGTGATTGTATAGCTAAGTGATGTAGCTGGCGGTGCGACCATCCCTTCTGATTAGAGGTTCGTTAACCGTTTCACATGAATGGAAAACCAGTGAGAAAACAACGTGCCGTGCTGTACCAGTACCGTATGGATCTGCGAGCTTGCGTGGGAGCGATAGGCTGTTCGCTTTGAGACGAAAGAGATGAGAAATGAGACGGTGTGACCTCGAAGTTACTTTCCAGTGCCAGTGCCATTTTCTATTTTCCATTGACCACGAACCATCTCTTACTCCTTGCTATTGAATATCAACCGTAACCAACGCAACCATCTAGTCAGGTAATAGCCATATTGTCAATTGGTTAGGCTAGTAGAGGGTATCTTCCGTTTCTTCATCTACTGTATCATTCTACTAGCTAGCTATACTGTAGCTAGTATTGGTATTGTTATTGGTGTTGTCAATATCTTCGCCAGATCTTAGGATCACTAGATATTGTCGTTGAAAAATTGGACTGATTTGGCCATTGAGTCTTTTGAAGCGTCTTTTTGAAGATGAATGTGAATGTTGTCACAAGAAACACAAATCCGGAATTGGCCATTGATTTTTCTTCCAGCCTGAAAGAAAAGTTGAAGGTCAATAGCAAGAACAAGTCTATTAATAGATCCAACACAGCCAGAGTAGTTCCTGCAGCCATGAAGCTCTTCAATCAGTTTTTGCCTTACCATTTGAAGGCTCAGCAGCAGCCCATGCTCTTGTCTACTGTATCTACAAGTACAACAAGTACTGTATCTACAAGTACAACAAGTTCTACAAGTACAAGTCCTACCAAGATGAAGATGAAGATGAACTCCAAGAAGAAGAAACATCTGCGCAAGATTCACAAGTTTCTACTCAGTGACAACAGAGATGCTTACCAGAGGTTCTGTCAACCCACTTCTACTTCTACTTCTACCTCTACCAATACCAATACCAATACCAATACCAAAAGAAAGTGCAATTGCAAGAAAGAAGAACTAGAAAAGGAAAAACAACCTGAAGATATGACCAATTCCACTTTGGATTTGGAATTGTCTTTTTCTTCGGATTCTTCTGAAGCAGATCTTCCTGAAACAATTGATCCAATTGAACCAATGGAAGTGTGCCTTTGCAACTGGGACTCTGAGGAGTTTGAGGAATTTGAGCAAGAAGAAGAGGAGGAAGATGAAGACACAGAGTCCATCTCTGGATCAGATGCAGATGCAGATGCAGAAGATCATTTGGATCAGCAACCTTTTGATTGTCGCCAAGATGAGCCAGAAGAGGCTGCCCCGTGCACCACCACCACCACCACCACCACCACGAGACGACAACAGCACCCACAGTACCACAGTAGACCCACCGTGCGTCTCAACTTGACGCGTCGTTCCAATTGGAAGTTTGTCACGGACAAGCAAGAGTTGCAAGCTTGGAAGGAACAAAAAGAATGGCTCGCACAAGACAAGATGGCACTCAAAAATAGACGACAAACACTACGAACTCTACGACGGACATCCTTTCTACTGAGACTACCCATGAGACGAGGATTTGTCGAATGGAACGAGTCAACTCGAAACAATCTCATCTTTAGTGTCATTCCAGAACTACAAGACGAATATCAAGTTGAACATCAAGATGAGATGATGGACGCACGAGAGGTCGATGTTGACGAACTGGAACTAGAAATGGAGAGGATGCTCGAACAACAGTAAAGAAACAAACCAACAGCAGACAGGTTCGGGAGCTGCCTATTAGGTTCTTCAAGGGATCCAACAATGCAATACTTACATACACAATACCGCACAGTTTTGACACATTCATTTTGTTTGGAGTACATGTACACGTATACAGCGTGATAGTTTTTTAATAAATACTAAAGGAACATCTATCCGCACTTACTAGTAGTAGTACCGGGTTTGAATAGATTCTGCCTTACCGTACCGTACCATGAACCTGCTCAGACCTATGACATAACTGGGCGTCCGACCGGATTGGCCTGAGTCGAGCGAGCTATCTATCTTACCCAGATCTATGATCTTGGATCCGCTGTCCGGATACATGTGGCCTCATCATGGCCTCATCAATTTCCATCACCATTTTGTGCGATGCGTTCAGCGGGATTAGTCAGTCACCAATGATGACATCCACAACTCAAAATCTTCCGCAAAACGACACCAACACAAACAAGATTCTCTCGCTGTCGGAGTAGAGTCTACATAGTAGCAGAACTCAGAACTTGGCTTTGGCTCACAAGCTCATTCATTGTATCTGACTACGTAACTTAACTAATACAAAGATAGCGAAGATGATGAGGTTGGCTGTGATCCTGTTGCTCAATGTGTCTTGCTTTAAAATGTTCAGCCATGGATTGGCTACCGGTACATTCAGTCTCAGTCCACGACAAGTACCGGTACAGGTACATGTACAAGTACAAGCATTGAGATCTTGGAAGAATCCTCGCCATGACAGAAGCAACTTCAGGTCTACTTTTATCAGATCTAGTACTTCTAGTACCAGGTCTAGTACCAGCCTGTATGGTGCCAATGATCCCAATGGAAGATACCCTGCCTACCCTGAAGCCAATGGAAAAATGAACATGACCCCACCTCCCACCAAGGACAGATTCCAGCAATATGCAACAGCCAATACTGCTACAGCTATTGATACCACCACCAGCACCACCACCACAACCACAGCCATTGAAGACTTGCTGGTAGAAAATCCAGAAAAAATGGACACTGCAGGCTTTGTTTGGCTCTTACCCCTCATAAACATGGGAAGTGCTTTCTTCTTCTACACAAACACACAATTGGCATTCCATAGCTTTATGGATGTTTGCAGTGGGCATTGTGAGTGCGGTATCATTTGAAAGCTATAGCTATATATGCTCGTCTTGCTCACCTTCAATCCTGCCCATTGCCATTGCTTTCCAGTGTGGGTCAATGTAGATGGAAACGCCTACATGAATGACATTGTCAAACCAGTTTTAAATGGTCCTGTCACACTCTCCATATCCATTCTATTCGGTACTCTCATCAGTATGACCATACAAACACTATACAGACGACAAATTGCTCTACACCAAACACTCATCAGTACCGTCGAGGAAGTACGAGAACTACAGTGGCTCGTAGAAGGGTTTCCAGAACCCTACAAATCATCCGGTCATACACTCCTCACCAGATTCCTTCAGGCTTCCTTTCGCGACTTTGAAACACAACAAGTCACACCCGAATCCATTCGAACCAGAGAAATGACACAAATGCTCGTTCTACTCAATGAACTCTCCAAAACCACTAATTCTCCCGACATTATCGTCTGCGAAGCCTACGGATGCGTCCATCGACTCAAAGATCGCAGAGCCGAATTCATGAGTGGACTACAAACCGTCTTTAGTACGGCCCATTACGTCGTCATTGGACTCCTCGCTACTACCTTGCTCTTTGTCTTTTTGTTGGAAGCCGACAACGATACGCTCCAGTTCTTGTTGGACTTTCAACTGTCCATTTGCTGGGCATTGCTCGTGGGGTCCTACAGCATGCTCGCTGTCATTATTTACGATCTGTCGCGACCCTTTACGGGCATATTCACACTCATGAAGGGCGTCGACTTTGTCGCCAGTGAACGAGCCACCGATATTGTGCCCGAAATCAAACTCACAACCTCCTTGAATGGAAATGGAAACAACAGTAACAACGACAACGAAGCAGATCGAAACAAAGAAAATGGAACTGACGACGACGTCAACGAAATCTTTAGTGAGGTGACCATCAGCAAAGAAAAGGACAGCGACGAAGAAAACAAGGAGAGCGACAATGGCGCTCGTTGATGGCCGCCCGTCCCATTGCTTGGAGGGATGGCACAAGGGATCAAGCCTTCCGCCGACAACTAATTGCATCCGATAGAAAATGAAAGCAGCTCGTCTTTCTGTGACGGTCATCCAACGGCAATCTTTGGTCTGCATTACACCCATCAACGATACACGATACAGCCGCAACACACGAAATCAGTCTCGTCAAAGCTTAGGTCACTGGTGACGGAAATCTTTGCACTACACTACACGACACTACACTGCTCTACATCAATCAACGACCGGTTCGCCGTCGCACAAACACAAGCGCCATCATAGATATTGACAACGTAGACCACCAATGTTAGTTTAGTAATGAAGAGACTATTCTATTCAACCCAATCTATCTATTCAACCCAATCAACACGCCATGCGAGGCGAAGATCTCTGCCTTGTTTTATTCGCTCCCCAAGTACAGTGTAGTTGGGTGTGCCACCGACGAGATGGCAAGGACGAAACCGCCAGATCACTGACCCGATCACCCAGACAAGATACGCTCCGTCTCAATTGACTTAAGTTATCAAGACTGCTACAATACGAGGTCCACCGGAACAGCCCATCAAGTAAGGTTGATCTGCGTACTAGTACAGGTAGCTAGGATCCTGGCCCAATCTTCGCTTGTGTTCCGCCAACTCACGACCATGGATGGATCCTACGGGACACCTGGCCCAACGTTCGTGCTCCCGAAATAAATTAGCTATGTGATTGCGCTTCATCACCCGAACAATCAAGCTAGGCGAATTCCCGACCCAAAGATCCAGGCAGAGGGGGTGCTGCACCCTCTGCGAGGTTGTTGCTTGCTTCATGCAACTTCCGACGAAAAGGGATCTTAGCTTCCAGCGAGTTCCAGCTCGGGCAGAGATTCGATTGGATTCCTAGAGGAAATCAATCTGCTGACAAGGGAGGCTGCACAACCCGCCAAAGTACATGTATGTGCTGGAGCCTCTCCTTTTGCGATGAAATAGGTGCTTGCCACTGCTGTTGCTCAGCCTCCGAGTCTGGCCATATCTTGATGCAACCTCCGACGTTGATTCCCAGATGAATTCACGACTTACCGTGGGAATTGTTTCGTAAGCCGAATGGCTTGACCCAAGATCAATCTGGAGCAGACACTGCTTGACATAAGTTTTGCGTTGTCACCAAAAGAAGGCATCTACTTAGTCGACATCACCCTGTGACAATACGACTTTAAATATGTTGAATTTTTACTAAATCCGAGAGAATCAATAAAAGAAGTTACACTTTGCATCATTAATAATCATTATTCCTCATCAATTAACAGGTGTATTCGTTGTAAGATGATGCCACTAATGTGTCACATGATAAACCACGTTTGGCTGGCGTGGGACCGTGTATGTACTGAAAGCGATCTGTGCAGCGCCGGTGAACCCGGCCAACTCGTTTTCCTTCTGGTTCCGCCAAGAGCAGCAAATCAAGGAGTTTGCTTGAGAGAGAAAAACTCGGGTGCATCGAAAGGAGAGAAGAACCTGGAAGGCGAAGAGCGGTACCAGAAGACCACAGCGCCTGGGTTTGCTCTCTTCTTACTCTTGTGCGAAGCGATCCATCTCTAGCTACTATAGCAACTAGCTAGCCAGCCAGCCAGAGCTCCATCAATTGCTACCAGTACCCACAAAAAGCAAAAGTAGTCAATCTGCACCCACTTGCTTGTCGATTGCTTGGTACCACTTTGACTTACACTACTACAACTAGCCACTACCGGTAGCACAGCAGCAGCAGAAACATCAGAATGGGTATCGAAGAGTTGCAGCTACAGGGCATCAAGGAGGAAGATATTGATGATAATGATGGTATGTCATGCCTATGGGTAGCATTTAGTGTTTTAAAAGTTAAGCTATGGGTAGCATCATTAAGCTATGGGTAGCATCTGATGTTTCTGTTTCCTTCTTTATTTATTTCTCTATTGGTGCCTTTGAATGATTGATGCAATGGAAAGTCCTTCTGGGAAGAGGAGGAAAGACTAATCATCATCCAGGTAAGCAATTTCTTCTGCTTCTTCTTGTCTATCTGTCTTTTTAATAATCTGGTTTGGTCTCATCTGATTTGACGTTCATTACGTATTAGGCAATGCATCGTATCTGAAGCTAATCGAAGCTAGGGAAGTCGAGTACATGTTTCTGGAAAGTCGTACAGAAAAGACAGAGTACGCCATGAAATTTGTGCAACAACTGAGAAAGGAAGGAATCCGATTCCTGAAAAAGGACCCCAAAAATGGAAAACTCTGGAATGATGTGGGAGATGTCAAAATGAGGGAGAAAGTCAGTCAGAACCTAAGAGAACGACAACCCAAACTCAAGAAACAGTTCGAGCAGCAGAGGCAACACCAAGAAATCATGGGACAACCACAATCATCGCCCATTCCTTCCATGCAAAAACCCACTATTCAGCACTTGTCGCCAGTGGCAAACAACAACAACAACAACAACAACAATAACGGCATGGGAATGCCTCTCCCTGTGTACTCATCAAGCCCCAATCCAAACGCAAACAACAACAACAATATCCACCAAAACAACATGCAACAATTCCTACACATGCAGGCCATGGCGAAGCGAAATCAGGAACAGTCACAACTCATGATGCAACAAATGATGCAGCAGCAACAACAGCAAGGGCAAATGGGAAACTACGGTGTTGGGTCTGGCTCTGGACATGGATACCCCAACATGGTGCCCTCGGATGGTGGCATGCCCTATGGAGCTGGAGGAGCCATGATTCAAGGTGACGGAACCCCACTCATGATGAACAACAACAACTATGGAAACAATTTCAACAACAACAACAATAATAATGCCTACGCCGGAAGTCAACAGCTCCCTGTGTACGATCCGCTCGATCAACGCGAGGCGGATCTGCTGCAGGGAATGGGGGCCAACGACCATCCGCTGGCGCTATCCAGAGCACAGTCGACAGAATCGCAGTTGTTGTCGCCCGAAGAAGACTCCAAACTGAGGGCTGCCGAAGCACTACCCAGCGGACGACCCCAAATGATTCAACGAGGTCGATCCACCGATTTCGGATTGCCCATTACGGACGTACCTGGAATGGAAATTTTTGCTGCCATGGGATCCTCCACGACGTCCCTCTTGGATTCGCTAGAGGTCGATCCCGTGCCAGAAGAACAAGAAGGCGATCTATCGCCCAAGCGTACCGCTACGGCCACCATTGGATCTGCCCGCGAACAGTTCACTCCCGTCATGGGCAATCGTAGAATGATCCCACCATTGACACGTGATAACAGCAACAATAACAGCACCCCGGCCATGGTATCGCCGACACCCACTTCACCGCAAATTCAAGGAGGAGGAATGCAACAGCAGCAACCACAAAATGTCCTGGATGATAATATCCTGCAAGCGTGGGCCAATTCCAATGATGGAGGAGACGCTTTGTCGCCGTTTATGCAGCAGCAACAGCAGCCACCCATGCCATCACGATTCCGTCGTACACAGAGCCATCAAGTCGAAGGTGTGCCGCGTCCCACCGCAGCACCCATGCGACGATCCGGAACTGCTCCCGCTCCTACCATGCCCCAAAATTCCTACGAATTGTCGCCTCGTCCCGGCGCCATGACCAAGGACAAGCGCGCCACCAGCAATGTCGCCGAAACACCCGAAACCCGTGGGTATTTGGTACGACACGAAGGTGGTGGCGGACTGCCGATGGAACTGCCCTTCTCGGAAGATGCAGGTCCTCGCTCAGTCTCTGGGTCGAGCACATTTTCCCTGAAAAAAGCATCCTTGGGTCGAGACAAGAGTGAACAGTCGCGCCTCTTGAAACAACAGTGCATGCCAAATGCATTTGCGGCCAATGCCTTTACAGCCGGTGGCATGGATGGCAGCAGCAACGGCACAGCTCCAGGCGGTTGGTTGGGTGCGGGATTCAACGCTGATCCACCACTGACGCCTCCGGTCTCGGCGGGAAAGCAAGTTGATGGTGCCAGTCTGCAGCGCGAATACACACCCAGAACCTATGGAATGATGCAGGACTTTGGCAAACTCAGTGTGCATGGTGGTGGTGGCATGAGAAGCGGCGAAACACGAACCGCTAATCGCTTTGAGGACACTATTGCAAGTCGGTACGTAAAAACGAATCGAGGACTCGGGGGTAGCGATGTGGACTTGTATTGATGTAATTTCTTACTTACTTCCGTTTCTTTCTGGTGATTGATAGGTCAAATGAGGAAGCCGCCCAATCGGCAGACCAGATTCCCATGGATCTCATGATCAAGAAGCCGGCAATGATGACATGGAGAAACCGCAGCACCACCATGAACGCCTTGGATCTCGACGGCTTGGACGATGATCCTGTGTTGCTGGGAGAAGACGATGATCGGTACGTGCTTGGTTGGTTTCCTGGCCCTGTTGTTGTGCTAAGTAGTGACCGAGCTAACTTTTACGTTCCTGCTTGTGTTGGCTGCACAGCCGAACCAGTCGCGCTTCCATGAACAGCATCGCTGGAATGTGGACAAACACCTCTGCGTAAGTTTACTTCTGGCAATGTTTATGTGTTGAAAAATGTGACATTCCGTGCACTGACTGATCTTGTTTCTGCTTTGTAGTGAGTTCGATGCGTTTGTGTCTGACCTGGCTGGTCAGCCGGTGAACAATTTGGTTCTCGATCTTCCCACACTGGGCGGCGAAGCAAGCAAGTGAGTGGAGTCCAGGGCTTCTGTGTTGTTGGACTGCAGTTTGAAGAGCCGTGACCTCACAATCTTCTTTAGAACGGCAAATTTGAAGGTATAGCTGCATGTGGGGGAGAGGATGAATAATTCGAACTGTTCTATTCTCCGCTGCTTCATCATCATTCACACAGATCGAGTTGTGGATTTTGTCGGCCGGCCAGGGTGTGGGGATTCCTGGAAGAAAACGAGTAACTTTATGAAATTTGAAGACACCAAAGATGCATTATAGTTCAATAGTAAGGAGCAGCTAGTGAACACTTGGCTGTAGTTTACTTTAGCTAGCTAGCTAGATGATAGACAGAATTGAACAGGAAAGATTGGAACGAACTCAAACTAAATCATTTAAAAGCTACATGTAGCTATCTCATCCAACTACCAGTGCCCGCAGGGGGTGGATAAATCCAGTCCCATCTCATTTTCCAGGCGACGGAAAGGTGCCTGGGTCCACTGGAGCAGTACCTGTGGTTTGACGCAGCTGATTTTGAGCCTGATCAGCAGTCTCTTGAGCCCCAGGAGCAATTCGCAGGTTCCAGAGAGCCACCTTTTCACAGTACTTGGCAGCAAGGCTGGATTATCGATGCGGGCTCCGAGAAGCCCCAGGAATTCCATCTTTCCCGCCTTGAAAATTTCTAACTCCATCTTGCTGGCGGCGGTAAGATTAGCATCTTCAAGATCCAACTGCTGAGTTTCCTGCTCCATCGCCACATATTCCGCTTCCCATTTAGCTGCCAAATTGTCCGTGAATGCCTCCTTCGCCTGTGCAGCTTGAGACTTGTCAGTGTTGGCTGCTTTGATAGCATCTTTCTGTCCTTGGATGTGGGCTTGGGCAAGAAAAAGAGGTGAGAGAGAGGAGAGACAATGACCAATGACCAACCAGCCAAGCCAAGCAATAGACTTACCATAAACATCAACTTGGGTTAGAAAGTAAGGGCGTGTTAGAGTAAGGAAGTTTACTACAGAAGCTGGTGATTTGTAGACAAAATCTAGATTTCGGTGGCACAATGTTGACCAGAGATTGTATAAAGGTGCTCTGCTGGCCAGGTCTGAGTGATAGATGTCAGCACCAGGGGGTGATACATAATCATCGATGTATATTCGTGCATATTCAAGACTGTCCATGATACCCATCATGCATTCTTGAAGGATGTCTGGACTATTGGTTAGTCCCATGGGTAGTCGATTGCAGAAGAGCGAATCTGGACTTCGTTTGATGTGATGATGTCCCATGTTGCGATAGCTGTTGCGATCCATACTTGTAGCTAACAATCCTGAGGGATTGATAATGTGCTGGCTGGCTAGCTAGATAGCAGCTCCGCAACAGTGCTTGTGGCAGCAACTGGCCAAAAATCTCTGATCACGGGAGCATTGGGAACCATGCCGGACTGCGACGAAGCGCTTAGAGTACCGTACCCTAACTCTAAGGTGTTTATTGGCTTCGAAAAGTGCGCAAGCTAAGACTCTATCTATTTATGCTCCAAGTAAAACCACAAAGTCGACGGACTCTCGACTCTACTAGCTAGGCCAGAACCTCCAAGTTTGCAATACATACACGCATAGCATATGAAATGGGTATTCCGTCCACGCAGGAATCCCCACAAAAACAAGGAAATATCCAAGGAGGGGTGAAACCAATAGAAGGACTGTTCAGTCGTCGTGTCGGCTCGGCAGACGAAGATTTTGCGATTGACTCCTCTTGTTTGTTGTCGTGTACGGGTACCAGTAGCCTAGACGACGTTTTGTTGGTTGTTCAATCTTGTGCTAGAGCCGCTGTGCCGATCTCGAATCAGAATGATCGAATCTGCACCTTCACTTGCGACATCATCTTGGGACGACTTCGGAGTCGTCGACGGCGTACAATGATGGCCCGCACAACAGAGTACTAGCGAGTATGGTTGGAGAGGACTTTCGTGTTTCCTGACCAAGATGCCTTGTCGCCTCGACGCTCGACGCCTTGATGATGTGCGTGTTGGGCGGAGATTCAACCCCATGATCACGTGACTATATCCAACCGTACCGGTACTGGCCATGCAGAGCTCCATGTATGCCCAAAAGACCACATTCAGCACCGGCCACGGTCCACACTAATGTACTGCTAAACTACAACACACAACAAGAATTGAAAACCAGCTAGCTAGTTCAGTATTAGTTGGATGTAACCCCTACCGGTACTAGTCTAGCTAGTAGGCGGGCCAGCAGTTCGCAACACTGATCCCCACATCCGCTTATCCCAACTCCTGCTCCGCCTGGTGCTCGATTTCGTCGGCTGTAGCAATGTCGTTGGCTTCAGTAATCGCTGGCACAACATTTTCGTTGGACACGCCCACCAATGCCTCCACCCTCTTCTGCCGCCTTTCACCAAGAAGAGTCCTCAACTCCTGTACTCCTTCAACTCCTGCAACTTCTTCAGCACCTGCAACTCCCGAGTTTCTGCTTCACGCAACTCGGCTTCTGCTTCACGCATCAATGCCTCGTTTCTCTTCTGCTCCCTCTCAGCACGAGCCTTGTCACGTCGGGCCTTTTCGATAACTTTGTCGGCGCGAAGTAGAGCGGTAGTTGCTTCCTCCATCTTTGAACTTGTCCCAACAAAGCCATCCATGAAGAAGCAGGAACGGTTCAAACTGTGCATGGGAGCGACAAATCTAGTGTGGTGCTTCAACAGTGACAACTGTCGATAGTAGCCAAGGGCCAAGGCAGCTGTAAGGAGGCGAGGCTACTCTGTGGGAGTTCCTACATGTACCGGAGCCATGGAGCGAAATACTAGCTAGCCAGTATGCTAACACGGGCGCCGACAAGGTACCACGTGAAGAGTGCAATGCGAAAAGTCTTCCTCTTGGACCACGCGATTGCAGATGCTCCCTCCTCTCCATTCTTCCCGTCCTTCAGAGATTCGATTCCTCTTGATGTGGGCCTACCGGTAGGAGCTCGTAGAGCTACGTCAAGAAGATATTTCAAAAGTGTGTGTAGTTTTGTTGCGATAGCTAGTTTCCTCTTTTTTTAAATCGCTAATAATGTGCAGTTAACCCTCGAGTTTTCCAGCTACCTGGTACCAGAGAGCAAGCAACAAGCAAGGTTCTTTGTTCGTGTTTATCTGTCTTCACGAGGCCGCATGTGGTTGGGTTTTCCAAGTCCTTCTACTCTGTAGCAGTTGCTACCGGTACGCTACGTAGCGATAGCTAGGCTCTCAGATGTCGCGTAGAGTTATCTTTGACTCCCCAACAAAATTTATCTGTTCGACAGACAAAACAAAGCAAAACAAAACAACAGAGTTAGCAGGATAGAATGAGTCAAGACGGTACTGGTACTGGTATCGAAGGGAAGCATCAGCATCGTACCCGTGCCATCGTTGCATGGAAACGCATGGCAGTTGGCCTTCTTGACAGGATTACTTTCATGCACATGTTCGCACATGGCCAGTGCTTCTTCCTGAGTATCGTGGTGTGCTAGCACTGAACCATTGGCCAAAATGACAAAGACGCACAAGGAACGAAACAACAACTTCATCATCGTCAATTCTCTCGAACAAAAGAAGTGGATGGATGCATGGATGCGCTTTGCTGGGTTGTGGAGGTCGCGCAAGATTCGATTCGATTGGAGATTCGATTCTCCCAACCGGCTTTTAAAGGCTTCAGCCCGCAGAGCTGTAGAATGATCACAACCACAACAGCACAACCACAACCACAACCACAACCACAACCACAACTACAGCAGCCACCACAACCACTCTTACTAGAGTACTCGTACACTCTACCGGTATCTATCCGCACCATGCCGAGACGGGGGCATACTAGTGCCAATACCGGTACCAGTAGCAGCGCTAGCAACAACAACAACAACAACAAGAAGAAAAAGAGAACGAGAAAGAAGAAGGGACCTCTCCTGTTTGCCAATGATGAGGTTTGGAGCCAAGGCATTCTATCTTTTGTTGGTGTTGGACAGTATGCCTTTGTAGGAGCCGTCAACAAAAATATGAATCGACTCTACAAAGCCTACTGTGAAATTGAACTCAAGAAAAACCCGAGGAAGGTAAACGATAACCCTCAACGGATTTTATTTTCTCTCACGCGCTCTGTAGAAATCACGGACACTCTTTACAGCGAAACATTCTGTAACCAGCCACGTGCAGAATACTGGCTCAAGGACAATTCCACCAACAAAAAACCTATTCATTTTCATGTTTGCACTGCCATTGCCAAAATTGGAAATCTTGCTGTCATGCAGTGGGCACTCCAACTGGGATTCCAATGGAATTCACAAACATGTGGTGGAGCTGCTGAGAAGGGACATTTGGAAATGCTACAATGGTTACGAAAGGAGGGTTGTCCATGGAATGAATCGACATGTCCCTATGCTGCTGTAGGTGGCCATTTGGATTTGCTGAAGTGGGCTCGTGAAAATGGTTGTGAATGGGATGAAGACACATGTTGTCATGCTGCTGCAAATGGACACTTCGAGCTTTTAAAGTGGGCTCATGAAAATGGGTGTCCCTGGGATGAATCGACATGTGCCCGTGCTGCTCAAGGTGGTCATTTGGAAATTCTAAAGTGGGCTCGTGAAAATGGTTGTCCATGGAATGCAAGGACATGTGCTGGAGCTGCTAAAAATGGACATTTGGAAATTTTGATGTGGGCTCGTGAAAATGAATGTCCATGGAATGCATGGACATTTGAAGCTGCTGGGCTAAGCGAGAGCGGCAACAACAGTGCAGTGATCCAGTGGCTACGCGACAATCACTGCCCTGGGTCCCACAATGGAGGACACTAATAAGTCGTGCTCAGAGTGGCCTTAAACTAGAATTCTATTACAATGAAAGACATTGATATGTAATTAGTCGATTTGCACATTATGAAGTGGGCACATGCTACGTTGTTGCCGATTGGATTCTGAAAGCACCGGGTGATGCAGCGACGGAGTGTATGGAGGTTCCTAATTGCACCTGGATGCTGCTCGATCAAATTTTGCCTATTACCTGCAGCATACGGTATGCAAGAGATACACTACAGTAAACTAAGATATTAATGCACTCAGAGCTTGATACGGCACAAACGAACGTAACAAATACATGCCGTGTTGTAACCGTAACGACCCGAACAATTTATCCACTCCAGTCTCCTCTTGCCGAGTGCTGCCGCCAGCAAACTCCAAACTCCCAATTCCCAAATGGCGTCATCCTGAGCAGGCTGCTTGTTCAACATACACGTACTACTAGCTAGTACTGGTAGGGCCCAAAGGCAAAGAGGATCACGAAAATGCATGCCCCGAACCAGACAAGCATTTCTTCTTTTCGCCTAGCCAGTAGTACTAAAGCGTGGAAGCTATTCTGGGCTTGCGCTTCAACGAGTGAGGTCCTTATTCGAAGGGACGGATGCATGAAGAGATATCCTTATGTTCCGATCCCAACGTCGCATACACCATCCAAGAAGAAGCTTGCAACGCTCCCAGCCTTGGTTGACGTTGACTACTACGTCACAAATAGTAACGCGCAAAGAACTTCCCATAGATTTGATTCTAATAGAATATCCTGGTAGTAGACTAGCTAGCTCGACTCTGCTGCTTATTAGATGAGTTCAGTTGCTTGGGCCATCCTCCCAGGAATATCTTTGTCCATTCCCAGGCACCGGTAGAGCACATTAGAGGACCTCGCAGGTCCTCCAGCGTCCACGGTCCGAGTACGGTCTACTAGTACAGGTGCGTACCGTTACAGCTCTACTAGCTAGCTAGTAGGGTACATAAAGACTACTGTACTGTGTACGACTGTACATGTCGCTACTTTGGCTCTGCTTCTGACTCGTCGGTTTCTGCTCCGCCTCAATTTAAACGTGCCACGCTCCAGTTGGCTCATCCCAAGTCTTTCGAGATCCCGCAGTTCGGAAATTACAGGTCCATCAGGGTCCTACTCACAGTGTTTGATGATGAGAAGATCCACAGGTGCCTGGCAGTAGAATATATTGTCAAGCGCAACACCTCTATTTGGAAAGGCTAGCCAGCTTGCTTGCTACATAATGATCACCGACTGAAACATTTAGGCCCGCATCACTTTGGCCAAGGAGAACCTATCAAACCACAGCTGCTCCGTCCCCGACTGGGAAATTCTGGTACTGGTACGCAGCCAAATGCAATCTCGATGTGCAAAGCACGTTGAATGCTTGGGAGTGGCCAACTGGGCTGATATCTTTGGTGTCAGCCGTGGGTTGTGGCACGGGTGCCTTTGTCTCCCTTGGTTGGTTGAGCTGTTTGTTGTAAAGAAGAATTTCTCAGCAGTACTACATCTACTGGGCCTATTCAAGATTCTGCAACTGAGGGCCGAGACTCCCGTGACTCCACGATGCAAGGCGCAACTTCTCGAAGCAATGAAACAAAGCAGAACCAAACAGCCAAGCAACACAAATCACCAAAATTCAAATTCCTTTCAGCAAGAGCACCCCACCCGATCTCAGAATACCCCTTGGTTCTTCACGATGACCTTATCTACTGCCACCATGATGGACGAAATCCTTGGCCGATCCGTGGCCGAGACTCCTGCGGACACCGATGTGTAAGTACTCCGAACTGACAGTGCACGAATCTCTCGGTTGTATCTGACCAATGCTCAGTCTCTTTGGGCGAGGAGGTAAAACGAACAAGCACCCCGGTAACCAGCAGTATCTGGAGCTTGTTGCGGAGCATGAAGTGCAGTATATGAGCTGCACAAAGAGAAAGTTCCAGAAGCTAATGTCACTATGTATCATACATTATCTTCGAATGCAGGTAAGCAGCCGCGACGTTTCCTTGCTTGCATGGGTCCCAACGATTCGATTCCTTCCAAGCATTCATCACCTCACGGTTTTCATGCTTTGCTGACAAATCAAATCGGCAGGGAGCCCGCTTTATGGAGAAGGACACCAAGTCTGGTAAATGGAAAACTGTGCTTCTCTCACGGTGCCGCGAGAAGGTTTCTCAGAGACTCCGGGAACGCATCCCTTTTATCAAATTGGAGCAGCAGAAGAAAGCAGCCGAGACGAGCAAGGCATGGCGAATGAGTGTTGATGCTGTAGAGCCACTGTCGACCATGACATATCCAAATGATGTGCACATACCCCCTGTCAACTTTGTCGAGGTGACTGACGCCTCCAGTGAGGACGAATGCGAAAGCCTTCTTGACTCGGCTGATCTCGATGACATGTCTCTGTTTTCGCTTCCTCCTTCTGACGGTACCGAACGAAGTGAGGATGCTGACACGATCTCGTTGATGTCGAAAATCTTCCTCGATGATTCCTTTAGCACATCATGTCTATTCGAGACTGCCGAGGAGGACCAGGCAGTTTCGGAACAGGAACTTGATACGGAGGATGAGAGGCCACGTAAACGTCAAAAGAGACACGATGAGGACTACGACGACTGCAGCTATGGCACTGTCGTTGAATGTGTTCATGACAAAGACAGTCTCTTGACGGGCGAGTTTTCAGACGTCTATTCCGACGATGGCATCAGCAACGGTACCGGTACTCCCTCGTCATGCGGTGATCAGGGCGATTTTGCCTTGGAGGACCACGCTGCGCTGGTCGAGTATTTCCTTCTTTGACCGACACGGATGAAGGGTTTCTGTACTTTTTTCTTTTATTGCCTCTTCTTCACTATTTTGACATTCTTGCACCTACCGGTACATGTAGTAGCTTGAACCTTCCCAATTCATTTCTTACCCTACATGATAATCAAATCTAATCTTCACTTTAAACAAACTTCACATTTACCAAAGATACTATTGATAGCACTAGCTAGCAGCCAGTTCGCACCGGTGAACACTCTACTACCAGAGCAATTCTCGGTTTGAGCAGTGGGATGGGAAAGAAGAAGTAAAAAGCTCGATTTTGTGAGGGCAAAGTCAAACCTCGCGACTGCGTTTGGATCCCATGAGATGAGATCCGAAAGTTTCTCGTGCAGTACCGGTACCGGTGCACGTGCCAAGCTAGCAAGAGGGCTTCGTCGATGTGGATGACGTCAGTCATGAACAACACGAGTCCCGCACAACAACACTCCGCACATACCGTAACGATGATGCCATGATGCGACGTTGCCAGCCGCAACAAGACCAAGTCACATCCATCACAATCACAACAATCAACCAACCGACCAACAACCCAAAGTGCCAATAGCAAAGCTTGACAATGGATCGAGTGACGGCTTTCTTGAGTCGAAGAGAGGTATTTGCAAGTCTGATAATGGTACCAGCACTTTACTTCTATTGGACTGCGTTGGTGGAATCCTTAGAGGGCTCTGTGTTCAAGGCTGGCCTGATCGGGCTTTTCTTCTGGGTTGGATTGGCAGTGGATATCAATCACATGACGGGACAACCTGAGGGAGATCATCATCACCACCATGACTAGACTAGACGTCTAGACTAGCTAGTTAGATCTAGCTAGCTAGCTACACAAAAATGACCTTTGTCCGGCTGCCTTGTTTCACAAAGAGGAGTCAAGATCGATCTTCCTAATACAGTCTCCAAGCAAGATTGCTGTTGCTAGACCGTTAGCTACTCGGCTTCCAAGAAACTTCACACTTACTCTGGCTTATTCATGCATTTCCCCCGAAAGGCTCTACATCATGTAAATGGGCTCGGCGAGGTGCAATCACCAGAACTCATACATCACACGAACCGACTTGACTCCACTCGACTGGTCACTCTGGCTTCTGCAGACAAATACTGCATGCCAGGACATGTAGTACAAGTTTGGATAGAAAGCCGCAAGTGACAACAGGAGATAACGAGATACAACCACACCTATCTTTTCGGTGGCCACGGTGTTCTAAAAAGAAAGTTCTAGTAGGAAAAGGGTACGGAACGGCGATGAGTGAGACCACCTTGATGGCCACGCGAAGATGATCAAGATACAGCCAGCAAAAATAGATTAAACGGGTCAACCCATGGCGCCCTACCGTACCATAACGAAGATTGAAGTGTGATTTCTTTGTAGCTTGGCTGCCGTAAACCTGGAATGAGGAATTGGCCGAGGGCCCATATCGTATCGTCACGGTACGGTACGGTACATTGATCCTTGCTTGAATTTTGCACTCCCACTGCCAATTTCGTCCATACTTCTTCGTGGCTACATTGCTATTGATGCAGCTGAATGCAGGCGCAGAGAAACATGAAAGACTTGCTTCTTCTGGCTGGTAAAGTTCCCTTACTGTCCTTTGCTTAGTACGACTGTAGTACATGTACTAGTAGAGCATATCAGAGCCATCGAATCCCACAGCTTCAAGGTCACCTTTCTTCGTAACTTGGGCTCCGAGCTGTCATCCCCAGACCTCTGATCCGACAATTCAGGGAGCTGCTAGTACTCTAGTACTCTAGTAGAGTAAGCAACGAAAGCAACTTCGCTATTAGCTGCAACGTCAGCAAGCAGCATGGTGGGACTTGCTTGGGAGGACGATGAGGAAGTCCGCAGAGAGCTTCTCCCTTTGGTGGTCTGACCAAAACTTAGATCTACTTTGGAGGCTCCAGTTTCCTGTCTAGTTTCCTGTCTAGTTTTTGCCTTGGCAACTGGTCACTGGCACACTGGCACCTTGTCGTCAAGCAAGGTTTCATCACTGGCCAGGCAGCCAGAGCACAGTGCGTTATGCATTGAATATAATACTTCGCATTGACATCGACGATTGGCTCCGAGTTGGACAGTTGGACTAAACTTGGAGACGAGGCGCTACGTGGTGCATGGAGGAACCGATTAACCTAACCACCATGCTTTCCCCCTACAGGTACCGAAAACGCTAAGCCTCTTGCTACACGTATCCTGCTACTGGCGGCTACGAATAGCTATGCATAGTAGTTTTGATACCTACTCAGAGTAGATCTCTACTACATGTACCGTATTCAAGAACTAGACTAGCTAGCTCAGCTTTCTACATCTTTTTTTTGGTTTTGTAATCCGCGGCCTCTCGTGCTTCTCGCTTGCCACGGTCGATGAAAACCAAAGGCTTCCCCTCGACTCTCGACTGAGCATGGTACGACAGTGTCTAAACCAAGCGAACGCCACCATGGAATTCCGAGTGGTAGAGGAAGGCTGTGGATGTTCCAGTCAATTCTGCTAATTAAACCTTTTGTTGTAGCTAGCTAGGTTTGCACGAAGACGAAAAGTTGAAAAGACTTAGTTTCCACCACATCATGAATGTACTCCTAGCTATAAGTAAAGAGTAGACTGCATGTAGAGTACTGGGTACTAATAGCCATTTTTCAGGCTTCCATATTTATTTAGCTTCAAAATGTCATTACGAATTATGCCTTTTCGAGTGATCAAGCTAGGTTGTCAAAATGACTTAAGCTCAGAGTGAATGATGTCAGTGGACTCGGAAGCGCGAATATGTGGCAAGAAAAACGCTACTAGACTAGTAACTGGTGGGAGAATCTGTTATCCTGTAAAACCCATGTTTGGCCACTGATGAACGGAGTCTCTCTTTTCCATCTAGAAATACGGATGATCAGGCTTCCACTGGGTTCATCGACAAAGGATTTAGAAAAGTCAATCTCTCATTCCCAGCTTGGAAATGATCTAAGGAGATTTTGGCAGAGAAACTTCAGTGTTGCCTCCTTTGGTGTCGTATGATTCTTCCTACTTGGTAGCGCTACAATAAGGAATTAGGGCTCTTGGACGGCAAGTTTTAATCTTAAACTGTACTCCAAGCAGTATACTTCGGTTATACTAGGTAGTTTGGCAAGATCAAGTAAATGTTAAATCTTAAATCTATAGAAATAGAGGAGGTTTTGTGATAATATTGTATTAATGCAGTCTTTGGTAAGCTAGATTTGCACGGATTCTAAATCTTCTTGATGTCACATTATAAATCTTATGTACCGCTCTCGTATTGTCTCTCTCAGGCATAGAAGATCTGTGTTGGTATTTGAGAATTAGGAAGTTTGAACTGGGTTGCCACCAGAATGTTTTCGAATGGCCTTTTCTTGGCTGTTGATTGCATTCCCACAGCAACGTTTTCTTTATTGAGGTGATCAAGCTGAGGTGACTTCTTTTCCACAACAGTCCAGCTGTCCATTGAGCTCCATTGATCAACCAAGACACATTGTTGAATTAGTGCATGGACCCCAACTTCTTTTCCTTATAGTCCCTCTGTCACGAACAGAGAACAACAAGACATGTACATAGATGGCAGTTGCAGCTCCCCTCATTATCTTATGACTTGTAAAAGATTTAATTCTAAACTGAGGGGAGACCCCCCAATCCTGCATGGAAGCGCTTTTGCATTAGGACCGTGGTACTAGCTGATAGGCTAGCAGTAGCTACCGGTATTCGTAACAGGCGGCTGCAGGCTGGGTAGTTACAGTATCGTGTAGATGACTTGGTCAGTAAATCCTGTTCTTCATCTTGGATCTTCCCTACACTGGTGTACATTTGATACCGGTTTCTACGAAGTGGATAGCTAGCGCTAGCTAGCAATGGCGGTCGGCGGGACCTGGGATTGCTATTATTTGATTGCTTTAATCTCCCGTGCCCCTCCTTGTTAACCCACCAAGCAAACTTCCCCCGCCCACAGATTTGTGTCAGCACTGGTACCAGTACTGGTGGATGCGAATTCAATTGATACTATTTTAAATTGCTACTACCGAGTAGCTACTAGCTAGTAGTCCACACGAATCCAGCACTTCCAAGTTCTTCGCTCAGAAAAAAATTCTTGGGAGCTCAAACACTTTCCATTCCAATCAATCAACCGTGAAGGTCCAGACTTCCGTTAACTGAAAGCAATTCGCATCCTTCATAAAAACAAGCAACTGAAAAACAAAACACAAAAAACTTTTGCTCAAGTATAAAAATCAGAAAGACAAAGATGAACGCCACTGTCGACCCCACTGCCAACATGTCCGCCAAGGACAGTCAAGCCTACCGCCTTTCCACCAAGCTGATGAAGCTGTTGGACGAAGAAGCCGCACCTGATGCCCTCTGGTGGTTGGACAGTCAGATCTTCGCCGTGGAACCCAAGTACTTTCAAACGCAGGTCTTGGACCCTCACTTTCGTGGAACCAAGTACGCCAGTTTCCTCAGGACCATGCACAAAATGTAAGTCTTTATCGTTGCTGAACTTGAGCTTGACTTGAGCTTGACCTTAAGCTTAACTTAAGCTTGGTTAAGTCAGGTGATCTCACTGATCTGATTGTTTGTTCTGTTGTTCTGTTTACTTCTATTGACCATACAGGGGCTTTGCCAGACTGTCTCGTCGATTCGACCTTCCCAAGGGCGTGGTGGCTTATGCCTGTGAGTTGTTTCAAAAGGGAAAGCCTGAAATGCTCCTCAAGATCAAGATGAACAACTCTGGCAAGCAATCCAGCGCTTCCAAGGCTGCCATTGCTGCGCTTGTCATGGGAAGCAGCAGTGCCAAGGACAGCTTCAAGACTGCGGCTGGCTCTACTTCTGTTGGCTCTACTTCAGCCACTGCTTCTCCTCAAGGATCCCCCTCCTTGAAGCCCGTGGCCAAGAAAGTGGCTTCTCCTTCCTCTGCCTCTTCTTCCAAGTCCAGCACCAAGAAGACTGTCCCAGTCAATGATAACCTCAACAAGGCTGCTGCGGCGTTTCCTGCTCTCCCAGGGTCTGCTGCCCCTGCTCCAGGTGTAACCCCTTCGGCTGGCTATCTCTTGGCCAAGCAAGCGGCAGAACAAGACCGCATTCGCATGCTTCGAGAGAGCATTGGGCTTCAGGAACAGGCCAGACGTTCCATGATGCTCCGCAACGCATCGCTCTTCCATCAGCCACTCTTGGCGAATCCCATGCTGGCTCCACTTTCCACTCCTATGGCGGCCCCTGGAACCACATCCAACCAACTCTTGGAACTCGCTCTCTTGCGAGAAGCCATGAACAGTCAGTGGCGTCGCTAAACAGACTGGCAAACAACCAAACAAGGGGGGACCACTGAAGCAACACCAAGCAAGGGCTATCACACAATGTCATTTCTATGAAGCAGTACCATCGTCATCTCTATTATTATCTTTACATCTAAACTATCTAAACTATCTATCTAATCATCCTTTCTTATCAAACCTAACTACTAGTAACTGACCATGGCCCTCGCATCATTCAACTCGCCCGTCAGTTGATAGAAGCAAGCAAACTTGCAACCACTGACTCGCTCTTTCAATCAAAACCCTTCCGCTTGAAAACTGGCCTCCTTAGCTGAAGTCTACATACCGGTACATACATTGAAGCCAACAACAACTAGTGATCTAGCTAGCTAGCTACTCTGCCAGTCAATCAATGCCTAACCTCGCCATAACATAGACCTACACCATCCTTCTATCTAAAGCTTGGTGATGATCTATCTATCATCTATCATGGTCACCACAGCTTGACCAGACCCAGCCCCTCCAATATTCTCTCGGGCTCCTTCGTGGCAGTTTTACAGTTTTCCGTTCCTTCGATTCACTTGCTCGACTTTCTCCAAGCATCACACTTGCATCACCCAGAACAAAGCTCGGACATACCAGAGGATTAGACTGGCAACTACATCGGAGTTAATGCCAATACCACCATGGAGCTACCATCCATAATCCGATGTTTGATTGCCACAAGGTCACCCAGTCAGTGGTTAATTCACATCCATCCGAATACCATCGAAGTCTTACACTTTCGACTACTGTTGGTACCCTCACGCAACCAAACGAACCGTTCCTTCATAGCCCGATATACCCACCCCGAGTCACCTCAGAGTATTGATATATTCACTTCAATCACCGACATCCAACGAATCCATCGTGTCAGCGGGCTTAAATCCTTGTTGAATCACGCGTCAATTTCCCGCTTTCTTCGATCGAAATGGTCCCTGGTCACGTCACCGAATTTAGGCTTTAGAAGCAGCTTCTTTTCAAGCGGAAGCTCTTGGAAACCGAGATTATTAAAACAACAAAGAATTACCAAACACGGATCGGTTCGACCATGATCTAAATCATTCCGATTCATCCAGGACCTGGCACGACAGCTGTCAGGACCCTTGCTATCGCTTACGGTTAAAAGTATGTCGTCGCAGTGGACTGGCTAAATACATGTAGTGGACTTGACTCAGACTCAGTCGACTCGACTCAACTCATCAACTCGGCACACGCAAGGCTTGGTTCGCTTCTGGCTTTCACCTTTGATCGGAGCAGAGAAGCAAACTGTGTTGAATGCCGTGTTGGAGCGAGATGAAGGAAGGAGCCAAAGCCTCATTGGCTTTTGCAACAGGGCCTCCATAGCTGCCTCCATTGAGTACTCGTATGGAGTGAGTCCAGTGGTACAAGCCCCAGTTCTCGACGAGCCATCTAGCTAGCTACCGGTACCATAGTACATGTAGTACGTGCAAGAGAGCGAGCAACCAACACAGAAGTGTTGCTCGGGGCCCGGGGGTTGGGAATGCCGATCAATTCACCTTCTGAGTGGCCAAGGCTTTCAAAGCGACATCTCACTGGTTTGGTGAATAAAACACAAAACACATGTAGCTACCATAACAAAAATGCAAAAAAGAGAGCGTGGGAAAGGAACAGATAGCACCTACCAGTGGTACATGTACTTCGCAGCCAGCAGCTCGCTCCAGTGGAATAAGGCCCCGATGATTCACAGTTGCCAGACAACCAACAAAAAGCAGCGATCTGAGGCTCGACACAGAGTTGTGAGCCAGTCTTTTAACTAGCTAGCTAATAGACGTGATCTCGTAGTACTACACCAGATTCCAAGCAATTGCCTGTGGCGCGCGTGTGGTGGAACTACCTCCAGAAGCTAGCTGCTAGGCTACTCAAGAGTACGCAAAGAATGCTTTAATGAGTAATAGACCTAGTATAGCATAAAGCAACCGATCTATTAAATAGCGAGCTAGAGCACTACATGCCTATTAATAGTCGCTCTATTGCAAAGAGAGAGCGACCCACCAGTCCAATGCTCGCTCCGTGTATGATCACGAACTGTGACTGGGAAAAGGTGCGGTCGTGCAAAGCGACTGTCACACTCTCTTACTTTAGCAGCTCCTTAGTTCCTTGAGTCCATGTTTTATTGAACCAACCTTCGCATATTGCCCAAGAAGAACCCATCTTGCTTGCCCGCTCTGCTTGGAAAGTGCCTTATGGGCTGCTAGACTACATGTACCCGTAGGAACAGTAGCTTCAAAGCTCTCTCAGTGAGTTTGCTGTTGTGGTGCTGTTGTTCCGATCGATCCCGCAGCGTACCGTACGGTAGGGAGGTCGCTCTCAGTCAGCGGACCGCCGGCTGCGAAGTTGGAAGCATGAGGTGGCTTTTGATCGCCTTGACGAGGAAGAGTTGAAGAGTCGACGCACGAAGATGGAAATCACGTCCACCCAACATCGTTGCACGTGTGCTGAAGCAGCACCGGAATGACCTGATCAGATCGTTGAATGGGTGTGTGTCGTTTGGGGTCTTCTCAGGTTGGGGAGCTGTGAGCTGCCTCTTCGTTGAGATCCAAGAGAAGCAACCAATGAATGAAGGCAAGACCAAGCACTGTCGCAGATAGTCGGAGCGAAAAATCCAAATCTCCTGGCTGAAGATCCCCGGCGACTTAGACTTGGATTGCTTCCAGCGATCGGGAGGTTGATTTTGAGGTTCTACCGTACCGGTAGTCTTCTTTCTACATCGACACGAAGCTCGTTCAAACCTTCACAAATCCACCGCTAACAACATAAACACATGTAGCAAGCAAGGGACGAATGAAATGAAAGCTCGAAATGTCGAAGCTCGCTCGAGTTAGAGGTTGTCTCCCAAGAGGCACAAATGCTGGTGCTTAAGGTAGGCATTGGGTCCCAATGGCTGACTACCATGCCACCGTCAATCCACGGTTCTGTTCTGATCCTGAAGGGGCTTCTTGCGAAGTCAGGCATTGAGAACCCGCCCCATACCTCTTCCAGTTGCTGGCAAGAGGCGAAGTCGGCCACAATGGCTGGCAGCAAAAACAAAAGGTACCGGTACCAGGTACTAGTACCCTGGAGCCTGAGGTATCTCGAATCGAATCTCGAAGCAGGTATCGAAATTGAACAGCTGTGGCATGGTGTGCTGTTGGTATTGCCCAAGATCGAAACAGACTTGTAGACTTGCTTGTTGGTCTCTTTTGTTCAAGAAGAATTGAACAACGGAAAAGAAATCTGCCAATGCCACTGGAAACGGCGTTGGGAACGGCGTTGGGAACGGCGTTTTCCTCCTGGCAAGTAGACTAATGCTGTTCTTTGGCTTCCTGCACCATGGACCTTATCAGAACTGTCTTGCAACCCCCACTTTTCCATCCTGTGCACGTATCCTCCATCCTTCCATTCATCTGCCTCCTCTCTCCTCCAGCCACACCACCCAGTTAATCTCGCTGAAAGCATTTGGCCAAACCAACCTTGCATTAGAAACATATATTATGTTCAGCATTTCATCACTATACTTTCACGGATTGTAAACTCACTAAATGCAACCGGTGCCGGCGAAGGCGCCATTGGTCGTACTACTGTCAGACCAGCCAATCCCCCACTTGGCCGGGGTGCGGTTACATTAAAATTTGCTTCGGCCGCTACGCAGTGTTGTTTCATTCGTCCATTCGGGTCGTATCCGTTCTTTGTAAAGGGTTTTGTGTCTAGCTATCATAGTACGGTAGCCCTGCCATCAATGGCAGAGAACTGAAATGCAACAACACAACAGTGTGGTGAGAGCAAAAGAAACCAAGAAATAATGAAACCAATAGCTAGCTAGACTAGCTATTACCCAGATGCTTTTTTTGTTTTGTGTGGCTATTGTTTCCTCTAATAACTCTTTTATAAATGATGTGTAACCTACTAGAAATACAAGGGCGTTGCTCCTCACACACTCTCTCTGACATAGATGTCCTCCCAAGGTACCAGGTACCTACTATCTTTTGTTATGCTTGGGGGTTGCTGTGGAATTTGGGTCTTCCCATACCGGTATCTAGCAGAGAGCTAGGAGTGTTGGTAACTGACTGGATTCTCCTGGATGCTACTAGTAATCCTAGTCTGGCACCGAGTGCAATTTCTTGTGGCGGTACAACAGCCGGAGTGGAGAAAGCTCTGCGAGGACGAGATCCCGTGCTTGTCACAGATCCTCTACTGGAATGGTTGGAGATGTTCAAGTTCAGTGAGTCCATCCTCTTGAGGCAGTTCCACTCCATGTCCAACTTGTGACAAGTCTCTTGCAGGGCCAATCCAAGTCCAACGGCCCTCAGTTCCATCAGTTCCACTTGTTGCCTGCGGAACTCACGTCGAAGTTTCTTGGCTTCAGGAGTTTCGTACATTAGAGATCCCATGCTGTCAATGCTAATGCTGCTGCTCATGCTGCCTTCCATCATTATACTAATAGTAGTAGTAGTAGTTTCTTTGGTTTGTCGTTGTTGGTTTTGGTTTTGGTTCTTTTGGAATTGTGAGAAGTGAGAAAGACCTGCAGCAACATCAAAGCGAAGGAAAGGAAAGGAAAGGAAACCGGAAGGGCACACAAGCACAGTGTCGACAGTGGTTGATCGTCGATCGTCGATCGCTCACTCTGGGATGATTAGACGATTCTAGTCACCCCAGCCCTTCAATCCAGCAAGCCTTCGCTTTTCCGGCTTGGGAACTGGGTGGTGGAAGCTGGTGGAACGCTGTGTTGCAGTTTGTAGAGAGATGGGTTATTATTTCGATTACATTATTTCAATTATTACCTCATCTTAGTACTACGATGCTGCGCTTGGAAACTGTATGCTTTGTTGTACATACCAGATGCTGTCGCTACTGATATCTTCAACATCCCAGAGTCTTTATGAACTCGTTATGACTGTGAATGACTTTCATGGAACACGTGGCAGAATACCACATTATTAAAGAGCCTACCCAAAATACTTTTGCTTCCAATAGATTAGAAAAAGGATATAATGATGAAGGCCATAGCAGAACAGAAACGACTCCAATTCTATGAACCGAATGTCCAAAGAGCTTTCTCCGTTCGTTGAGCTTCTTATGGCTGTGCGTCGGAAGAATGTTGGCAGAAGCCAAATACCGTTCTTTTTCTCCTGGTGTCAAGATCGCCTTGGCACCTTTATCGTTCAATCACCATTCTTTGTTGCATTGCTGCATGTGCTTGCATCCATCAACACATCCATTGATCCATCTATCGATCCATCCATCAATCAATCAAGTAATTACAACGAGAGCCTTCAGTGCTCCGATTGAGCTTCTACAGTATGACACAGAAACCGCCTGATGTCCCAGTATTGTACATGTACGGTACAAACCAGAGCACCGCAAAACGGCGTTGCTATGTGATCTCGCAAACAACAGTAGCCAATCTAGAACTAACTTTGCACCGTACGGTACCAGAATTATCCTGAGGGCCGCACACACCCATTGTTGGATTTCGGTTGATGTTGCTCTGCCGTTGCTGCGAGAGAGAGACAGAGAGATGTTGACACTTCGGTAGCTCGGTAGAAGAAAAATGAGATGCCATCTCCCAAGTTCTTTCCTCCTCTTCTACGGCGGAAGCAGTCGATCCATTGCTTTTGTTGCAATACCGGTACAACTGCAGCAGTAGCTACAGGGCTATAGCCACTGTCTACCAGGACAGCTCGATCTGGTATCTGGTACTGAACTTTGGGGCTTCACATTACCAGGTACACAGACGCGTTTGCCTGCTTCTGCCTCTTTCCTCTTTGGATAGATCCAGTTAGTCAGCCTAACCTCACTTGATTCCTTCCAGGCTACGGTACCGTACGGTATTGGAATGGCTGGGACACAAACACAGGGAATGCAGTCAAGCGGGATAAGCCAAGGTTCAGAACCAAAAGTAGCCAGGTCCTCGCAAGCAGCGGGAAAGTGGCTTTCAAGCGAGAAAGATTCAGAAGCGATTGGATTCGGAGAATGAAAGGCTGCGCTTTACTCTCGGTGCAAGAGTTGTACTGCCTTCTGGGGCGGCTCAGTGAGGCCTGAACGCTACTAGTACTCTCAAGCATAAAAGTAGTTGCTTGGCTGGGTTGCGGGAAGTTTGATACCAGAATGCTTACACTGTACTGGCAAGCAGGCGGATACAGAACACTAGCGAACCACGCAGCTTGATATTGGCAGTAGGTACCGGTACCGGTACCGGTACAACTTCTATCCGCAGAGTCTACGGTTTATGGTACAGTGGTTACGGTGTTGACAAGAGGCAACCAGACAAACGTTTCCGCTTCCATGCAATCGCAGTGTGTCGGGGTCGCTCAGCCATCAAAAGTGGTAGCTGCAGCTCCGAGTGGCTCACAGCTGTTGGTCGTAGCTCCTTGAGACGACCAGTTCAATGCTCAACTATGCTGCGTATTGCAAAGCTTTGTGCGTCAATCGAGGCAGTACGCGCTTGGATAATGTGGAGGAAGCGAGATGCCAAGCATACAACCACCATGATGGCAGCTAAAGCAAAATTCTGTTGGTGTTGGTTCAGTCATGATCGTCGCTTACGGTACCCCAGGAACAACGTCAGACCAGAGAACTTTTGCTTGTGCCACTGCACATCGATTGCCTAGGTGATTTGGCTGGCTTCAAACTGCCCATCATTTCAGTTTGACGGGGCCATGGATGTACCAAAAGCCGTCTTGAGATGGGGGATATCCATGGTTGAAACTATGCTATGCTTACAAAACTCATACAGGTTTCATGAGCAAGCAATGTGCAAGCAACTAATGGTGTCGTGTGCTATCCTGATGATGGGTTGTGTTGAGGGAAAGCGGTCGTCGGTCCGCGTAACTTCTAAAGTTCGAAGAAAGGTGCATTGGTGCTCATGAAATTGTTGGTATGCACCCTTGTTTGTCCCCATTTGTGGTCTTTCAGAGATTCGCGTCAAAGGAACCTTGAGTGCCCAGGAACCCGGACATCATGAGCCTTCTTATTGCTGATTGTGAAGCATTGCATTTGTCCATGACAGGCAAGATGTGATTGAAGGATTCAATCTGGCCAGTGGACTGTGACCCAGGCTGCTCTTGGGGGCATACCGGTATACTGCTCAACTGTTTGGGGATTGTCATCACCGCTGCTGTAGCACAATGGAACTTGCAGCTGCGATGGCGAGGGAGAGCCGGGGGCCCTTAGTCGGGCCATGATCTTGTGATCGATTCCTGTTGTACAGTAGGTGACCCAAGCAGCACACACGCTACCAACAAAAACTTGGGAGTCCGTCCGGAACACACACCTTCACTTTGGCATCTTCAGCCTGTGCAAGGGTCGTGGAGTCATCTTTGTCTGCGGGTTTGTCAGCAAGTTTGATGGTACAGTCGTAGTCATCTGGACGAAGAGTGGAAAGCCACTTAGAACATGGTGCATAGATGATAGGAGCTTTGGCCGTTCCAGCATTCTGACAGCCGTCTTGAGCCAAGACGGGCTCAAGTCTGCCCTCATATGCATATAGCGCCCAGCATCGCAGTAGTCGTCGCCTAAGGTTTCGTTATAGGAAGAGAATTGCGCAAGACGAATGGTAAAGGAGGAGGAGAACATGATCATTTTTCTCAGCAGACATAAGTCATACCACTACTCCTGCTTCACTTACCAATGATAAGGAGGAAACGCTGGCAACCTTCAATAGGCTTTGGATTCTCAGTAGTGTTACAGTAGTTGGCTCGTGCTGCTATGAGATCAAAGGCATCCCCATAGTTCACAGGAGAGGAACCGATGTCTACTTGAAGGGCTACGCCGTCCACCTGTCCAAAATCTTTGCCCAGTTCCATCAGGTCGATCATGACTCCTTCATGCATAATATGTACGACGCTGTACATGAAACTTGTCCGTCGGGTCTTTCGTTTTGAGAGGATACCATGCCACAGGGGGGCGAGCTTGCATTGCATCCGCTCTAAGGTGAATCTCGGAGGGATTGTCGTTGGGACCCCAGGAACAATTTCAAACCAGAAAAGTCTTGCTTGTGCCACCATACATATCGATGTCTCCTTACGGCTCAATCAGCCTCCCAAACTACATGTACAGTCTCAAAGTGCACCAGTCCTCGAGTCTCATGGGCTGCCGGTTGGAGGCTCCGGCCAGTCAGCTTCCTGTGCGGTGTCATTGACAGGAGCAAATTGAGGACAAAGGGAGATTGCTAAAGAGTCTCAATCTCAACAAGAATAGCTAGCAGCCAGCTAGTAGTAGCTCTGAAGCTCCATAGCTCTACGAGAGTGCCGTCTCGATCGCCTTCTGGGTTTGGTTAGGCGGTCACTGTACTGTAGCTGACGCAATATTCGGGAGTCCGGGCTGAAATGTGATTACAGTAACAACCTATGTTGTCTCTGTCACAATTGATACTTTACGAAGATCAACACCTCACGCAGCTTCGAGTTCGTAGCGCTTGCACCGTGGGGATCAGCAAACTTGCCCATAGCCCTGCATTGTATTTGATAGTGTTTTTTGTAAAATTGTCTGTGAAAAAGCGAATATTTGTTTTTGGAAGCAATTTTTCTATTGGATTAGATTGGATTGGATTGAATTGGATTGCAGTGAATTCCAGTTCACTATACAAATAACAGTACTATTCTGAATCCAATTCAATCCAATTCAATCTAATCCAATGCAATCTAATCCAATTGAATCTTGTTTCCTGCAAAAATCTATTTTTGCTCCTTTTTCTTACATTCGCCACTCCTGTTGAGTACACTACGGCTATAGCAAGATTTGCCCATCCCCCGTGAAGACCTTGCCGGCGCTTGTACCGGTAGCACCGTACTGATCTACTGATGAGAGAGCAAAGAACAGTGCAGTGCTGACGGTCCTGCATTTGCAACCTTTGGGGTTCTTGGATCTTTCGGGAGCATTTTTCAAAGATTTAGGTTGATGCTTCCTCACTCGCTACCTGGTACCTTTAGCTTGCAAGTATCATTGTAGTCGTGAAATCACCAGAGCGGTACGACGAGATACCGCTATCTGTACCGGTACAAGCACTACCGGGTGATTGCCAATGGCTAGCTAGACGTCTAGCTGGCTCGGTTGAGCCTTTTAGTTTTGGTGAGTTAGTTGTAGCTACTGGTACTACCTACCTACCGTAGTTCCAGGGCAAAGCAACGTAGACTACTAGTAGTCTAGTGAAATTTGATGAATGGTTATGAAATGCTATTCGTTAGGTATGTAGGAAGATAGTAGTAGTAGTGCAGAGTTGAATGTAAAATTGTTTTTTGTGCGATGAAGGAGGTTGGGAGGACGTAAGCAAAAAAAGGTAGCATGCCCCGGTGTTGCCTGTGGTACAGTAGTATGGTTACAGTTGAAGTCTGCTCTCCCTAGCGAGTTGTACTTTGGCAAGCACCGCTGCCTTGAGAGAAAACTCAGTGACAGAACATCTGCGCTGGTATCGTCGACGAGAGGAGTTTGCCTTCCTGACAGTGGGGGCAGCAGCAGCAGCAGCAGCACATGTAGGAGCAGGAGTGTGTTCTTCGTATCCATAGAGAGACTCTTTGGATGGAACCTCTGTTACTGGTACTGGTACACGTTGTTCAGGTGCAGAAGAGCTCATGCTCATGTCAGATCCCTCAGTGACATCTTGACTAAGAGTATCCAGAGCAGCAGACACCAGAGACTTGCAGCGCATAGCTCGTTGTTCAGGAGTTCCTCCAACCGAGACACGACGAAGGGCTCGGTAGCTCAAGATCTGATCTTGTGCTTTGCGCACCTCTTCCGACGCGCTCAACTTCCATTGCTCAGAGAACAAACTGCTGCTGCGAGGAAACTTGGAAGTCAACGAAGCTCGACGAGGTTGTTTTGTAAGACTCTTCAATGGGCTTGTGGGAGTGACGCCATTGGGAGAGACCTTGCTGGATGTGGTAATGGTAGAGTAAGTCATCGTGATGCAGTGTACTAGCTAGTACGTGTAGTAGTAAAGTGACAAGGAGTTCTTCTCTTGGTTTGGGTAGGAAGCCAAAAACAAATTATGAGAAGAGGAACTGTTGAAAGAGCTGAGAGCCAAGAGATCCGTGGGGTATCCGTTTTGATTTGTTTCGCTCGCACCGACCGGGTGCTCGGTACCAGTCCCCACGCAGTACCAAGGCTACGTAAGATACCCATGTATACTGGACAATCAAAACTGGCATTGGGTAGGAAGCCAAAGACTTTCACCGCCTTCGTTTCGGAGAAGACCGGCAGCTCAGGCCCAAGCAAATGATATAAGAATATATCTTTTCTACACAAATCTATGTAGATTCATAGATCCTGTAAATGGAACCAGAGTCACTCAGAAATATCAATACCAACAGCTAACAAGTTCCTGAACAATTTTCGACGACCAAAAGTCATCCAGTGAAAAAATCTCATGCGGGCACAATAAGTATCTCTTGCCGCAAGCCTTTGGAATGACGAAAGCGGATACCACATCATCCAAACAGATTATTGCTAGACACAGTTCTTAAATGACACAGACTGCAAACGGAAAGCTCAGTGGTCATTTGATATTTTACGTGGCATTCGCGTTCGTTGAAACAGCCCTTTTATTTCTTGCTTCAAGCAACCTTCCAGAAAGTCATTACCGTCATGCCATTCATCGGGATTCCTATTCTGATTCAGCAACTGTTCCTTTCGGACGACCATCTGACAAGTTGCTCCACTGACCAATCACATCTTGACACAGCCTTTTCTTCAAATACATCATTCCAGGCCTCAACACCGCAACCTCTGAACCTCTTCCGTGAGGCTTCGAACAGCAAGGCTTCGACCATGTCATCATCTGCGGTCCGAAAGTTCACTCCTTATGTAAATTAATTGACCACAAGAACTGAAATTAAGGAACGGGAAGATCCGATAGGTTTTTACAGGATGCTTGTGCTACCAGGTACCAGCAAAAACGGTGTCCTGACCCAGACTGACTCGACTCGTCACTCAACGGCCTCGATAGCCCGATAGGTCTGCTGTGCTCGATGAATGCTTGGAACGTAGGCAGTGTTGGCACGCAGTCGTCAGTTTCAGGCCACACATCCATACCATAGTCTACAAGTAAGTAGACTAGATCTACAAGTAACTGGATCTACATGTACTGTAGAGCTGTAGAGCTAGACTACTGAGTTTTTTGAATTTGGTCGGGTGGCCAGCTTGTGTGGCGCCTCGGAGAGGGGCAACTGGAGCCCCATTATTAGTCTTACATGTAGACTGCTAGGTAGTGGAAAGCTCCAGCTCTCTGTGTGCCTGTTTCCTGCTTGGCTACCATACTCAGCAACTCAGCAACCAAAAGACAAGAAGCCAAAACGGAACCGAGTCTGATAATGACAGCAATGGTTTGCCAGCTCAGTTGATGCCTGTTTTATCCTTTATTGGTAGGCTACGGTACATGTAGTACCATTAGATCTGGCAACCCCGTACTAGCTAGCTAGTATTGTACACAACATCCAAGCTTGCTGTCTGTTCTCTTTTTCAGCATGCGGGCAAACCAGAGGTGAAATTTTTGTTTCAGCAACTTATCAAAGTCCCTGGAACATCCTCCTCAGCCGCTCAATCTGGCTTCTGGATTTCCCACGGCCGTCACTCGAGCAACTACCGGTCGCTGGAACCTGGCAGCGACGGATTCGAAGGTTCAAGAGCACTCGGCACCAGAACTCCAGCCTGAAGGCTTGTCTCTGTCAATCCCAGTAAATTATATTTAGAATACTCACTTTTTGCTGCAATTGATAAAATAAGGTTCAAGACAGGTGTGACGGGGGGTATCCACAGCTATCGGTAGAGGGAGAGGTAGAAGCAGCCAGCACAATACCAGTCGGCACAAGGAAACCAAGAAGCGAAGCGAACTGCAAGAACATAAACGCAACAGGCGAAGAAAAAGCGGAAGCTAGCTAGAGTTTGTTTTCCTAATAGCACATGGCGCCATTACGTTGAATCTTCAACAAGTGAGCTCTTATTACTGCGGCCTCCGTTGATCCAACAGCATTGAGGGATGTCGAGGCCTTAGTAGCAGGGTCGTGAGCATTTTTGTCGTCTATTCCCACACGTATGCCAGCCCCGCGAGTGGAGCTTAAGCCCTGCCGCTACTGTACCTGTCGGGCAGGGGAATTATTGCGTGCTTTGGGGTACATGCACAGGTAGGACGTGGGACAGGAGCTCATCAAGAACATACAACATGTAGCATGTGGGAACAGGGTAGACAAGCTTTAGAGAGTAGATTTGAGGGAAGCTTGGAAGCCACTGCAATCTCAGGGCTTAGTTAGCTTGGCTTATCTAAGCTACTGTAAGCCACTCCAATAGAAGCTATGATACTCCAGATCTGCAGCAGAGTACATGTACATATCGTCGAGTACATGTACTCCAGCTAGAGTCTAAGCAAGCGACGCCTTAAGCTTTTCCAGGGCCACTCTGTAGCTTCGCATAGATGATCCCAGCGTAGATTAAGGTAGATAAGCCTGGCTTAGCTTGCTTAGAAGACAAGACGTTGTACCGGTACCACCGCCCGGTATGCATGGCAGCCAAGCGTCCACAGTGATCCCACTGGTCGTATTACATGTAGTATCTGAGACACCCAAGCTACAAAGCCTCAAAAGAAAGCTTCGGGAGCAGGGACCAAAGCTCGCCAATCTCCAGATACAACGTTCCCACAAGGTTGTACCGATACTATGCGCTGTAGCGCAACATCGGCTCAACATCCCGGTACGACTGTACCGCCTAGCTAGCTAGACTGTGTTGCTCGCAGTGTTGCCTATCTAGTAGCCAAGGCTAGAGTGCATGTGTTCAAGTGCACTTTGTCTGTCAAGGGTAAATCGATTTAAAGTGTATTTCATTGAAACAAGCGTGCACATGATCAAGCAAGTTTTGATTTAAGCCTTGCATGTGTTTCCTTAAGTCATGACACGGTACATTCAGAACTCTGAAAATTTTAGCTGACATTTAAACATGCATCAGGACGATTACGTGGCCTACAGCCCAGTGCAACACAACCATCATCCCATCGTCCCATACCGTACGGTAGACAACTGTATCCCATAACACTCCCGAGAAACAATTGATCATGACAATGAAGCAGCCCAACAACCGCAAGAGCATGAGATGCCCACCTGTGAGGCTTACTACTGTCATGTGGTCAGTAGAGATTATCCTGGGCCTGCTGCTGGTGATGACAGTGGCTTTTGCGGATACCAGTAATTCGACTACTAGTACCGGTAGTTCCGCAAGTGGCAACGGCATGGCTGTGGAAGGCATGGGCTGTCGCTACCTTCTATTGGCTCCATTTTCCACAGAGAAAGGAGACAAGACTCTTGCGAATTACACAGAATTGGGAGCTCATTATGCAGCATCAGCTCAATTGGCCATTGACTACCTCAATCAGGAGTACCAGGGGTGCACCATTTCTTCTACAACTGACAGCAGCGGTGCTGCCCATAGTGGTACAAGTACAAGTACTGCTCTGAAGCTGGTAGAATTTGGAGACTTGCTGATTCGCGACACGCAGCAAGAAGACACGATTGGATTTCAAGAATTGGTTGGAGCAGTAGAATCGTACGGCTACCGCAATGACAATGGCAATGACAATAGTCAAATCTGTGGAGTGGTGGGACCCTTTGATGGCAAAGGCCAAGAAAAGGCCATTACTTATACAGAAGTTCATGGACTCCCTACCATGTCACTGACTGGCATGGACATTGATGATTTGGCTGGAAAAGATGGAAAAACGTCTATTGGAAACATGATGGATATCAAGGAATACTGCGACCATCTTGCTTTCTACCTGAAACACCATATGGAATTGACTCATCTTGTACTCATTTCAAACAACTCAAAAAAGGGAAGAAAGATGCAAGACGATATCATTGACGCCATGAACAAACAGGGAATTGAAATCAGAGTACTCCGATTTGAAGAAGAGCAACATAAAGATTGGGAGAAAACAAGGCTAGACCTGCAACAGGTCAAAGACACGGGCATTCGCAATGTTCTTATATTGGCTGACGAAAGAGTGCCTTTGGGGCTGTCATGGATTGCACAGCATCTACAAACACTGGACATGTTACAGGGAGACTATCAGTACTTTCTATTTGAAGACAACATTCGACCAAGAGAAATTGACTTTCTATTTGGAGAGGACCTTCAGGAACAAGAGTCTCCATTGGCAAAGCTTCTGCATGGAGCTGGATGGTTCAACACCATTGACCCATTTGATCTTACCATTCACACAAACAGCAATCAACTTCAAACATCAGATCCATTCCTACAACGGTTCCAGACATTTAATGCCACACGAATCGAGTACCCAAAGACGGCAATCCCGCTCGAACAAGACCATTTCCACACGGCAATACCCTTTCGATTGTCGTCCTATGTATACGACTCCATCCTCGCCATGGGAATAGGAAAGTGCAATGCCATGAAAGAAGAAATGCAAAAAGGCAACAAACCGAAAGAAGATGACAAAGACCGCAGTCGAAGAGTTCTCCAAGACAACAATAACTCGCCACCACCCAGACCAGAAGACGGAGATGGTAATGGACCGCCACCCAGACCGGAAGACGGGGAAGGTAGCGGTAATAAACCTCCACCCAGACCCGAAGACGCAGAAAATGGTGGTGGTGGTGGTGGTGGTGGTGGTGGTGGTGAGCCCAAGCCGCCCAAGAAAGATGACCCCAAACCACCCCCACCCAAAAATGATGTCATTCGAAACATTGTACAACTACCACCCTTCCTGGGAGCATCTGGGGTTGTTTCGTTTGACTACAACAAGGACGAACGATTTCGGACTGTAGAGACCATGCAAATGGCCATGTTCAACTTTCGAGTTGTTGTCAAAGACAATCAAGTCGTCACGGTAGAAACTCCCATTGTGGCACATCTCAACACGTCGACCCAACAATGGATAACACTTGAACCGTTCATATTTGGAAGCGCTTCGTCCAACACTCTTCCCAATCGACAATTTGTCGTCTCGGACGAAAACTACCTTTCCAACTGGGTGTTTGGGATTGGACTCTTTCTATTTATTTTCGGAGCCATCTTTGCCGTGGCCTCCTTCGCCGCCGTAACCTACTATCAACAAGATGGTGTGGTGCGTATGGCGCAACCGTTCTTCCTCAAGCTCATCTGTTTGGGATCCTTCATTGAAGTATGTGCCATTCTACCGCTCTCCTTGGATGAAAGTCGGGGACTTGGTGATGGACAACTTGATGGTACGTAAGCTAACATGGGAACAAACGAGCAATGAGGGAAGAGAGCCCCTCACGGACATGGGCAGAACTAACTTTTGCCTGTTGTTCGTCGTCACCATCAACATCACAGCGGCATGCATGTCGGTTCCGTGGCTTTTCTTCATTGGCCACTCCATTATCTATAGCGCCATTTTCTGCAAGGTAAGCTTTACCGACGCTCTGCTCTCTTTCGTGGCTGCCGTACGGTTCACAAATTTCAGTACACGGACAGCTAACATCACACTCGTTGTGAAAACAAACAGCTCTGGCGCGTGGATCAAGTCATGAGCGCCCAACGAAGAACCCGCACAGAGTTCCAGGTGCTTTGGCCACTGGGGGTGATTCTTTTTGTCATCGTGACCATCTTGATCGTGTGGACCGCCGTGTCACCATGGATGTGGGAACGCGATTTTGTCAGTCTGTCTCCTCCCGAAACCTATGGCAAATGCTATTCCGACGATTTTGGCGCCTTTTTTGCCTCTCTTGCTGCCGTTCTCATGGGCTGCACACTGATCACTGGATTCTTTGTATGGAAGACCAAGGATATCTCGCAAGACCTTTCGGACACATCCACTATCTTCTACCTCATTGTCACTCAGCTGCAGGCATGGTTTGTCGGTATTCCCATCCTTGCCGTCATTGGAGATTCGTCGGTCGACTCGGTGTACTTTGGACGAATCCTTCTGATTTGGGTCTTCGCCATGGCACCACTTCTCATTGTGTTGCTCCCCAGAATCAGTAATGCCAACTACGTTCGTCGCCACCCCGAGCTACTGAGAAAGAAGAGAGGAAACGTTCATGTTTCAGGATTGGACCCTACATCACGAGCAGGGAAGCGGGGATCTGTGGCATCATCAACGAATAGCAGTGCCCCACTTCGCGCGTCCCTGCTGGTGTCACCGGCTATAATGGTGCAACCACAGGAGGAAGGACGTGTTAGCGTCACATCAAGTACTGGGTTTAACGTCTCGGATTGCCACGAAAGCACCGGCGAATTTGGGTCAGACAGCAGGGACGATGATCTGAAACGCAACCGCAACGACAACACTGGCGGCTTGCCGCTGGAACACATTTCGGAACACCCTACACTCGAAGAGGCGGCCTTGTTTGCATCGGAGCGAAGAATACAGACGGAGGCAGCCGCCATGGCATCTAATGACGACAAGGCAAAGGAGAAAGAGGGCGCACTCGGGAGCGTCGACGAGTTGCCTGAAATGGTGGCATCTGATGACGACGAGGCAAAGGAGAAAGAGCATGACGAACAGAAGACGGACTTGAATGGCGACTCGGATGAATTCCATTCTGGTTGAATTTTGGTCCCTGATGTGCACTTCGACGACCGCACCGGTTTCCAATTTGAGGATATGTGGTCGTAGCCCTCTTCCGACGGCCGGTTTAGTTAGCAGAGAACGATTTTGGCACCTTTTAATAATTATTAAACATAGACTTGATCTTCAATCGTGGCGTTGATTGAACACACAAACTTGTCGTCTTGCGGTGTCTTTTGATAGGGATGACAGGGCCTCTAGAGAGGGCCAGATGTTGGCGGAACTGGCTGCGGTGCTTGGGGGTACCTATGCCTTTGTGGGGATCCCGGTGTTGGGGCCAGCTGTTGTGGGAAATCCAGTGCTGAGGCCTACTATTGCAGGGATTGCAGTGCTGGGGCCAACTGTACTAGGAGCATATCATTGTAGAGATTACAGTGCTGGGGCAAGGAATGTGCGGGAAATCCAGTGACAGGGCTTTCCATTGAAGGGGTTGCTGCGGATATTCCAGTTCTGGGGATTGGAGCCCTTTACCTCCTCGAGGTGCAGACAGTTGCATTGTTTTTCTGGGGGTTGTCTGCAAGGATTCTGGAGCGCGCTTCGAGGATTGGAGGTCTACATTCAACGGAGCGGCAGCCGCATGACCCCCCCCCCCCAAACTCAGCAGGCAGGTAGGAAAGTTTTCACGTGGTTTGAACGCTGGCATCGCTTGCTGAAACTAAAGTCTTGATGGACTTCTGTACTCATGTCCGTTGGGAACACCTATGGATCATTGAGTGGAAGAGGAGCGGAACGGTTCGATGGCGTATTTTGGCTGATTTGAACGAAAGGCTTGTCCTGGCTTGGTGTGCAGCGGTCGAAGCTCCAAGTTCGTAGTCACGTGGGAGTTGATTTGGGGAAGAACCAAGACAACCCAGTCGTGCCTTTGCAAAATCGGCCCACAGAGGACCAATCGCACCGCGCTCACATTGAGCCTCCTCGTGAAACCGGTACCGATGTGCTTTGCGAAAGCGGGCAAGACAACAGCAGTTGGAGAGGGTAAGATGAGTTGGTGTTTGTGGCTGAAGCATCTTTGATTCGTGTGCCTTCTCATGAAAATCTGGACTCTTTCCATTTGACTTTTTCTGAGGCAGCAACATCCAATGGTGCCTCTTGGTCCATGCCAACACTACATTGTTCGCCACTTTGCCAGACAAGCACCATGTGCTTGTGCAAAGCATTGTGGGCGCGGTTGGATGCCAGCATCCCCCGGGTCGGTTTCTGCAGAAGGATCTCACAAGCGGCAGGTGGTGTTTGATGGATGAGAAGAAAGCCGAAGATATGACATTTGTAGCATTGGAAAAGGCAAGCAAAGCAAGAGGTTCCACCGCGAGTGGAACAGACGGAGTGTCTAAGAGCGGAAGCACCCAAGTGCAGAGTGCGGAAGAAAAATCAGAGTTGGCGACAACTGAGAGCAGCAAGGAGGATCAAAAGCTGATGCCAGAAGCAAGCAACAATAAGAAAGATTCTTTTTGGTGCGAGCTCTGTGAGGAAGGTTTTCACAGCGCCATTAGATTTGCGCAACACCAATCCAGCGCAACCCACACATGAAAAAGGGAAGACAGCTTATTGACTCCCAACGCTTCCACAGAGTTTTCTTCCTTTTCATTCGAGCTGCAATCGAAGAAAGGAAAGCTGAAGCTACAACTCAAGCAATACGATATAGACTTTGCTCGCAGGCACGATCGAATGCCAGGGAGGAAAGAAAAGGAACCGATTCGCCATCTTTACGACGAATACAACGCCCTGAAATGCCAAATTGCCATGTTAGAAAAAGAAGGGGATGCGGTCGCTTTATCCGCGGCGAACTCCTCACGTTCAGCCGGTCAACCTCTCCCTACGCCTGATGAACCGCGAACACAGAAGTCCTTCACTTGCTATTCTTGCTCAATCAGATTCCCGTCCAGTCAAGAGTTGGATGTCCATATCTTGTCTGATCCGGGCCATCTCAGGAAAGTGTATGAAAGCGAGGGCATGGAGCTGGATGCTCGAGCTGCTGCTGAGGTGTGTGGTCATTTGGCAGGGCGCGATGATGATGCTGTTAAGGAAGTTGACTTGTGCGACTACGAAGTCTTTCATGGCATGGAGCATGGGACGGCGACTTTGCACAAGTTGATGACACTTCTGCTGACATCCAGGGATGGGCTGCCAGTGCAATCAGTGATGTAGTACTGGTACCCACACAAAGTGACAACACACTTGCGGGGAAGGAACACAGCGAGGATGCAACAAAGTCAGCAGCTAAAGCAATCAGTAAAGGCGACAAAGAGGAAGAACAGATGCTGAAACTGGCCATGATGGAATCAATTCTAGAAGCGCGAGGTGTTTGCATCCCGAACAAGTATGACGGCGACAACGACGGATCCTTCTACGACGGTGATTGCTCGGAGGGAGAATACGACAATGGCTTTGAAAAAGGACAGGAGGACGAAGATGAAGACGCCTTCTCCTATGGCGATAAAAACTTCTTCGAAGACGAGTGGTACGATGACTCAGACAACGAAAAGGACCGCACCGCCGAACAAGTCTCTCCTCGCAATGACGAAGACGAGGAGGACTCGGATGGAGAATGCAACAATCGCTTGGTTGTTGAAGGTGACGGGGGCTTAACTAGCGACCAAGAACACGAGACAACTGTACCATCCGAGAACGAAGTTGGTGCTCTGAGCAGCTTAAGCGATCACCTCTCCAACGAAAATCAAACCCAAGAGGCTGCATCCGACGACATCTCGAGCAACTCGGAAGACCAGTTGCCAGTGAGTAGCGGCAGTGATGACGACGAAAGCTGGTCGCAAATCTCCTGTCAAAACCCAACCTGCACTGCCAGCAAAGACGCCATTGCAATGGACGGATCCGACAGCACCGTTAGCGGGTGGAATCTCATAGAGCCCGAATTTCCGGATGGGACTTCTTGAGACCGTGGTGTTGAAAGGTACACGTATTTGACGTGCGGGTTGTACAATGGTTGCATCGTTACCAGAAGGCGTGTATTCACAAAAGCCGACACCCCAACTTTCTTGTCCCTTCCAGCATTGCAGCTAGCTATACCGGCAGAAGTTGAGGAGACGACGACATATTAATAATGATGATGTGCAAGTTAATTATCTAGTCGTCTAGTTGTGAGTCTATGAAACTGAAAATGGCCGTTGCATTCCCTTGCCTTTGTGGCCGGGTTGTCAGTCATTAGGAGAAATGCGTGGCAGATTGGGGGTGTTTTCAAGTTGGGGTGTTGATCCGCCGGCCATCATGTTTCGAGCACTGTGTGGTGGCGAAGCTATCATGATGCTTGGGTGTGCTTTGTTGGTTCATAAGTTCGTGGGGCTTGGTTGGCTTGACGGATTACAAGTGATCCAAGACATTGTTCAGTTCACCAATGATATCACCCACTCTGCCCAAAATTTCTTCCTTGGAAACAGCACCCGACGAACTCAACTCCAAAACCTTGGACAACTTTTCCATCGAGGGTTGGAGCACATCATCAGACGCAGCAGCTGCTTTGGCAACCATTTCCTTCTGAAGTGGTTCTACCGCCGCCATGGTTTCTGAGGTGGACGAAACAGCTTCTTCAACCTTTGCAACAACGGCTTCTGCCTTGACTGGGTTCTCAGCAACAACCTTGGGTGCTTCAGCCAAGAGTTCTGCCTTCTTTTCCACAACCACTTCCTTGACAGGTTCTTCCACTGGCTTGGTTACTTCCGCCACAAGAGTTTCTTTCTTCTCCACCACAGCTTCTTTGATTTCTTTGATGGGTTCTTCCTTGGGGGCTTCAGCTACCAGAGTTTCTTTCTTTTCCACCACTTGTTTGACAGGCTCTTCTACTGGTTTGGGGGTTTCCTTGGGTGCCTCTGCCACCAGTGTTTCTTTCTTCTCTACAACTTCTTTCACTGGTTCTTCAGCTGGCTTGGCTTCCGCAACAACTGTTTTCTCTGCCTTGGCTTCCACAGGAGCTTCCTTGACAGCCTCAACCGGCTTTTCCACTTTTTCTACCTTGGGTTCCTCTGGCTTGGGGGCTTCAGCCACGACAGTCTTGGCTTCCACTGGTTTTTCTACCACTTCCTTTACTTCCACAGCTTCCTCGGACATGTTCAAACCAAATGTTGCCTGCTGGCTCACAAAGGCCATTGGCCTCTGAACTGGAGGGACCACAAAAGCATGGCAAGTCAAAGCCGAAAGCACAAATCCTGAAATTACGATCTTCATGGTAAGAGATTGCTGTCTGATAAAAAAGAAAGTCTGGAGGTTTCGGCAATGACTGATTGATTTTTTGAGCTCTTTCTTCCTTTCTTTACTTTTTGCCCACCGTGAGAAAAAAATGTGCATGCATCATCCCTCGTCAGCACCCGCGAACCAATCGTGGCGTTATCGTGCACTGGCTCGAGATATCGAATTCTTGTGTCAGGAAAACGTAAGCAGTCGCCACGGCACACTGAGTAGGACCAAAAGAAGATCCAAATAGGCTCCCCCTCCTCGACAAGAAGCGATGTGTCCCTACGACGTCAGCAAGAGAGAAGTTCGGGATTCGGGAGTGAATTCAATCCACAAGTTCACCTCAGTGGCTGGCTACGATGCCAGCTACCGATACGGGCTAATAGCTAGCTAGTATCTACATAGCAACACGTATCAAGGATGTTATGTAGCTCAAAGGCAATGCGCTTGAAGATGCTATTCCAGAGAGCAAGACAAGCATTGAGCCTAATAAGACAAGGCACCTTATTGTCTCTCTCAGAGAAAGAAGGACGCTCTGAAGCCTCCAACATCCGCGTCGTCAGGATGCCCCAACATATTATTTGTTGTCCTGTGCGAATGGTTTTGGCTGCTAGTAGTAGGTAGCTATATGCACAGTACCTGATGATCATACATACATTAGCTCGGTTGGGATGTGATGCGATTATAGGCTGTACGAAGCCTCGTGATGGCGAGATACCATGCTTGACTAGATGTACTAATCACTTCTTCGCAGTCACTCTCCGTACCGGTACCGGTACAGCAGTGAAGCAGCACCCTCCACGGAGCAATTATTGATAAGCAACGCGTATTATGAATAATGTAAATTAGCAACTCAGCAAGGTCAGACCCAAGCCCAAGCAAACCGCCAAGATATTACATAGATACAATCCAGGTGCACTAGTACCAGACACTCCAGCAACCAAGTCTCCACCTTCCTCTCGTACTGAAGATTCTGATTCAGAAGAAGTGCTAGGTTTTGTCAACCCTTCAGTTCCCTCCTTGGAAGAGTCAGAGTCTAGAGGATTGTCGTTGTTGGGAAGTGATGCGCCCTTGGAAGCTGCTGTGAGGTTGCTAGCATCTCCAACACCTGGTTGATCCTGGTCACTGTCGCCAAAAGTTTCGTCCATGGTCGGTGCTTGGGTGGCTTCCATTTCGATGCCAGCGGATGTGATTTCTCCAACACTGACAAAGTCTCCGTCCATGGCTTCCTCAGAGTCACTTTCAATGCTTTCATGTCCATAGATTGCTAGCGTCCACGAACGCAGAACATTGACGTCGGATACAGCCACGCCACCACCACAAGCACAGCAAGCTTCGGCAGCTGTCAGGTTCTCACGACCTCGGTCAATAAACAATGTGTTTACATTGTCGTTGTACACTACACCAGCAGCACAGTGGCGTCTGTCTTCTGCTGTTAGACACGTGTAAACTTCAATGGTTTTGTATACAGGGTGTTCCCAGAGGTACTCATAAGGCATGTTGGCACAGTCACCCCGATCTCCAGGACTCTCGTCCACGATTGCAAGGGTCCAGTCTCCGCTGGCTCGCTCACCCCAATTTCGGACCTACAGAAGCAAACACGTTCGTTGTGAGAATTGCGCGGACACTGACAACCCATGAAACGACGAAACCGTGGCTAAAACTGGGTGCGTTTGTGTGATTCGTTCGTACCGTCATCAGTTTCCATGTTTCATTCACGGCGAGCTGTTGGTTTTCGGGGCGCATGCCAGGTTGCAAAATGGATTCGGTGCCAGAGGGGCTAGTGAGTGTTATCTCCAAGTCTCCTCTTGATGCATGCTGAAGAGACATGTACACCACCACTGATTCCACGGTGAAGTTTTCAGGCACGGATACTGTTTGTGTGTTGATAGTTGTTCTGGAAGCATCATCCTCAATCATGATATCCAAAGGACCCGACAGAAGGATGAGCTGTCTTTCTGGCCCAATATTGGTCCAGTTCTTTGAAGCTTCCACCGCAGCAAGTGCATCCACAATACCAAAGCCTTCCAAGCAAAACACAGGGTCAGACGAATGTCACACATGGAAGTCGCTACCATGTCAACATTACAAGTGGCACTACTCACCATATTTGTAGGAATGATGCAACCCTGCTCCATTTGTGGTCCATGATGGTTCCTCAGGGTCAACTTGTCTTGAAGTTTCCGCTAGAATAGCTTGTACATCACGCCAGCCAAGACTTGGTGTGACTTGCAGTATCAGTGCTGTTAGAATACAATAGAGGCGAGTCACAGCCATATAGTTAGCAGCGAGTAAGTACAACATTGACTTGACTGCCCCATGGAAACAACCGCACGATACCTACCGATAACACCTGAAACCACGGGTGCACTAAAGCTGGTGCCTCCAATGATTTCCATGCAGCCTCCTCCCGGTTTGGCGATGATGTTGTTTGTGATATACTCGTGGTCACCTCCTGGCGCTACTACAAACAGTGCTGCCCCAGGGGTCTGGCAAATGATGTCATGTTGATAGTGATGATAGGTGAGTCTGACGATCGATAACATAGGTATCGTGACCAAATAATGGATTGGACTATCCCTGTATGGACGTACCGAATAGGATGCATGCTTTTCTGACTTGTCTACCGATCCCACCCCAATAGTGAATCGCGTGTTGACAAAACCATCTGCATTGGTGAAGGATCCTTCGTTGTGAGCATTTCCAGCTGCAAAAACTGGAATTTTGTAAAACAGGAGCAATGTGTCAGGATGAGTCCAAAGCCTCGATTGCAGCGTTTCTCCATCGTCTCAACTTCCCCAGACAAGGCTTTTGCAAACAGACATACCGTAAATGATTCCCTTTCCTTGCCTTCCTTCAATAACGCCCTGTACAAACGCCTGATGAGCTTGCTCACTGAGTGCGTGGTATTCACAGGATACGTAAATATCTAGCCACTCGGAACAAGCCACTGGATCATTTTCATATTGATCGGTACAATACTCCTCAATGGCTTGAGTGCAGGCGATGGAAACGTCCGGTTGACTTGCATCAGTGAGGGACGTGCAGAAAGAACAGGGGGAAGCGGGATGTGTGTCATCAAAAATGCACTCTTGAGTATTGTCGGTTTCTTGCAGGTGACGCTTTCTTCTAACGTCGTTGAGATTGAAACAGGCAGTGGGTCCCCAACTATTGTTGCTGATGTCGACCTCTTCCAATTGAGTCATCATCAATTCTACGAGCTCTGGTTCAATGATATCTTGTCGAAAGGCACACATACTGAGCGCCACATCTGGTGCTATCCCCACAGCACATTCATCATTGTCACCTCCTGCCGCCAAGATACTGGCGACACCCGTGCCGTGAATTCCCGTTGGATCCGAATTGTAACTGGCACAGGAATTGGCAGGATCAAAATTGTTGGCAAATTCTGGATGTTGATAATCAAAGCCAACATCGTTGATTCGAACGTGGACTCCTGCTCCCGTGATTCCTTGTTGCCAGAGGGGTTCCACGTTGATCATTTCGTAACTCCATTTCATGGCATCGTATAGTGGATCGGAAAACGCATTGTCGCTGTCAAGTGCTGCGTCACAGGTTTGTTGCCAGTCTTGTGCCGTGGGACAGGAGGAGATTTCGTGACCCACATGGAGATTCCAGAATTCTGGACCCAACGGCACAGATCGGCAAACGGCGTCTCCAGGACACCAATAACATCCTTCTCCTTCCGCAGCATTGACACAACCGTTGCAATCGAGATCAAAATTCCGGCAAGGGTCGCAATCCCAGCAATCGGGACAATCACTGTAGGCAAAACATCTTCCGTCAATTTGGAATTCTTGGCTGCAACCAGATCCCTGATACGTATAGTCGCACTCCCAATTCCGAATGGCGTCGTCAATGGCTCCATTCGAGTTATCAAATTGAGCAGTCACCACATTGATACTACTGGTAGTAATTGCACACAAAAAGATAACTTGAACAAGCAGAAACATCTTGGCCAACACTGAAGACAAAGCAGAGGGTATCTCAGGGATAATGCTTCTTTCTCTCTTTTTAATTGCTGCCTACTACCTATGTAGTAGCTAGTAGAGGCTGTGGGTGGATTGTCTCTGAAACCTTTCAACTTCAAAGCAGAGTGACAGTGGCTTATCCAGGTTTCATCAGCACTTGCAGTCTACCGGTACCCATCACAACTCTTCCAATGCAACGCCGCATGCGGCGCGGTCGCTTGCATCCGTTGAAAAGGGGCATCAATCGTGCCTCGAATCCGGAATTTCCTGATCTGGACCGAAAATGAGAAAATAATAAGCACTTTCAACTAGATCTATGCATAAAACTAGTGAAGTCAATTTTTACGAATCTGGTCTGAAGCGAACAGAACCGAAATCCTCTAAGGTTCCACGGTGTGGTTTGGTGTCCCAGTGTGACTGAACACTATCATTCTTTCGTGAGCATACCACCGTCTGCTGAGAGAACTGAGGGCGCATTTCTTCCCCGAGCCAAGTAGTATACGTCCCAATCCCACAGGAAGGACCACCCAGCAAAGGAGTTTGGATACATGTCATTCGACGCCTCTCATCGTTCGTGCTGCACGGGGTCTTTCTATGGATGCTACCTCGACTCAGAGGAGGAGTCGCTTCAGGAGGATCACTATCTGGGCTACTACTGCCTTGAAGGTGATGGCGAGGATCTTCCGCAACCACGGTTCTGGGCCTCTTCGCCGCGGGATGTGAGCATCCCTCACAAGAAGAATCGTCGTCAAAGACTGGATTGGAAAGGTCCGAAATCATACTACTCGTACCAAAAAAGCGAGAGGAGTACATCGTTCGTCCTCCGTGAGGAAGCACATGGTCAGAAAGGTCCGGCACGGATCGTCCAAGACAATGATGATGACGTCGTTGCGGAGAAGGGTACTCATTCATGGTAGGAATGACAATGTGATCCGTTGGGAATGGGCCAGCAGTGGGACCCTGGTGCTGATACGATGGCGATAATGCTTGCTGCCGTTGTGGTAGCCAGTCGACTTGCAGTGGGGGTGGTGGAGGTGGAGGGCTCTCGTCACTTTCACTACTCGATGTCTTCGATGGAACCGAGACGACGAGCAATGCACCAAACAGCGACTCCTCGATACCTCGCTGATCAACTGTTAGCCTTGTACCATAGGAGCTTTCTGCAGCGAACGCAGAGGAGACAAATGGAACATCAGTGACAAGAAACAACACAGTCTATCATTGGCTGCTTGTTCGTACGTACCCTGAAGCGTTGTGCTAGTTTGCATTCGTTGCCTTTGCCATTCTTGGAGATACTCGTCCTCATTGACATTCATGGGTACGTTCAAATAGGCGAGTACAACTGGAGTGAGTCCACCCATGACAAAGGTTGTCACGAGGATAATGACTGTTGTAGCGGCAACGAATTCGTCCGTGTTGTCCCCTGGCAAATCCCTCACACATGCATACGCCACAGACCCACGGATCCCCGCAAACCAAAGTACATGCATCATGTTGCTACTAATCTCTAGATCTTTGCGCGAAAGGGGTGTGGTCCTAGTGGACTTGTAGTAGTAGGATGACGGACGTGGGGCAGTACCGGTACTACCCAGACCGATGGAAATGTTGTGGTGTGTCCCAAAAGAGCTCCTGGATAGATTGTCACACCAGGATATGTCTTCGTCTTCTTCACCATCAAAATTGCCCACAGCAGGAGGCGGCTGGTCGTCCGCTACGACCGGAACAAATACACGTTTTGACAGCGCCAAGTTCCAGGCAATGGAAATAGGATATATGCTAATGGCCCGCCCAAGCAGGGTTGCCAAAAAGGCCCATTGGATAAAGCCCCATTCCCATTGAGTGGTGGAGAGAGAAAAGACACTCAACCCCATTTCCAAGAATATACAAGTCTCGGAGAGATAGGCGGCCGTCTTGAAAATGACATTGGCATTTTGGTTGGTTTGATCCGATAGATGCGGTGTAGTGTAGCGTCGAGCCGCCAATCCGCAAAAGAAGATGGTGACAATGCCGCTGAGCTCGAGATACTCTGCGACCATGTAGGGGATGTAGCTGATGAGCAAGTACAAGGTCAATTCGACGGAGTGATTACCTTGAAAATCCCTACGTTGAAAGATGACTGCAGCTGCAATGGAGAAAATACTTCCCAACAAGGGCGAGCAGATGGCTTGAAAGGCAAAGTCTTTGTAGAGCCGAAAGACAAGCTCACTTCGGGAAGAGAACTCGGTAATGTCTTGACCTAAAAAGTCGACAAAAGTCTTGAAGAGTACCAATGCGACGGCATCATTGAGAGCGGATTCTCCAAAGACTACATAGAATAGGCGCGGATCGACCTTCTTGGCGTGTAGAATGGACATAGTGCTGACGGTATCCGTGGCAGCAATGAGTGAGCCAAAGGCCAATAGTTCCAAGAGAGATGGGTTGAAGCCTCCCCAGAATCCCCCCAGGGTCTGGATTCCAGACAGGGTGAGGGCCACTGAGAGTGCAGACAATATGGTGCCCAGTGCAGCAAATAGTACAATGGGTCCAATGTGACGGTAGAATAGTTCTCTCTTGAGCTGATACCCCGAATTGAAGAGAATGGGAGGCAGCAAAAGCATAAAGAAGGCATCGGAATGAAAGGACAGGAGGTTAGTAGCCCAGGCAGCTGAAGATGAAGATGGACCCAAGTCTTGTCTGTCCATCAAGGCTTGCTCCTCTAGTACCGTGGTCTCCACAAAGACGCTGACTGCCATTCCCACCAGAATGATCATTCCAGCTTCTGGCAAGAAGACGCTCAAGCGTTTCCTTTGGCGAAGCTCGTTGGAAAGCACCAAAACCAGAGAGACTAGGGATGCAAACACAAAGCAGTAGAAAGATGTATCCTTTCGTCCACTGGACCCTTCCATCCTTGCGAAAGAAGCGGTGGCATTGGTTAACCCATCCAAAGCAATATCAGCAGCCTCAGGGTTCAGCATCTCCTGTCCTCTACCCATACCGGTATTTTTCTTCTTTCTGAGATCCTTCAACCGTAAACAGAAATCATGGAGACCAATCACTATCAGCGGAGCCCATCAAAAAGTAAGTCGAAGATCGATCTACAGTCGTATTACCCGTGCTGTCTCATTCATCAATTTTAATTGGGGTCTTGAGGGCTTCCTCTTCCCGAAAGCACCTGGAACTTTGGGACCAATCTTCAGGAAAAGTTGCAAATTATTCCTAACTAATAGTGTCAAAAAATGTACCACTGTGCGTCAGTATTGATTCACGCGTTAGATTCAGTCAAGCCAAATTAAGGTTAGAGACTACAGTACCGGTACTGGTACCAGGTACCGGTACTGGTACCAGCTGCCCCGCTCCCCCTTGCCCCTCATCCTCGTTGTCCATGGACCGGTATGTCTGTCATAACATAATCGGTACCAAGTACAGTACGGGTACGTACCACCAATACAACGTGTAGATACTGGTACTGGAAAGGAGAACCGCTTGGATCTTTCAGATGGCTATGGAACCAAACGAACGAGAATCGAATCTCCAACTCAGCCGCAAATCCACGGCACCGTCAATTCCACTCTTCCTACATGGCCGTGTGTCTCCCTTGCCAATGGTCATGGTATCAACATCGAAATAAATTTCGCCGCCTTCAACACAACACCGTCGACAGCAAACCTCAAGAATAATAGCCTCAGACAAAATGTCTGCGGGAGATTTGCAAAATATCATTCTGGAGATAGTATTGAGTTGAGGAATGCACTCTCAGGTCTATCCCTGAGGCCTGTGTTTATAAGGGATGAAAACCGTCCCCATTATTCCAAATACAGCCATGAGAAAGGCATTGCTACAGAGAATCCAGGCATTTTGGTAGAGTTAGTAGACGCAGCTGCCGAGAGAGCCAATTTTACCTGGCGAAACAGTTTTGCATTCACTGAAAGAGCACCTACCTACAACATGACATCTACAGAACTCCTCCTCTGGAGCATTGAAAACTATGACATCTCAATCCACTCCTGGGATCACACCCTCCAAAGAATGGACGAAGGTGTTACATACACAGAGCCATGGGCTGATTCTAGCTTGATTCTAGTTGATAGGAGGAGAGCACTCAGGGACATCAACACGATTGATCCATTGAATTGGACCAAGCCATTTGAACCTGCTGTTTGGGGAGTGATTCTTTTGACCATTTTGCTATCTGCAGTTGTCTACCAGCTAATCGAACACTTCAGTGGAGAAAGAGACGATCGATCTCTATACCAGTGGTTCTCAGACAATCTTTATCTCAGCGCCATCAACTTCTCCCAAAACTTTGAGTATGCCCCCCACAGTTTTGCAGGAAGGATATTTGGAGTTAGCATGACACTCTGGGCACTGGTCATCACGGCAAACATACTTAGCCAATCTGGCCTCTCTTTTTATTGAACAAAGAGTAGAACCTGCTTTGGTGGATTCCATGGAGGAAGCCGTGGTTTATCAATATCCTGTCTGTATGAAGGAGAATGCCAATTCAGACTTCTTTGTTAGAGAGGTATTTCCAAAAGTGAACCAAGAGGTAAACCCTGACTGTAAGGGGTTGGTGAAATAGTGAAGCATCTCAAGGCAGGATTTGCGGTTACAGCTGATGCGGGCTATAAGTGCAGCAGTTTGATTCAAGATGTGGTCACGCTGCATCTAGCAGAATTGATTGAGGCTGGTGTTTTAGCAGATCTTTGGCAGAAATACAGAGACTTGTATGATGGTGGATCATGTACATACGAGGACGATGAGGAAGCACATTCAGGCAGACGACTTCTGTACAAGATGAGCCGCCAGGCAAGGTTCCCCGCGGCCCAAGGATTTCTTCGAACCACAGGGTTCTAAAGGGCGGTGGAAGCGCAGCAGGGGGATCCCCAAGTGATGGCATTGATGCGGAGACACTGACTCTTGAGCAAATGGCAGGAACTTTCCTGTTGCATTGGATAGCCATGGATGTGGCTCTTGTCGCGAGTTGCATCACTGCATACGCTCAGAAGATGAATCGCGTTCATACATCTATCTAGGGAAGGCCACGTAGTTGAAAAGATTACCCACAGGACAAATGGACCCATCATTGGAATGCCAACACCAATCAATACGAACGTAATTCGAGATGCCGCAGAGGAATCGAATCACCATTAGATGTTGCGCAAAGAAACAATGAGCAGTTTCATGGAGAGTTCGATCTTGCAACAATGGCTGCGCGGAAGTGAATGCAATGAGGAGAGCTCTGGACACCCACACCGAAATGATTCGGCAGTTGATGCAGGGATCTCAGAAAGACCATGTGTGAGTGGGCTATAGCAGTTCCCGCCTGAAGCCAAGAACCGCGTTATTATTAGACCCAATTCATGGTTTTCATTTGAGAAAAAATAGCTGTTGCTGCCTGCGGCTGCTCAGAGACCGCCCTGGGCGCGGCAGGTGGCTAGGAAGTGATCTCCCACGCAAAGATTCCGCTGGCCGATCTTTTGGATGCACTTGGAACTGCAGTCTCTTTTGTACATGTACATACGCCTTGGAGAAGAGAGCCACGACAAGATATGCATTCGGGAGCCAGGGATCAGCCATGTTCAGGAGGGGAACAAGGTTGCGATGGCAACGACGGTTGGTCGCGAGCAAGAATGCCTTCAAGACAAGCCAAAAAGCGCCATATCTAATCTTACTGGATTAGCAGACGACCAAAGCACAGTGGCCGTTTGGGCGAGGTTGGAGAAACGTCGCTTGGGGCTGAGCTCTAGCCAGTTAGCAAGATATTCATGTAGAAAGTTGGGACCGGAGAGTACTAGTAATCAAACAGTGGTCTCAACGGAATTGATCCATCTACGGTGTGTTTGTTCCGGACACCACAAGCTTTCGGATGCTCGCTGCATGGCTAGATAGCTGGCTTGGATGATCAGATTCGATTCTGTGCTTGTATTTTGTACCTCTCGCCACCTATTTACTTGCTGGGTTGCTAACTAGCTAGCTACTGGTACAGTAGACTACCGGTAGTAAGGTGGCTCTGCTGGTTGCGCCACAAAGATTTACTGGCTGGTTAAGAAGCGATTCTGACTGGAGATGAACATTCTCGAGAGTAGCGACTGTTGAATTTTGTGTAGTATTCTGAGTTATGAAGAGCCTCCAAACTGTCGAATGACCAATTGAGAGTTCATCCAGAAGGCTCTGAAAACAGCAGGGTAAAATCCCCTTTGCCCTCTCAGAAAAAGGGATTGGACCTAGCTGGTGCAACTACTGAGTGAGCTCTGATGAGGGTTGGAGTGGTGGTAAGGTACTGTAGCGCTAGCTAGCTAGCTAGAAGATCCGGCCAAACAAAGATCAATAGCTCACAATTACAAATCCTGAGAGCCGAGAAGCATCCAACATCACACAAACCAACCACAACAATGAGCACCCGACCACGCCTTAGCAACAGCACTCTTGACGAGGAGGACTTTAATGAGACCTTTGACTCTCCGAAAGACCTTTCTGTTGACGCTCGCGAAACCCAAACTCGCAACTCGTTGAAGCAAAAGACCAAGCGTAGGCAATCTCGCCTTCCACGTACCCTCATGGCTGAACCTGGAAACAATCTCTTGACTACTATTGTGGGAGACGAGGACGAACTGAGCAAAGGAAGCAACCACAGCACTCGCAGTGCACGGTCACCTCGCCGACAACGAATGGCTGGTCTAGCAGAAGGAGGCCAGGATCGTCGAGCAAGAAGATGCAGATCCCTGGGACAACGACGCAGGTCAACGGGTGTCTCGTCTCATGGAGGATCCAAACAAAGAACTCTCGTCTCTGACGATGACACTTGGGAAATCTTCAAAGAAGCTCTCCAAAACATGGCCTAGGCCCAACGAACGATGGCAAGGGTCCACCACTTTAGTACATGCATACATAACATTCAAAAAGATATAGAGAAAATGTACATTATTGCAAGTTCAATACAACGTGTTCCTACTCATTACAATCAAATCAAAAACTTGCTCTTACGAGAACCCTGTTGATGTTTGTGGTCATCCCCTTACCATTGGAGAAATTGATGCCCCTGGGCAATGTGAGGATATGGATTCCTTCTCTTACAGTGACTGACAAGCTGTACAGTTTACGCTGCCTTGCCTTTGGTAACAATCAACTCCTTCGCAACAACAGTGTAGTAGGATTCGGTAATGTGCACCTTCTCTTGATAGACAGCAAATTTCATCAACTCTTCATGCAACTCCAGCAGTCGATACCACGGGACTTGTGGATATAGATGGTGTTCGACATGATAACTGACATTGATTGGCACAACAAAGATTTTGTCGAAAGTGGAGGGAATAACTGTGCGAGTATGATTGAAGAAATTGTTTGCACTGCCGGGATCCTGTTTGACTGCACAGTGTTCAGCCACAATGCGAAGAATATTGATAGCAATGAACCATGTAAACAGGGGTACAAACCAGTACTGCACCACAACCTGTCCCATCTGCATCACTTGGATGACATTGTACAGACAGCCATAGTAAACAAGTGCAGCTCCTCGGTATTTCGTGGAAGTGCTTCTCCAGATGCGTCCATAAAAGCGTAAGAAATATACCATTCCTCCAAACCCAGCCAATCTTGGTATGGCCCATGCCGCAAAATCAGTGGTTGAGGAGCGTGGAAACTTCCAGTGCTTTTTCCATTCACCTTGGGGTGTGTGGGTGGAATATTGCTGGCGATTTCCATCTTTTGCATTGCCAACATGTCTATGATGGGCAAAATGATATTTCCGAAACCATTCATTGGAAAGGAGAATAGGCCAGGCCAGCAGTGCTTCTGCCACAATATTGTTGCACAGTCGGTTGGGGAAAAGTCGGTAGTGGGCAGCATCGTGTTGCAAGATAGCGAATGTGTGTTGACGGGCTCCAATGAACATTGTCGTTAGGACATACATTAACCAAGCAGCAATGACGCTGGAAGTGTTGGTGCAGAACCAGTGACAAAATGATGCTGACGCCACAATTCCAGAGTACTCTCTAGCAATGACTCGGACATTGTGCACTGGATCCAGGCGGGTGAGCTTGTCCAAAACAGTGGGGGATAGACAACAGCCGTCAAGACGGTCTTGATAGAGATCCCCCAGATCTAGCGTGGCGCTGTCTTCAGCAGGTGGTGTCATTGTCACAACTTCAAACCTATCGGTAGTTCAACTTCCCGTAGCAATTGCTAAATGAGCAACTCCAAACAACAGAGCCTTCAACTCATAAGGGAGACATGTACTCTCAGTAGTGGAGTTAGCTCATGCAGCATTCAGTTGTGACGGGAAGCGTTCCATCGCTTGCTTGATGTCAACCAGTATGAGCCTTGCATGGCATGGTTCTAACAACTCACCGCATACTAGCTAGTCTAGTAGTACTTGCAAGCGTGCATGCAAACCAGGAGTGAACCGCTTTACTGGTTTATTCCAAGCTGTGTCAATGCAAGCAGCCGTCAGACCTGCAAAAGCCTTCCGTCGGGCCGTGTGTTGGAAATTGCTTCAGCAAAGACTGCCTAGCTAGCTAGCTACCACTGCTCTGCCTAGCTTCGTCCCCCCTCGCTCCTTAACGTATCTATTTAGTATTTATATTAAAGAGTTCGGACCGAGATGGCTTTACGTAGGAAAATACCGTTTAGAGTATGTAGGTGGATTATCATCAAGTATGTTCACAGAGCCCTGGAAGTGCAGGCCAACTTCCCGTACCGTACCACACGAAGCGCTAAAACCCGAGTATGCATAGCTGCATCGGGCTCGAATCCTCTCACTGGTATAACAGCTCACAACACATAATGAATCCTATTCCATAGCTACACATTATCGAGGTTTCATGGAAGCAATGATACTGGTGGGCCGTGGTTTTGCCACGGTACGGTATGGTACCTGGTACGAAGACTTTAGATCGCTATAAGAGGCTTCCGAGAGAGCTCACAACATACATCAGCACAAAGTGAAACAGAATGAGCTCAACCCGCCCACCAACGCAAGAGCAATTGGCACATCGAAAAGATGGCAAAAATATGTCAATGAATAGCAACGTCGGTAGTAGTGGCATGAGACGGCGTCTGTATGTTACATCTGAGGCCGTCGATTCTGCTATTAGTCACCAGCAAACAGGGGCGGAGGATGAAAGCGTCAAGCAGCTCTATGAGCAATACTTTGACGAGGACGGAAGCGTTGACCTCCGCGGTCTTGCCCGTGACATTCGGAAAACGAAGCATGAGATCAGCCAACTAAAGAAAGGCGTGCATTTGTCTATTGTAACGCTTGGTTCGCTCCTTGCAACTGGAATCGCACTCGTTTGCACGATCATGATTTTTCGCAGCAGCAAGGACGGGCTGGCTTTGAATGACCAAGGGCTCATGTGTGGAGCGCCAAACTGGAAGAATTGTGTAGACCAGGCAAGTAGAAGAACCGATAGTATCACTGTCCCAACAATGGTCCTCTGCAGAGTTGGTGAGAGCCAGTGTTCGCGCCGACTTTGATGGTTTGGACGACAGTTCTTGGGCACGGCCCCTCAGGATACTGTGAGGAGTTCCAATGATCGTTTCCAGTCCAACGGGCAAGGTGCCAACGTAGAGTTGACGTTGGATGATGTCGCGTACACATGGAGCCTCGATCTTGGCAAGCTCAGCAAGCCGACCGTTTTCAGCAGCGTGATTCGCTACCAGGGCATCTATTTGGATTCGGACAATGTTGACCAGGAGTTTCAGGTTCATTGCGAAGAAAAGGCAGCTCACTGCAACGTGTACTCGGTTGGATATTTCCTTCCCCAGCCTGCGTCTGCTCATGATAGAATGAAGGATCCAACCAGCCACATCAAGATGGTTGAATAAAGAGATGTTAGCACGAGGCCTCTGGTTCTATCAATTCTTGCCCAGGACTCCGTTTCCATGTGTCATGCCACCCTTGCTCTCGCTTCTAGCTAGTCGCCCTCGCCCCATGGTTCGATGGCCATGAGTTTTCTGGCCAAGGGTGAGTCTGTCAACCATGACGGCAGGCTCTCTTGGTCACGATGGTTGTCATCGTTCCTAGCAACATCACCGTCTTGGACGTTGTCTTGTAGTTGCTGCTGATCCTCATTGCTCTGGCTCTGACTCTGACTCTGAATCCATTGATCATTGGGTGGAATATTGCGTCGAAACTTTTGCAACTGTTCTTGTGCGTAGATGCGGTTGAGTGGTACATCGGGCAAGAAACTGCAATAGAGTACGATTCTGGGTAGTGTACCGTCGTGTCGATAGGCATTGGCATGAGGGATTCGGTTGTCGAAAAAGACGACGCTGCCCGCCTGGACATGGGGGACATGTTGGACTCGTTGCATCACGGTGGTATCTTCTTTGGGTCGCATATGGGTGTATTCACCAATGCATGGTGCTGGGATACTAACGTGTTGTTTGGAGACGACCCGTTTTCCCTTGATTTGCTGTTTTTGTTGCACGGTGTATTCTGTGGGTGGTCGATCCTTGGCCCATTGTTCAAAGTCACGATGAAATCCCTTGGCCGCTTCGAATCCTCCGTGATTGGGTTGGAGTGTGTCAGTGAGAGAGAGGAAGCATTGGATAGGTCTCCACTTGGATTTATTGTGAGTAGACTCAAAGGTATCCGGACAACAGTCGAGATGAGGTGTCAGGGACCTTTGAATGGCTACGGATTTGTTTCGTTTCTTGTTCTTGGCAGTAGTTGCAGTTGCAGTACTGGTAGTTTGTGTTTCAGTTTCTTTGGTGGTGGATGCAAGATCCTGTCCCAGTTTGGTGGCCAATTCTGTCGGCAATCGGAATCCGACTCGATCCATGTAGCAGTATCCCTTGTGAGGGTCAAATGCACCATGAGGATGCCATTTATAGGCTTCTTCTTGTGCTATCTTTTGTTTGGGTTCTCCCTGATGACAATAAGCAGCTTTCCAGAGTTGAGTGGTGGCTTGGAATAGCGCTGGATGGGTAGCAATGCGGCACTGCCAGTCTTGGTAAAATATATCTAGGACACCTCCACTGCCATTGGTGGAGCTCAATTGGGTCAAACCATGTCCAGTAGTTTCCAACTTGGAAGTATCGACTTGAGCTAGTTGCCGTAAACTAATAGATAATCCTTCCTTGGCTGTTTGGATTTCTTGGGGTAGCAGGAAATCTTGCACTACCAAAACTCCATCTCTGAGGAATGTGTCTATTTGTTCTTGGCTTAGAACTGGTTCGGTTGGTGGCAATGGGTTCTTGGGGGTTTCAGTACAATTGCTATCCATCTTTGGCATCCTTTCTATCATGATAGAAAGAAGGTGTTGGGAAGACAGAAACAATGAGTTGGCTCGATGGGAAGAGGATTTCCGTGCAGTGGCCTAAAACGATGTTGAACGAGGTACTACAGCTATTATTGACGTACATGTCACTGATTTGGACTGTGCCTCTTACCGCAACAAAGATCCCGTCAAAGTTTTAACCCAACAAGAACGCGACAAAATTTCCAAATATAAAGAAGCGTGCGAGTCCAATCGCGCTTCCTTCCACCCCTTTGTTGTTTCAGTGGATGGCATGCTTGCCCCTCAAGCCAAGACTCTCTTACAACGCCTTGCTTCTGCTACTGCCTCCAAAACTCAATTTTCCTACTCTCAAATGATGTTCTTCATGCAGACCCGTATCTCAATTGCCCTTGTGAAAGCTACCCATTTATGTCTCCGTGGATCCCGCAAAGCCAAACCCTTTGCCCCCCGTACTGGTCCTCAATTTCTTGCCCCTGATCCCTCAGAACCTAGTCCTGAATTTCGACTGTTCTTTGCTTAAGCCTGGCCCCCGGCTGGCTTCCGTAGATAATTTCCCTACTCTAAACCCCCTTATATATGTTGGGTGGTGGCGGTGACTGCATTCACGAGTTAAAGGAACTTCGAAGAATGTTAAGCCTTCACCCTGACCACGAAGACCTTGCAAGACGAGGGTCATCAAAGGAAGACCTCCAGGCTGGAGGGCGAGGATCTGCAGGTCCCTTTCTCCTTTGCTCACAACCGCCAACTAAGAAAAACTAAATAACCCTCAGAAGTCAACATAGATAGACAAGAAGATGATGGGCTCTTCTTCACCAACATCAGCATCGGCATCAGCATCATCATCAGCTGCTCCCTCTGGAGTGTTTGTGAGTATGAGACAAGTGAGACTAATACTGGCCCTGGTAGCACTAGCTTTGGTGTTTCAGCAGTCCAAGACTTCCTTGGCATCCGAAGCCTACTTTTCTCAAGCCATGGATTCTATACATGTACAATCTCAGGAAATTGCAGATGGCACTGCTGCTGCTGTTTCTACTGGATCTAGAAGAGCCACAAAACAAGAGGAAGCGGATGAAGAAAGTAAAGATGCTTCTGGAATCTTGGACTTCCAGTTCAAACCAAATTTGCTAAGTCCAACTCCAAAGACAAACCAACCTTCCATTTCTGCTCATCAGGGCCAAAGATTCAATTTGACTGCTGCAAAACTCAAACATCCAGAACATGAAAATGCAGACATTTCAGAGAATGGTGAAGAAACTACTCCAACAAAATCCACTGCAGCTTCAGAAACTTCAGTGGCATCCACAGCCATAGAGAAAGCATCCAAACCATCAGGTTGTTACCCCATCATTCAGAGAATGCATGAGTGGAATGATTGTTGGAGGCAGCATGCCATGAGAATACAGCATAATGAGAACGCACCCATTGAAAAGATGATGTGTGCTATACATGACCGCGACAACAATATTGCAAAAGAAACCATTGGAGCTCCCCTTTACCACATCGCATTATACAAGGGACAAGGATTTGGGAGGCTCATACAACACACTGTGGAAGCATGTGCTGTGGCCTTTCTACTCAAGAGACCCTGTCTCATCAACATGTCACCCAGAGATCCACACTTCACATGGAGATCATTCATTCAACAAAACACATACAACTGGGATACATCACTCCTACACAACACTTTTCCAAAAATCAGAGATCAGCTCGAGCAATTGGCACAACTATTGCCACACACTGGAGCTGGAAGTTGGGGATCAGAACAAGTCGTGTGGAATTTTACACATCATGGCGATTCACTTGCTTTTGATTCCCCCGTTTTGCCCATGCAACACAAAGTGAATAGAGTCAACTACACCATGGACATGCAATACTACACCGTTCCATCTCAACGACAAGTTCTACTCTCGCCCAACTGGGCCGATGCGTGGTTTACACGTGTTCCCATGAAAACATTGTATGAAAAACAATACCACTGCAACTTTGAGACGCTCAAAACGCTCCTTCAAAATGCCATGTATGGGCCCACCGATTTGGCGCTGCAACTGCATCAAAGCAAATTCGACGGGGCGCTCGACAGTGGCAAGTGGGAACGGAGTAGCAAAGAAGCAACGACCGAGCTCAAACAGAGTTTCCTTGTGCCTCATACACTGGTCGCTGACGATGCTAGCCAGAATCTCCGCAAGAACTTTGGCAGTGTTCATGTTCGCGTCCATTTCCTCAATGAAAAACGAAAAACGCCCATTGACAAGGGAGAAATCGTCACCATGATTCGACGATGTCTCTTGAAGACCAAGCAAATGATTGACAAAAACAAAAAATCAAAAACGCTGTCGCTCCCCGATAATTGGTGGCTCTTGGCGGATGACCCCAACATAGCAGTGGAAACAATGGGGGGAATGGGACGACGACAACGATCACAAGAAAAGAAGGAATTTACCAACAATCCACTTTTCAATCAATCCATACCACTCGTCAAATGGTATCACAATTACACCTTTACGGAAGACTATGCTGCTCAAAAAGCAGGCGAATCCGTACCCCCCAAACGTTTCAAGGAATTCTCCTCGAAACACAGCATGAGCCCGGCCGCACGAGGATTGTTTGGCCATGCCAACATGGCCGGAGCCATTCAGGATTGGATGGCATTGGCGGAAAGTCAAATTGCCATCGTCGTCTCTGCTGGGTCGTTTGGGGCCACGGGGGCGCGAGGAAATGGAAAAGTTCCACGAGCCTACTGCGGTGGACCTGAATCCACAAAAGGAGGCATGGAAAGGAATCACTTTCAAATATTTTATTGATTGGATTGAATCATTCAAAAAATTGTAGAGTGGCTGAACACACGCGGACTCTTGCTTGGCGTCAACTTTTTCTTGACCGTAGTTCGAATGCCACCTGTAGACAAGAGCGCATAGTCCAGTCGCAGCTTCTGCTTTCCCGAATCGATACTAATCTACACAAAGAAACAGCGTCCTTCTACTAATTAAGAACTTCTCATTGAATGGAGGCTAGAGTTCCCAAGGGACCTCTGTTTGCGTCATGCAGTTCACCTGGTGCACAAGACGCATTCTCCCATGAAGACACGTATGAGACCAGAACCGCCGTACTAGCCCTATTCGAGCCCCAAGGCAGCGGCCACATTCATGCGCCCTTTTCCAAAGTAGGGATCGTTTCCGTTGTCTCCTAGGTCGTCCGCAGAGTTCTGAATGATGGCTTTGACTCGTCTTGGATTTTGTCCAACATCTTCAACAATCAGAGCCGCCATGGCTGCAACATGAGGGGAGGCCATGCTAGTTCCCAAGAGACCGAGCATAAACCATCCGGAACGACACCCGCTGATAACCAAGCTTGTCTGGGAACAAAGGGCCCACACTCGTTCGTCAAGTCCCAAACCTCCACCGGGCGCAGCAACTTCGATTGCAGAGTTGCCAAAGTTGGTGTAGTAAGCAGGCTCGTCGTTGACGCTCGTGGCAGAGACGCACATGGATTCCTTCAGATGGCTTTGGGTTACGAGATACCGATAACGATACATGTACGTACGCGGCATATAGATTGTCTAACCAAACGAACGATCTCGATCTCTCAAGGTCCACGCGACCCGCCAAGTCTGGATTGTCGTATGCACCACTGTAGCACTGTAGTGCACGTACTGTACCGGTACATTTAAAAAATGCAAAGCTGCTCAGGTGCAGAGGTTCGGTCCCTTCAACCTTCAACCTTGCTCGATGATGGGCAGGGAAGCTGATGTCAATCTAGCTATGACATAGGTGTACCGTTAGCGTAGCTTGCTACCAGCTAGCTATGCATAGGGCCGCAGTTCTGTTCTGACAAAAGAGACCAACTCGCCGAAGGAGGCCTTGACACTACATGTATGCATACATTGTAACGATACCGGATGGTGAGCCCCAGAGCTGTACCTGAATGGACGAAGGATGCCAACTCCAGAAGTAGTGTATTGCTTTTGGCTGCTGACTCGGGCCACATATGCATAATATGTACAAACAGTACAGCAATAAGTTTGGCTGGCGTTGCTTTTGCCCCTAGCTAGCTTCTGTACAGGAGGCAGTGGCCCCGGCACTTTGAAGCTCAATGAATGGTTGCTTTGTGCTGGGCTTCAGACAAGGCAGCCACCCTGGTACAGTACCGTGTGTCGTACTAGAGTAGTAGCTTGAAACAAACAATTGAGTCGAGTCAGTCCTTTTTCTCGTAGCTACTAGTAGCCCGAATGGTAAACTCGCTGGTTAGTAGACTACAGAACACAGCCAGGTGCGTCTTTGATGAGCGCACATTGGCTCGTTGAATGGTGACTGACGTGTTGGTCCGATCTTTTCTTCAACTGCCAATGACGAATTGCTAGTGTCCACAAAAAGATTGCGCTGCAGCAATTTTAAAACCTTGCAAAAATAAATAATCTATCTACATATACTACCGGTACCTGTTTGAGCAGGAAACATTGAATCATTCAACCCAATAAGAACATGCCCGGTATCTTTCATGTACCATTTCCCTCCTTAATCTTGGCGGGATGTCTGTGCCTCTTTTTCTTCAGCCATGAGGTGAACGGCTTGTCGTCTTCTTCCTCTTGGTTGTCCATGACGACTGCTACCGGTAAAGCAAGTACTATAAGTACTAGTAGTACAAATGGACGAGTGGCAGTAGTGACAGGGTCCAGTCGAGGAATTGGCCGTGGGATTGCACTGGAGCTCGGATCAGCGGGGTATACCGTGTACTGTTTGGGTCGCAGCAGCAGCAGTAGTGGATCGAAACCAGTGCCAGGCCAACGACCGGTTGCAGCAGGACTGGATGTGACAGTGGAATCAGCCGCGCAAGAAGTGACTCAACGAGGTGGCATTGGACATGCCGTGCCTTGTGACTTGAGTCGAGATGGAGTCATGGAAGATTTTCTAGAAGAGCTTCAAAAAACGGAAGGACGATTGGATCTGCTGGTTTGTTCGGCATATTCCACACCCACGGCAGCTCAGTCACTTCGAGGAGAATTCTGGAAACAAGGAATGGACATGTGGGATGCCGTCAATGGATTGGGACTCAGACAAGTATATGCCGCTTGTCGGGCTGCAGCGCCTTTGCTGATTGATACCGCAAATAATCAAACCAATGCTTCATCAGACTCAGATGCGCCTCCTCCACTCATTTGCTTGGTCAGTTCCTTTGGCGGAAAATCATACACGTTCAATGTCGCGTATGGAATTGGAAAAGCTGCCATTGATCGCATGGCCACTGATATGTCCTATCAATTAGCCAAGTACGGAGTCGCAACCACATCGTTGTATCCTGGTCTCGTCAAGACCGAAGCCAATCTACAAATGCAGGTGGATGGAACCTGGGATGAAGCCAGTGGTAATCTCGATTTGAGTCAGGGAGAATCACCCGAATTTTCGGGACGGGCACTCGCACAATTGGCCAGCTTGCCCAAAGATCAAATGATGGAACGATCGGGACAAGTAGAGGTTGTGGCCGAACTGGCCAAGGAATTTGGATTCACCGATGTGGATGGTACTCAGCTACCATCCATTCGCAGTTTGCGCTATCTGTTGCCCAATTTTGTATTTCCACAAATAGAAAAAGAAGCGGGGAAACCGGTGCCAGATTGGTTGAAGAACAATGTTCCCGATATCTTGTTGCCATGGTCGACCTTCTCGTCGGGACCTCCACCGGAAATGGATACGCGATAACAAGATTATACCGGTAGCGACATTTGTGTACTGTGAGTTGTGAGTTGTGCTTGGACATGATGTTATTGAGAATCGAATCTGGTGGCTGGAACTATGTACCAGGTACGCAATCCAAAAGTACTGTACCCATTCGACAAATAATCCTGCCAAGTTATAGCGACAATCTGCAATCGTCGTCGAGCATGTTAGCTACCGGTATGATATCGTTGGTGCCGCTGATGAATGTCGTGCCATCGCAGCGGTCACGCACGTAACCATTCATTTCAACCCCACTCTTTCCTTTAGCCTCCTGATAAGCCCACCTCCTTTCACAGATTCCTCCCTTGGATCCGTTTTCTAAAGAGCTGTCTTTGGGGAGTTGGGAACTGCACCTATCCACTCGAGAACCTTCTCGGCTTTGAAAACCCCTCACACTGAAATCGGTTTCCCAGCTCGCGGGCTTAATTTCGCAGAATCGACGAATCCATTTTGACCACTGACCATCTGACCATTGCCCGCTCTGCGTGCCTCCCTAAAACTTGAAGTTCCTTTTTGGGTACCGGTGTACCGGTACCAGGTACACCTTGGAGCTATTAATACCGTACCGGTCTGTTCAGCGTGCTCACTGTAGAAGTCTAAGTAGGAATATGTAGTCTTTGTCCTTTGGATTTGCCAACTTTACTTGTGACTTTTGAGGAATAACATCATGAACCCCCCCTTCCCGTACTTTCCGTGGACATAAAGATCCAGGTAGAATATAGAATACTTTTACGGTAGTTGAGTACGAAGTATCGTAGTCAAAATAGATAGGGACCAGGGCCAGAGACCAGAGTTCCGCAGCCTTCTTCGCTTTCTTTTTTTGTTTTTGGCAACTGGCCGTGAAGCCGTGAACACTGGAGGGAGTCCTCACATCAGGTCTTCCCTCGCTACGGTGGCTTGTAGCTCGAGCTCCCCTCCTCCCTAACAGAGCCCACTTGCCATCCACCACAGCAGCTGTAGCCCCCGATCCTCAGTGTACAAGTAAGTGTACAAGTACAGTAGGTCTAACATCCATGTATGTGTTCTTCTGATGATAATGAGATGAAGCAAGGTCCAGGGATCGCTAGTGATGATGTTTGTGGCCGTGTCCGGACCTCAGAAGACCAAGAGGACGATGGTCTGTCTTCTACCCCTGCCATCGACAGTGTAGGTGGTGGTGCATGTACCGGTAATAGTATGGCTTCAGGAGCACGAGACGATGACAGTGACAGACTTGAGGACCACTCAGACTGTGAAATCCTCAAGGCAATTGAAAAACATTACCAGGATTTGGCCTCACCTTCAGATCCATATCCATATCCTGAACCTCAGCCTGATCTTACCAGTGCCAATCCTACTGAGAGCAGCAGGTCCAAGGCGTCCGAGCCAAAACTAAAGGCAAATGATCTTCCTGACCATTATCGAGCTCTCAAGGGACAGGGACTACAAGCAAGTGCTCAAGCTGATACCGGTAGCTTCACCGGTAGCATCAAGTCTCCATCCGAGCAAGAACCAAGAGCTGCCCTCACCAAGGGACCGGCAAGCACATATCAAGAGCAAGGAAAGGCAACCAGCGTTCCCGTCAGAAATGGTTCTGATGGACACGCTACCGGTATTGCTAACGGCAACACTTCTGTGCTTCCTGATCAAAGGAGTTTGGGGCAACCTGCCATCTCTACGGCTACTACCGTGTCATTGCCAGGTGCTTATGCAGTGGCTCCACCATCTGCAGACACTGTTACAACGGATTCCTCGGATGATGAAGCAGGGAATCTTCACCAAGAGGAAAACCAGTTGGATCTACTAGAGTCTGGGTTGCCCGTTACATCCAATGGACGCACTGAACCAGAACCAGCAACAATCGACCAAGCAGGTCTCGTGGTGGCACACATGGTTCATGTGGACGACGAGAACCAGAGGATCCAAAGCCTGCCACGAGCTACCCTCGAAGAACGGACGGTGGCAGCATCCAACGACTCGCCAGACGGACAGAAAGAGAATCGACAATTCTGCATACATCATTCCCGACGATGCGTGGCAAGTATCACCATCTTCACCCTGATCTTTATTGGGATTGTCCTTATAGCCGTGCTCGTTGTAAAGAACGATGATGACAAGTCCAAATCCAAATCCTACCGTGATACGAATGCCAATGCCACTATCATGACAACGAAAGAATTCATCATGAGTATCCTGCCTAACTACACTCGTCACGAAGTACTAATGGCAGCAGAAACACCACTCTCTGATGACGACGTTTTCAACATGGCGACACCGCAAGCCAAAGCTCTCGATTGGATCCTCCAAGATCCCTTTTTGAACACATATCTGCCAAATCGCAATCATGATTCAGCCACAATATCCTCGAATCAATACCATCAGCGATTCTTCCAACGGTTCGCCTTGGCTACGATCTACCATGCAACAAATGGTCCCAACTGGCAAAATAATCAAAGCTGGCTTTCCTATGACGTTCATGAATGTCATTGGTTCGCCAAGAATTCGTTTGCCTTTGATCAACCACCAGACAATCAAATGACATACATGAAAGACTACCATGAATTGATTCATCGAAATCCATGCGAGTTGCCGTACCAGGAGTCAAACGCCACGACCGCCCAAGGCAATCGTAACCCGTACAAGCATTTGTGGTTGCACACGAACGAGCTCGATGGGACGCTGCCGTTGGAACTCTACTGGCTGACATCCTTACGGAGCCTCAGTCTGTATTCCAATGACAAGTTGCACGGATCCCTGTCATCTCACATTGGCCAGCTCTCGAATCTAGAAGCCATCGCCATTGCCTACAATAGCATGACGGGAAGCCTTCCCACAGCCCTCGGGGCATTGACCAAACTACATTTCTTGGCGGCGTTACATAATCAATTCACTGGCATAGTACCAAGTGAACTCGGGTTGCTGCATCGAACCTTGCAGTCCGTGTTCGTGGATGGAAGTAGTCTGACGGGGACCATCCCTGACGAGCTCTACGATTTGACCCTTCTCAAAACCATGTATTTGTCGAACAACCAACTCGCGGGAACTATCTCAGCTCGGATTGGACAACTCACCAACATGTGGGACTTTCAACTTCAAGGAAACCGACTCAAAGGGACGGTACGTTTGAAGCAAATGTGCAAGCAAGGACTAGCGACAGTGCTTTGGTTTACTAACTCTCTGTTGATCCTTTGCGCGATTACAGATACCCTCTCAAGCGGGACAACTTCAGTCATTGAAGCGCCTCATGTTGTACGAGAATGATCTCACCGGGACACTCTGCACCTAACTTGGCATGCTTTCTGAACGGTTCTTGGTTCTCGACGTTCACGACAATCTTCTGACTGGTCCTCTTCCTTCCGAACTTGGACTGTTGCGGGGTCCCACCCTTCAGTTTCACCTTCAAGATAACAAGCTTTCAGGGACCATTCACGAAGAGATCACCAGCAACCTCTTTGGCCAAATGATAACTTGGAACAGTTCGGGAAACACGGAACTGTCGTACCCCGGCAAGCACGAAGATTCCAACGATAGTGACGAACACCAGCTCCCTCTGGACTCGTGTTGGGTCAATTCAACATTTTTTGCAGGTGGACTGTCCCCTCATCGTGTACACACACTTGTCTATTTCATGCTGGCATTGCAGTTGCGCCTGTCCTCTTGGTGCGAACGCAACGACAATGCCATGAACGCACGAGTCGAGTCTATTTACATTCATGCAGCTTCTTGGCACGGCAATGAGAGGAATCAAGGTCGTCACAACTACGACATTGCAGAATGGCGCGCACAATGCACACAGCCGCACACAACCCTTGAATCTCCACTTTGCCAAACACGAAAGTACAGTGTACGCCCAAGAAGACGGCGACTACCCAGTTTGATCCGTGGCGATTGGGAGCAGCGTACAGGTATGCATAGACCTGAACTCAAACAAGATGGCCGCGCAGTGTGCTTGTGCACGATACTACAGCTATCATATATATGCATACCGGTATGGTGACAGACTTCGTGGATGAACCCGTTAGTTATTTTTGATTTAAAGATACTACTGGCGAGTTCATCTAATGTTTTTTGTTCCTTTCCTCGTTCACATTGTGTTGGTCTTTGTCTTTTGTTTCTGTTTCTCATTTGAGTGTATATTCCAGTTTGCCTTGATTTGTATGTTGTTCTTTCTGTGGATGGTGCTTCTCAAATAGGAGTATCAACAGCACCGATTCAATTCTTCCAACACACTTACTCCTGCGGAGGAGCGTTCAAACGGCGAGTGCAGGAAGAGCAAAAGGAGCATTCAGCGTCACAAGCAGTGTCGCACTTATCAGAAGCGCAGACGACCTCCGTCGAGACAGAGACGCAGTTAGAGGACACGGAGCACGTGGTCGTGATGGAATCATTGCCACTGCCTTCCGCACAGGACGCAGAGGCAGAGCAGGACCAGCAATTGGCACCATTGGCAACTTTGACCGTGTAGGTGCCAAAGTTGGACAATCCCTGACCGCTAATGGGGCACTGGGCGCTGCCGATGACGGGAGTGGGCATGCAAACACCATCCGAAGTGAATCCCACAGAAAGATTGTCGCAGTTTTGCTGTCCAGAGCAGGTAACCTTGTTCCTTCCTTGGGTATCTCCACAGAAATAAGATTGGTCCTCGATGATCGCCTTCACCTCCGACTTGGTAATAGAGGTGCCGACATCATCGACAACGCAGTCGAGAGACTGACCACACTTGTAGCACGCCATGTTGAGTTCGACGAAGCCATCGCAAGTTCCTTGGGGGGCGAATCCACAAGCTTCACTGGAAGCCAGTTCGGGGTCGTAGACATACTCGTCGTACATACCCGAGCCGGCATACACTTCAACACAAGCACAAGCGCACCCGGCCTTGACGGAAGGGAGAGCTGCAACAACAATAAGAGCAATGACGGAGACGATTTTGAGCTTCATGGTGAACGTAATGGGGTTGGTTGACTGGAACCAAAGCAGAGAAGGAGAAAACGTGAGTGGTCATGGTGTGCAGTTGGAACACGACAAATCCCATCATCGGGTTCGCTCATCATTGTGCTGATAATCACCTTTGAAAAAGAAGAGATGCTTTTGCTTCTGTTTTTGCTTTCAGCTTTTGCGTCAAGGCGATTTGTGAGACTGATCAGCTTGTTCCATTTTGATGCAGCAATCCTTCTCCAAAACTTGGATCTTTTGCTCGGTGCATCTCGGCGAAGAGATTGAGGATCCAAGCATCATGCTGGGACCCATTCCGCCGTCATTGGTTGGCCTATTCCTCCGATAGCCTGCTCTTGAGTATCGAGAAGGCGCCTTGTAGGCTTATTATCGCTCTATAACCCAAAGCTGGTTGCTGGGCGACTCAGAGCTCGTGCGTATCGAATGGCTGTGCCTTTACCTGACAGAAACACCAGCTCAGTATGTAGTCTCTCTACCTAGCTAGAGGTCGACTTCTGCTTGAGTCGAAGCTATGTGCTCTTCCGGTATCATAGCATTCTCTTTCGTTCATATTGGCCTATCACTGAAAAATCCAACTTACTGAGTCGCTTGTAGCTCTTGTGTTGTTGCTTGCATTGGCTCAACAAAGCGGATGCGGAATTCTCGCTCGAGGAACAGCTACTAGCTAGTATTTAACCAGTTTAGTATTGGCGTCCATTTTTGCTCTAGCTAGCTAGAGCTACTGGTACAGGTAGGGTCGATCGGCGGGGGCATAAAAAGGGAAATACTGGTACTAGTACTCCGCAACGATTCGATTCAGATGCAGAACACTAAATCCTACGGAACTTGGAACTGTTTGAGGAATCTCTTCTTAAAAATCTGTGTGTTGCGGTTGTTATGTTCAAGGCTCTTCTCCAAACTGTCCAGTGTCCAGAGCAAGAGTTGTCAACTTGTCATCATTTATTTACTGAAAGTGCGACGAAACAATGTTTATCGTCCTGTGCTGCTTTTGTACCACTATTGTAAAAGGATTCGATTTCTTGACGGAAAGAAATATTACTGCCTATGTAAGAGCGACTCAGTGCTTATGTCACTCGTACGTGTACTACCGGTACTCAGAACTCAGTATTAATCAGTACTGAGTAATTATTTGCACTGCTGAATAAAAGCGACCGGTACCGGTACCGGTACTGTACCGGTACACTGTAGCAGGCGATGACTGCTACGCTAGCTACATGTAGCACTGTTGTGCTGAGCAGCTGAAGCAATGCGAGCTACTCTAGATCTACACTGTACGGATTTTCTTGTAGACAACCGGAACATGTACCGGTATGGGAAGCAGGCGCAACGCCACGCATTGGAGCCTTGGACTGGACTATGGATGGAATGGAACAAGAGCCTTCAAATTGGACGTTCCTCGTACTCGTCCTCTGGAGTTTTGAGGCTGCCGGTATGCATCGGTGAACGGAAGTAAGGGTTTTCCCGCTTTCAACGAAATTTTTGAGCCTGTAATTGTATGCTGGTACTAGTACTCTTGAGTATATGTATACACTACTACTTGTACCAAGCAAAGACACCGTCTCCGACTCGACTCAACTTCCAATTCTGGCTTTGCTGAGAAGCCCAAGTTGAACTCACACATACGGTACATGTATAGCTCTTGGAATGATTCTCAAGCTTTCTCGACACCATCCTCTAGTAGAGTTCGACTGTACCGGCAACTCGAGAATCCTTGAACTTTGAAGTTGCATCGATCCCGTTGAGCCACGTATGCATAGCTGCGACGTTTAGCTATGAAGCTCGCACATGCGCTTTGATAGCTCTATCAAGTGCAGCAATGAGAGAGTGTGCTTGACATCTTTTGACAGACTCGACTCGACTCGACTCGACCCAAGCTTCTATGACAGAGTTCTAGTTGCCTAGTCGAGTGCATATGGCGACGATACCGGTACCCACTGCGTATTGTGTGGTTTGCTACTGCACTGCGAAGCCTCCATCGGTTCTGACTTGGCTGGATGAAACACTTTCGAGCCGGTTCACCAGCCTGGAGAACTGCAGCTCAGAAACAGGACGGCGATACCAATGCTGCTTGGCCGCGAGATGGCTGGCGAGCGATCAATGATGCGAAGTCTTCTCGTTGCTTGGGTATGGTACGTGCATGGACTTTCGGATATATGCTTCAAACGTGGCAGCCTGACCCAGAGGACCGCTCAATACACATGGTATACGGAGTTCGACGGCATAAGCTACGTATTTGATGGTTCCACCTTCTGACTCCTTCAGCCGCTATTTGCATCGGTAAGGGAATGCATGCCTGCCGGTTCGAGTCGAGTCGCGTCGCGTCGACTCGAGCGAGTGACAGTCGATTCGATTGCGGGGCTTGAGTGATGTGTGATAGCATCCAGTAAAGATCCTGCCCTGCAATCAAAGCGTCATTGGGCACCCGTATATGAAGGCCATCGTTTTGGTTGAAGGGTTTATTGGCCATCACTGGCAGCAGAGCGATCGACGACGGAGCAGTTTGGCGGTCATCGGCTGGTCCTCGCGTCCACGGCAGGTAAGGATGTTCGATCAGGCATGTCGAGGTCGAAAAAGGATGGAATCGAATCAAGATATTCCTCTGGAACCGTGGGATGGCCATGTGGTGGCAAAATGGCTCTGGATAAAGGCAGGTTTGGCATATGGGTGTGCGCACTTCCAAGCTAGCTGGACTTGAAAGGACGTACGATTTCGAAAACAATCGTTTCACGTTACTTGCACTCTACTACTCACTACATACGGTACATCTTTAGAAAGAAAGAGACGAGCTGCGTGCGCTCCCGCTGTTTGCATATTCGGGAGGACTTGGCAAGGCAATCTCTGACTTTTTCCGAAAGGCACTTCGAAATATTCACTCACAAGGATCTTGTCATCATAGAATACTATTAATAGTACCAGTTTTCAACGTCTTCCAACCCACTTATACCAAACTGTATTTCAATTTTCAAGTGCACTTCATTGTTTCTTCATGCACATTGTTTGTTTGTGCTTTTTAGTCAATAAACTCGTATTGCTGCTTCAATTGCGTATCCGGCATTAATCCCTGAACCAATTTGGTGGATTGTGTTGGCACTGGATTTGGTTGTGGCTGTTTGGTTGGTTCCATGTATGGTTTGTCGGCAGTCCCGGGAGGTCCTTGCCAAGGATCTTGCCACCCTGGAATCCTTTTGACTGGTTGTGGCTGCTGCTGCTGCTGCTGCTGAGTCACTGGCTGCGCACTGTCTGTAGCGGTAGGTGGAGCGGGATTACTATTGGGATTTCCCGGTGGTAACTGTCGGTCGGTAGGATTTGTGGGTTTGTGGGTTGCTTGTTTTGCTGCTTGGGTGAATTAAACTTTGTATTGGTCTCTAGCAGTGCCCATTCATCTGCCATTCGTTCAAAGGAATCATCTGCCTTCATCCATCGCCCAGTCCGAGTACCGGTAAGTGATGGGATGCATGCAATTCCAACAGGCGAGGCTGGTACCAGTACCGGTATCTGTAGCAATCTTGGCTGAAAGGAAGCTCCCAGCCATGGACTCCATAAGAGCAGAAAGGATAGTCGACAAAGAGACATAGTATGCTGGGATGGTATTATTAATGCGGCTGAGGTCTAGCTAGTAGAGTAACTCATCCATCCATAGCATGGTATCCAACAAGCAACAACCTGGAGTCTGTCTGCGGATCTTCTTATTGACAGCCTTTTGGGAACCACAACAAAAGATCTAACTGAGAAAGGGATAGAGATATCAGTTTTGGCCAATTTGAGACGCTCCTGAATGTCTATAATTACTTCTGACGTCAGAGTCCTGGGGTTTCTGTTTCTGATTTAACTGACATGGGAAACCCGTGACTGAGGAACTCCTACCAAACAGTGCACGCGTACTGGCTAGTAAGATGTACCGGGCTCGATCCGCGATACCAGACGCCACAATTTCGCATCACAAACCTCTCATAAACCATCAGCCAAGCTCCCTCCCTCCCTCCCTCTTCCGTCGATCTGCTGAGTATTTTATTCCAGATCAATTGAGATGACGATGATGACGATGATGAAGAAGAAGTTGAAGCAGAAGGGCATAGTGATAGTGGCTGGCCTGGTGATAGCGTTGGGGAAGATCTTTTTGGAGGGACCTTTCATCAAAGCCTCTCTGATCAATCTATTGGCCATTAACACGGGTACCGGTATTGCAGATGAATTACCTGAAGAGCTCCTACATACACATATAGATGTACCGGTACCATCAGAGTCTGTGCCAGTTACTACCACTACCGGTACTGCTATGTATACATCTACCGGTACACCAAACACTACTTCAGTGGATACAAATGAGATGAGACTGCTGGAGGCTCCATCTTCCGTTATTCCAGAAGAAGTACCTGAAGTACCTGAAGCACCTGAAGAGCATATACCATCAGATGCAGAGTCTGTGCAAGTTCCCAGCACTACTACTAGTATGCATACCGCTATGCATAGTTCAATAGACAGAGATGAGTTGAAACTGTTGGAAGTGCCATTTTACATCTACGAGGAATTGCTGTTGACGAATGCTACCGTTGGCAAACACAATGAGAAGCAGAAGCAGTATACCCTTGAGCGTTGGATGGAGGAGAGAGAAGTGAAGCACACAGACGACTACTGGTGGGTTCAAGCAGCGCTGAAGCACCGGATGCGCACACTCGACCCAGCCAAAGCCAAGCTTTTCTTGGTTCCAACCTTGGTGAATGAAATTTACGATCAGGCCATTTGGGTCAAGTTGGGTCTATGCGATCACGACGACAGGTGCAATTTGAAACTGCTACAACACGCCAATGACGTATTGGGCAAGTCTCCGTGGTTCCAACGATCCAAGGGCAGAGATCACATTGTCGTAGCCAGTCACTACATGACCTACAACAGTGCCAGGGGCTTCAAACACATTGCCCATTGCAACGTTATTGGACTCGAAAAGTACCGATGGAACCATCCGGATCGATTGTTCTTGCCCAACACGTACGTGGGAACTGCCTGTACCGACGGACAATCCAACAAAACACACGATTTCACAATGATTGCCACCATCAAACCACACTTTAAGGATCGACAATACATCTGCAAGGCACTCCAAAAGAAGAAGAAGAAGAAACGAAACGCTATTGAATTGTCCGTATCCACGTGTGGAAAAGGCAACCAATGTCCCGCACTGGCACAAGCCAAAATGGGATTCCACGTCAAGGGAGACTCCTACGGCAGCAATAGACTCATTGACACCATTCTATCCGGAACGGTCCCCATCTTTACATCGCAACAACAGTACCACATACTACCAACGTGGATTGATTGGGAGGCACTCTCCTTCTTTGCCGATCCCAACCAGCACCGACAACACACTTTTCTACAAAGATTACAACAATTTGCTACAAACACCAAAAGGTACGAACAAAAACGAAAATTCGTCAATGACAATCGAGCATTACTGGATTGGAGAAACACACCATCCATCCCTTTTGAACACTACATGTACGCCTTTGCACGTTCCATAATGCCCGAACTGCAACCACAAAAACAGGCACCGCCCCAATTTTCCGCGCTCTGGCTCGAGGCAGTCGAAGACTTGCGACCCATTCGACGGCCCACGGTATTTTGTGACCAGTCCGAAATCCACTCGTGTCGATCGTGTGGTGGTTCCCAGAAAACTTGTCACGGACAATGTCAATGGTGTGCCAAGGGGGTGGTGGGGGAACCATCGACCGAGGGAACGTGTGCCAACTTTTACGAAGAGACGTGTGCCTGATTGATTGATGCACGAAATTTTGTACATGTATGTGTACTGTAGACTAACAAAAAAGGAAGCTTTTGCCAGCTATAGGAAACTGCTCTCTTTGAAATGTGTACTGGTAACTTTATATAGCAGTTGACGCTACTGGTAGCCAGCTAGCTCTACAACGCCGTGATCTATGCAGTCGGCTCCCGTTGCTTCTTCCTCGGTTTGATTTGGCATGTATGTAGTCAAATTGGATCTCCTCATGCCCCACGAGTCTCTACTTAGTTGGTTCTTGGTCGGGCTCATGGTCAGTCGGTGGTTCCCTGCTTGAGCTATGAATCATGGTCGGTAGCCAGCTAGCTCTACAACGTCGGCCCTCAAAGTTGCCAAAAATTGCAGCCAATTGATGGTTGACTGCCGCTTCTCCTCTATGAATGCACGATACTCACGTCGCTGTTGCAAAAACCCAGTGAAAATTCGAATCATTTGTTCCAGGAGGACAGTGGCCTCTGTTGTTGCAGCCGCGACGTCATTACCTTGGCTGCATTGCAGAGCCATGACTCGTGCCAACTCAAGTTTGGATCGCTCTAGAGTATCAAGGACGCTCTCGTAATAGGCAATCATTGGATCGAACTTTGCCTGGATGCTCCTACATCGAGCCATCTTCTGATCGGATGACGCGTTTCTTATGTAGTCATCACCACCGAATGCAGCAGTCTCAGCGATTCCTTCATCTTGGAGGGGTTCGTAGAGGTTTTCCCAAGCGTCTTCCGAAAGACGAACAATAGCGTCTTCGGTAAGGACGACTTCATTCTCTACGGTCACGAGATGCAAATACTGTTCGTCTTCGTAGACGTCAACGAGTCCGACAGTGCTGTCACGTTTGTGTTTGACTTGTTGGTGAAAGATGATTTCTCGTTTGAAAATCTCAATTTCGGGTGCGTTCTTCTTCTCGACGGATTTGAGAGAGCACAATTTTCCCGTTTCACGATGCTTGCATTTTCGGACAGTGCCGGAGAGACCTAGAAGGTTTACCGCTGGTTCTTTGTCGTCAATGAGGTAGCTGGCGTATATGACAATACATGTATAACAAAGCAAGAAAAGAATGGTAAGAAAATAATAAATATCAAAGAAATTATGGACCATTTTCTAGACTAGACTATCTGCCGCCAATCAATCAATCTGTGCATACATGTACTCACTTGACGCTGACATCCATACGAGACGCGGTGACCATGGGACGGGGTCCATTGCGAATTGCAAGTGCGCCATTGTCTACACCTCCAGCATCCCCCATTGCGGTTGTTTGCTGTGGTTGGGGTTCTCGATTTGGCCGAAAGATCAATTGTGAGCTTTGGATATTTTTTGCGTCGAAGCAGAGAAGGCGAACTGCTGTTGACGTCACTAATGTGACTCGACTCAGCCTGGGTGGTTGCCAAGAACCCTTCCGAAGGGCACGGAAGGAAGGGCATGGAATTGATCCGGACAATGGCGCATGGCGACAGTCCACTCGGCTAGCTAGTTACGAAGTACAGTACATGTACTAGTACCACTAGTAGCTATAGCAGCACTAGCTAGCTAGCTACTGGAGTAGTAGCCAGCTAAACAGTACCGGTACCGTACGACGGTACCGGTAAAAGGAAAGGCGATGTGACGAGAAAAGAAAAAATGGACACCAGCCACACGAAGGTTTTGTTCAATACTTTTAGCTTTACTCTACTAGTATCATACCAGTAACTGCAATGTATCAAGCTAACACCACCACCTCCTCCGTCTATGCAGCGGCTACTCCTTTGAAGCAAGACGGCTCCACCATGATCACGACAGGAAAGGCTGCTATTGTTTGATATGGCTGACGGAAACAGCAAGGTGGATCACGAGATGATGCACGGAAAATGGCCACGACAATCACTTGGACTCTTCACGTGCGCGAGATGCGGCAAACTTTTCCTTCCCTTTGGCCATCTTCGCACCGAGATCCTCCTTCTCGGCCTTCGCGTCTGAGTCGTCCTCACCGAGACGACGAGCGAGCGATGCATCTTCCAAATCTTGGTTGGGTGCGCCGAGACACCGAGGGAGACTAGGTCCAAAACACGCCTCATAGGTGGCGAGGATGGAATCGGCAATCGCCTCACCTTCTTCTGCCACTTTGATCATTCCGTCGGCTGAGGGGACGATCGAAAGAGAAAGACAGTTGTTAAAAGAGAGAGACAACGATCAATGACCAATGACAAAAGATGTACTTACCATCAAGGTCCTTGTGGGTATTTATTAGAAGTTCCACATAATCTGATCTCGTTGGACATGGGCAAGAAAAGCAGTATGAGACAAAGACCAACAAAGACCAACAAAGCCAAGCCAAGCCAAGCAATACACTTGCCATCAAAATCCTTTTGGGTGACCACTTTCCCTTCTTCTCCGCCACCACGAATATCCACCGAAAGAAAGTGTGGCAAGTGCTGCTTCAGCGTCCCCCATGTTGTTCTCGATCTCTCACAACGTTGTGTTGGAAGCAGGAAACCTTACTATTAATACATGTAATACGCTAAAATCGTTTGGACCCTCACGGATGGAGGGAAAGGACGTACTATTGTAGCAATTCCGCCAAGATTTGAATCTTCAAATTGTTCGAATTTTCAAACTGTTGGCGCGCTGAAATTGAATTCATAATGACGTCACTCATTTGATTCGACTCGACTCGACTCGAGACTCCATTGACCACTCGACTCGACTCAATTACTCCTTTGACTCGTGTCATGACTGCGCGAGTGACTCGGTCACACTTGAACGAAGAACGTGTTTCAGCCGTCACCAGTCACGTGCTTCGTTCGATTGGCTCAATGGGCATGCGGTGTGCAACTTTTTGGTAACTTGGAAAGTTGGAAGCAGACGCATTGGCTGGCCGCAGAGACACAAGTAAGTATAGGCTACATGTATACATTATAGAAATCCAACACAACTTTCATCTCAGGACAAAGAAGCAAGAAGCAACGATGAGTGATAAGATTACCAAGTTTCAAGAGCTCTTGGAGCAATCTATCAGGGACATTGCAGCCAAGACGAATCCAGAGACTCGCTGTCTCATTCTTTCGGGTGGAGTTGATACCTGTGCCATCCTATGCGCTTCGCACAAGCTGAAGGTTACCTATGCAGCTGCCATTACCGTAGTAGTCGAACAACCAACCAATCCTACATGTACTGATGTTGGTGCCAGTGCCAAGTTTGGTCCAGACCTGTTGTTTGCACAAGCTGCCGCCAAGGAATACAAAGATACCATTCACGACAATCATCACGTGGTCAAGGTGACTCCTCAAGATTTGCTATCCGACTATCTTCCACCCTGCATTGACGCTTTGCAAATTTTTGATGGAATGACATTGCGCAACAGCCTAGTTGTGGCGGCTGCCTTTGCCAAGGCATCTCAGTTGGGCATGGAAAACGCCATTGTGGGAGATGCGGCCGATGAACTCATGGGAGGATACTCCTTCATGTGGGGCAAGGATTCCGATCCACCCGAGCAATCGACAGACAAGCGCAATAAAATGTGTCGACAGTGGACATTTGCCACGCAAACACTGGCACAAATGCACAATCTGACATCTCATGCACCCTACATGGATTCCACCCTGGTGGAATGGGTGTTGGAACGCATCGACCGATCCGACTGTATTGGGACACGGCCCATACGATTGGTATACCAAGGACCCAGTATGGATCACGTTACGGGAAAAATACTCTTGCGAGAAGCCTATGATACCGTGGCTTCTTGGAGACGCAAGGATCCCATCGAAGTCGGATCTGGGATTACCATTATTGGTCACAATGAGTATTGGAAGGACCTCCTTCCCGATGACGAGTTTGAATCGGAACGACTAGATGTGAAGAACCGATTGGGTTTTGTCATCAAAGACAAGGAAGCCTTGATCAATTTCCGAATCTTTCAAAAGCGTTTTGGAGAACAAGGAGAGAACCATCCAACCAAAAAACGACTAGAACGGAACCAAGGATGTGTGAATTGTTCCTTTGAGGTGGGACCAACTGAAAACTTTTGCAGAATCTGCGGGGCCTATCCAGCGCAGAGGAGCGGAAAGCTTCACTAGTTCTAGCTAGTGCTTCTTCGAGGTTTGCCCACTCTTCCTTCAACTTTACCCTGTCATGGCTTTCTTCTCAAAGGAACACATAGATCGATAAATCTAGTCGAATGCCGGTACTGTTTTTATGATTCTGCTCTATTAATTAATGCTACAGGTTCGGTGCAGATGATTGCTGTGCCCACTGTCGCACAAAGTCCATTTGCTCGTCAGTCTCTGGCGAGACGGAGCTCTCCAGACTTCTGCCCGAGTTTTGAAAGAGTTGGTTGGTTGCTTGTAGAGCTTCTTCTGGATCTGTATTGTATCCATGTCGAGCCAGGTAACATCCTACGGTAGTTCCCGTTCTCCCAATGCCTCCACGACAATGCACGTAGACTTTGCGTTTCTCTTGGTCAATAGCCGTATCCATGGCCGTCAAGATATCCTCCATGAGTTGGGGCTTTTGCGGAATTCCAAAATCGGGAATGGCAAATCGAGACACCACCACGTCCAATTTCAATTTGGCAGCTTCTTCTTGCAGCAGATCGGCATATGGCAGTTTTTCTCCTTCTCTCGTGAGATCCACAAAGTAGGTAATGCCACTCTGTAGGTATTGCCGTAGCTTTTGGCGGGTCTTGTCGTCATCGTAGGAACGATCCGTGGGATATTCCCCCGCCAACAAGGATTCCGTGACCCAATACGTGCAATCGTTGGGACGGGGTGGTTGGACTGTCACGGTCTTGAGTTTGCCGTTGCTGCTGTTTTGGTTGGGCATTTTGTTGTTGGAGTTGGGATTCGCAAACGCTAGCGCTCTGGGACAAGACCTTTTGTCGGCATACGCAGTTAACAAGAAGCAGCAGACAATCCAGATGGAAAGGGACGACAACATTGGTACACTGCAAGTTGTTCCGACGGGGTGTTGGATGCCACGGTAGCTAGCATGGACACAGACGAGCGCTCGTGTGGTGGTGATGGGGGGTCAGGTTCGTGGGCTCAGGATCCAAGAAAAGATCCGTCTCTACTTTGAAAAGACCTTGTACAATCTACAATGTATTAGTAGACTAGTACTGGTACTGCATTCGCGTTCCAGGCTCTCGGTAGCGGACGGGACGGTTCGGTGCGCTAGCGGTAGTAGCTCTCCATATCGGTACAGTGATACATGCCTAACAGATGAGATAGAATAGGAGAGCAGATATAAGCTTATAAGCAGAAGGATAGGACCACTTGAATAGGGCCTTCCAACCGAGTGACATATACTAGCAGCAACGATGATCTCTACACACGAACAAGGTTCCACTCGGCAGCTGTCAGGTCTTGATCTGCTCCTTCGGCTAGCTTCAAAGGACTGGAACCGTCTTCTAGGTCAGCCACCACCCGGTCTCCATAGTAGGCGACCTGGAGCTGCACCGTGCACGAAGTAAGGGTGCGGTAGCACAAAGTTGGCTCGAGAATGTACAGGCTCAAAATGTTGGCAGGGGGCGAATGCAAAAAGGCATAGCCTCCATTGGTCCCCAAAAGGGTAGTGTCGGGGCTTGCTAAACTAGCCAAAGCAAAACAAGTTCGTGTTGTATCTTTGGCGGCTCTGTTCGGAAGCGTAGGGCAGTCCTCTGGTAGAAAGGTCCACTGGGTTTAACAATGGATCCATCACCCGCCACCGTCAAGAATCTTCCAGTTCCTGCATTTTGTAGGACAACGGAGGCCGACGCTACTTGGTTCTCAAATGCTTCCAGCTCGGCCTCGGACGTTGGTTTGGTGAATCGAAGCAAGTCGCGACAGGTAAAGTACTGTGCTTGGTTGATGACCCGAAAGATGCGATTTGGATCGATTACCACACTAAAGTCTTCCCTCAAGGTTGTCACTTCGCACGTGTAGGCTTGAGTCTCTTGAAAGTTAAAGGTAGTGGTGGAATCTCTGACGGTGTAACTGCGTCTGTCACTAAAGACGAGTCGAAAGGTAGTACTAAAGCCCAGATTGCTGGAGGAAGAGGCGCCATCGGCAAAGCTATGTACCACTCCAGTGACGTCCGAAGCAGAAAAGCATGGACACGAGGAAGCAGAAGCGGTCTGGACTAGCGCAAACGCAGCGAAGAAAAGTGGATGGAGCTTCATGGTTGCTGTTCTGGTATGATGGGCGAGTGATCTGCGTTGTGTTTTTGTGTGTTTTTGTGTTTGTTGAGATTCCTTTGGGGACAACGCTGTCATCCTGTTTCTGGGAGCGTTCAACAGCTCAATTGAGCTTCAACCCAATGTATGTGTGGCAGTCGAAGTTTGTCGTCCTGCTCGTGCTCCCTTCTCTCCTCCGGTGGCAGCGTTGCACGACTTTCGTTGAAGCCGCCCTTCCATCTACAGGGACCTCACTTTACATCAAGCAGTGCGTTGAGGCTCGACTCGACTCGGGTAGCTACGGGGCTGCTGAGAACTAGCTACTACAGCTGTAGGAGTTAGTCAAGATCCCAACCGCAGCCCCAAATTGTCTGGGGCCGAGACAATCTCTCCGCTTGACCACTCTGGTCTATACATTATGTATGTGTGTTGCTGTATAGTCTAGTTGACCTACATTCCTAGGAGGTCATGTGCGACTACAAGTTACTCGAGGTTGATTGCCATCGCGCTTGGTCAGATTGAAAGAGCTCAGGCCCAATCTAGAACGCTGGTACAGTACGGTAAATCTGAACGATAATAACGCTCAAGCCCTGGAAGGTGGTAGCTTGTGGCTCCGCTGGAGAACGAGTTGATGCGACGTTACAATATTAGCGGTACGGAGGGAGCAGTGAGGTGCAGGAAAGACTATGTCTCTACTTTGAAAAGAAAGACACACCCCTGTTTCCATGACGTTGTAATTGCGTCACAAACGCACGACACAGCAACCCGCCACCTCCCTTCGTTGGGTTCGTGGGACTGAAGGCAGGCGTTCAAGGTTCCAGCGAAAACTAACTGGTTTGGGCAGAATTTGTCGAAGCACGCGCGTTGTTCTCACTTTCTCACAATTACAAACAACAACAACAAACTGAAACAGCCCGGCATCACATTTGATCGATCAGATCGACGATGAAACCCCTGTTGAGCAACGACAAGGACGCCTTGAAGGCATCTACTGATATCCAGCAGAGGAGTAAAGACGCTCTGTCTAGGATCCAGCATGACTTGGAAGAGACCCAACAGACGGGCGCCATGACTCTGGATGACTTGGACGCCCAGCGCCGTAAGATGGATGGCGTGGACCACCAGGCAGATCGCTTGCATGATCAGTTGGACGAGACGGCATATTTGCAGAGCAAGTTGGGATCTTGGTTTGGAGGAAAACGCAAAAAGAAAAACAGTAATAGCACTAGCAATAGCAGTAACAAAGACAGAGAATCTCCGGAACAAGCCAAGAATGACCTTATAGATTCATCCAACACCAACGCCAACAGCAAGAACAAGAAGAGTGGAAAATGGAAGTTTGGCAGATCCTCCAAGAAATCTTCCGTACACGAAGACCCCACCATCTCAGTCACTATTGGATCTCTGGACAAGGAGACTGCCTTGTACCGGGGCGAACACAAGGATGAAATGAGGGCTCTGGCCCAAGGAGACCATGAGATTGACGCTCAAATGGATATGATTGGAAATCAGCTGGGAAATTTACTCACCATGGCTCAAGAAATTGGATCCGAAACGAAACACCAGCAACAACGTATTGAACGCGTTGACAATCGAGTCGCAGATGCACAGGAACGACAGAGAAAGGCAAACAAAAAGACTAAAAAGTTCTTGAGTCGATAATCATTGCCCAAGACGCAATTACATTACATAAGATACATCATGCAGCAATATACTGTTCCGATACTATAGCAATAGGACGGGTTGGTCGTTGCTAAATTAGACTTTATAGGGCTGTGCTGTACGCATTTATTTGGTGAGATTGCCAAATGATTACTGAGCGGGCTGTGCTGCACAGGGTGGTGGTAGTTTGTTGAGGCTTTGTGGACACAGCGGGTCCGGTGCACAGACTTTCGCCAGCCTTTCCGGTACCGTAACATCACAAGGGAGACACGAATGCCTGCGCATCCAAAAATGCTGACGGGCTTCTCCTCTGTCTAGCTTGCCCCCCCCCCGGCTCCTTGACCCCTTGATTAGACTACTAGTCATATATTCTTTTAAAATTAGAGAGGAACATCCACGATCTCTCCAAGGACTGGTTCATCGGTGGGTTGCAAGATCCACACCGTCAAGGCTCGTCTCCGTCGATCGGTCAAGACGGGCTCTACCGAATGGACCAACTTGGAATCAAAAATGACCAATCGGCCATTGGTAGGAATGACATCCGTGTACTTTGTTGGATCCGTTGTCACGGCTTCGGATACCCGAGAGTAATGTTGCGAATCATGGTAGATCCTAAGGGCACCACCATCGGATTCTTCCCAATCGTCATTGCAATACAAAATAGCCGTGTAGCACCGATAGTTCCTCCTCGTTGTCAATGAATCCTCGCCCTTATTGTCTTTGTACCAAGAATTGTCGGAATGTGCTACATAGAAATCGCCAAGTCCGTACTCGGCAGCTTGAATTTTGCTGGGAGTCGTCAGGGGTGCCAGGATTGTGGCAGGTGCAATCGGGGCATATCCAGTGCTGCTGTCAATGAACGACAAGTCCAAGTGTCGATTCAAATAATCCGCCATGCCCATGAGGAGGTCGCAGTGGCCTTCCAAGCCGCAGGGTTTGGCTTGTTCTCGGTCCAAAAATGCTACCGTATCGCGACGGATTTTTCTTCCTTGGCCGGTTTTCTGCAGCAGATACTTGGATAAGTTCATGTTGGATTGGTCACTAGTCTTGGGACCCCCGTGCAACTGCACAAAACCCTTGGATTGAAGTTCTTGCAAGACCTCTTTGGAGTTGGAAGCGGACGACAATGACGTTTGAAACAATTGTTCCATGACGTTGTCGTTATTGTGAGAGGACTGTTTGGAATCAGAAGCGAGATTTCCAGGATGGGATGGCTGGTTGTTGCTGTTGACGTGCTGAAACACTTCTTCCCGAAGACTCGACAAATCGAGCAATTGAAACCCATGATCATCATCAAACGTAGCTCGACTCTCGTAGAACTTTTGGCAGATCCATCCAAAGTCTTCTTCAGTGGTCTGAGCACCCTCCAAACTGAGCACAAACTCCATTGGTGGCGCCCCTGCAGTCGTTGTTGTTGCATCCAGATCGCCAAGTGACGGAGCTGCTGGCGGTACAAATGTCAAGACACAGTCGTCTCCCAACAAGGGAATGGTATATTCCTGCACAACCGACTGTGTCACCGGAACAAAGCCACACTCGGAGGATATCCCTTCGACCATTGTGTCAAAGGCGGCCAGCAGACGTTGATTCGATTCGACGCAGTACCTGGAAGGAGTTAGTGGCAGAACAATGCTGTGTTTCTTCTTGGATGCAAGGAATGCTTGGATGTCAAATCCCCATGATCCTTCCAAAAAGCTACCCACAAGAATAAGCGAAAACAGAATGGGGATGGACATTTTGGCTTTCTTGGTGGAAAAAGGTAGTTTTGTGGCAACAACAACTATCCGATACATCAATTCTATACCTACATGTATGGCTATCTACTGCTGGTATGGAGCGAAAGCATACACCCGATATGGAGATACCGTGCATTGAAGGTGTCACATCGTCATCATCGTGCAAGTACTCTAGTACGTGTTATAACCGGTACGTGGTCCAGAACATATGTAAAGAGGAAAAAAGCTCCGACTGACCGTCCCCCGTACCATACCGTACGACTGTATCAGGTACCATACCATACCGTTCAAATGTTTTACTGTTTCGTTCAGGACAACATGGAATCGGGATATTATATATTTATTTAGTTATTCAGGTAGATGGTAGATCCCTAATGTGCGCCCTCCTCTTCCAGTACTACTAGTAGTATGCCCCCGTCTCGGCATGGTGCGGATAGCAATAGATACAGTGTACGAGTCCTCGAGTAAGAGCAGTGGCTGCTGTGGTTGTGGTTGTGTTGTGTTCTGTTCTGTTCTGTTCTGTCCACAGCGACACGGCACGAAGAAACAGGAAGAAAGGAAGACGGAAGGCAGCTGCTTTAGAGTAATTGATTTGTTGTCCTGGCAAGCTTTATTACCTCGGCAGTCTATCTGCCTGAGCCCTCACCCCCTTTTTGGTATTTCCTGTTTCCTGTTTCCTGTTTCCTGTTTCGTGTTCCGGTGAAGCCAAAGTGGGCTCGTGCAAATGGTTGCCCTTGGGATGAAGAGACATGTGCCTATGCTGGTGCAAATGGATACTTGGAATTGTTGAAGTGGTTGCGTGCAAATGGGTGTCCATGGGATGAATTCACATGCTGTTTAGTTGCTGTCAATGGCCATTTGGAACTTTTCAAGTGGGCTCATGAAAATGGGTGTCCATGGAATGAAGAGACATGTTCATATGCTGCTGAAGGTGGACATTTGGATTTGTTGCAGTGGGCTCATGAAAATCGCTGTCCATGGGATGAAGATACATGCGTTGCTGCTGCTGAAAATGGACATTTGGAAGTTCTGATTTGGTCAAGAGAGAATGGTTGTCCTTGGGATGAAACGACATGGCAGCATGCCAAAATGAGCAGAACAAGCAACAAAACCGAAGTGATGCAGTGGCTATGTGACAATGGCTGCCCTGGGTCCCGTGATGAAAATGAAGATGACTAAGGACACTACTGTAGCATCATTCATGGGAAGGTTGGGAATTGAATCAAGGGTAGACATGCTCGTGTTTCTCCCTACCTTAGCTTAGTGTGATCTGGTTGCGTCGGCGACCACTCATAACATTAGTATAGCGCAACGTCAAGGAAAGATGCACAGACACAATGACAAATTCCACCAAGTTGTAAATGTAGCGGTAACGAGGGGCTTCAAACTGCAGTCACTCGCCGAACCGGCAGGTTCATTTTATGTAGTAAACGGAACTGGCGGATGCCGAATATTTGATCCGTGAGTCAAATTTAGGAGGTTGAAAGGGACGAGGCTCGCAAAAAATCACCTCTCACTTACTCTGCGGCCGAGCAACCATCCATCCAAAGCAACGTAGTACCACCATGAAGAAGTTCGCCATCCTCTATATCACATGGACGGCATTGCTGCTTGGCGTTGCTTCGGAGTCGTCTTCTCCAAAACGACGGATGCGAGGAGGGGGAGATCAAGTCGCAGAAGATCTGACTCCAGCACGCCACCTTTTGAGGAACCCCACCATTTACTCGAACGGCTTTGAAACGGCATCCAGCCTTGGAGAAGTCTCTCTCAGTAACAACCTCTTTCTCGGGACTACGGGGTCTACAGATCAAATCCGACTCGCTTCTAGTATGACTACGTACGGTCAGTTAGGAGGAGGAGTGCGCATTCGTTTGTTTGACGACGACAACGACAGCATATATAACCACGGCAAAGTCTCTGCCGGCATCGAGTTTACCTTTGATTCCCCATTCGATGTCAATGAAGCGGAGATCCGGTTTGCCTATCGGGTGAATTTCGCCGATGGTTTTCAAACGGCAGACGTAGGTCAAGTCTTGTTGGATGTGGATGGTTCCGTCCAAGTCGTCGAAGAGTACAGGGGTTACACTACGTACTCGGGAGCCACTTGGAAAGCAGCAACTTTGAGCATTGGTTCGTTGGCTCAAGGAACGAGCCATACAATCAAATTGGGTGGATACCTCCACTATGCTCCTTCGGAAGTAGCACAAATGCCTGGTGAGCCCGAACCAACTCGACCTCGCAACCGCTTTCAAATCCGAATCGACACCATTGAGATAGTGCAGGCTTCCTAGCTAGTAGTAGCTAACAATCGAATGAATAGCGTTGCGTCTTAGTCTGACCTTTTCTTATGCTGGAAACAAATAGCTAGGCAGGTCGCGTCAAAGCAATACACCATTGCAATTGGATTAGCATGATTCTGCCACCTATTATAGCTCTAGCAGATCAACAATAAGTTCAATGCACTGCAAAACAAAGGAGCCATGGCACTGGTACGTTTCAGGTACTTTGCAAAAGGAGAGGAGTCGAGTCATCGTCTTTAGTGGGGACTGCTTTACTGCTTCATGTGCTGCCAAGGAATAGCAAAAGGTCGATATCGTCGTTTACTGTCATTGTTTCAACTGTGTCCACCGTGATGGCAGTACCAATTAGACTCTAGAGTTCGATCTTAGGTTGCTGTCCTCGACCCAACACCCCTGGAACCACGACGATACCTTTGCTGTGCATGATCTCCCTCAATCATAATGTAGCCACACTGGCTTATAATTGATGATTTCAGTCTCGAATGGATCGTTCAGTCCAGCATGTGACGTGCTATCACCTTGAGTTTAGCTGGTACTTGGATTCGCATTATCACTGTAGGTCCATTAGTAGGGACTGGGTGTATTGAGTATATACGGTGATGGTTGCTGATTGGAAAGAGCAGTGAACCACGATCAGCATTGAATAAGTGAAGCTGCTCCATTCGCGATTCATCTTCTATGAAACATGGTCACCGGTTCAATTTGTCCAAGTTAACCTCAGCAGGACGTGAAGAGAGTTGTTTGACAGAAAAGTGAGAGAATGAAGGAGAAGACAGCTAGAAATTGTGTGAAATTGTCGTTGATGCTCCCTTTTCGTTAAGTGCAGTGTAAGTAGTCGATGGTGTCTTGTGACTGTAAAGTTGCACAGAAGTGTCACTAAAGATGCGTGTCCGAGGGTTCCCATAAGTGAATTCACACTTGAAGAAAGTCATTGTGACAGTGATTTAGTGTTCTTTGGAGTCATAATCGTTGATACTTTGATCCATAGGGAGTTGACCGTTTCCTACCACCAACAAGGGGGCATTAACTTAATTTTTCTGTTTCGGAGTTCCACTGAGTGTGAGGAGTTGCAGCAGCAGCAGCACCTTGGAGCCGTTGTGTGGTGACAGCAACGTCATAACCCTGAGGCAACCAACTAGCTAGCCCACAGCAAACCAAGCAAGCAACAAGCCTATCTATTGCTATTGATATCAAGTTTGTTAATAGTAGTGTTGTTATCTGATAGTGTTGTAATCAAGATGCCCATCAATCTCCAGAACCACCGCACGTCGAACGCCAAGCTGTTCAGCGTAAGCGGCAACAAGCAAAAGCTGCACACAGCCGCGTCCTTTCAGAAGAAGAAGAATGCGAATTTGAAGGTTGGCAAGAGTTCTAGTGGCACAGGGAGTGCGCTGCTGAACCGTATGATCAACAATCAGTCTTTAGCAGCAGCAGCTAGTAATCCCTCGCGACGACGTCATTCGATGACTGGCAATTCTGGGATCAATGGCAGTACACACAGTGCTACGGGTAGTACTACGAGTGGTCGAGAGGGGAGTGTGAGTCCCTTGCGACGATCGGTAGGAGATGCGCCGTCTCCGCCGCAACAACAGCAACCGCCTCATATAGGTCAAGTGGCAATCACGCCTAAGGGTAGCAGTCACGAACGGAAAATCAAAAAGTCTGCCAGTGGGGACACTTCTTTGGATCCTCCCCATTTGTTTCGCAGTTCTAGTACCAGCAGCAACAAGAAGAAGAACATGAGACGTTCTCGATCGTTTGATAAGGAAAAAACGCTCTCCAGTCTCATGCCGTCCGCCATTGTTACTTGTTCGCTCGCCATGAAACCCAGAAACTTTCTCAGAAGAGGATCTGGAGATTCAGCAAGATCCAACAATACCGCTCCTCCTTCTGCCAACACCAATACTACCAACACCTCCACATCCTCCAAGAAAGGCAGATCCACCAGTACTGGAGCGCTACCCGACTGCGAACCAGAATCTCCTCGAGATACCCTCAAAGCCAAGCGAAGACAACTCCGACGAAACACACTCTCGGGAGATCTACCCTTTGTCCCAGACACTCCACCCTCTTCTCTACTCAATATCTCTACAGATGATCCAGAAGATGTTTCCAATCGATTCTTGAGTGATGACGACGATAGTGATGACGATTCGCTCTTTAGTATGAGTGAGGAGCATTAATGAGTCAACAGCAACAAACACAACAAGACACGCACACAAGTAGTAGTACATAACCACACGCATCATCACAAACAAACAAACAAACACACAGAAGAAAACAAAAACAACAACAAAAGAAAGAGACAAACAAGTAGAAGGAACCAGTTTTGACACCTGCAAAATAATAATATAATAACAATTACAACATGCTCATCATTCATCATGTACGGTATGATGTAGCAATCACAATTCTGTCTTGGCATGTAAGTGTACTGTCATTCGTATCGATGTGTTTTTTTGCTTGGATCGTACGGTACAGTGTCGAGCTCGATCTAATGTACATGTAGCACAATCACAGAACCACAATGCAAAACATCCCAAGGATCAGATCACTCAATTTCCTGCCCGATTGATGCTGGACGAACTAGAGACAGAAACTATAGTAAGCAATTTCTGACGACGCGGATAACACGAAACGTCGCAGGTTTTCGTTTACTCCTTTTACTCGAATACGTGTACTGCAAGCTGAAAGGAGCCCAATACTATTTTAAAATTGAGTTATTCTTTACTGCCTGGTACGATTGATCATTCCACTTTGGTCAATACGGCTAGATACCCCACTTTGTCTTCTTCCGGCGAGTTGGGTGTCGCGGGTTCTAGTTCCACCGTCATTTTGCCCGGCAACTCTTTCACGACCGAATGTAGTTCTTGTGCTGTATACAAACTTCGTTTCACCATGACGGGATTGGCATTGGATTGTCTCGTCACATGGGAGGCACCTTGGGGATGACTAATCACCAACTTGCCATTGAGTTTTAATAATGTCGATGCTTTTTGTAAGGCAGACGTCATGTCCGAAAAGTCGTGCAGTGCCGCACAAAATATAATGCTCTCGAATTGACTTGGTTGTAGTTGCTCTTGCTCGTCGGTATCATCATTAGTAGTGCCGTACTCGTTCAAAAAGTCCGTGGCTTGAAAGTCGACGCCCCGATGGAGTTGTCGCGCATTCTTGATCATTTCTTGTGACAAGTCAATGCCGTGGATTTGAGAGGATTCCAGACCGGCTTGTTCCAAATGAGGGACCAAGACGCCGTATCCGCATCCGACATCAAGGCAATGACCGTCTTTCCCCACGGCAGCCGCCACAATTTGACATGCCGCATCAATTTTGCGGGCCATGGGGGCGGCCATTTCTCCTCCCGCGATAATGGCACGCGCGGCTTTGGCGTCGGCACTGGCATCCCATGTGATTTGTTGAAAGATATTGTGCAAATCGTGTTCGTCCAAATCGTATTCGTCGTAAACTTTTGTCAATTCGTCCCGGGCTCGTTGCGCCCCTTCCATTTCAACTTGTGGAAGTTGGGCTTGTTGCAGCACGGACATGTTGGCCAAGCGCTGATCCCATTTCAAAAGTTGCTGGTACAATTGTGTGGCCATGTACAAATGGGGAGGCAATTTAGCCAACGCTGCATCCACGCGTCGTTGCGTTCCTTCCGCCACGTTGCTCCCGTATTTCTTCAAAATCTTTTGTTGCGTCTTTTTCACATCGCTCTTCTTCACCTTCTTCTTTGTCTTGTTATTATTGGAAGTCGAAGAACCTCCTCCTCCAAAGCCCTTGGCGGCCAGCCAGAGGGGAGCTGACAGTGGCGTAGATCCATGTACTGGATGATGAAGATTGGGTAGCTTGAAATTCTGCTGAAAGCCAAAAGTCGTTCTGGCCAGTAGGCATACTGCCAAGGGAAGAATGCTAAGGGTGGATGTTTGTAGTACTCTCGTCATTGTCTTGTGTTTTGGATAATCTTCTTTGTGGTCTGTACTCCAGTTCCCTTGACCAACGCCACCAAGCACACACTAGCCAGAGCCATCGACCAGGAGGATGAGAGTGCCATTGAATGATGTCATTGCGAAGTACCGGTAGTACGGGACTATTAGTCATGAACAAGGTGTCAAAGGAAGCCAGTGAAGAGGCTTTACAACAATACGGTACGGTTTGCCAACAGCCAATAATCTTCACATCGACACAAAAACATAAACGCAGTCATAAGAACCTAGACAGCAAATATTGCTTGATCTATCTTTTTATCCCTGCTCTACTAACATGGTTGTTTGGTTGTTTGGTTGTTTGTTGGCTGGAGAGAAAGGGCACCAAACGAGCAGCGAACGGCAGTCGTCCATGGTGTCTCATAGAGGAGGACAACAGTAATCCGGCAAGAGCAGCTTCTTCTGCCTTGACATTGCTGCTGCGGGAAGATTGCGGTTGAAGTGTAGTACTTTGTTGTAGCTGGGGAAGCATCAGAGCCATGTTCTTTTGAATGCTAGCCAGTATGCATTCCAATGCTAATTGTGTCGCATCTGGTGCGGATAGAGTCCTTAGATACTCTCTCAAAAAGACGTAGGACTCTGCAAGATCGTCATCATCATCATCCACATCACCACCCTTCTTCTCGGTAGTTGTCGTGTCGTCCTTTGGATCCGTTTTATAGTCTCCCTCTTTAGTTTCCCCTTCCTCCTGTAATTGTTGTTGTTGTTGTTGTCGTTGTTTTTGCTTGGTACGTATACATTCCAGTAGATGATTGGTGGCTTCCTTGGCCCCGTTTCCCACAATGGCCAATTGACACCTCCAGAATTGTCCCGTTGGATCAATTTGCCAAATACATCCCTGAGCATCAGAATCATCATGAGTAGAGCTGCAGTCTACCAACAAGGTCGAGCTCTATATATAAATAACAGCCAAACCACAGAAGCAGTAAGATACATGTGGGAGCGAGTATAACAGTATTTGGAATCCACAGGAATTCGTACGTACCACTAACAAGGGCGTTTTTCGTTCGTCATCGTCCTGTCCTTGGGTAGCCTTTTGGCATTGATCGGCAATCTGACGTGCCAAGTGTTGGACAGTCCAACCATGAACATGAGCATTCTTCGTCGTGCTTTTCATTATGGGAGATCCATCATCGTGTTGAATGCGTATGGATTTGGCATGCGCTTGTATGATTTTTCGTCGAAGAATGTGGGAATGCATGGCATTGCCAGCCGAGACTGCCAGGTGGCTCGTGTGAGTTGTCAGTGGCATAAAGGGAGTAGAAACAGTCTGGACGGATGTCTCTGCTGCTGTCAAGATGTCTGTTGCCAGATTGGTCATATTGATAGTAGTAGCAGTACTAGTAGTACTGTTGCTATTGTTTTCATGCTCATGTTCATGAATGTATGAATGTAGAAAGAGGGAATTTGGACTGAGTAGAGTGGGAAGTGTGGATACCACAATGATGCCGTCTTGACAAGGCAATGCAACTACCAGATTGGACGTGGGATCATACGGAGAAGAGACAGCCTCCATGGCTTGTTCCATGGAAGGCATGCGTCCGCCAGCTCCAAATTTGTGAGGTTCCAGAGTACGGCTGTAACTACTGCTACTAGTAGCACTACCGGTACCACTGCTGCCACTGCCAGTGGAAGAGTCCTGCCAAGGAGTTGCAAACTCAGAGGATCTCACTTCATCAACTATTAATACCAGCAACAGCAGTGCTGTGGTGATGTACATGTAGAACCAACAGCAGCAGCGCCAAACCTTCCTCCATGATACACTCATCCACATCCGCTCCATCATCTTGCACTGTCTTGTGTCTTGTATCTTTGCCGTTGCTTTTCTATTGTGGTGTGAGATGGCTGTCTTCCCTGCCACTATTGTATCCCGAACGCTAATATTACAAGAATCTTCTTTTGCATTCCTGAGTAACTGGTGTGACTCGACTCATCTCTTCTAAGAAGATCCTAGTACAACTCTACATACGGCAACCAAAATTTCGAAAAAAGACTCAGAGTTGACACCACTTCGTCAGTGGCATCTGAAATTTATTGCGGTTTTGCATTCTCTTATGCATATTGCTTTCCCACGGCAACACGGTTGATAACAGATGAGGAGGTACCAGTGCACTGTACGTGACATTGCCAACAAACTCATACCATCTTACCTTACCTATTGGTACCTTTGGAATACATACATGTAACCCAATAGCCTTTTCTTGATACGCTACAAGAGATCAGTGAGTATTCTCGTTGCGGCATTGGAATCAAATCTCCCGCGGTCCATCGAAGATTGAAGACACAAAAATGCATTGCTGGCACATAGCTGCTAGTAGTCTCACAATAATATCTCACCCCAACCATTATCTATCCCATCTCACAGATACTAGCTAGCTATTAAGGGTAGTAAGGCAGCACCATGACTCAACTTCGCACGAGTTCCCACCTGATCTTTTTGGGTATCCTCGGGGTATTGATAGTGTTAATGGGGTTATGTCACAAGACGGGAGTTATCAACGTTTCTCAGATCAACGCCAGTACTGCTAAACACAAGACTATCGGTAACACTGCAGGCAACACGGCTAGAAAGGCAAGCAGCAGCCAGGACTACAAGAACACTAAAAAGTACAAAGAGTTGGTAGCCACCCGGGGAGGAGGAGACCCCAACAGAATCTACTGTGATCAGAACTCCAAGCATCCAGATTGCTGCTCTCCTGATCATTGTGTGGTCGTACAAAGGTCCACGCTCTACTCAGAGTGCTGCCAAAATGTGCCATCCAGTCATCATCGTCATCGACAACTGCCTGTTCATGTTGCTGGACAACCACGACAACCGCAACAACGACCAACACCACAACGACCCATTACAGAACCCACACTCTTTCCCATTCTCATTACGGCCACACCCCGCAGTGGAACCGTATTTGTCCAACGCTTACTCAAGAAATTGGGTCTCTCTGTTTCCGATGACTTTTCCATTCCCCATGGAGACGGTATGGTCTCTTGGATGCACGTCGTGCAAGATGATCATTACTTTGGACCCGTCAGTAATTTCAAAAAAAGCAAATTTCAAACCGTATGGCATCAAGTACGAGATCCACTCAAGTCACTCACCAGCATGGCCTTTACGGAGCCATTACGAGAAGACGGGAAACAAGCTGGCAGTGTCCTCTACATGCGCTTTTTACGACGGCACATTCCAGTGGCACGAAAGGAAGAAGTACTCTCCAAACTAAAACAGCAGCAGACTGCCATCACTACTACTACAACCACAACAACAACCAACAATAACCAAACAACGTCCCCGTACAATGAACAGTTTCTGATTCATCGTGGAATGGAGTTTTACATTCACTGGCATCGCTACATTTTGTCACTAAGGATACCCCTCTTTCATCTCGAGGATTTGACCGAACACAAAAACATGACTGTCCTCGATGCCATTTTTGCGTCCGTGGGAAAACCACTCCCCGATCATACTGTGGCCACGAGATTGATTGATCAAAAACGACGTCGACAATTGCAGCAACAATACACACAGCCGCAGACACCCACGCAGAGTTACACGTACCCCGCCTTGAACAAACCACTTGCCCCAGCGACAGGTAAACCTCCCCAGCGAATCCCGGGAAATCTCCTTGTTTCACAATATACATCATCTTCATCATCATCATCTGCAGCAGCCAATAATAATAAGAACAAGATGAAAAAAGGCAATACGAACAGTCGAAAACACCGAGACACATTGTCGTGGGAAGAGTTGTGTCGAGTGGATGCGCAGCTGACAAAAGACTTTTTAAAGGTCTGTCATGAAGTGGGGTACTACTTGGACAAGGAAATGGTGTGTTGAAGAATACCTACAAGATGCTACAGAAGAACTGGTGAATGGGAAACAGAGATGCTAATTTGCAGGGCGTGGGGACGACGAGGGAGCATCCGTAATGTGCAATTATTATTATTAGTCATTGTACTATTTAATTTAACTTTATAGAAACTTGCTAGCTAGTGGGTTGAGAACCTTTCATGACTCTTGCTGTGATTGTTTTGGTTTTGGTTGTGTGGTTCGCATGACTTTACAAATTTCAATGTCATCTACGGAATAGGTGGGATCGTGTTCCTCCATGGGAACCTTTAGTACCGTCAGTCCTCGTTGTTGTGCCAATTCTAGAAACTTGTCGCGTGGATCATATTCGGGATAGTATCGATGTTCGTAACTGATCAGTGCCATCGAATTGGTGGATTGTGGGAGAAGTTGGTCAATTTCAGCCACCAATGGCGCAATGGGGTATAATTTGGGCAGCACACAATCAGCCACCAGGACCACATCGATATTGCTAGTACATGTAGCATTGTCGTCTTGTTGCAGAAAGGAAGGATGAATGGAATCTCTGCCCCACCATAATTCTTGTGTGTAAATGGGACAACCTTGAATCATGACTGCTGCATTCTGATCATCATTGTCATTGTCACTACTACCAGTCGTTTTAGCAGCAGCCTTCCGAATATTATCGCGTGCCAATTGGACCACTGGATCGCATCCATCCGTACAAACGACGACCTTGGCGCCCAGAATGGCAGCAGCAATGGACGTGAGTCCCGTTCCAGATCCCAGATCCACAACCACTTTCTGTCGTAACAAGTGAGAATGTCGTTCCATGTACTTGACAAGCACCATGGCGGCCGGCCACACACAAGCTCCCGTCCCGTAAGTGCCTTCGATTTCTCCTCGTTGCATCTGCTGGACTTGAAAAGAAACATCCAAGACAGTGACGGGATAGTGTGGGTCTTGTGAGTGACGATTCCGCCATCCCAACGATGTCAATTGCTTTTGTACAAAGGCACTGCAGCGTCTAGTAGAATTACTGCTAGTAGTACTAGTAGAAGTATCATTTTTTTGTTTCTGCAAATCAAGAGCGTCGAAAAAGGCACGAGCTGTGGGGTGGGAGGGGAGAGTGCTACCAGAAGTACTGGTATCAGTACTAGTACCTGTGGCTGCTTCTGATGCCATGGTGATACACTATCTCAGCAATGATACAGTGCCGTTGGATCTTTCAATGGAGGTCTGTCTCTCCTGAAAAGTGAAAGAAGAAAGATACGGTGCTCGGTGCGGTCACTGTAAACTCCGAAAAAAGTGAAGGTAACGAAATACAGTGTCTCTATGGTTTAACGCTCTTCTTTTCATCAGTCATTTTGAAACTATATACTTATTGAATATTTCAGAATCTGTAAGCTACGTCACTATATTTAACAAGAAGGACTTCTTCTCTATCGGTGCGTTCTTACTATTAATAGTCAAATGAAAATGACCGGAAGCTAAAAAAGGCTCTTTCACGACCCCATCCGTCGCTCGCAATCGTGTGCACGTGGGGTTGCGTTGACACAAACTTTGTCAATTACAATAGAAGCAACCCTTGCTTCTTTGCTTTGTCCTCTATCAATAGCTTTCCTTACCTTACCTTACCTTACCTTACCTGATCCAGTGCTAGCATGATGATGAGTAGTCCATGTACCAGCTGCGCATGCCTATTGGAAAGGGAGAAGAACCAAAGCAGAACCAACTTGAATACTACATGTAGTAGAACAAAGCAAAAGACCAGAAGAATGAGGATGAGAATGAGAAAGCACTGCCAATTGGGAGTTGGTCTTTTGCTGGCCCTACTTTCCACTGGTTGTATTACTACTGGTGTAAGAGGCCAGACAGCAGTGGAAGACATTGATTACACCTGCAATTTTTTGGAGGACACGTGTGCATCTGATTGGCAATTGGATGGCTTGTGCGACAATCGAGGTCAATTAGAAGAACCTAGTTGTTTGGATCAGGACTGTTGGGACTGTGACCCTTGCCAAGCATTCTCCTACAGCTGCAGTGCTTGCAAGAGACGAAACGGCTGTCATTGGTGTCCAGGAGATGCCCTTTGTGTCAGTCAACCGTTGGGACAAGACTTTTGGCAGATGCATCCCACCAAAGTCTCGTCCTGTCCAAACACACAAGACTGGGTACAAACCTGTGACGTTCCTCCCGAGTCCAACAATGTCTACAAAGATGTCCATTATCGGGCCATGAAATGGAGTTACTCCCTCATCAACGTGGAATCTGTCTGGCGACAAGGAATCACGGGCAAAGACGTACAAGTACGAATCAACGATGACGGAGTCGATTCATTCCATCCTGAATTGATTGGAAAATTCGATTACGGATTCTCCTGTGATGAATTCTATCAGCCCGAAAATCCACGCACCGATGTCAGAGGAACCGCCCTAGCCGCCATGGTCGGTGGGCAAGCCGATAATGGAGCATGTTCCCTTGGCATTGCGCCCGGAGTCAAAATCAGTTCTTGCAATGTATACACTCCCAACGAGGTCGCCTTTGTCTGGAATTCACAACTCAAACAAAATGGAATTGGAGTCGATATCAGTGTCAATGCTGACTGGGGGCCCAGCATTTGTATACCCAAAAAACAAAGAGCCAGAAGAAAACTGCAATCCACAACAACCTGCATCTTCAACTCGACCCACAAACTCTCTCCGTGTCCGCATTGTCCGGCCGATCTCACGTTGTTACCGTCCTCGCGAGACGAATATCCCGATTGCCGACAAGCTATTACGCAATATTGTCGTGCGCACTATGACGTGGATCCCTTGGCATGTGCCGATTATCTATACTGGTTTGTCGAGGAATGCTCGTATCGAGGAAGTCTCGATGCGCCCACGCACGATGAGCTTGTTCAAAACATTGTACTCGGAAGAAGCGAAAAGGGTGTCATCTTCGTAGTGCCCGCGGGAGATGAGTATCAAACGGGAGGAGATGCCAACTTTAATGGATATGCCAATTCCAGATTCACCATCGCCGTGGGGGCCGTCGGAAAGGATGGAAAGCATGCATCGTATTCGGTACGTACAGTACAATGATAGCAACAGTATAGAGTGCAATCGAAAGAGTATATGTACAAGCAACCGTGACTAACTTGCGACGCGTCTTTTTTGCACGTCCAATTTCATTTCATTTCATTTCATAATCGACAACAATCCACGCCATCACTGACTCATCAATGTATTGTCATTTGAATAGACTCCTGGATCACCTATATGGGTTAGTGCACCGGGGGGAGATGTACAATACATGTCCAACAATATCGTCGCGCAACCCGGAGGAGGATGTAGAGATGCGGGACCAGGAACGTCATTTGCGGTGCCCGTCGTGGCAGGAGTGGCTGCACTCATGCTCGAAGTCAAGCCAGAATTGACATGGAGAGATGTGTTTGCCATTCTCGCCAAAACAGCACAATCCGATATCATGGAACCAGACGAAAACGAATTCGTTACCAATGGAGCAGGATACAAACACAGTTACAAGTACGGATTTGGAATTGTCAATGCAGAAGCTGCCGTCGAGGAAGCCAGATCATGGACCAACTTTCGAAGAGAAGAACAATTCACTATCGAATCGTCCGAAACTTCCAGTCAAATCATTTGGGATGATGCCAACAATGCCACCGTATCCACCGTACGCATTGATACCGTCAATCGATTCTTTCGAACCGAATCCGTCATGGTTTACGTGGAACTCAATCATGTCTCGCGAGGTGACTTGAAAATTACGCTCACGTCACCATTCGGCACGGAAAGTATATTGGCACCGTCCAAACGACCCGAAACTACCGTGGGCGATAACAGTGAGGATGGGACCTTGTTGTGGCAGTTTCTCACGGTACGAAACTTTTGGGAATATCCTGGCGGCGAATGGATTTTGCGGATCGTCGATGAACGTCAGGGACCGGACTGTATCGACCTGGACTTTGAATACTCCTACTCGATGGGCGGACCCGAAGATACAGTCATCACCTGCAGTGATTTTGATCAGGTCACTACGACTTGTACCGATCCAAACGAGGTGGCACCAATCCTCTTGGAAGCACAGTTCGAGGGACGCACCGTGTTTGAAAGTTGCTGCAAATGTGGGGGAGGGGACAATAGCGTCAAGGACAGGACCAATGAGCTCAAAGCGTGGAAGATGGTCGTCTATGGGCATGTGGCGGCTGAAGCGGGGGACGCCACAGAGCTAATGCTGGTCTCCGAATCGACGTGTCAGTTTGCCACTGACACATGTCCTAAATCCTTGCAATTCAATCATGTTTGCGACGATTCTCTGTTGAACGAGGAATGTATTGGGATGGATTGCTTTGATTGCGATGCCTGTCAGAGTGCGTATCATTGACAACGACAAGAGTGAATTGTTTGATCGTATCATTCCGATTCGATTCGCAACGACGTTGGCATCTCACTTAGCTTGTTCTTCTCTTTTTTCATTCGCCTGGTCTCATTTGAGCAGCTTTCAACTACGATTGTGGTTTGTGCACAGCAGCTGGGTGCTACTATTGCCCGGGAGATGGGATGTGCGCGTCGATCGCGTTGAATCAGTCCTATTGGGAATTATATCCAGACAAGCTGCCAACGTGCAACACTTCCGATGCATGGGTAAGCAGCTGCGACTCGCGTCGACCGGAAAACCAATTCGATGACCCGCTCTATGAGGCCATGCTTTGGTCCTACAGCATGATAAACATAGAACCTGTTTGGGATTTGAGGGCTTCGGGGAAAGGGATTCATGTCAGGATTAACGATGACGGCGTGGATTCTGAACATGCAGAGTTTTCAGCGGGGAACTTTGACAAGGCGAACTCATGTCAAAACTACGCTCCTTGGGATAGCGAAAAAGACGTGCACGGCACTGCCGTTGCTTCTATCGTCGCAGGGAACTCCAACAATGGCCATTGTGCCGCGGGAATCGCTCCGGGGGCCACGATATCTTCTTGTGTTGGACCGCTCGAGTTGGACGAAGCTCCGGATCTTTTGGTGCAGAATCTTGACAAAGGTATGGTACCGGTAGCTCGCATGAGACGTGCCAGACAGATCATTCGTCGTCTTCAAAAGGGAAAACCTAACGTTCGTTACTTTTCTTTCCTTTCTCCGTCCCCATTGCAGTCGACATTTCTACCAATGCGTGGGGGCCCAATGTTTGTCGTTTGAAGAGCATTGGTCGAGGGCGGCGTCTACAACAGTGTCTCTTTTCTTCGGAGCACCCCGACTCACCATGCAAGGCATGCGGGGAATTTACAGCATTGGACGAGTTGTCCGAAGAATGCGAGGCCGCCGTTGGGAATTATTGCCGGGAAAACTATGTGGATGATCGAGTGGCATGTACGTGTTGATTGACTCAAAGAAAACAAGTCTTGCCGTGGTCCAACCGGATAATCTCACTAGTTCGATGGATCCTCCTGCTTTATCCAGGTTCGGAATTCCTCGACTTGTTTGTCGACTGCGAGTATCGTGAGTCCTTTTTGTTTCCGCAGCCAGCGCAGCGCGTACGCGACGAAACGATTCGGCATATCCTCTAACGTTTGACACAATGTTGTTGTGGAATCCCCAAAGACATCCTCCCGATGGATGCACACGAAGCTTTTGTGAGAGCTATCACGTAAGTTCGCTCCTCCCACGCTTTCGCCGTGATTCGTTGGGCGTCTCGCTCATTGTGCCTATTGCCTCCCAGTGAAGGACGAGATGGGAAGGGAATCATCTTTGTGTTCAGCGCGGGGAATACGAATGATATTGGAGGAGATGTGAACTTCAACGGTTTCATCAACAGCCGATTCACGATCGCAGTAGGGGCAGTCGGGAAAGACAAGAAGCATGCTTCTTACTCGGTGCGTCTTACGTAGTTGTAGTTCCTGCGTGTAACTTTTCTCCGTTGTCCTCTGACTGTGTGACGTTGGCATCCACCTCACAGACCACGGGAGCAGCGGTTTTGATAAGCGCACCTGGTGGGGATTATGAGTCAATTTCGGGTAATCTTGTGGCAAAGCCTGGGGGCGGCTGTGTAAGTCTCGGCTAGTTTTATCGTGGCATGGCATGGCATGGAAGCTATGAACGGATGTCTTACCCTACCACCAGCATGATATAGGGGTCGGGACCTCATTTGCAGCTCCAACTGTTGCGGGGATTATAGGTTCGTTCCCAACTTTCCTTCGTAATGTACGAGTCTTGTTGCTTCCCGCGTCTCTAACTATTGCGAGCTTGCTGCAAATGTATTATCTGTGCAGCACTGATGCTACAAGTGTAAGCCAAGCATCTAGTTTGTTCATTCAATTCATCTGTTTTTGTAACGCCTAATCGATTTGTTTTGTTTGTTTCCGTCAGGAATGCTGACCTGGGGTGGCGAGACGTCCAGGGAATCCTAGCGGTTACAAGCCAAAGAATTGACGAGGACAATCCGTCCTGGATTACCAATGCTGCGGTGAGTTTTAGCACCAGGGGTTGTTGACGTGTTCATGCACTAGCCGCCATTCTAACTATTCATATAATGCTGTCTCCAGGGCTACAACCACAGCTATCAGTATGGTTTCGGGGTACCCTCGACGCTCGACGCTTTGAACAAAGCGAGCATATGGAAGAACTTCCGCCCAGAGCAACAGGTGATGAATGAAACGGGTGTCATCGATCTCCCTATTGAGGACAACCCTACCAACACTCCTACAACTTCGACGTTGGTTTTTTCGGAACTGAGCACCCGCAATCTTGTGATTGAATCTGTTGTAGCATTTTTGGATGTACAGCATCCATCGCGTGGGGATCTCGTTGTCGCCCTGATTTCTCCCGCTGGAACAGAATCAGTTCTCCATCCCAGCAAGAAGCCCGAGGATGTCCAGCTGAGAGGTGATGACATTGGCAAATGGAAGCTTTTGTCTCTTCGAACATGGGGTGAATGGGCAGATGGAGACTGGACTCTAACGTTAACGGACGAGAAGCCTGGCAGATACCGGGAATGTCACGATTTGCCGTGGGAGTTCACTTACCCAAGGGCTGATGGGCAGGGCAACGAGACCATCAGTTGTGGTGACTTTGATCGTGTCACAGATTGCAACGACGAAGGGCAAGTGAATCCAGAACTGATGAATGTTCTCTACGAAGACCGAACGTTGGTGCAGAGTTGCTGCCAGTGCGGGGGCGGACAAAAGTCCAGCGACATCATTCCAATGCTGAGATCATGGAAGCTGATAATTTATGGTCACATTATTGAATCGCCAGAGGAGTTGTTGATCTTTCCTCCGCCGAAGAAAGAAGAAGACGAGAAGGAGCAGGGCAGCGAAGAGGAAGAGCAAGATCCGAACTGGATCAGTCCCAATACCCTCTCCGAAAATGATCCCATAGCTGGTTGGGATGACGAAGGGAACAGCGGAACATTCTCCGGAGGTGGGGGGAATGCCTACTACGGTGGCTGGAGACCACCACGGGACGATGATGACAACAGTGGAAACAGTGGAGATAGCGGTGACTGGAACAGCTCGCATGGGCAACGGCGATGTTATGTTTCCCTGACGTTATTGATAGTGGCGTTGGAACTATCGGTGGCCCTTTTCAAGGTTCACTCGCCATGAGAGGTCGAATCTTGCAATGGAGCTAGTGGATACTTGTTCCCATGGAAGAAGTCGGTTCGAGTGCGGCTTCCCGTTCCCGGCAGATCCGTCGTTGATTGAAGCCGCAGCTTTCTGTGTGTAGATGAAGTCTCCGTGAAGACGAGTCCTCGCGAAAACAAAGACTTAAAAAACACCGGCTGCCTTCTTGGTAGAGGGAAGCAAACAGAAAACAACAGATAGCTAGAAGAAGAAGAAGCATATTGCTAGAAGAAGAAACATAATATAGACTGGTTCTTACAATGAACTAGTACTTGTGGGGTCAAGATGTCGGTCGCGGCGCAAAGCTCTCCACTCGATTTGGCCGCTTTCTACAGACGAAATGATTCTTCGTGGACCCTCCGTGCGTCCAGCAATTCCGTCGCTCGGAGCAATAGGCACCTCCCAGCCCTGTTTGCCCCAGGCTGCAGGTATAGTTCGCTCAGCTTGAGCTTTGGTCTGGTTGGGTCCCTGTTCACATCGTCTTCTCCCACCTCACACCCCATACGGATTGCTTGGAAATGCTGATTTGATATGAAACGTTTCAACAGTGACACCCATATTGTACTGACAAGGCCGCTATTGTACACACGTGTAGATTTCGCAATCCAGGGATAGTGTGCCCACAATTCAGCAAATGTCCGCTGTTCAAAGCTCATGTCCATGTTGTCCCATCCTGCATCAGCGGTTTCCACAAGAGCCACAATGCCTTTTCTGATTGACTTGAAGCCAGGCTGTGCTGTTCTGATTACATAGTACCAGAACAAGATATGAATCTTCCAGTTGTGCTCTAGGTCTGAGTGGCCTGGAGAAGGCGTTTGGGCCACTTCTGGAAGGTACTTTGAAATATCAACCACCACAATCCCCTCTAGAGTATCGGGACACTTGTCAACCATCAGAAAAGTTCCCGGCATGAGGGCGATGAATTGTTCCAGAGCCGACACAGCTTGGCTCACTGTATCATCCACTTGATAATGTGATCGAAAGAGTTGCATGCCCTTCAGGCATCTCAATGCCTCTTGCAGATCTCCTTTGGTCACCAATGCATACTGCGCATACTCAAAGTCACAGACAGGCCGGATGCCACTGTTCGGAGCTTCAACAGCAGTCTTGATCTCCAATGCCCAAGCACGTTCTTGCCCAGTCAAGGTCAAAACCTCTTCTTCATTTCCACTTTCAGTACTCTCATCATCAGAATCAGAATCGTCTTCATCGATTTCTTCTTCACCCATGTCTTCCTCCTCCTCATCGGATCCACCCTCGAGGATCTCTACCACGGCTGCCAGGATTTCATCTTCATCCGCCATATCCACTAGATCTCCCTGCACCTCGTGGTCTCCGTTGTCATTTGGGTGGTTTGGTTCAAGATCATTGCCAGCATCCATGTTCGTCTCTAGCACCTACCGGTATAGAAGTGGCTATACAGCTACCATGTCTAGCTAGTAGATGTAGGCGAGCAGTGAGGAGAGTATGTACCAGGTACCAGTTCTTGCATGCAATTTAATAATAATATGTTCTGAGTTCGGCTCGACTTGACTCTGGCACGGTATCCCGCGTTGCTTTACCGCGTAGATTAAAAACCTGGGCTCGCGACAACGTGGCAACTGCAACAACTGTGATGTTGCGATGTATCAACGATGCAACGGTGGACAAATCCGCCACCACCCAAGAGATAATGTATTCATATGTGACTGGAATGATTCGATTCCACTACTTATTGAAAAAGGACAATTCTAGAGGTTGATGAGTGTTTTATGAGGCTTCCCTCCGTGCTCCTCCTTTTGGCTCCCAGCGATTCCCAGCATGCAGCTGTCTTCTTCAAGGTCGCACTTCCGCAAAACGCAGAACGCGCAACAATACAAAGTTGATAGGGGTGGTCAATGTTGCTCTTTCAGATCACTTTTTCCCTATCTTTTCTGGCCCTTGTGGGGGAGCAGGAAGAGGGGCAGAGGTGCAGAGAGAAGGGTATCGGAGAAGATTCGATTCAGTGTGCAGCCGCGGAATCTCAATCGAATGATTCAATGATTTCAATCTGGTCGGCCAGTAGCTACCGGTAGCCAGGTACGGCATCGCAGGAAAGATATGGATCCATTGGGCCATTTTAAATAAAATGAGGCATCAGCATGAGGCTGAAGTAAGTCGAGTCGGGAAAAGAAGCTCTGCATCCTCTGGAAGCAGGTGTCACAATGATGAAATTGCACAGGTAGGTGAACATCTTGGAGAGACTGCTTCAAGAAACAAGCTCGAGATTTGGGGTGGGTGGTGGGAGGTGGGAGGAGTACTAAAAAAGCGTACCGATGTACCAATAGGTCTACATTAAATTCCTGGTTGCGTGTTGCGTGGGGGGTGGGGGTGATTGGAGAGGGAGGAAGGAGGGCACAGGATGGAATGGGGAGGTTGGAAGTGCTTCCTCTACAGGTCTGCTGGAAGTGTGGAGTTGCTTTTTGTGCTGGTCGGCTGGTCTAGACTAGTCTACCCATTCTCACGTTCTTGGCTGTGTGGCGTAACTCTCTTCAAGAACTGGTACCGGTACCTACTACCCACGTATTGATCAATTGCCGGGCGAATTGATGCTGTTGGCCATTGTGATCGAGCGTTTGTGAAATAAATGGAGTTTGGGGAGGAGCCATGCCTTGTCATTGGGATGGTAGTTCGTGGGTGGCTAGTCGGTTGACCGATAACTTGGATGGTCTAATTTTGACCCTACAGAACCAAGAGAGTCTAGCCACAAGTCTAATAAGGCAACTTTGCTGGCAAAGCCATTGAGAGCTTTTTTGCTTGAGAGGATTCCTATGAAGTGCTGACAACGAGGCAAACGAATGAATCTTGTTGTATGCTACATGAAGTATGCACCACCTCAGCTGGAGCCTGAGTGCGTTGCATCATCCCCAGCTACCGTAGCTACGCACTGAGTGGCCTAGAACCACCATACCTCCCTTACGATAACTGGTTTGAGCCCTTATTACTAGCTAGCTACTCGATATATTGGTACCACCGTGGTACCGTGGTACAGAACCTTACACCGGTGCAGATGGTGGCTTTTCGGTGTTGCAATCAGTAAGAAGTGCTAATGCTCCAGCTTTCCTACTCAAAAGCCTTGCTTCAGAGATCATTGATATCGGTGCAGTCCCAGATTCTGAAATTCTCAAATCGTGGCGGCAGTTTGCGGCGAACGAGGCTTTGATCCGAAGAACAGGTTCTGGATACAGGCAGCTTCGATTTTATTGATTCAAACGCGCGCCACCCTTTTCAGTACACTTCTACACGAGCTCTCGTAGAAATGTACCAGAAATGCCGGCACGCGTTTGAATCAATAAAATCGAAGCTGCTCGTACAGTATCCCAGATTTGAAGGAAGGGCGCAACCGTATGATAGTGGTAGTCCGTGGAGCTCCCCGGAGCACTGTAATTCTTGTTCTGTAATTGCGGATTGCACTACCGGTACCTGAGTACTTGAGTTAGACTAGTGTCAAAAAGTGACTGTATTGTTACTGTCTGCTCTTGAGTAGGGTAGCTTTGCATGAGAATTTCCAGAATTCCGAATAGGCACAGCCAGCTACGTGTAGTAATAAGTAGTCTAGCTACTATTAGTAGAGACCACTGTGGCTATCTGCCGGTAACTCGCAATCTGGTAGAGTAGTTCTGCCCTCACACATTATTTATTTGGGTTCATCCGCACTCTCGAAATCGCTGGGAGCATCAATCATTGTTAACGAAACTGCATCCCACAGAACCCCCCATCTAATATTAATAGTAGCTAGTTGTTGGAAGCAGGGAGCCTGTACGGTATCGGCTGCTGATTGCAATGAGGAAGCTTTCATTTGATGAAGCCGAGACGATGGCACAAGACACATCTGGCGGCGACAATGTGATGGACAGCTCAGACACTTCCAGCATGGAGACTGATGATCCCGAGGGAATGACTGTTTCTCCTCAAGAGCATGCTTGGGCATTAGAGATCAAGACTGCTGCTGAAACTCCAAACAGTGGATTCCGGCCCATCTCCGACTTTGAGTATGCACAGTATGCCTTAGTGACAAGGGGTAGACTCAATGAAGCATTGGCACGGATCCGAAAAATCCAAAGCTTTCAAGCACAGTACCAAGTTGATAACACCCCCAGTCAAGGTGTATCCATCGTGGAGCAGTTTCGGCACTTGCAACCAACTGCTCTACTGAATCTTGACAAGCACCCAGACACCGGTGACAGCATCATTTGCTTTGATCGATCAACATACTTTCCAGCAATCACTAAGGCACCTTCTCCAGATCATACAGACCCTGAGCACAACTGGAAGATTGATATCTTATTCTGGTATTATGCTCTCAGGACCGTACAACCCGACTTCCACACCATCCGACATGGGGTCGTCTTTCTCTTTGAAGCCATGGGTTTAGGGAAGGACAATGTAGACGTGTCCCTTGCAAAACGACTGCACCGGGAAATGTGGGCCTACTATCCCTTTGAAATCCAAAGGACAAGGATTTACAATGCCAACCAATCCGTCCCTTTGCTCGTGTCAGCGTTGCAGTCCCTTTTGAGACCGGAAGAACTTCAATGTATAGAAACAGGATGCACGGTCCATGGTGACGATGATGATGGCTTCCATCAAAGTACGGACCGAGCTACCAATTCACCTCCGCTCACTCTTGGCGACATATACCTTCAACCAACCGTGGACCAATCCGGCCGATACCTTCTCGCTCGAATCATGGAGCTTTTGACGTTACGCTCCCAGAATGAAGAATCGTTTCGGCTATAAACCCCATTAATTAAGATAACTAACTAACTAACTAACTGTAATCATCTGGTTCTGGCTATCTTTAAAAACAATCTTGGTGATGAGCAGGTCTTCTTTTACCTTCTGGTGACGTGGATGCAGCTCTTCTCATGTACGTTGCTTGGCTGTATGAGTTGCGTGCTGGCTACAATATTAGCGTGTTGGGAAATCGAGGGGGACAAAGCTTCCTGCTTCTAGCATTGACGGAGTTTTTCAGTTCTCGTTTGTTAACTATCAGACAATGAAAATTTTTTAAGCTAGTACTATAAAGGTTGAGCCCCCGCAGGGGGCTCTGAACCATAAAGATTGGGCCCCTTGGGGCCCAACCACCAAGCTAGCTAGCTAGTGGGAGTGGAATACATGGTCTTCTGGCTTGCCCTCAAAGCACTGCAGCAGAGCCTCCTGCATCTTCGACTTTGTCTTTTGATGGACTCCAGGACCCTGGCCCAACCTTCATGTCTGCGAAGCTTGTGCGTGGGTCCAACACTTGGCTTTGGTCAGACCACCTTGCTTTGGAGCAGCCTTTCTCTTGCCAGCGCATGTTCATTGATCCTGGCCATCTGAACAAGCTGACCCTTGTCTCTGAGCAAGCTTTGGCATGCTGGGGCCTCAGCCTACCCCTGAGACCAGCGTTGCCCTGCCGCATCATGTTGAAGTGCATTCGATCGAATGATTCAGCAGCCTTGCAAGGGCTCTCACAACAGGAGATGTGACTCCATGGACTGCTCCCTGTGGGAAATGGCGCTGCAGATATTGATCCAATTTCCCCGCCACTAGAGGAGTCCTAGCTTTCACAGAGGCACGTCCTATCTTGCCAACAGCCGCCAAGAACACCATGCCGTTGTCGTCCACCTTGGGGAACCGTCCACTGGAGTACAGGTTCCGGATGTAGTGGTCGATACCAGCCAGCGCCTCTTTCGTACTCGCACTCATCGTCTTCGGAGGATTGCGATGAAAGCGGCTATGTCCTCGGCTGCCGTGAGTACCTCTGCGGCTACTGAATCTGCGGCTACTGAATGCGGTAAGTAAGTACACCTCTGCGACCTCTGCGAAGTACCTCTGCGGCTACTGAATACGGAAGGGATGACCTCGGTTTTATTGTCTTGCTTCACTATCTTGCTCAAATTCGAAATTCGAAATCCTCTGGATGCATGCTCCGTTGGTCTTTCGAAAACAACACGAAAACAACACGACGAGAGACTGATCGAGCTGACACAGAGATAAATAAATAAATAAATAAATAAATAATGCACGACTGACGTCAGCCGGCTGTGACGTCAGTCGTCTATCGAACGTTTGATTGGCTAGAGTGGCTCTACAGCGATTCTACAGAGGCAGTGTACGGATGGGGCCGATGTCGGCACGACGGTCCTGCTGTACTTTCTGTACCAATCCTTTGAGGTTCTGATATGCGAACTACCGTACCGGACAATCCATCAAGCCCAGGTCGGCCGCGTCTTCCCACAAAGACACGGGTATGGAGTTGCTCTCTTGAACCCATTCCAAGTTTTCTCCCAGCTCCAAAGGAGATGCCACTCCAATCACCAACTTGGTTACGGCAGGAGGTAATGTGGCAAAACCAATCGCCACAGATGCCAGGGAGCAGCCATACTCCTTGGCCAAAGTGGCCCACTGGTGTTTCAGTGCAACTAGATGGGACGCTGGAGTAGTGTCCTCCTTGTAGGCATATGATTTGTTGTCGTCGGCCAAGTAGCCCGAGGCAAAGATGCCCGCCACATGAACCTGAACTCCCAGAGTGTGGCATGTCTCCAGACATTCCCAGCCGGTCCGACACAGCAAATTCCATCCACCGGCCAGCAGCGCAGAATCAAACGTTCCCCGTGGAGTGCCGTGTAACAGACGCAAGACTTGGTCTGGAGCACCCATGTGTCCTTCCCGATTGGTGTTCATGCCAAGTCCTACATGTCGAATGATTCCTTGCTCATCTCGCATGGCTCTCAATTCTGCAATCATGCCATCGGGTGTCGCCAGTGCTTGTTCTACTTCATCAACGAATGATGATTCAGTGGACTGTTGTCGATTGTTGTTGGAGTTGTCATTGGGGTCATGGATCCGCAAGGTGTGCACACCTTGTAGACCAAGACGATTCAAGGAGTGCTCCAAGCTCCGGCGGGCCCCTTGTGCAGTGTAGTCATTACGGCAGATTCTTGCTGACAAGGGCGGGCGCGTGGGTTGGTCAAATCCAGCCAAAGCAGGTACCAACGCTCTGTTATTGCCACTTATTGGTGGTTCGAAGAAAATCCTGCCTGCCTTGGTGCCAATGCGCAGTTTACTGTCTGCATCTGCTGCCAGTGCCTTGATGGCTCTTCCCATTCGTTCTTCAGCAGCACCAGCTCCATACCATGGTGCCGTATCAAAGTCCTCAATGCCCGCCTCTACGGCGGCACGGATCAGTGCATTGGAGTTTTCTTGCCAGGGATCTGGATGATTCCCGTTGCCATGGCTGCCACTTCCAGGACCTAACCAAATGCCGCCAAGAACAATATCGCAAGGTCGTAGCAGCTTGTTCTTGTTCCAACCTAGTTGACGCAATGTAGCTATTGGCGTTGTCATTATGGTGGTTTGAGCTAGCTATAGCCTATGTAGCTGGCTACGGTATCTATGCATAGCTAGCTAGATAGATAGACGATGCCAGGTCCTCGATTTCGGTTTCGGAAGGACAGAAATCGGATCTCGTGCACGAATGACGAAAACCAATGACGAGCCATCGTTAAGAAAAATAGAGAGAGAGGTTGCTACCGTACGGCGCAACTCTTACAAGTCCTTGCAACCTGTCTTTATCTGCCTGTCTTTATCTATCTATCTGTTGGTCGGCCAAGACGATGCCTGCTGGGCCCGGTTCAATAGCAAGGGTTCATCTGCTGCAGCTACCGGCAGCAACATTCTGCATCCTTTCCTCGCTTTCTGTTCCTACAAGGGCCGACCAATCGACGTCATGCGAGTGGTGGGGTGATCCTTGTCCATGGCCCTTGGATGGAGAATGCGATCAATCTTTCTCCACCCGATGCGAGAACGGCGACTGCTTTGACTGTGATCCATTACAAGAACATCACTACGATTGTCAGAGCTGCATTTCGGCACAAGGATACTGGTGTCCAGGGGATGCCCTCTGTCGCGGTCAACCCCTTAACGAAGCCTACTACAGTTTCACCTTGGGTCTCTTTGCTGGTGGTGGGGAGTTGGCAACTAGCATCAAAACTTCTTGTCCATTGGCCCAAGATTGGCAACAAACCTGTGGACCGGCTCATCACGACAATGTTTTTTCGGATCCCTTGTATGATGCCATGAATTGGAGTTATGACATGATTAATGTGGAAGCTGTGTGGCGGCAAGGAATCACAGGAGCAGGAGTGCACGTTCGAATCAATGATGACGGAGTCGACGCATCCCATCCAGAGTTCAGCCAGAGATTTGATGTGGCGAATTCATGTCAAGAGGCGTACTTGCCACTTCCACCCATCAATAATGACTCCAACGAAGATATTCATGACCATGGTACTGCCTGTGCATCTATAGTTGGAGCACAACACGACAATAATCATTGCGCGGTTGGAATTGCTCCGGGTGTCACTCTGTCGTCGTGTACAGTTGTCAATCCACTCATTTTCAACCAAGGTGCCGAGTTGTTTGTAAAGCAATTGCAAGAAGTGGACATTTCCAGCAATAGCTGGGGGCCTTCACCTTGCAAACACAAGTTTGCCAGGACGAGATTTCTTCAACAACAGTGCCCTTTTGAGGTGGATCATCAAATTAGTCCTTGTCGAATATGCGGTGGAAACCTTGAAAACAACGGAATGGATCTGGAAGACGGGCTTTGCCGAAGAAGCATCATTCATCACTGCACCCAATTCTATGAGCTAGATCCCATTGCTTGTGCCGAATACCTGGATCTCTTTGTCGATTGTAACTATCATGCTTTGTCGCCAACCGAGCACCAAGTCTTTGTTCGGGCTATTACCGAAGGACGGAATGGGAAGGGGATCATCTTCAGTAAGAACAAAGCATGCGCATCGTGTTTGTCGGCCACACAGAGCCTTTTTTCATTCCTAAATTCTTGTTTCCTACAGCTTTCCCAGCCGGCAACGAGTTTCCCTATGGCAGGTGTGTGCCGTAAAGAGTACCGGATGGCGACCTCATGATTTGCACGTTCTAACCACACATCAATGTCCATTGCGCGTCGGGTACCAACATCAGCAATGCTAATCTGGATGGATTTGTCAACTCAAGGTGAGATGCGCGAAATATGCAATGCTGTCCATTCTTCTTCCTCGCAAGTCTTGTCTCTGTCTTACATGAATTGTTGTCCTTACCAGGTTCACTATTGCTGTGGGAGCTGTGGACAAAGTCGGAAAAAGGACGGCATACTCTACCCCCGGAAGTCCCGTTCTCATCAGTGCTCCTGGGGGAGACTTGGAATGTAAGTGCCACAGTGCTTTGGTTTGTCAGGTAGACTATTGCAACGCCTCACACAATGGGCACCTCCACAGATATCTCCAATAACATAGTTGCCAAGGTGAGGCCGTGGGGAATTGACGTAATGTGCACGCAGGGTTGTTCTTCTAATCTTGCCTGGTCATCTTTTGTTCGCTGTACAGCCTGGGGGCGGTTGTCATGATGCAGGTGCAGGTACCAGGTACGAACTAAATGGTCACGAGTGGAATATGAAAGGAGGCCATCAATCAACCGAGGCTTTGGTCAATGGAAGTAACTGATTCGCTTCCTTTCTTTTCCTCCTTGACGTGTCTGATGGTGACATCCACGCTAATCCGCTGTTCGTGGGTGTAGCTTCTCGACACCTGTGGTTTCTGGAGTCATCGCTCTCATGCTCGAAGTTCGACCAGAGTTGACTTGGCGCGATGTTCAGGGAATTCTTGTGGTCACAGCTCAGCAGAACGACCCAGATGACGACTCTTGGAACACGAGAAACGGGGCCGGACTCAATCACAGCTATTTCTTTGGATTTGGACTTGTAGATGCCTTCGCGGCGGTGGAACTTGCCAAAACTTGGGAGTTGTGGGACCCCGAAATTCAGATCATGGTGGAAAGCGGTACCATCAACTTAAACATTTCAGATGATCCAACCCAATCAGCAACGTCGACTGTGACTGTTCCCGCGGACTACGTTGATTTCGTGACAGAGTCAGTCGTAGTCTACATGGATTTGCAGCATGGAAGCCGTGGTGACCTTGCCATTGTATTGGAAAGTCCCTCTGGGACAGAAAGCCTGCTAGCTCCCAGTAAGCGACCCGAGAACACGCAGCTGCAGGGAGAGGAGCATTGGAAGCTGACGACAGTGAGAAATTGGGGTGAGTCGGCTTCCGGGAACTGGACTCTGAAGATCGCTGACGAGGCAGCGGGGATTCTGGAAGACTGCGTCGATGTAAAATTCGATTACTACTATGATGCAGACGGCACTTTGCTGCACATCAAGTGTGACTCATTCCAAAATACCACTGCTTGTCTGGACGGACAGATTCTCAACGATGTCGTGCACGATTTTATCGTGGACAATGGCAACGGTCCCATCAGCGCGGCCGAAGCCTGTTGCGTGTGCGGTGGCGGCGTCCAAGTTGACGACATTCCACACATCCTAGAATCATGGAGCATGATCGTGTACGGGCACAACGCCATCATGAGCAGCAACACGAGTCAGCAGAACGGTACCAACGACACGACGAGTGGATGACAACACGACCTTTGGACTCACTCACAGGCTCCTGAACTCAACCTGCAAAGACATCGCCTTGAACCACACACGGTCTAGAAGGACTCCGTAGGGGTACGACTTCATTAGTCGAGGTGCCACGCAATCAACAAACAAGCCTTTGCAACGAGAGGGTTGCCCCCACGTCAACGGCGTTTGATAAAAGTTGAGTCTTCCGCAGCAGCATGTTGCTGGATGACCGAATACGAGAGGTACTATCTTGTTGTAACTGCATCTATAGTATCTTTACACGATTGCATTTCGGTAGAGCTACCGATATGCTTCACCAAGTCACGCAACTGCACTGATCAAAGCACTGCACGTGTACTCGGGGAGTTTACGCTTGGGTTTCAATGGCCATCCCATTCTGCATGAATTCATCAGGATAGCGTTCGCCGGCGACTTCATTGGCCATGGCATCCAACGTTGCCATGTTTTCTGCAGAAAGGACCACATCAACTGAATTGATATTGCCGACAGCTCGTTCTAGCTTGGTTGTACCAGGAATGGGGATGACAGAAACCCCTTTCTGTGCTGCTTTCTGCATGAGCCAACTCAAGCAAACATTGGCAGGGGTACAATTTAGCTTCTCCGCCATGTCGTGGACTTGATTGGCAAACCGTTTGTTTTGCTCCATGTTTTGGTACCGAGGAAATATGGCTCTGGCGTCTCCCTCTGGAAGCGCTTCTTGTTTCTGAACCAGCAAGTTTCGTGACAGTGGACTGTACGCCACAATGGCAATGCTGTTGGCTTTGCAGACGGGAACTAGCTCATCTTCCAAAGTACGTGTCAGAATGGACCACTCCTGCTGGACTGCATCAATGGGGCCGCCTTTGGTATGGATCTGTTGCAACCAGTTGCCACTGACTTCGGACAAGCCCACTTCTTTGATGAGACCTTCCTCCTTGAGTCTAGCAGCAGCCTTGGCAAACTCAATCCCACCTTCCAGTGTCAAGACACGATGGGCAAAATACAGATCAACATACTCCAACTGCAGGCGATCCAAAGATTGTTTCAGGTGGGCCTTGACGGTTTCGTAGTCGTACTTACCATCTGGAAGGGGCCAAAACTTGGTGGCAACAGAGTAGGAGTCGCGAGGAATAGTCTTGAGGAACTTCCCGAGATAGGTCTCGTTGTGGTTTTTGGTGTCTTTGTGCTCAGCACCATAGAGCTCTGCAGTGTCAAAATGGCGGCAGCCGTTTTCATAGACAGTCTTCAACAAAACCATGGCAGCGTCTTCGTCCATTACATCGTTGTAGAAGGAGGTAATGCCCATGCATCCAAAACCAATTCCAGACTCTGGATGGAGGGCGGTGTTCGTCTTGGCAAACTTGGCAAAAAACTTCATTTTTAGTTCAAGGTAGCTGAAAAAAGGGGAAAGCAAAGGTGTTGGTTTTGGTTGGTTTTGGTTGGTTTCTGATCTTTTGAGTTTTATGAGAGTTGGATCCGAACAACGTTTCCTTGCTTGGGTCGTGCCGATCACCATAGATCTTCGTGAGATGAGGGGAAACATCATCTTTAAGCATCGCAAGAAATCAACTCTTGCTTTGAAGCTGGAAACACCATCATTAAATAAACGGCACCAATGAAAGTCGCTTGAAACTACCTACTCCGTACCGGTACTCAGGACCGGTACATGTACAACATTTAGTCGCGCTGTGACGGTACAATATTCTGACTGCACTCGACTCGGAGCAAGGCACTGCAGGTAGGAAAGTTATTGCATGTCAGCTTTCTGTGTGTGAGTTCCAAGCTATGGGAGTTTCTGTGACGGCCCCACCTAATGCTAACAATCAGAGGTCTGACCAAAGGGTCCAAGCAGACGGATCGGGGCGGCCACGATTTGTCCTAAGCTCCAGCTTCCATTGGCAAGACATTTTCATCCGTAGAGTCCAAACTGAAGCAAGCAAGTATCCATTTCTAATACATGTAGTAAGGTGGCAGCTTTGCTACCATCCAGCGTCTCGCTGAAACCATGGGGCCATAGTTTTCATCTAATCTAATGTATGTTCGTTTGTCCGCGAAAATCATACATTGTCTTCGTTGGGTCCTCCATAGAGTTGCGGGATAAAGCTCTTTTTGACGGCGTTGTTTTTGGATTCCTTGTGACTCAATGATGGACCCGCGCGCATCGATCCGAGCTTGTAGAGCACCGGTCCCTTGCCATATTTGAGATAGTTTTGATGCTGCAGTAGAGCGGCCTTGTCCTTGGACAAGAGGGGCGATTGCTCGTTGGCGGTGGCGGCTCCATTGGCTTCTCTGCCGACAATGTTGGGTTTGCGCAAGACGGGTGTTTTGACCAAGTCGGCCGCTTGCTGTTCGGTCCCATCGACGAAGTCCCGAACGGGCGGATACAGATTGAGTGCAACTCCAAAGAGCAAAATCCCCAAGAGGACTGCAAAGTACCTTCCGACATGAGCTGTGGCGTAATCTTCCAAATGTTGCAGATTGGTATCCCCTCGTTGGGAGCGGAATGCCCATCCTTCACAAGCTTGATAAAGCCCAATGCAAATTATATTTGGAATCCCCCCGACACAGAATATATTGACGGCACTGGCCAATGCCTTTGTTGTGGGTGCCGATGCAGTAAATGCGACTTCGTATGCGGCACTGACGGCAAAGATCTCCCCCGCTCCAATGAGCATGTATGCCGGTGCTTGCCAGAGAATACTGACCGATGCATCATCGTTTTGGTTTTGGTGATGATGGTATGCAGCGTGAATCCAATGTTCGACGAGCAAGCTCCAGGCAATGGCCAAGGCGCCGAGTGCCGATCCAATGGCAAACTTGGTAGTGGTGGCCAACTTAATGCCTCGTTGTGCCAATCCTGGATAAATGACGTTTCCCGTGATCCATCCAAAGACCAAGACCGACAGAGCATCTAGTGCATTCATGGTAGCCGCATCAATGAATCCAAATGCCTTGCGCATAACGGTGCCTTGTACGATAAAGGTGGTTGGCATTTGGGAGTATGCAATGCAAAAGGGTACAATCAAGAGTGTAATTCTCAATATGGACGACAAGGGAATGGTGGGAGGAGCATTGGGATCGGTCTTGCTGTTCTTGCTGTCTGTTCGCTTGGTACAGCTGTTGAGTACGTGCAGATCGCCTCGCGGCTTGCCAATGACATAGCGGGGTGTTCCAGAAACGAAAATGAGAATGCCCAGTGCCAAAAAGGAAACCGGAAGAAGGTATGCCGTGGTGACATTGTGTTGTGCCAAGATGGGCACCAATGTAATGCCAACGAGCGCTCCCACGTTGATGGAGATGTAAAAGTTGACGTAATACTGTTCAATGAGATTGGATTGTAGGATTGGATGAAACTGTTTGGCTCCAAATACATTGACGACTGACTTGATGATTCCCGTGCCCATGGGCCATAGGAAGAGTAGTGCCGTGAATAGAGCCGGCTTGTTGAATGTGTCCCCAAGAAAGTAGGGGACACTGGTGAGAGCGACCAGTAGAATTCCCGGTAGATAGAGTCCAATGGATCCCGCCAAAATGGACCAGTAATCTCCTAGGAGGGCATCGGCGAGAATGGCTCCAATAAAGGGCGTGGTGTAAGCGACGGCCGTACTGGTGGAGACAAAGCTTGCGGCCGCGACACTGTTGAGTCCAGGATTCCAATCGGGATTGTAGACTCCCGTGAGATAGAGTGTTTGTGTGTAGTAGATTCCGTAAAAGGAGAATCGTTCGAGTAGTTCAACTACCAAAATGAGGGCAACCGAGTAAGTGGTTGGATTGAGACTGTACGTAAAGACATGGTGCTGATCGTCGACATGACGCAGTGGTCTGTGAGGATCATTGCTCAGACACTCGGGTGGAAGATCTTCCAATTGTTCCATCGAATTCACATTGCTGGGAAGGACGTCTTCTTCTGTACTACCGGTATCTAGAAACGAAGACGACACTCCTTGACTACTGCTGGTAATAGACGAGTGTCTCATGACTTGCTGTGTATGGCGTTTCTGATTGGTGACGTGAGGAGTGGGAGCTACAGACGAGATCGATCGAGCACTCGTCTCAAACGCATCCGAATAATCAGAAGAATCCGCCGAACGAGTGCTGCTGATAGAATGCGCACGAGTAGTCATCATTCAAACTACAGAACTGTTGTGTAATGGAGTGACTGTTGGGTCAATGGGGCTGTCAAGCTTTCAATGGGATCGATCGAGATGCTTACTCCAGCTAATACCTTCCGAGTGGTAGATCTTGCTGGCTAGCTGCAGATGGATCCTACGGGCAGCAAGTTGATTGATATGTAGTTGATGCATTTGCAGTAACGGCATTGTCAAGCTTTGGTTGTGGATTTGCATTTTGTGGTCGGAGTCTCATTTTTCTCATTTCATTCGTGCATGTTTAGAGCTCAGGGTAGGGGTAACCTTTAGATCTAGAGCTAGAGTTATTCTGACTCAGTGATTTGACGGAACAAACATCACTCCGCCAAATGAGACAGTCAAAGAAGACACGATGAGAAGGATATTCTTGGGACTCGTGCATCATCATTTTCTTCGCCATCACAACAAAATTCGTGGTGTTGACAGCAGTGAAGTGAAGAAGGGTTCAGCATCAGCCCAATACCGTCTAGCTAGCTAGTGAGGTTGACCTGGATCGAAATCCTTCTTTCCTTTTCGGTGGCAAGCAGCTTCATTCATTCACTGAGGATCCGTCGTTCATCGCACAATCAGATCAGACATTAGACCAGCACAATGATGATCAGCCGCCAAATATTCAACTTGCAGATTGTGGGCTTTTGTTTCATTTTGGTGTCCACTGGCCTTCCAAGAGCAACCCAAGCCTTCACTACCACTACCACTATCAGTGCCAGAACCATCCACAATCACCCTCATCAGTGCCTCCATGATACCCATGATAAGGCTAGACAGCTATGGTCTGCCGCAACGGATGACATTGGCGTGGAAGAGTCTTCCTTGACAAAAACTGGAAAGTTTGATCTGGAGGCTGCCTTGTTTTGTTCGGGATTGGCATTTGACTCCTATGTCGAACCTCCTTCCAATTCTTCCAGGTGGGAAAGAGGTGTAAGTGTTCCAAAAAATGTTCCACCAAACTTATACCCATACATGTATACTGACTGGTGACTCTTTATCTACATTTCTTTCTTTGCTCGCCCGTTCCTACAGTCCAAAGGAATGGATGTCGCTTTCGTCTCCAACGCTTTTACACGAAATCTCTACAAGGGTCTCCTCCAAATTCAACCCATTCGGGCCATTGGATTGCCCGATGAAGATGATACCATTGAAGGAATTGCCACGGGTGGAGGAACCGATGCCTATCTCAGCGTTGCTGTCTTGGAAGGAGATTGGAAGGACGATGTCTTTATGCTCGAAAAGGAAATGTATCACGAAGGAATACGAGATCTCAGTGGAGCTGCACACGTCGGACGATCTTCCACGGCATGGTCCAATGTAGACGAAACAAAATCCAAACAAACCAAACGCAACACGGGAAAGCAGTCGGCCTATCATATCAAATCCGGATGGGGACGAGATGGACAGGCTGTATGGTCCGAAGATGAAGATCCATTCTACTTGTATTTGCAAGATCCTGCGACCGCTCGGTTGGTATTTTCCATTATGGACGATGATTTGATTGGAGAAGGCAGTGTTGTGGGATCAGCACATCGGAGGCTCACGGAACTCATTCCGGAAGCCAAACTCACGCAACAACAATTGATTGAAAATTTAAAAGGAGAGCTCCTAGCCAAATTACAAGAAAGCGGTGGAGACTTGTCGCAATTGGATCTGAACAATGATCTCGCCAAAGTCCAACTCGGAGCGAGATCGTGGGAAGGAGGAATCAAAATGACATCCAAACCCAAAAAGAAGGATAAGAAAAGTCAAGTGGCCATGGGTGTTGCTGCGGGGGCAGCTGTGGCAGGACCCCTCGGAGCGGCGGTGGGAGGTGTCATGGCCAACATGTACGAAGGAGAAGTCAAGGGGCGCATCGAACTCAAAATGAGTTATCTGCCACTGCCGCCCACACCAGTCAAACGAGAACGATACACCGTTTTGGGGGGCATACCCGGAATCACGTGGGGAGCCCTCTTTGACAAGTATGTGGAAACGCAAAAGGCAAAATTGGCCGCGATGGAACAAGTAGACGACAACAATCAGAATAGTAATAATATTGCGCCACCAGGATTGCTGCAGGTGGAGGATTTGGAACAGTGCTTCTTTATCAAGCATTCGGTGACCGGTGGATGCTGTATTGTGTATCGATCCTTGGAAAAGAAACTGATTGTGGTTTCGTTCCGAGGAACCTGCGAACCCAAGGATTTGATCACGGATGCCAATTTGATACAGGAAGCATGGGTGAAAGGGGAGGATTTCGATACACCAGATGCTTGCAAGGTTCATCAAGGCATTCGACAATCGATGGAATCCATCTCGCGTCGACTCAAAGAGTTGATTCTGGCCGCACCGGCACCGGGAGAGGAAATCTCGGATTACGATATGATTGTCACCGGACACAGTCTTGGGGGGGCACTATCCACCATGTTTTCAGCTGATATTGGAGAGTACGGAATTGATGCCGGACGTGCGCTTCCACAATTGGCCCCCTCCGAACCATGGTGGAAGAGTATTACCAATACAATCATGGGTCAGGAAGCCCGGGATTCTTCTGGGAAATCTGGTCCGCCCCGTCCCAAGTCCTTGCGCATGTACAACTTTGGCAGTCCTCGAGTAGGCAACAACGTGTTTGCAGATCGATTCGATGCTCTCCTCGAGGATGGGCGCCTGGATGCGGCGTATCGCATTGTCAATGGAGATGACATTGTGACCCGTGTTCCCCGCACAACCTCTCCCTTGGGTGTTCACTATGAGCATGTTGGTTCTACTGTCATGGTATCCAAAGAAGCCGAAAAGGTGGAAGGTTCCGATGGGGACGTGGCCCCAGCCGTTTGGGTGGAAGGTGAAAGTGACGCATCCAAGTGTCCCGTCCGCGATTTGGACTTTGCACTCAATAGTCCTCTCGCGGAAGGAACGCTCCTCGGAGACCTTCTCAGTGCCACAACTGCCAAGGATTCCGAATCGGATCAGCCGGACGGTGGTGTTTTTGGCAGGTTCTCGGGCGTCGCCTCGAAATGGTCGGAACGAGTCAAGACTCTCAAGGCATCCGATCTGGCCAGTGTAGTGGGTATTGATCGTGACTTTGTCGAACGTGAATTCAAGATAGTAGAGAGCTTTGCCCAAGGCCGAGCGCTTGCGAATCACATGGAAGACGATTATTACACTGCCATGGGCCGTGCCGTTGGCTTTCGGGTAGCTGTTGGCGAAGAAATCATCCCCTTGGAGGAGGAGAGTGCTTAGCGGTCGAGCGATGATTGGAGATGCTTTGCTTGGCTACAGAATGAAACTTTGTAAATACATGTAGTGCTACAGCCTCATGAATCAATTATGATAGAACACTGGCTAGTTCCTTTTGTTTGTATTCCCATGGCTTTCTAAAGTTGGAATACGACTGTATATCGTGCTCTGGCCTTGGCATAGTAAACGTATTATCTTAGTGCTTGTGACACTGATCAAGCTACCCATATGCGACGGTTGTTTCGTCCAAATCAAACAGCAACAGTTTGCTTGTTGATTGTTGTCGAATGTCATGCTGATCCATTGGTAACCATTCAAGCCTGGATCCTTCTTTATCTTGATGCTGTTTCCGCATGGCCTCCAAGTAATCTTCTCTGCAAGCCCGATCGGACTGTGCAAAGACCCATATTCTGGCATTCTGAGATTTGTGCAGGATTTGACAAGTGACCCGAGCAGCTCCCAAGGCCACTTGTTTGGACTCAAAGACATCAGATAACAGATACAGGTCTGCCTCTGGAAGCCGATTTTTGTTATCATCAAGGACATCTCCTGTAAGATCAAACCGTTGTGTTTGCAGGACATGCTGAAACCCCTGTTCCTCACTCGCCTTTTGCACCAATTCCAATGCCAGTGGATCCAAATCTGTGGCAACTACATTTTGGGCCCCCAGCTTGGCAGCAGTCAACGACGGCAGACCAGGGCCACAGCCAAATTCGCAGACAGTCATGGACGAAAGAGCTTTTGCTGAGAGCTGCTGCTCCATCGCAATGGCAGCCACTCTGGCAGAAGGCCACACTTGGGATGCCAGAAAGTTTGCAGGTTGGCCGTAGTCCTCGAGATCCATGGCAGACGAGACGGCGAAACAAAATGGCGATTCTGGATCGTTTTGTCGAAGTGGTACCTTATGACACGGGATGCCCGAAATTGTTGTGGTTGTTGTATACCCAAAGCATACCGGAAATAGAGAATGATGGTGGTGGAATGTGACTATTGAGAGGAAGAATAGAAGCCTTGAAGCAAGGCGTGGTTGTACTCGTATGATACAGCCTGTTGGCGTCAGCTTCAACGGCTCATGCAAGGGAGTTGTCTTGATTGGAAGCCCATGTTGTCTTGTATCCGCATCCACTACCGGTACCAATGTACCGGTATCCACTCCTCCACTGATGGGTTCTGCTGAAGCCAGAAAGCTAGACCCTCCAGATCTTCCCACACGGAACACTCTTCTGTGCTGGACCGTCATTTTCACGTTTCACTCTAACCAACTCAGGAATGCCACAGATGGTTGCTATTTTAAAATATCCAAGGAAAGACGAAAGAGAGAAATACCGTAGCAGCTTCAAAACAGTGTGGGTGATGGCCGTCTTTGCTGCTGGAACTCTTCGTGCACTCTCCTGACTCCTGACAGCAACTCTTCGCGCAAGAATCGATTTCCTGCTTCTATAGAACCTTTCTCGCGACGGTAAGGATCTTCATCCAGCGCATCAATTGATGAAAGCCCAAGCTAGCTAAATAGACTAGTATGATCCTTCGAAGCTGCTAAGGGTCGGCTTCGTTCGGAACCGACGGATCTTCGGAATCTTTTCAACGTTCCACGTGTAACCCTATTCTACACGTGTTCCCGTCCCCCCATTACAGCATTGCCTTGCTTGCGTTCTCTTGATGCCACCATGCTCGTCCTAGTTTTTAGGGTCAGAGATTACCGCGGTTTTGTGGCACAGTGAAGCCAGGCAGCAGCAGCAAACAGAAGACATACTGTACCTCTAGCAACCACATCACACGCAGACAACAGCAAAGCACAATACCACAACCACAGCAGCCGCTGCTATTACTTGAGTACTTGTACACTGTATCTATTGCTATCCGCACCATGCCGAGACGGGGGCATGCCAATACCGGTACCGGTAGCAACGCTAGCAACAACAACAACAAGAAGAAAAAGAACAAGAGAAGGATGTTTGCCAATGATGAGGTTTGGATCCAAGGCATTCTATCTTTTGTTGGCTTTGGACAGTACGCTTTTGTTGGAGCCGTCAACAAAAGGATGAACCGATTCTACAAAGCCTACTGTGAAATTGAACTCAAGAAAAACCCGAGGATTGTAAAACCCGTTTCGTATTTCAATCGCTATGCAAAAAGCACCGACACTCTTTGCAGTGAGACATTCTGTAACCAGACACGTGCAGAGTACTGGCTCTGGCTCAAGGACAATTCCAGCAACAAAGAACCTCTTCGCGATCAAGTTTGCATTGTCATTGCCAAAATTGGAAATCCTTCTGTCATGCACTGGGCACGACAACAAGGATTCCGAATGTCTGCGGACACGTGTGCTGCAGCTGCTAAAAATGGACAGCTGGGAATGCTCAAATGGTTGAGAGAGAATGGTTGTCCATGGAATTGGAAGACATGTGAGTACGCTGCTGAAGGTGGGCATTTGGAAATTCTCAAGTGGGCTCGTGAAAATGGTTGTCCATGGTTTGAATGGACATGTGCCTGTGCTGCCAAAACTGGACATTTGGATATTCTGAAGTGGGCCCGTGCAAATGGTTGTCCATGGGACGTATTCACGTGTTCCGGTGCTGCTCAAGGTGGTCATTTGGAAATTCTCAAGTGGGCTCGTGAAAATGGTTGTCCATGGAACATATTCACGTGTTCCGGTGCTGCTCAAGGTGGTCATTTGGAAATTTTGAAGTGGGCTCGTGCAAATGGTTGTCCATGGGCTGAAGACACATGTTATCATGCTGCTGAGAATGGACATTTGGAAACTTTGAAGTGGGCTCGTGCAAATGGGTGTCCATGGGATGAACAGACATGTGCTCAAGCTGCTGAAGGTGGCCATTTGGAAATGCTAAAGTGGGCTCGTGAACATGGTTGTCCATGGGACACATGCACGTGTTCCGGTGCTGCTGAAGGTGGACATTTGAAAATACTGCAGTGGGCTCGTGAAAATGGTTGTCCATGGGACACATTCACATGTGAGACCGCTGCTGAATGTGGACATTTGGAGATTTTAAAGTGGGCTCGTGAAAATGGGTGTCCATGGGATGAACAGACATTTGAAGCTGCTGGGCTAAGCGAGAGAGGCAACAACAGTGCAGTGATCCAGTGGCTACGCGACAATGGCTGCCCTGGGTCTCATGAAGATGATGAAGGACACTAATAAGCATCGTCCCAGCATACCGGTATGCATATCACACACGTAGTAGGTAGTCCAGGCTAGCTAAAACTAAATTTCTTTATGTGCACTCACTCCAATGCACGTTAGTACGGTATCGATGCCCGCCTGTCTAGACACCCAAGAAAAGACAAACTAATAGAAACCAACTCAACTAACAAATCCACCACCACGACAGTACCGTGTCAATACAGAAACCTGACTAAAAAGCCAAAACAAAAGCAAAAGACAAACACAATTAAAGGACGGAATCAGGAGGAGCTACCGTAGAACTTGATGCCACAGCCCCGACGCCTCTGGAAATTGATTGCATGGCTTGATCGTTCTTCTGACGCATGCCCGCTTGATTAAAACTAGTCACCTTGTTGCCTATGCCTACCCAAGAGCCATGTCATCTATACCTTTTCCAAACCGCAGAAAGCCGACTAGCTAGCTAGTGAGCTACCTGTTACGGAGTACTGGTACTTGTGATCGTCTGAAAGGTTGTATGGCTTGCAAGAGCGAATCCAGAATCGAATCCTACTGGTAAGTGCCTCGAGGGACCAATCTACATGTAACAAAGGACCGATTGATTTGAAAGAACAGCGGGCTATACCTTAGCACGTTTCAAAGACCATCACGGAAGATCATTTCGCGTATTACATAACCATGCCGGTGGCCATTCTATCTATTGTGTAACTAGTTGCTTTCATGATGGTGGCAGACAACCAGATTTTGCGTATTCGTGTCCTCTTCTGTCGATTTGCAGTGTCGTGGATTCAAGACTCAAAACATGCAGCTTTCTTTTCCACGTTTTCGTTTCCTTCGTTGAACTGTTGCTGAGCGGTTCATTCTCTTCGTTTCCAACCGTCGTCATTTTTAATCTTCCCAACCATCATCGGCCTCGACCGAGCCCATGGATCCATTTGACTCGCTCAGATTATCCTCTCCGGAATAGATGGAACTTCCGTCTTCATTGCCCGAAAAGATGGTGTCGTCGTCGCTTCCCAAGTCGTCATAGTCTGTGTCGTCGTCATCGCCCACAGGCTTGTTTGGTTTGGCGGCGGCATCCGCCGAGCTTTCGTCTTCTTCCGAGTTGAGTGCGGTCGTTTCGGTATTGTCGGCGGTGGACTTGGATCGGCTTCGCTTGACTGCGTCAAGCAAGAGGTGTGTCTGGCTGCCATCCAAGGACCTTCGACTTCCGCCATTGAAGGACCTTCGACTGCCATTCATGGATCCCTTGCTGTCATCGACGGGGGGAGCAGCCTGGGCCGAGACGGGCGTCGTGATGACACTCTTGTTCTTTTCCTGCAAGAGTGCCAACGAGAGATCGTTGATGCGTGTCACCATGACGCGGAAATCATTCAATAGACCGGCATTGATGAGACAATTGTCGTAGACCTGTGCGGCCAGCACTTGTGCGAGACCGGGGTGACTTTCGCGGGCCTTGTTGATTTCGACAATGAGTGGATGTCGGGGATTGATTTCCACGTGCTTTTTGGTCTGTTGAAGGGAATCCATGGTTTCGAGACGTTTGACTTGAGTGGGATCCTCTTCGTCGTGAATGACACGGGCGGGTTGTGAGGCAAAGTCACAAGTGGGAGTACAGGCTTCGACCTTGTCATAACCCAAGGTTGCCTGGAACCATTCGCAAAAGTCTTCCGCCGCATCTTGGGCCAATCCCTCTCGCTTGTATAGACTGGTGACAGACCGCTGTCGTCGATCGTCGTGGTCAATGTCCTTGAGAAAGCTGGTGTCAACGTCATTCCCGGCGACATCGACCATTTTTCGGCCAAGGTACTTTTGTAGATTGTTGGCCATGAGCTCTTGTTTGTTTTTGGCAATGTATAGAATGGCAACTCCTGCCTTTTGTAGCTCCTGAGCATGCTTTAGCTTTTCGAGTTTCTTAAAGTTGAAGGCATCATTGGTCATGGTGATGTAGTAGAGTGCGGTTTGACCTGGTAGCATGCTGGACACGTATTCATCGAGTGTGATTTCCTTTTTGTTTCCAGTAGGATTAAAGAGAGGAATGCTGAAGCGCAAGAGTGATTCATTGGCTCCCTTGAGCATGCTGGTAGTGATGAATCCATACACTCCCGCCCAAGACTCCTTCAAATCCTCCGTGAATTCGTCGCTTAGCGCTGCTGCCAGGGTATCGAGCAGTGCTTGCCCCACAATGGGATAATGCTCTGGCAGGATTCCGAAACCAACATGCTGTGCCCCCAGGTTGACCAACGTTTCCTCAAGTTCTTCCAAATCGGGCCCCAAGAACTGAACCGAACTGTCCAGCATGGAAACCACATTCTTGGCGTGCCTCTTGAACATCCTTGTCTTGAACATTTTGTCTTCAACTTTTTCGTACCCTTTGCCAAATGGAAACATCTTGTGGGCTCCTGGGGCAAGCTTGAAGATACTGGCATTAAAAAGAAAAACAAAGCAAAGCAAAACAAAGTCAGACTTCAGTCCTTCCATCCCTTTACTCCATGGTTCTTTACAACTATTATACATGTTGCACTCACTTTCGAAAGAGCAACTCTCCCACTGCTTGGGTGCAATCAGGGATTTGCAGAACAATCTCCCAAGAGTCTTGCACCTTTGCCACGGTCTCTTCGCTCACTGTCACTGACATGATATGCTGGTAAAACTACGCTATAGGAAGCAACTGGATGATGATGATGGGATGTTGTTGGGATGTTTGGAATTGTTGATTTGTGTGAAGACCAAACCATCAAAGGCAAGTTGGCTTCTCGGCTTCTCAATCAACAGTGTGGTTCCGTGGTGGTGATGGCCAAAACTAACTGTTCGAAAGGGAAGGGACATCTGGACACTGGGCATGGGTCGCAGAATCTAATTTAGATCTAACTGGTTCCTTCTACTTCCGTGAAACAATACTATACAAAATAAGTACCGGTAGACTACAAGCAAACCCAGCCACAAATGTCCATCACCAGAAACAGTGACGTTCGTTATGTTATTCATCGGTACCAGAGAACAACTGCAGACTGTTACCGTTGCGTGGAAGCCGAATATTTGTTGGGTTGACCGGTAGCGGCAATAACATGTAAAAGACTGAGTCACTCATCAATCCCGTACAGTTCCCCAGCCAACATCAGTGATCGTGAGGCACCTGAAGCGCTGAAGACCAGTTGCTATCGGTACTACACACTACACACTACACACCACCTGATGGCAGCAACATACATTCTGCATTGCTGTAGATCAGATGGGGATCATCGCAAGAAATGAGCTCAACGGAACGGGTGTCCCTGCCTGGAATCAATAAGGACCTGAAGGTGTTAGCCTTTGGCGCACCATGCAACCTCAAAAAGGTCAAGGGAATAAAGGAATGCATGGAGCTGCCAGCAGCTCAAACAGAGCTTGTCTTGCGAGCTGGTTGAATCTTTCGTTTGTTCCAAATCCAAGGCATGGTCCTACCGGTACCGCACGCCGCAGGCTGTGCTTCATGTACTGGACGTTGAGTCATGAATAGGACTCCATCAGGTCATACTCGGGATCAACGTCATTGACGTGACAGAGCCAAAGTTTTCGTTGACAACAAGCAACTCTCACTCGAGCTCAGCAGATTCTGTTTTGGTTTGGTGACAGTCATCAACAGTTGTATATCTCATCACTGTTCTAATCTCCCAAGTTATCATCATGTCAGGTGAAGAACTAGCACCGTTTGTTGCTGCTGCGCTCCGTGATCGTGTGGTGACAGATCTCCAAAAGGAACTGCAGGAACTCAAAGCCAAGTACCAAGCTGTGGAGCTTTCAGGAAAGGGAGGTTTCCCAGTTTATGCGTCCAAGTCATTCTCCACTGGTGCGTATTCCAGCCCTTTGGAATGGACCGTTGATGTTTCGGATACCTCCAAAAGTACTTGTGGCAAGGAACAGCTGCAGCATCATTTGACAGTAGGGGACCTTACAAAGTTGGAGGTCCGTCTGGGTGGGATCACGCGGGGGGTTTGGCATTTGTCCTGCCGGGAAGGGCTTGGAAGATTGGCAGTCTACAATAATAATGGGTTCGCCGAAAATCTTGCATTCTGCTTTGGAATGGAAGCAGGTCTTTACGTGGTGGTGGACGTGGAAATGAATCAGGAAACGTTCAAGTATCTGACAGCCAAGGACTCATTTGGGGACGAACTGGTGGAGTCTACCGATTTGCCAAACATGATCTTGCAGCTCTGCCCGGAGGACGCCAAAGTTAGGCTTCGAAATGTGGTCTTCTTCACGGACAAGATCGAAGCAGCCATGAGGGCATGGAATATCCCGCCGTTTGCCCCTGGAAAGGGTGCACCAATATCACCAGAACTGGAAGTATGTATCTGCTAGATCAGAATGTACGCCAGGCAAAATACACCATTTAGACTGGAGACACAGCTACCAGTTGGCTACTTTCATTTCTTGAGTACCATTGCTACTTGTTTTCCCCTTTATTGTACCTTAATTAACACAATATTCTTGGCCTGTATCTTTCGCCTGAAATACGAATCTAGAACTGATCTGCAGTGTGACCATACCAACGAACAGGGCAATGGTTAACACTACAAGTGGCATCGTCGAGGCGGTCCAACAGTGGGGGTCGAACGGACACGCCAATATGGTGCGTTGACCAAGTAACAAAAGGCGAAAAGCAACCAGAAGGTGCCCAACCTGCCTGGCTGGCCGAGGAGGCAGATGAAATCAAGAGGGTGTCGGGGCCAAAGGTGGTACTTTACTAGCTAGTACTACCTCCCGATCCAGCACCTCCAGTTCTAAACAAGATCCAAAAGAATGTACTGGTACTGGTAAGAAGGAGGATACCTGTTGGCTTTGTCGACTTTCACGTGTACTGTGAGGATCGTAATTGCAACAAGCATGGCTGCAGCCGTCCAACCAGACACCGGAAGGAGTACTGTGATGAATTTTCTTCGCCGACGCACGTCTGACCAATCAGCTCGAGGCGATGTTGCTGGCTAGCTAGTAGGAGGATCCTACTACTGAAAAGTAGCTAGCGAGGCGCTGGCATCATCAGATTCCGTGAACTGATTTAGTTATTTTTGCCATAGTCCAGCTCACACTTCTGGATCGACAGGGGTGAGGGTTTTTGGATACTTACTTGTAGCCAGAGGCCAGAGCCAACTCCAGAGGTGGCCAGTGACTGCCTGGTCTCTGCGGATACTGGCATACTGGCATACTGGCATCCTGGTATTGGCTTGGTACAGTACAGTAACAGTTGCAGATGAGATTCAACACACCATTAATTGAAAACCAAGAAACAAGAAAAGTCATATTATGGCGATGCTCAGAAAGTGAATGAATAGAACGGTCATTACATTGTAGAGAATCTTCTTCAGAACTACAAAATGCTTCCCTCTGCGTCGGCACAAGGATACCACACCGGTACCGGCCCTACCGGTATACACGTAGTCTAGTCTAGTAGAGTGCATTTTTGTGCGGTAAGCTGGTAAGTACTCCTAGCTAGCTAGCTAGCTAGCTAGCTAGCTACTTGTGGAGCTCTACTAGGTAGTAGGAGCTGTAGCAGGTAGCGTACTCCAGCACCGCACACCCATCCTTCCACTCAATGAATTATTAACAATACCCAGTGAGTACCCTACTAGTTTCAGCTTTCAACAACATTGTTAACTGATATCAAGAAAGGCTTCCCTGCATGCACCCTACCGGTACTACATGTAGCGGTAGGGCCTGAGCCCCTGCATACCAACGCAACTGTATGGATAATAGTAGTGAAGCTCTAAAAAAACCAGTAAGCTGCTCTTTCTTCTTCTTTTGGTCTTTAGTACAATGGGAGGGCAGTGGATTTAAAATCCCACTTGGAGCAAACGTAACATTACTAATTGGACTCAAAGATTGCCTTGGTCACTGTTTATCAAGTATGATTATTTGTGACTCTTCTATTTGTTTGGTGGTAAAAACAACGTATGGATCTATGCCGGTTTGCAACCAATGCAGTTCGCAGAACACACGATGCATGCAACTTCCTCTCACTTTTTTCCCGGCTTTGGAGCTTGGACACTGGGCTCCCACTAATCACCTTGCCGAGCGACCTGCAAATCTTGCCTCTCTCATTCCAGCACAACTGTTCAAGATAATCAGCACAACTATTGAAGACAATAAAAGAATAATAAAAAGAATAATCATTTGACAATGGAGGTCGACTATGGCACAGTAATGGCGGTTCAGGACTCTTGGGATGTGGTCCTTCAGATTCCCAATGTAACACAAGTGGCGGGAGAGCTGCTCTTTAGGAGGTAAGTTCTTTCCATCTCTCTTTATTCACGGCATAAAACTTTGGCAAGGTGACATAGATGGTTGACTTACACTTCCTTCCCTTTCCTCTTTTCGGTTGAATCAAATCTCAGCATCTTCCAAATTGCTCCGGGAGCTTGGAATCTGTTTCCTTTTGGCAAGGGGTTTGAGCAGATTGATGATGCCATGTTTGCAAGTCCCGAGTTTCAGAAACACGCCAAGAATGTGGTTTCCATGCTGGATACTGCTGTCCAGTTCTTGGGTCCTGATCTACAGGTTTTAGAAGAACAGCTGGTTTCGCTCGGAGCCAGACATGTCAGATACGGAGTTCTGCCAGAACACTATCCCGTTGTGGGGCAAGCGCTGCTTGAGACTTTGGCTACTGCCTTGGGAGACAAGTTCACTCCTTCTCTCAAGGAAGCCTGGACAGGAGTATATGGCTTTGTCACTACCAACATGCTCAAGGGAGCCAATGAGTGTTTGCTGAGGCTCAAGTTTCCTTGCCATGGCATGGATGCTAGCACTGACATATCGCTGGATCGGTATGTTTCCAGTATGCTGCCTGCACAGAAACAGCTCTTTTTTGTCGACACCAACTCTCCATCAGAGGAAGTTAGTCAAACTCTTGACAAGTTGGACAAGGCAGGTGTCACAGTCCTGCTGTTGAGCCAAACACAGAGCGATACGGTTGTCGCCAACTTGGAAAAGTACATGGGCCGCAAAATGGTCAATGTCAATGACACGGATAGCTTGGACCTATCCTTTCTGGAAACAGACAAACCTGCCCTCAAGGCCAAGAAGGAACCACGAAGAAACTCTCCAACATCTGTCACACACGTCGAGGGAGGCCTGGGGATGGCACAAGCAGAAGACTTTTGTGCTTGGTTCCAAGAAGAGCTGGGCACTGAAAAGGTCGTGGCATGTACCCCCACCTGTCGCTTTGCGTCGCTTCCGGCGAGGGTGATTCGACACAAGGGAGAGGATATGCAAAAGGCTCTCCAAACGCTGGACGACTTTGATTGCATGCCACTTCCCAAGAAACATGTGGAGATCAATCCGGCGCATGACATGATTGTGGAGATGGACATGATTCGCCGGAGGCATCCAGAAATGGCACGGTTACTGGCAGAACAGGTCTACGACAACTGCTTGATCAATGCAGGAATCATGGAAGACAGTCGATCGATGGTCAACCGCATCAACCAGATTTGCATGGGGTGGATGAAAGAAAAGAACCGCAACTCTGAGGAATGTTAAGCTATGGTACTGGCCAACAAGCAATGATGGTGACAGATCGCGTACATGAATGCATAGTGATTAGCAATAGGGCTGGGTGTGCACTAATTATTCATTTATTTTTAATACATAGTTCCAACAGAATCAAGTTTAGTTCTCGAAACCATGGAATATCAAAGCCATCGAAAATCAAGTTGGCGCCTCTCATCACCTACAACGTGGCTATATCTATCCAGCTAGCTAGCTCCTGAATACTTGGGAAGTTATTGGAGTCAAGTGATGATTCATTCGATTCTGAGCCGCCGTCTTTGCCACCACCATTGTCGCCGAGACTCTCATGTAAGCTGACAACGTCTGTCTACTTTGTTGATGGCAGCGAGCTTTAGCAATTTGGCAGGACTCGGAATTTGTTCATCATTCCACATTCTTCTGCTGGATTACGGACCAATGTGAAATATTATCAGCTAGCTGAGAACACAGATTGCTGCATCGATAGCGGTTTCTTTAAGCACAGAGTTGCTGGAGTCTTGGCTAGCTAGTCAAAAGAATACTACCAGCAAACCGAAGGCTTTGATCTAGCTAGAGCCGAAGATACCGAAACGGTCCGATCACAGAGGAGTTGGATCAGGTTGTTGTTAGCTGCTAGCCTCCATGCAGCACAGAAGTGCCCAGCCTATTCACCAACTCCCAGTTCTCCCACTCTTATGCGACTCAGACTCAAGGTCCAGGTCCTTACGATGGGCTCCAATGTGAAAACGATATCACTGATCCGATCCAAGTGAGAATGCAACATATTTCGGACCCACACTTCCAGCTACCAACGTCTTTGGTGGAATGCAAGCAAGGCACGAAAGAGCAACTGCAAAAGGAGCTCAGAGCGGCAGACGTGGAAGAGTGGCAAAACCACGAATTGCATCAGGATTACAAACTAGCTAGAGTTGCAAGCACAGTACAGTAATACCCGAATGGCCGATGTCATGAAGAGATTGAAGAATGCTGAAGCCACCAGAAGGGCTTGGCAGAAATGCGCTCGTGCATGTGGAAAGTGCCATGGCAGTTGACCAGCCCTGAAGGTTCCAAGAGATCCAAATGTCCCGTCCAAACAGACTGGTGCAAGGACTGATTGCTGTATGTCGAAGACCCCAAGGAAATCAGGCGCTGCAGGCTCACTTGAAGAAGCATTCCCGGCAGGCAGAGGAGGAGACTGAATTCAGAACTGACCCAACGCTTAAACACGATACTGACTTCACCGCATCAATCACTACTGCACATGCGATTCTTGATAGAGACCACGACATCTGTCCCTTCGAGATAACCTTTGCCGCCGGGCATTGTTCCTTTTTAGGCACCTGGCTAGAGCCTCTAACCTCTAATGATGAAATCCCGGCTCTTTTGACCGATGCTCAAGTCGATGGGACGTTAAAGACTTGGAATGAACGAACAGCAACTTCACCCTTGGACAGCACCTCGGACACTGGAAGTCCATCTGCACACGCCGAGCACTCATTGGACCACCTGACTGGGGTAGGGAATTGCCATCACTGAGGCCCAGAAGTCAATCAAATAGGCCCACTTCCACACGCCTGCTGAACTTCACACCAGTTGGAACAAGGATTTGCATACACATGGTGGAACAAGCTGAACAAGCTTGATTGATACTGCCATCCCAAACAAACAAAAAGAGTAAGGCTGCAAAATTCATTGGCAGCTTCACATCTTCGAATCTGGCTGCAGTCCTACAATCTGATCCTTGGAGCCAAATAGCTGAGATCTTTGTTACATCATGTTTCCAACCAAGGTCTGCTCGCAATAAGAATCAGTTCGGCTCTATTCCGCCATTGATTTATGCTAGCACTAGCTACATGTTGTTGCATTCGTCACCCACCAGTGGTCAAGAATGATAACGATGCCGCCTCTTATTGTGATGTCAACAGAATACTGATATGTACATTGCAAATCTGACAAGGCAGGAAAATGGAAATACCTGTCAAAGTTTGCCGGTGAATGGAATGAACAGTGTGCCCATGGTGCTCCCTTGTATCTTGGGGATTGGGGAGGGTGGCAGCTTGTGACAGCCCGAAGCTTGCTGTTGTCTTGCTTTCACTTCAAAAAGAAACGGCAACTTTTGAAGAACAACAGTTTCGTACCAAGCAACTACGAGTGAGTACGTACTGGTTCGTTCAATAAAAAACTACGCAGCACCTGCGTGTTCAATGCTTCATTCTAAAGATCTAACAAAAAACCTGAGTCTTTTTCTTTCTGCGACAATCTAAGCATCAGTATGGTACCGGTAAAGGCTTACGACGATGTTCGGAAAGTAAAGCTCTGAAGAGTCATCGTGTTCAAATAAAAGACGGCTTCCCTTGTCGGTGGGCACCAAAAATTCTGCCACGTCGTGACTTTGTGTCAATGATACGAACACTTACTTGATTAAACACCCAATGAAGAGGCAAGTCTGGCTTAAAACATGGGATTCTTAGTTTTTAGAAGCAGAACCCAACCACTAAAATTTATTTATCGTCTGGGGATTCGATTTGATGGCCGAGTTTCGCCATAGGCCAAGCTATTAATAGCTGCAACTACATAGGGTCTAATTTAATTTATTATGTAGCGATAGATGCGTGGAGCCTGGAGTACGCATGTCGGGTATTGATTTAATTAAAAACAATTCAGAGATGAATCAAGGCCATAATCAGTCGCATTCTTGATAAAAATCGGAGGGCAATGCGACAGGGCAGGGCTATAATCTGGATATCTGGATTGAATTCACTCATTTTCACCTCGAGCCTCGAGCACGAATCAGCAGATCGTTCGAAATTCAGCACTGAGCCACGTGAGAAACAAGCTTCTGGCTGCAGCTAGCTAGGCATCAATACTTATTGCACACAAGGATGGAACGGTTTGAACCAGCAGTTGCCCAGAAGTTAGACACAGTTTGTTGACCAAAACTTCGTGTGACGTGGTGGTAAAACCAGAAAACAGAAGATCTTTGCGGGTTCGAGGCAAAGAATAATGGCATGCGACTCTCACTTTTTTACTCGACCTTTTGCACTGGAAGCGATCACCTTGCTGAGCAACCTGCAAATCTTGCCCACCACAATAATTCAAGGCACTAAACCGAAAAATTATTTGACAATGGAGGTCGACTATGGCACAGTAAAGGCGGTTCAGGACTCTTGGGATGCGGTCCTTCAGATTCCCAATGTAACACAAGTGGCGGGAGAGCTGCTCTTTAGGAGGTAAGTTCTTTCCATCTCTCTTTATTCACGGCATAAAACTTTGGCAAGGTGACATAGATGCTTGACTTACACTTCCTTCCCTTTCCTCTTTTCGGTTGAATCAAATCTCAGCATCTTCCGTATTCTTCCAGGAGCTTGGAAGTTGTTTCCTTTTGGCAAGGGGTTTGAGCAGATTGATGATGCCATGTTCACAAGTCCTGAGTTTCAGAAACACGCCAAGAATGTGGTTTCCATGCTGGATACTGCTGTCCAGTTCTTGGGTCCTGATCTACAGGTTTTAGAAGAACAGCTGGTTTCGCTCGGAGCCAGACATGTCAGATACGGAGTTCTGCCAGAACACTATCCCGTTGTGGGGCAAGCGCTGCTTGAGACTTTGGCTACTGCCTTGGGAGACAAGTTCACTCCTTCTCTCAAGGAAGCCTGGACAGGAGTATATGGCTTTGTCACTACCAACATGCTCAAGGGAGCCAATGAATGCTTGCTTAGGCTAAAGTTTCCTTGCCATGGCATGGATGCTGGCACTAACATGTCACTGGATCAGTATGTTTCCAGTATGCTGCCTTCTCAGAAACAGCTCTTCTTTGTCGACGCGAAGTATCCATCCGAGGAGGTTAGTCAAACTCTTGAGAAGCTGGACAAGACAGGTGTCACAGTCCTGCTGTTGGGCAAAACACAGAGCGACAAGGTTGTCGCCAACTTGGAAAAGTACCTGGGCCGCAAAATGGTCAATGTCAATGACACGGAGAGGTTGGACCTATCCTTTTTGGAAACAGACGAACCTGCTCCCAAGGCCAAGAAGGAACCACGAAGAAACTCTCCAACATCTGTCACACACGTCCAGGAAGGGCTGGGGATGGCACAAGCAGAAGACTTTTGTGCTTGGTTCCAAGAAGAGCTGGGCATTGAAAAGGTCGTGGCATGTACCCCCACCTGTCGCTTTGCGTCGCTTCCAGCGAGGGTGATTCGACACAAGGGAGAGGATATGCAAAAGGCTCTCCAAACGCTGGACGACTTTGATTGCATGCCGCTTCCCAAGAAACATGTGGAGATCAATCCGGCGCATGAAATGATTGTGGAGATTGACATGATTCGCCGGAGGCATCCAGAAATGGCACGATTACTGGCAGAACAGGTCTACGACAACTGCTTGATCAATGCAGGAATCATGGAAGACAGTCGATCGATGGTCAACCGCATCAACCAGATTTGCATGGGGTGGATGAAAGAAAAGAACCGCAACTCTGAGGAATGTTAAGCTATGGTACTGGCCAACAAGCAATGATGGTGACAGATCGCGTACATGAATGCATAGTGATTAGCAATAGGGCTGGGTGTGCACCAACTATTCATTTACTTTTTTAAAAAATACATGAAGTTTGGCTTTCGAAGCCATGGAACATCTAAGTGGCACCTCTCATCACCCCATTTAGCTAGCCATCCAGTTATCGGATTCAAGTGGATGATTCATTCGATTCTAAGCCTGGCTAGACGGTAGCTTCAGCTACCGGTAGCTGTGCTGTTTGAAAACTGTTCCATGGACCGATCGTCCGGTCCGTTTGGGATGTGCTTCGCCGGATGGTACCGTGGTCATACTGTACAGTATGGTATGTATTCAAGCCACCAGACCCACTCTTGCTCGACTCTTGGGCTGACGACTCGACTCCACACTGATCATGAATGAGTGACGAATCGAATGACGCGCCATTTTTCAGATGATGGAGTCTTCCAAGTAAGTGTTCGGCGATTGGAGGCCAGCAGGACTGCTTCTCTAAATCCTAAGAAAGAGACTGTTTCTATGTCCTCGTAACAAATCCGAACGAAACAACAAAAATGAGACGGCTTCGTTCAAGAGCGATTTATTGCTTTCTGCATTCAATTGCTACGGAAGATAATAAAAACCGGGACAGAACGTGACTCCTAACTTGATGGCAAAACATTCTTTAACTCATTGTGTTCCCACGAAATCTCTATCAAGAACCGTGACAAGGGGCTTGTGGTCCCCTTGCTCTATTGAAATTAGTATACATCACGTAAATCGAGGGTGTGGGGTAAATGTAGGTATCCAAGCAAGCTTTCTCTAGCTAGCTGGCTGCAGCAGTCTCGGGCTGGTGCTGTTTGCAGTCTCGATCCTGGCAGGTGAGGTACCAGTATAATACTAATAGCTTGGAGGATGGCAGGAAAGGACTGAAGTGCGTAGAAATGCAATATAATTTATAAAAACAGGTTTGACAATCCGTGCGCACCTCTCTAGCTACAGTAGTTACTAGCTAGTTGTACCGGTACGACTGTACCGGTACCGTCAATAAGGACAAACCCAATCATCAATGGTATCTTGCAGGTTTGTTTTCTGCACCTCCAGGCTTCAGTTACGATACTGGTAGTGATTGTAATGAGGTGTTGATGATGCAGTATCCTTGCAGGTCGCTCAGCCAGCCAGCCGCGATCGATACGGTAGCAGCAACCAGGCACGTTGAACGAGATTTGAAAGAAGCATGATCACCAACAGGTTGACGTTGGTCAGTTTTTTAATCAACACATGTATGTAGCCTTACCGGTAGGGGGCATGCCTCCTTGACCTCAAGACACAGGAAAGGGGCTCTGCCACCAACTGCCCTGTCTTTGGTTCCTGCCATCTGGCGGCTTTGGGAGTCCTTCAGATACCCCAACACCCATTGCATTCTGCACTTTGGTGACGATGTGAGACGGTTTCTTGAATTTCATCCAATTTAGTTAGAGCAGTCTTGTGAAGTGCGTGGGGCAGGCTCTGTTGAGTGAAATCTATTTACGGTGTGAAGCATAGTATGAAATTTCTTTAGTGCAGCCAGCGCGGCTCTGATGAGCATCCTCGTCTAGCTAGCTAACATGGACCTTCATTCATCCTTTATTTTAAAGCTTGGAGTTTGCTTGATTGCTTGATTGATTGATTGATCATTCTACAGCCCAAAACAGACACAGAACCTGACCATCAGGCAGACCTTACTACCAGTACTAGTAGTAGCTCCACTCCTTACTACACACAGTCTGTTCAAGTCTGTTCAAGTCAAGTCAAGTCAAGATGCCGGTGAAAGCTACTATCCGTACGGGCCTGTTGGTTGCTGCGATGCACAAGGGCCGTCGCGATGTAAAAGCCGAGAAAGCAGCAGCAGCTGAGAGGCGGTCCCTGGAACGTCAACGGAGTCAACGAAATCAACAAGAAGGAAGAGGCCGAAGCAGCAGTCGTAGTCCCAGCAGATCGAGCAGTACCGGTAGAAAGAAGATGGAGAGAGGACGAAGTCTACGTCGGTCGTTGGACAAGGGCAAGAATAGCTTGAGTCGCAGTGAAAGTCCTCGCAACTCGTTGGACACGAGTACCAAAGGAGTCAATACGAGTGGCAGAATATCGCGAGGTCTGTCGTTTATGCAAGGCAGTAGTAGTAGTAGTAGTCGAGGAGGTAAAAGTGGACGACGAATGAGCATTCTATCAGAGAGCATGTTCGACGCGTCACGCAAAATCCAACTCAAGACGCAACAGTCGCTCCAAGCCAAACTGCACAAACTCGCTCATAAGAAATTCATGAGACCCATTTGGAAAAATCTTAAAAACATCAGAAAATGGGCCAATTTCACTCCGCAAGAAATGCGACAGTTCATTCTCAGCATTGCACTGGTCATGCACGTCTTTACCAAATACAACAAACGAGGAGAACGCGTTCATTCCGATCTCAAAAAACTATTCTTCATGATCTTTGTCCCATTCATCATGCCACCGACCATTGTGCTGGGAATTCCTTTTCTCATGGTCACCACTCCCATACTCTTATTGGTCATTGCTTTTTCAGGACTCAATCGACAAGCCAGAGCCATTCAAGAAAAACACAGACGATCCAACACGCTATTGAATGCTAGAGGAAAATCTTTCTTGTCAAGAACACTCCAATTCTGTGATTCACACAGAAAAAGTACCTTCAATGCACTCAACAACTCGTTCAAATCGATCGAACGACAACGGACCGCTCTCTTTGACAACTACAGCAACAACAGCAGCAACAACAATGCTGAATCCAGACAACGAACGCTCAAGAGACTCAATTCGTGGAGTGGAGAAAAAAGCTCTCCTACCAATACCAATAGCAATAGTCAACCTTCTGTCATCGAACTACATGTACCAGAGACGGTACAAACACCCTCTCCAACGGCTACTGGTAATGCTACACCGCCACCTCTCACCAGTTCTGATGTCAGCATTACCAATTCATTCGAATCCGCAAACTTCAACCATGATGAACAACACGTAGCACAAAACAACAACAGTACCAACAACAACAACAACAATACAAATACCAGCAAGTACTATTACGACAAGAAAGGAAAACTTCAATACGGAGTCAATCCACACCTTCGAATGGAACAGGCACCGCCCAAACCAAAACAACCATCATCATCACCACCCAAACCACCAAGGAATGTACCGGCTCCACCCACACCCAACAACTTACCACCGCAAAAGAAACGACCCACACTCAAAATTATCATTCCAGATCCATTCTTGGAACACAACAACAACAACAACAACAGTCGACGCAGTGGGAGAGATCAAGACAGTGATGATGTACATGTCCAAGACAGCGATGACGATGACGATGACGAAGAAGAATCATGGGATGTGTATTCACAGGAATCCACATTGGGCCATCACAGTACTAGTATACACAGTGCGCACAGTGGAACTACGGCATCCTCCAGGCGACCCACCATCAAAGGATTTCTTCTTAGGCGCAAGTCAGAAATGGCGCCTCGGAAATCTGCCATTCGAAGTGTCTCGCCCGAAGAAGATCGACGAAGAGTCAGTTTTTGTGTTTGAGTATTGTGAAGTGGCGTGCGTTTTTTGAAGATAATCAACAACAACGGCAGGAAGGAATACGCAGCAACTGCAAACACAAGGACACAAATACACTGCGTTCTAGTGAAAGATACTAGTACAACACGCCGCTGCTAGACTACCGTACGATCATGGCCCAAGTTGGAAATTGAATCGAACAATAGATGAAAGTGAGACTTAGACCAGACAGCAACCTGGCACAACAACGGCAGCCGTCGCCAGTGCATCTGGTGAGATTGCAGAACCCGCTTCCAGAGAGAGAGAGAGAGAGTGAGACTCCAGTCAACAACAAACGACAACAAGACTCGATCTTATTAGTGAAAGCTGCTGCTACTAGTATGATCACGGTCCAAGTTGGAAATTGAACCGAGCTGGAGCGAATGACAAAGATGAAAGTGCGACATAGAGCATTGCTCATGGACGCGCTTTCCGGACAGGAAGCTTACACAACAACAGCAGCCGTCGCCAATGAGAATCTTGCAAGGTGGCAAACCCCCTACTAGGCCGTTGCCAAGGAGAGAGAGAGAGCGTGTGTGAGACCAGTCCTCTCGAATGGGTCGAACCACCTTTTGGGTTGTCGTGGGTCGCGAATTGGTGCCGAGGGGGGTTCGACTATCGATGCGAATGAAGGGTTTCCCTTTGCGATGGTATCGATCATATCAATTCGATGTCAATTTGTTGCCGAGAAAAGGCATCAGGTGCTTTGTTGTGGTGACTCTCGGGTGGGACAACGCGGCACGTCTTGTTGCGTTTTGTTGCACGGATGAAAAGACGAAACGATAGCGATGTCTACTAGTAGTGTACTGTCCTGGAGTTGGCGGCCTGCTGAAGACACAACGGGACGATTAGATTTGTGGCGCACGGTGATGGGATGAGAACCCACCCCTGTTCCTATCGAATGAAACGATACAAGTCATCGTCGCTCCGTATTTATTTTGGGTGGACATTTCATACCGGCCGATGGTGTCGAACGAAACCCGGGTCAGTTGACGCTACGAGACGGAAACGTGGCGCATGTAGCGGAGCCGGATATTTCCATCTGATGAGGAATGACCAACACTGGTTCCGGTAACGCAACAACTAGCTTTCGTGGCAGTTCTAGGAATTTCTTTACCCGACAAGCGCTTGTGGAGGCTGGTGGCAACGACAGGAGGCTCGCAACTGGCGCTGCTGTGTGGAAGCTAGCCGGGCATGCAGTCTATGGATTGCTGTTCCAGACGGATCGCTCTTGTACAGGACCGGCTGGACCCGAGGACAAAATCGTACGGAGAGGGTTGCTCTTTTGGCAATCTTCTCTAAAAAGAGGGCTGCCAGCCAGCCGAGAATTGCATTTTGGAGTGGGTGGATTGGATCCACCACTTTGATTTGATGCGAAACATCTCTCCCATTTCTGTTCTTGCACATCTATCTGAGTTGCATACGACCGTTCTTTCAATTTTAGAAGTTAATGCATTGCACAATGAAAAAGAAACTTCAACTGAATTATTACAAGACTACCTGGTAGTAGCTTAGCTAGCCAGTGTTTACAATAGGTTTGATTGAAGAACGGACGATCGCGTTGCGCACGGCACTGGTAACATACATGTATATGAACCTAACCTACATTTCGCAAACACTCATTACTGTTGTAAAAATAAATTGATTGCTACAGTCGTACAGGTTCGGTCGAGGCCTGGCCATCCTCGAGATGATTCTCGAAATGACGGCGCGAAAATGTACCACTCGAGAGGCAGCCAGCTGCCAGGGTATCACCACATATGAGTACGATAGTTAGTTGCTGCCATTCTACTCAACCGCACTGTACTATGATGGAGGCACAATTTTGAGACTGTAATCGACACAAGAGTATCCCTGTGTCAATTTCCCTTGGGACACAACGTCAACTGAATCACAGAGATAATCCGGCATGGTGTCTGTGGTAATACCACCTGACGCTTCAATAATGAGATGTGGGAATTGTTGTTTAATGGTGGCAGCATCCTTTTTGAGTTGTTCTGGTTGGAAATTGTCTAGCATGACAATGTCAGCTCCTGCCTTGGCTGCTTCTAGGGCTGGAATGATTAAATAAAAGCATAAGACAAATAGATTGAGATGTGGCACACCTAAATGGATTCGATTCATCAAAAGTGTTCACTGAAGCACACGTCAGCTCTTACCTTCGTCCAAGGACTGACATTCGACTTCAATTTTCTGTGAAAATCCAGCCGCCTTGCGGGCCAAAGTGACAGCCTTGGTAATAGATCCGGCACTCCAAATATGATTATCCTTGAGCATGACCATTTGTGACAAATCCAGTCGATGGGTAGCAGCTCCTCCCACGAGAAGCCCGTATTTTTCCACAATACGAAATCCGGGTGTTGTCTTGCGAGTGCCTGCCACGTAGCCCTTCCAGTTTAACTCGCGTGCTCGTTGTACCGCTTGTCGTGAGAGAGTGGCGACGCCGGAACATCGACTCATGGCATTGAGGGCCGTGCGTTCTCCTTGTAGAATCCGATTGACGGGTCCCACCACGGTCGCTAGATGGACTTTTTGACTACCACTCGCAGTATCCAACAAGACTCCTTCTTGGTGGTCCTTCTGCCAAGTCACCTTGCATCCCAACAAATCAAATGTCGTGTCGAAGAAGACCTTGCCGGCCACGACACCGGGACTCTTCATCCAAAGTTTCGCCTCTCGTTCCGCCGTTCCAACCACCAAGCCTCCCACATCCATCATACTCGGCATGTCATCGTCCAGCCATTGTTGCACTACCTTGCGGATTTGACCCTGCGGAAGTAACGCAGAAAAGTCTGTCGTCACCGCTCCGTCTTCTTCTTGTTGAGATGATGATGCCATTGTCAATCTTTATTGTAAGAGCACCTTCGGACAGGATGTGGTACCAAGTTGTTTCGTGCGAAAGAATGAGGGGTGGCTGGATGCTGGGTGCATTGATTGTAATGGATGTTTGCACGACGGCCAGACTGGCATGAAGTTCGGTGTGACCGCAACGACGTTCGTGGGAACGTCGACGGTGACTGTCTACCTGGTAGTTTTTTCCACGGCGGTAGTCTAGTTTTTTTTGACGGCGGTAGTTTTTTCCCGGCTCAAAACAAGGATCACACGGCAACTTGAAAGAGAGAGAGAGAGAGAGAGAGAGAGAGCTGCTGGTATGCTCGACGCATCATTTCGCCATGGCTTGGGCTTGGGCTTGGAGGTATTTTTCAGTATTCCGAACGTCTCTGGCCCGTTCGGGACTCTCGTAGGATCCATTCACTGCTCATGATCATTCGCCATCCTATCAGCAGCAAAAGCCCTGCCAAACTGCAAAACGGGAGCGGGACCACAGCCCACAAGGCGAAACTCTTCATGCGAGGCCCTCCGGAAGTTAGGGAACCACAGCTACTACCGGTACGATTCCGTTGTGGAGACTCACTCCCCAAGTTGCCACCAATCGATCCTAATCGTACTGTATATAGCATGGCTGTGCTACGCAACTCTTCCATACGATTTGCTATGACTGAACAACTCTTTCCCTCTGTCTGCGAAACGTTATTGTGGACACCACCGTGGACAAACACAGTTGGTGTCAAACATTCCAAAGCCTTCCAAAAATTACTTACTTACTTACTTACAATCCGCAAACCACAACGGCTTTTTGAACGTAAGCGAAGTGGCAGCCATCTCAACAATGGAATATCGTCGGGATGGGTCAATTGCAGATGAGTTTATCTGTTCCATCAGCTTGGAATTTGCCATTGGATCCTGTCACTGCTGAGGACGGGCACATCTATGAGCGTAAATGCATTGAGGAACACTTTCGGACCCATCAAGGGGATCATCTCAAGTCACCAATGACAAATGAAAAGATGGGCAAGAAGCTCTTGCCATCCTTCCAGGTTAGGAATGCAATCGGGAAAATGGTGGAGTCTGGTGTTATTGATGGAGACCTGGCGCACAAATGGAAGGAAAGGGTGAAGCTGAAGAAGGAGATGGACGACTTGTTGAGTTTGGCGGAAGAAGGTGATACTGAGGCTATGTGCAATGTAGGAAATTGGTATTTCGAAGGTGATAATGGTGTCAAGCAAGACTACAAGTTAGCTTATACGTGGTTCAAGAGGGCACACGACGCTGGGAATGTCAGAGGCACAGCCCTGCTGGGAGTGTGCACTTTGCGCGGTGTGGGTGTTGCACAGAGCGAATCGCTTGGATTCATCTACTTGACCAAAGCAGCAATGCAAGGATCGGCTATGGCTGCGTATTGTTTGGGAATGGCATTTGCCAATGGCATGCATGGTGTTAGTGTCAACAAGGCAGAGGCCATTCATTGGCTGGAAAAAGCCATAGGGGAGGAGTGTCCTCACGAGCATGGAGACGGCGACTTCAAAAACGAAGCTCAACAGGAGTTGAATCAGCTAAAAGCCAATCAACCAGCCACTAGTCGCTAGCTGGATCCATTCGAATGGCTCCTGCAATCTACCCAGAAGCAACATTTCGATTCCTGGCCAGTTTCAGGAGGCTCTTTCAACTTCAGGGCGGTACTATCAACAATGTACTCGCGGTCATTTTAAAACGCAGGCAGCTGTACTTTTCTAATATAGAACAGAGTGCTCTTCTTTTCTGTTGGTTGATTAGCTACATGTAGACTACCTGGAAGATACGAGCACGGAGGTTGGAAACGGGAGTGCGTTAATATCGGTACATGTACGAAGAGAAAGTGATATCTACTAGTGGCTGGTCAATTTCTTTGTCAAGGCAGCAGTGCGATGCCGGTATCCTTCTTCTCCGTGGCAGCAGGCCCCACAGATTGTTCTGGCTAGGATGGTGTGGCCATTTCATTCATGTATGTCAGCTGGCAGTGAAGATTCGTAGACGACAAGGATGCGTCGATACAACGACAGCACGTAACCAAAACAAAGAGGCCACGCAAAGAGGAGTGGGGACCAGTCTAACTACACCATGTAGCAAGTGGTACCGGAGGAACGGCCCACTTTGGCTCCACGACGGACAAATCCAAGGGCGGCTGGTTACGAGCACGAATGGCCGGTGCAGTGTGACTGGACATGTAATGTGAAGGCTTCCGGCGATGCATGACCTGCATTTGTGGTGGATATCCATAGCTACGGTAGTCTAAAAACATGTATCATAGCAAGGGCAAGGACAAGTCCTTTCCTTCTCCAAGAACGTTTGCAGCTCCTCGTTTCGTTTAAACAGGATACGAAGGAGCCGATCGAGGCAGCAACATTGGGATATCTATAGTTGCCTATGATGTCCAGATAGGTCCTCCGCTGTTCCTTCTATGTTAGCAGTTCTAGTTGTGGTACCGAAGATACGTATAGTAAGCTAGCAAGCAAGTCCTTTTTGCTACCTTATTCTAGCTATTTGTTTGTAGTCAGCATGAACGTTTGCGCCTGAATTGTGTACAGTAGCCCCCCCTTTGAGCTTGCACAATACAGTACAAAACGTAGTTGCTACAGTACGGTATTATTGACTGGGTCTTCGATCCAACGACCTTGTCTTTCTCTTGGTCATGGAAGAAGTCCAACTTTTGCGTGAGCTCCCCAAGTTCCAGGACGTGTTTCGCAGCAGTGTCTTTTTCTGATTGCCCGTAGTTATTCTGGACGCTCTTATTGCTGGTGATCCTTCGACAATGGTGGGCATTGTCACGTCGGAAACTTCGGTGGCACTGGCGACACTGTTGCTGGTGACTCCGGTGGTATCGGTGGCAGTGGCGATTGTTGCGTTGGTACTGGCAGATTCTGCAGTAGTGTTTCTTCTCAGATTCTTGTCGTCCTCCTCCTCCTTTCTGATTTTGTCTTCTATTTGTTGTATTTCATCTTCTAGCCTGGTTCTCTCGTGATACTCTTCCATAACCTGTCTTCTGTATTCCGTATAATTGATGGTGGCTGGATGAATGGTTTTGTCGCTTCGAATGGATGTGAGAGATGAATTGCTGCTAGTAAGACCAAGACTGGAGAATGAGAGCATCCGGGAGAGTCTCTTGCCAAAGCTGTTGTTGGGAATCTTTTTTGGTTTTCGATTCTGTAAAAGCACTTTCTTGGCGGATCGATTGAGTGTCAAAATGGCCCAGATGAAAATCAGGATTGGCAGGAAGAGCACGAGCGACGGAATCCCCAGTACCACCAGCGGTGGCGCCATGAAAGGCACAAAGACCAACGCCATGACCTTGGCGAGTCCCTTGTTCAGCTTGGCACCTCTATTGGTGTAGTTACAGAGAAAGTGTGACACTACTGCCATGGTCAAGAAGGTCTGCTTTTGCTGCTCCCTGCTCATGCTAGTGATGCGCTTGAATCGCCACCAATTTTTCAACACTGAGTGTAAACTCTTGTTCTTTTTCAGAAACAGCACTGTCTTGATCTTTACTCGGTCGTATGTCAACCGTTGCCGATGCCGTTGTCGTGCTTTGCGGTAGCGGACCTCCGCATCATCGTCTTCTCCCACCACTAGTAGACGCCGTTGCGCCACTCCAAACACACTGTGTCGACTCCCCATAGTGGGACGAGGTGGTCTTACTATTGTTGTCGACATGTCCACAGCTACACTAGAGACACACTAATAACTTCTGGCTTCAGACAAGAGAAGTAAGTGCTCCTGAGATGATGTAGCGGAAGAGGATGTGGTTATGTGGTTTGGTAAGATTGAGACGATGGTACCAACGATCACTGGCGCATCAGCAAAAAGGAGTGGTAATTGTGCGCTGGCGACTCGAAAAGGCTCTCCAAAAGAAAATTTGGAGGAATATTTTTTGGCCTGTGCTGTTTTACTACCGGTACAAGGTGGCACTGCAGCAGCAGCAGCAGCAGCAACAGACTTGGAAGCACGGGGCTATGTTCTTCCTGCTAAACAGCGGGATTGGGGCTTTATTCGGTTCTTGTCTCATTGTCAATCGACCAAACAATAATGACCCTTTGGATCAGCCTTTGTTTCAGCCATTGGTCTATCCTACATAATAATTGTGTAGAAAAAAGATGATGCCTGTGAAAACTCCATCATAAAAAGGACACTTCACGGAAGCATTCATTTCTGACGGAGGGACAGGAGGGTGGACCAATTACTTAATGCTTTAGCTATTTATGCAAGCATCAACCATCCATCCAGAAAGAAAGGATTGAGTTTCAGGTAGATCTGGTAAAGCAGCTAATGATACTCGCTCTAACATTGTTACAGTAAAAGACCACTTTAACCCTTTGATCACCTGAACTACCTGTCTTCCATGCATGCCATTGCCTGTTACAGATAGAATACCGGAGTACAGTACAGTAGTAGTATGAATACCGGTGTGAGTGCAATAAGGAGCAACAAGCACCTATTAAATAGCTAGTACTCGTAATCGTAAACATCTACTCACTCCCGCAAATTGCATTATGTCCCAGCTCCTTCGAAGAACAATCGTGGAGAAGCCAACATTTTTTATTTGTCCTCGCTACAGGTGCGCGGTACCAGGTACATGTATAACTGTACGAGTAACGAGCTTCAACAGTCTTCTTTAACCACTTATTTAACCACTAGACTCACAGACCATTCACTATTCAATGTATTCATACTCGCAGCAAGAATGGATGGAAGAGATAATTACCGGTACATGCAGAGTGACGGAAATAAAAGCACACACCACAAAACCACGCATTATTTACGTAGCCTTGAAAAGGCTCTGGGAAGAAAAAAGATGGGGTGATTTAGACCTGGTACAGTCGTACCTGGTACCTGGTACTGGTATAATGAGATCTTTGTCTACCGTAGCTAGTACGGTAGGAACATCTCAAAGGGGGAGCCAATGATTGTTGTAAAATAGGAACAGGGGGTAACAAGCTTGCCCTACCCCCAAAACAGGACGCCCCACTGAAGGGACAGATGCTTTCTTGATTGCGCAACCACACAACAGATAGATTAAGAAGCTGACATTGCCCTCAACTACCAGCTAGCAAGCTGAGGGCCTTTTGAACTTTATCTTGTGTGTGTGTAGGTGTGTGTACGTTGAGTGCTGTGTGAGATGTGTGATGTTGTGTGAGATGTGTGTAGACACTACTAAGAGTTAATCTACGACGAATCTACCATTGGATGTTTATCCATGGGGTATACCGTTGCTTGCTGATTTCCAAATTCTGAGCTTAGAATTTCGCTGTTTGCTTCATCAGTGGAGCAAGCTGGGGATGGCAAAAGATACAAGCCGGGAGGTGTGAGAAAGCAAGGGTACCCTGTTTGTGGTGATTTCGAAAATAGACACATAGGAGCTGTACGGTATAGACCGAAACAAGCAAACTAAACCTAAATCAAATACCCGATGGCTGGATGGATGTGTGTGTGTGTGTGTGTGTGTGTGTGTGTGTAGGTGTGTGTACGTTGAGTGTTGTGTGAGATGTGTGATGTTGGTGAGATGTGTGTAGACACTACAAGAGTTAATCTACGACGAATCTACCATTGGATGTTTATCCATGGGTATACCGTTGCTTGCTGATTTCCAAATTCTGAGCTTAGGAATTTCGCTGTTTGCTTCATCAGTGGAGCAAGCTGGGGATGGCAAAGATACAAGCCGGTAGCTGTGAGAAAAGCAAGGGTACCCTGTTTTGTGGTGATTTCGAAAATAGACACATAGGAGCTGGTACGGTATAGACGAAACCAAGCTAAACTAAACCGTAAATCCAATACCTCGATGGGCTGGATGTGGTGTGTGTGTGTGTGTGGTGTGTGTGTGTGTGTGTGTGTGTGTGTGGTCGCGTACATATGGTGCGTTTCCTTGCAAGGTTAAGGTACCGGTACATATGGTGCGGTTGCCCTTGCAAGGTTAAGGCACCTACAAACCGTTGTTGAAAAGGTGTGAACTTACGCACAATTTCTCTAATTTAATCAATATCCTTCCAGCTCTACTGTCTAGTAGACTGGCTATCTGTTTCGTTTTCTCTTCTCTCTCGTTCAGATTGTGAGCTCTACAACTGAGCTCCGATATGCATACATATACCAGGATCTTTCGATCCTCTGCTTCTCGCAGTTTCATCTACAATAGATCTCGTCGATCTATCTTCCTGAATGCATGGTTGCCCTGGAGGGCTTTCCCACTTTACTAAACCTATGGACCTTCATCCGTCATTCATTTGCTCCGTCCCTCGCTCCTTGCATTCATCTCTCTCCGACCTAACTTCCTAACTTTTGTAGTTGCATCATCTAGACGACCATTGTCCTGTTCCTCGTACACCTGGCAATCTGATGATGATCGGATAACCATCTGATTTGAGTCACACATCCCCAATCACGACCGTGATTGTGGATCCCGAGTCTCTCTGTCCGTCATACGAAAATACTTTTCTGACACCCTTCCTGTTTTCGCGATGATGGCACGACCTTCTTACCAACTCAAACAATTGCTCCTTGTCTCCTGTTAGTTTCGTTGCATGTCTGTCGAGGGTTCGACGTTGACATTCTTGGTTCCAATGTCGCTCACGTGTCTTCCGAGCGAACGAAACCAATCTTCACTAGGCCGTCTGCTGCATTTGGTTCACTAGTGCCACCTCGTATCCATGCCTTGTTCGACTTGCACGTCTTTTTCTCTGACATAAAGATAGCCCTACGTTATCGATCTTCACATTGCACAGGTAGTTCCACTTTATCTGTAGGAACTTAGAACTGCGCGATGAACGGAACTTCTCGCACTGCTTCGCCACCGCGTAGAACTCAGCTTCGGAACCCGACAATGCTACGACCTTCTGTAGCTTGGACCTCAGTGAATGAGTACACCTTCAGAAAGATCATCATGGACGTGACTGATCTTGTTGTTCTTGTCTCCGGCCAATCCGAATCCGAGAATAACTTCCATTTCCACGGTCCATTCGTTCTTCTCTTGGTCTCATCAAAAGTCCACGGTTCCTCGAGTCCACACGTATTTAACACAGCGTAGCATTTCCTTCTACGCTGCGGCGTTGCGCATCCCAAGACCTTAGCTAGCTCTCGTACCGCGTTCGAGATTTCTGGCCTTTGAATGCTTGATAAGGTAAATGAGCATGCCTACTCCTGGTCGATATCTGCTCTGTTGTTCTTCAGCGATCCATTCGCTCTGTTCGTCTGTCTTTACTATTTCGAGTCCAGGTGTTCCCGCAGTCTTGTTCTTGGGTAGCTTCTGTACCTCCTCTCCGAATGTGGTTTGAATCTTCTTGATCATTTGGGGTTGTCCCACCCATGCAGCATCCTTTCGGGGATTCATCCAAATCTCACAGCTCAGGTAGTCCGTGAGTTCGTACTTTATGGTCATGTTCAAGCCTCGATCTTTAATCCCTTAAAGCACTTCCTTGATATCGTCTCTCTTCTCCAATGGGAGATTGTCATCAGAACATAGAATCACGCTTATCTTCCCATTCTTGTTTCGCATGAATAGGCATGGATCACTAGGAAATGTAACGAATCCTAAGTCTTCCAGGACACTCGCAATCTTCAAGTAGTACTGTCGTGCGCTCTGGAAAGCACCATAGATGGTCTAGTCCAGTATGACACATTCGTCGTCTTGGTTGTCTAGTCCTTTTGGGCAGTCCATGTAGATGACTAAGTCCATGTCTCCATGTAGGGATGCTGTCTCAATATCGAAGATAATTGCTTTCGCTCTTCCCATCTTCTTTAGTAGTAGAATCAAGATGATGCGGAAGGTGTTGTCGTTAGCCACCGGACTGTAGATGTTGTAAAAATCAATTCCGGGTACCTGACTGTAGCCGCAGGCTACCAATCTAGCTCG